TTTTCCCCCCCAAAAAAAAAAAAAAAAAAAAAAAAAAATACTAAATCCACTTCCGTTCCTGCATCTCAATACCGCACTATAAGACCCTGCTTCACTCTGCATCACGCCAACATTACATACGAATACCGCAAAGTTCAAACAAAACAACAATTTCTTCCAAGGAATCCTCTGTCGTACCAAAAAGTACCTCTGCATGCCACTCACTACAAAGGCTAAATAGCTTGGACTAAACATCGAATGATGAATGTACCCCGTAAGAGAACGGGGGAGTGCTCGAAGCAGTGGGGTTAGACTTCTGGACCAAGGATCCCACTTGCATCTTGATTGTAAACCAAAGAGGAAGCCCAAAAAAGGAAAAAGGATGGAAAAAAGAAAAGAAAGAGAACAAGGAGGACAAAAGATCGGATCATCAGATCTTCAACCGATCGAAGCACAGGGGCACCGACCACGTTCCGAAAAGCACGAAAGTACTCCGTACTTGATACTTCCATACATCCAATTGGTCTTTTGTTTTCTTTACTTGACCAACTGCTGCATGCATCTGCCATTTTCATCAGGCAGAACGTCGTGGACACTGGACAACCAGGATTCCAAGGACCAACCCAACCCGGACAGAGAGAAGCCAAAGACGCTCTACTCCGTAGTTTAACTATGGTGTGCATTATGTTCGGTTCTCTCCAACCGCCTTAAAGTAGTGGTTATGATGCTGCTTAGGACCGAGTGTGTAATATGGCTGTCATCAACCAGCAAATTATTTGTTGGGTGGACGTCAAATACAGGGGACAAATGAGATGAATCGACTTGCCGCCCTTTAAAATAACCATATCCTTCCCCCGTCCTCCGTACCTCCGTCCGGCATAACAGACTACGATATGCCCAATAATCTTGTCTCACTGGCTGGTTGTCACCTCATGGGCCCACCAGGCTATTTCTCCACTAACGGTACGACGTCGTACTGCCGCCAGAGGCTCCTGGACCAAGGCGCTTCATGCGAGCAGGCGAGAACGAAAGGATGAGTCTAAAAAAGAAAAGAAGGCAGGAGGAACAGTTGAGTCTGGGGACCTCCAGGTGAACCAGATCCTACTGACATCGCGAGACGGGGGTACTTCGAAAGCGCCCAAACCGCTCTCTCACCAGGTAACTAATTATCGTATCTCTGTCAACGGGGAGAAACGCAGCTGCTTGGGGCCCCCGCCTTGGAGATGCACGAGACATTCCGTTACGAAGACATCTCCCCAACGAACGGTAAAAAACAAAAAATATCCCAATTATTGCTGCTTACCCCCGGGACACACTTTCATACGAAATACAGCATGCAGTGACGATACTGTATTCCCTCGATTACGAATATGGAGACTGGGAGACTTGAGGAGGCCCATCTTCTTCCATAGATCGCTTCTGCAGCCCTTGGAGTGGTCACTGCAGCTAGGTAAGCCGGAGACGAACCTAAATTGATAAGCAAGGTCAAAACTACGGAGTAAGTGTCTCTGCATGCTGGCGCCTGCGAGACCTTGACATGGAAAAAAACTATGAAACACGGACACCCCATCTCTTCCCCCTTGCTTGACTGATCTCTTCATGTTGGGCATTAAACGTATGCATACTCCATATGACTACCCAATCTACGTTCACGGAGATAAATGAGCTAGGGAACTCACGAAGATCATCGTCGATAAAAATGCTCCTATGAGACGGATCCCCCCAAACTCGCCCTATTCGAGATGGCCCCTATTCCGTCATACACCTCGGCCTCTACGGAGTAAGCATCCATGGAATCGACCGCCGGCCTCGACATCTCGATTACGGTACACGTTGATGCCGATGCCGATGCACATGCACCGCAGGAAAATGCAGCTCATGCTTTCGGTAACTGTCCTTCCTCAAACGTAAATGTTCATTAATTTAACAGGGGCAAACTGACAGCTTCTTTTTTTTTTTTTTTTTTTTTGCCTCCCGAATTAAACTCCCATACAGCCCAGAAAGAATCAGCCTTTAAACCAGCCCAAAGTAGCTCCACACGCAATGCAAGTCCATCGCAGGAGAGATAGTGGAGCATTGTTTCTTCCTTCCGCCAAAAGATCAAACCCTTCTGACTAACTTACATCCAACCCTTGTAGCGCCTCTATTACTTTCAATTTCTTTTTCTTTCTCTTCTAGTTCAACTATGAGTGGGATTCTCATTTCGTCCTTCAGATGCCCACTCCGTACTTTCGCCTCCACGCCAAGTAGGCCGAAGGGGGTTTTTTGTCTACCTTTCTTTTTCTCCTATATCTTTCTCCTCTACTGACGTCTCAAGACCAGATTCCCCCATTGTTTTAAAAAGTCAATCGCTACCCAGGCACAAGTCACTTTATTTCAGCTCCCTTTCCTATAATATACGCCTCCTTCCACCCAGGTTTGCTCAATTCTTGTTGGCAAGTGTGGTCAGCATATACGATCTCCCATAGTAATCCGCCTTTACACCTCATTGACGGGGATTATTGCGTTCCCTTCGCCCTTTTTATGGTTTTTTATTTATATTTTTTAATTTTACTATTTTAGCTCGGGCCTTACGCTGTACCTTGCGTTTCCTTTATGCGCCAGCAGTCTATAAACACGCCTCCCAGCCAATGTCCATAGGGAAGGAGATACCCGAGAGAGATCCAAATTTGTTCAGGAAACTCCTATCAACTGCTCTATTACTTCGTGCTTCAAATTGGCCTTTCCTACGGAAGGCGTGGACCGGAAACAGGTATATACCAACCCCCCAAATCCTAGGACGGTTCTGTGCTTTGGACCGCGGCGACTGTTGCTCTAACCCCTTCCCTGCCCCGTTTCTAACCCCCAAGCATGTAAGGAGGGAAAAAAATCCGGGGACATGTTTATGACTCGGGAGGGTAAAACATGGATTTGAGATTTGACGTTGACATGACCAACGGAGCGCTAAAGGGTTCAGCAGTAGCAAAAGTAGTCAGGTTATAGAGGCGCCCGAAGCCACGATGTCGACAGATCCTCGCGTCCACTACGATTCGGTGGTTAGGGCAGGCATGTCCGAAGCCTCTCAGCGCCCTGAAGACACCCCGTTCGATATCTTTGAATGGTACCCACGCTACCAGAGTTGCCAACGCTATTTCCTCGACCACGCCCAACACACGGTTCCTGTACAGGCCCTTTCTTCATTCCTAAACATACATCTCCCATTCCAAAGACAGCCCACCCCTATATTTAGTTCCGCGGCCGATGCTGCCCTTTCCACTCCACCTGGTGGCCAACCTTCAGGGGCTCCTGTTGCTCCAAGTGTATCTATGGTACCTTATATTCGTCGACTAGTTGCAACAGGCATGGACTACCCGGGAGTTCTACATGGGTTTTTTGGTGACGACTGGGCTTCAGGGATTGGCTCTCTACATGAACAAGAACGCCGCAACTTCTTCTTTGCTGCCAAGAGCGGAGGATGGGCGGCTGTAAAGAAGGACTACGATATTCTGCCGCTCGAGACCATTCCATTCCTCAGGCCATTGCAGGGGTCAGAAAACTCCGAGATTGAAGCCGCGGAGAAGAGCTGGAGTGAGTGGCTGGCTATGGAAGATTGGATGATTGGCCCACGGTCACCAGATGAAATGGCAGACCGCCAGTCGAACACATACTCGAGACATAGCAGAAGCACGAGGTCTTAAATGACCTGACAAGAAATAAACCAGACGAAGAAGAAAAAGAGAAAAGCAATAATTATTGACGACGATGAATGATACCTACGGCAACGATTCTCATATGCATATTTCATATCACCCCCCCCCCCCCCCCACGCCGCTTTCCTCCTCCCCTACTAGAAGAAGGGGGAAGGTTTCTTTCTTTCTTTTGCTTATATTTCCTTCAGGCGGCAATCTTTGTATACCCTCCGCTCGTTTGTTACATTCACATTCCGGTCTCATTACTATTTTCCCTGTTATGGGTTGGCGTAAGGAGACGACAGATGAAGATAAAAAAGGGACCCGTAATTTTTTTCTGTTTCTTATTTTCGAGGTAAACAAATACTTAGGTATTTATCATCTATTGATATTTTCATTGCCCTGGTCTGGTATTACTTATAGCAAGTGCCTTGATCAAATTAAGCCACCTCGTTTTCCAACACTTAACTGCTGCCATCCACAATCCAATTGGGCAATCAAGTGGTCAATTGAGTCAAATTCTAGATATAAGTTAGGTTCAGTACAGGTACATTCTTCAGATCATAGGTGTGCTATAGAATGGCAAATGAGGGAGGCAAATGTGCTAGAAGCGCCTCGCACCTATGCTCGCCCGGGTTCATTTGCATATGCACTACGACCCCACTAGCGTTATCCTCGAGGCCGACGGTGATTTATCCACGGTGAGTGTCATAGTAATGGCCATGGCAAATGATTTCGTTGCCTACTACTAAAATGGGGTCACTGGGCCCGAAGACGCCATTGCAAACGCCCTTGTTGCGCAGATACCCATGTGGTCGTGGCAAATTATTTCACCGGTGCTAGTTCGATGTGTCCAGCTACTGCACGGAATCCAAGGTGTGACGCAAGAGTGTAATACATAATCCGAAGATTCCAGAATACCAACGTTCAGCCACTGCACAAAGCCGTCGTAAAACGGCCTGTATCTCGCCTCTGGCGTCTGTTCCTCGACACCCTCGTCCTCCCGCCAGAGACGCACTTTCGAAGCATGTCGTTGGACTTGTGGCGCAGCAGGCACAACCACGTGGGAATCATGTGATAAACGAAATACCGTGGATTATATAAGCCAGACCCAGCTGATAAACCATGTGACCCTACATCACGTGAAGGTTTCTCTCCAAGGTTGCGCATCCGGCATCACAACGATCATGATATGGCTAAGCGGTGGCATTCGAGGCATAGATGCCATTATTAAGGAAAGTCTACCCCTTCCTGCTACTAGCCAGCCTATAGCCCCTATTCATCAGGATGAGTGACGTGAGCGATAAAGTGAAGAAATGAATGGATTACGTCATTCACCGATTATGTAACATGTCGCTTATATAATCTTTGCAGCAACCTCCAGCTTTGGGGAATGAAAGGAACTTAAGACTACCGTCAGGTCGACAACAATCTAAGAGAAGCGTCATATTCTTAGCCACCCAGCCTGGCGCTGGTATAAGTACCTAGACTTGTCTTATCAAGCTTATCAAACGTTTCGGTGGACTACAAATATATATATACATACCCTTGGCCTATCGCTATTCTTTTCATGCTTAACGGAATGACATACTGGTTCCATTCGCAGTGGCCTCTGTTCCCCGAAGAAATTTAATACCTACAGTATGGTCTCACTGTTGAAACAGCCGTCTGGAGCTTCGCGACCAGAATGGCAGAAACTTTTGCGTCAATGCCTTCTCCAAAGAATCAGCGCGGATGAGTTTCACAACCTAGCCAAAGTGATGCTACGCCGCCGCCCTATTTCACATATGGATCTTTTTGATGTTATTCTAGAGTCGAGGGCAGTTACGGATTTTGATTGGGACCCGTTAATACCAGACTATGTGGATGCCGTCCAAAAGCTGACACAGGTCGAGCTATTTAATATCTTGCCGTCTCTCCTGGCTCACTCGAGCATCAAGTCCGATATTCGGCACTGGAAGAAACAAAATCAAGCACAAAACCAAGACACGGACCAAAAGGTTGATGAGAAAGGATCTACAGAGCCTGCGGACTCTAAAGGGCCTGCCACTCTATTAACTGATTATGGCATCATACAAAATGTGATTACAGCTGTGACCACTGGCCATGCTCCAAAGGTAGCTCTTGAGTTCATGGATACTTGTTCTGCTATAGCCGACTGGATTCTAGCCCTAGTGTCGTGGAATGCTCATCTGGGGTCTGAAAAGGGTGAGGGCAGTGGAACACAGATGTTGGCCACTCCTGATGTGGTCTCCATATTCATAGCTGTCGGTTTTCTTTTCGGAGCCTTAGCAGCAACGGAAGTGGGTGCAAACGCACTGTCATTTCAACACGCAGGAAGTAAGTTCTTAAAGGGGTTCAGTACTTGTAACCCATATCCCGAAAACGAATTGTGTCGTGGTGTCCTCAGTTTCTAATGACAGTATAAGCATTTAAACACCAGCGAATGAAGCTGGCCCGAGCTTTGACAGCATACTCTCCTATATGTGCCGAGATATCCATTCCCTTACGAAACCGGCTTGATCAATTGCAGAAGGAATTCAACCTTTTTCTGAAAGGTGAAAAATCAAATCAAGATCATGTTATAGAGGATACTGCTGTTTCTACCTTGGAGTTCGAATCTAGAGTTGTGGACATTCCTCCAGTAAGCTCTAGGGCTGGGTTGTATATATATGTCAACTCTCTGGTATGTTGTTTACTTGGGCCACGAATTCTCCTCAACTATACTAAACGACTTGCTATAGCTCGTAGGGCGACCTTTGATAGATGATAATCTTCTTATTAATTATCTAAATAATCGCTACGGGGTAAGTCTGGTATCTAGCATTATCTCCACCACATACTTACGTATCGTAGGGGAATCACATGGCACTTGTTGAAGAGCTTATCACAGCGTCATTTGATGTCCTATCAAATGGAATGTACCGCAATGAGCCACAGCAATCAATGTTTCTCTTCCGGGCATTTCTCGTCAACAAACTCCCTCCGTTCCTGTCAGACCTAGCAGGATCAGTGGTAGAGCCAATACCAGTTGAACTATGTATCACTCGTGCTTTAGCGCGGGTAGACCCAAACACGTTCCCATCATTTTCAGAAATATTCTCTACCCATGGTAATTCGGTTTTGTCTGACGTGAGACAAGAGTTTCTTTTCTCGTGTGCTTTGCATAAATTAATACCCGAGTCAAGTATTGAACGCCTCTTGGGAGAGAACCCAATGCAAACATTGCCGAATGGCGGAAGATTCGTCAAGCACGATCTAGTTGCTCAGATAAACAATAGCCATGAAAGGGCAGAGCAATTGCTGAATGGTATCGAGTCGATGGACGGCAACGCAAGGGCAATTGTTGAAGCTATAGCGGAGGTATGGGCTTTCCATTGAACCAAGATTGTCCAAAGCACTAACATGGACAACTTAGGTAATGCATAATATGTGCCTGAGAAAGGATACCATGACATTGAAGAGTTTATGCAATTCCTTGTCACGTAGGCCGCAGACACTGGACATCATGCTACTCTTCAAGAGCCCACAAGCTATATTGCAACCTCTTTGTGTCTTGTTGGATTCCTGGAAGTGGGAGGAAGACCAAGGTAAATACTTAAATCTCAATTCGACTGAATGAACCGTTATTAACAACACTCAGGGGAAAGCCAGCCTGTCTACGATGAATTTGGAAGTGTTCTTCTCCTGGTTCTTGCTTTCAAGTATAAATATGATCTGAGTTCCCAAGACCTTGGGATTTTCAATCCGGATTCATTTATGTGCCGATTACTCGAGAAAGGTTCATCAAGTCAAAAGCTGGAGGACTTGACGCAGAAACAACAGCAAAACCTTGGGGCGTGGGTTACAGCACTGTTCATCGCTGAAGGAATTAGTGATGAATCCATGTCCTCTTGTAGCCCGCAAGAATTCTATCTTCTGGTTGCTACACTATTCTGCCAGAGCTTGAGCGCGTGTGAAGCCGGAAAGCTGGAGTTTGACACTCTCAAGGGTGGATTCGAGTGTAAGTCAACCCTCTCGCTCTAGCTTGTACTAGGCCACTTGGGGTGCGTTGGATTAACAACCTTGAAGATCTATTAGAGCCCTTCCTGCTACCCTCGCTGGTAATGGCCCTATCGTGGATGGGCAAACATATTTGGAAGTCTGGCACCGATCTCACCACTACCCTTAAACTTCTAGCTACCCTTGTAAAGCCTACCTCTATATCTGGAGAGGCTCAGGAAATCCATCGTACGGTACTATCGATTACGGCACGAGAGCTTGCCGATAAACTGAGAACTGCAAAAGCCCGTCACCCTTTGAGAACAGATATTGAACCCATCCTTCAAGCACTTGAGCCGTATCAATCCTTTCAACGGACGGGCACTTCTAATCGTTCCGAATTGGAAGGATGGAGATCCAGCTCTGCCCCTGGTGGAATGGTCACAGGGATTCGAAACACATTCTCGTCACTGGTACTCTGGAGCACAGATCCTGAGATCAGTATGACTCCCCCAAGCTATACCCATAGGCAACTATTAGCTGGATTGAAACATCTAGGTTCTGTCCGAGTTCTAGCGGGAATACTTGAAGAACTTAAGTTACAGAGTGAAACCGGGAGTGGTGACCTGGCCATTGATATCGCGGCAACTTTGATATGTGCACCGATGCGTGAGTGTTTCTCGTTGGAACAAGCAGCGTATCAATCGGTGGGTGGTTCTTTGAAGGATTCATTGCCCCGCCGCCAAATGCTCAATCTTAGAGATGCACTTAACCTTCAGAGAGAGTCCCTCTCCAAGATGATAGAGTATGAACCTCACCGAGCTGAGCTCATTGTTCGGCTGGCTAGACGTGTTGATACCCTTACTTCTATTCCACAAATACCCCAGGGAGTTGAAAATATCGACGTTGGTAATATTATGGCAAATATGGACCTTACAGGCGTCGAAGGAGACGGACAGATGCAAATAGACGTAGCTCAGCAGGCAGAGCAGCAAGACCAGCAGCACCAAAATCTCACCGCTACCGGAACCGATGCGACTCCTGGCACCATAGACGCAATTCTGGATTCAGCTACGGCAGAAGGAGTGACTGCACCACCCGCTGGGACTGAAGTAACTATGGCTCATTCAGATATGGATGCGAGCATTTTTGACGATATGTTAAATCCTACAGATATGGGTGTTGGGAACCCAGAGTTTATTGATTTGGATATGGAGGGGATATTCTAGCACACTAGAAACCATTATCAGTAGGTGCATTGTACTGAAATAGAAACAATCTAGGGTATATTCCAAATGCATCTTGAAAACAGCCTGTATAACTGATCAACAAACGCCCACGGTAGTTACAATAAGCTTCGGACCTCGCATAATAATGATTACTTTCTACATGGTGATGAATCAACTGCTATTTCTAGAAATACGACGGGTTGATGACAAGAATAGTTCTTTATGGTCATATTATCTAGTTATTAATGATAAACTACGGTAGCACCATCATCTGCAGGCTCTAGCACTTTCCAATTACATCGGACATTGTTGGCCTCGAACTTCTTTATTATTCTTTCAGCGATTTGCGTGAAATTCTCTGTCGCAAGGGCCAATATCGTCGGACCTGCCCCTGAAAGGCAAATGCCAAGCAAGCCCGGTTGGGTGGTTGGATTCATTGAACTTAGGATTTCAGTCAATCCGGGCACCAAATGCTTACGATAAGGCTGGTGCACCTTATCTTGCATCGCAAGATAGATCATGTCGGGATCAAGGGGAGATTGGCCCAGTGCTGAAGGAAGTAGGGTTGCACGCTGGAGGTTATATATCTAAATGTAACATCCATATTAGTGCCGATCCTCCCGAAGCGGGAAATGTAAAAAGAGAGGACTTACCACATCAGCTCTCGAGTATGTTTGAGGGAGGACCTCTCTTGCTTTTGCAGTGGGAAGTTCAAATTCGGGTATGATAGCAATCGCTTTGATTTCCTTTGCCCAGGGGAATTTCTTGTAGTGGCCGATTCCAACTGGCGGCTTAGGTGGTTTGATGCCAGTATCTACTCCACCAGCGGGGGCAGGAAGCACTTCGCTAAGGGGGATCTCCTTCCACGCTAGATCTTCAGGCTTTAGTTCGTTTAGATATGTGCCAACAAAGCCACCATAAAGAGCAGCAGCAACATTATCGGGATGGCGCTCTACGGAAAACAAGCCGAATTAGTATCAACGAAGTGGAGAGAGGATAGGAAGAGGCAGAGGTGCCCTCACCTATCATGAGACAATAGTCTAGCATTCTGGCCTTATCGAGGCCTAGCTTTCCAACCTCATTGCCCAGGACGACACCTGCAGTCACCGCAGCACCGCTGGATCCCAATCCACGTCCCAATGGGATCGGGTTTTTGATGTGTACGTGACACTCAACGGGAAATGCATGGTGATTGTGGCACCGGAGCACGTATAGTGCCACTCTGGTAATTAAATTTACTTCCGGGTCAAGACTGACTTCATCAGGGTTCTCTCCTTCATATGTTATTCCGCAATTCAATCGAAGACTGGAAGATGAAGGCGAGCTGGGGACCTTCGTCGTGACATGCAACTCAAGGTATATAGATAGTGCCAAGCCTAGCACGGTATATCGTTAGCCCATGCCATCTCGGATTTATGCTTGTCTGGGGATGATCCCGGCCTTCAATGAGACCTTCACCAGGGTAGAATGCCTGGCAGCAATAATACTCAAGGATAGGGGATTTATTGAAACCAGATTGACCGGAACTCACCAATAACATCGAATCCGGGCCCGATATTGGCGGATGAGCAAGGCACTTTGATCGTAAAGGAAGCCATTTTTCCCTGTTTTTTTTTTACTTGTGTCTTTCCCAAAAGGAGGAAGTGATGGATCTCCTTCCTGCTCGCTCCAGGGCTATCGGGCTATCAGTACCACACCCAATGGCAACACCTTCTGCTCTGTCGGCCTTCTGCTTTGCTTCTTCCTCGCCGTCTTTGTCTTTCTGGCTCTTTTTCCTGCTGTGTTATTCTCTTCCGCTGGCGTTATCTCCGATATCACGTGCAATCTTATCTTATCTATGGTGACAAAGCAACGAAGCCCTAAAAAGCGTCCGCTTTCGGAAGCGGCTCTCGGGCCCCTAAAAGTACTTTTGCTGCTTCTTCTTCTTCCTTTCGCTCGCCTTGTTTTTCTCTGTTCATCTTTCATTATTCTATGGAGCACTCTATGGGTTCGACGGACTCAATGTGGCGCCGGAGCTGCGGGAATATATAGGCGCCATATATTGACCGTTATTAAGATTATGTGGTGGTGAAGCACTGGTGTAACTCAACCGTCGTCCACTTCAGGCAATCGAGCATGCATTCAGTTCGTCCCAGGCGATAACTCGGTACCATCAGCCTGGGAAGCCAACCACTCTCCTTTCTGCCTGTAAATCTGCAGCCGCCTGCGGCCAGTACAAATAGTCCTCCCTTGGAGATGGTTAGAGCCGATGGACGAGGCGGACAGATCTCTGTCCTGTTGCTCAAACCCCCCTGCCCAGCCCCTTTTACCATGACTATATTCCGTACGAGATACTCCGTACTCCAGAGCATTAGACAGGGTCATTCCTGGACATCGTGTCCCACTCTTCTTAATCTTTTTCGTCCTTAGGGATAATAGTAACCTTACGGAGTATACTCCGTAGTCCGTACCTCCGTCGGTGATCGTCTCCATGAGACCATGGCATGGTTTTGTTGGAGTATGCAACAAAACAAAGGCGGAAGCCGGCAACGCTTGAGGGTGGAATAAACCTGGGCTCTTCTATCCCGAAGAGGTAGTTAGGTGCGCAGAGGTTGACTGCCTTGAACCCGGCAATTTGCTTAGCAGGCTTTGAGCGTGCAGAGCACGGGTCAGGCCCTTTGTGCTCTGCACATGGTGACAACCCGCCTCATCGGCCAAAGAGAGGGGGGGGAGGAAACTGTGGCCGGAAAGGATACAGATACAAGCATGAAAACTCCATATATAATATGATATCGACTAGGTGTTAGTTAGACAACCTCCGTTTCTTTCAGTTGGAATGCACAATTACGATATGGTCCCGAGTGCAACCCCCTGCTGCAGCTGCAGTTGGCAGACCATTCCGAATATAAATATTCACAGCTAGGCTTGATTTGGCAACGGAGAAGTCGCTACCGACAGAATAACTCTATCCCCACACGGTTCATGCCTGGGCGCAAAGGCAAAGGGCTAGCCAGGGGCCTGAGCATCTAGTATGGTGTTGGCCTGCCCTCGAGCCTGTACTCTGTACACAGAGAAAATCATGAGAATGGCAAGAATAATAAAGTGGTATTCAAGGCACTGTTGAAGGCGAAATCAGGGGCGGGTAAGGAGAACGTAAAATATAAAAAGCTGCCTGGCACGAGTGTCGATTAATTAATCGCTTGCAAGCCTCCTTTTTTTTTCTCATTAATCTCCGGAGTTATAGCACTTGTTTCACCATCGAGAAGACACGGAAGAAGGAGTTATGAGGAAGAGGGGCCCATATGAAGTCATACGGTTAATATGCGATATATGATCCGGGATATGACCAGTCGAATGGGAATCTGAGGTTCTGCGAACACATGCCCATACAAAAGAGTACCACGTATGCTGTGCTTTGGCCGTTGGCTGGCCAGGCAAAGGAAAGAGGCATGCACAACGCACAGCCAAGGGATGCGAGTTTGGACATCATCCAGTGCACAGGGCCAGGCGGAAAGTCATGATTGATGCATATGAGCCGGGTGGATGCACTCCGAAACGTATAACCGTGTCTCTGGGTTTTAAACCACTCTGGGTCTTAACTTCTGGAGGTTAAAGATAACATGTTAAAAAAATGTTACGCAGTCTGGAATCCACTCTCACTTTGAAGGCTAGGTGAATGGCTCTGAATCAATATCTAAATTTAGGGATTACCCAACAAGATGGGGGGAAAAAAAGAAGAGGAAGAAGAAACCCGCTTCGAGGCGTACTTTGGGTTGAGCACGAGCTTTTCTCGCCGCTTTCTGTTGATTGCGTTCAGTCACCAGAGCTTGGCTGCGATACACTGAGTATCTAGTGTCCCTGTAAAAGATTCGGTTGATCGTCCAAGATCCCTTGATTTCGTTGTGCGCATTGCGGTTGTACGGAAGAACTCCGTACACGTTGTGCGTGAGAGGATGGCGCCCTTCGATGTAGGGAGTACGGAGTACGGATACTATGAATAAATTGTGTGCTGGTTGGGGGGCTTGAGAGGCGTTGTGCCTACTGAATCGCCTCCGCTCTTCACTGAGGGTCACCAAGCTTAGCTTAGTTACAAAGACCATCACCGAACCTCGAGCGCTGGAGGCGTTTTTGTATATGCGCCAATCAGAGTGTGCAGGTTTGTCGTACGGGCTCCTTTGCTTTCCATACGAGTAAAGTTCAAGCGAAGCCAAAATGAAGCCACTCGTTGATCACTAGGGGTGACGGCGGAAAATGCCTTTTTATCAACACTAAGGCGCCATCACGGTGGTAACGGGCTGTTTTGAGAGACTGATGTTTTTTTTTCTTTTGACCTCCGAACTTCCTTTATCATGGGAAGAAAGAGAGCGAGGAAGAGATAGCCCTCCGAGGAGTTTGAGGTTGACACGTCGGACGGAAGGGAATCAGAAGGGTAAATCTGACTGCTCTGAAAGGTACCTCCAAGGACAAAGCGGAGGACATGTGAACTGGGCGCGGCAGAGGCTGATTACATAGCTTTTTAAAGGCAACCATAAAACATGCATAATTCACGGTTGTGCATGGTTGCTTTTTTTAAGGTTGGGGAAATAGGAGAATCATGGCGATGATCGTTTCTTCCCTGCCTTGCCCGGCTCCACGAGTGATAGTGACACTCTTAGAGAACGTGTGATTCTTCTTCACCGTTGGCATCGTATCAGTCATCATGTTGACGGCTAGGACACCTTCCAAGGCTCATCCATTTGTTTTGCTTTTGTTTTTGTGTTGTTGATGTTGACGTTCTTCTGCAGCCCTTCTGCATACCGCCTCGTCGTTTTTTTTCTTATTTTTAAGTGAAGACTGAGTGAACGTCCCGTTTAACTTCATGCCCGCGCGTTTCCGCTGGAGTGTTCGGTAACTCTGTATCCCGGATTGATGTGCTGCATGCCTGTTGCGCGAACGAGGCTTCTAAGGAGGAGCAGAGGATCCAGCAGCAGCAGCAGCAAACAGCAACAAAATAACAACAACTGGCAGGCTTGTTGGCACGACTCTTTGGACATGGCCCGCCCTCCATCAAAACGAGCCAGAATGTGATTTCACCATGCAATGGAGATCTCCACCACAGAACTCTGTTCGTACTTAGGAGGGAGGAAGAAGCGGGCTAGTTAAGCAACTTAACTAGTAAGCCCCTCGAGTAATCCAGCACATTGTTGCCTCTGGCTTAAGACTTCACCCTGTTGGGGAGCATCACGAATGGCCGTGAGAAATTTGTTCTTCTTGCGTAACGAAGGAGCATTCTTCGAGAAAGAACAGGCAACACAATAATAACAACAACAATTAAGAATAATAATTGCGAAATAACACACAGGATATTTCTTGTACAACCGAGACATCCTCCGTACACAGCCAATTCAGGCGATTGAGCCGGAAGGTAGTCGGAAGGTGGACTTGATCCACACTCGGTTTACAGGGAACCCCTGTAAAAAACCGATGGAAGCAGCAAGGTAAAAAACAACCCAATCCCCTGGCCAGCATTTCAGCAAAAACCAACCAGCAATCGGTGTGTGAGGGAGGCTTTTGTTCTGCAGTCGGCGTCTTGGCTTGGACTGGGGCAAGGCCGTGATACGCTGATGCTCGCTCAGGATACATCTCGACCGCCTATCATACGCACTATATCGGCCATACATTTTTTCATACCGAGTACACAAGCGGTAAGTATACACATATCGTGCACAGCGCCCGTTCTCTTGTAAAAAAGTACTTTTAGTACTTTTTGACCTTCAGGGTTTCCATCGCCCATGATTTGCTTAATAGTCACAATTTTCATGTAGCCTAGCCCTCTTCGTGGACCGCAGGACGGCGATAGTCTGTATTTCATTTCTCTCCTTCTGGGGTCTCGTCTCGTGGGCAACCTGCCAGAGCGTTAAGGGCAGATTTGAAAGTCGGCTGGGCATCGTCCAGGTCAACGCTCCCCCTTTCTCTCTCCCCCGTCTTCTCCTTTTTCCGCCTTCCGCACTACACGTGCAGAAGAATAAGGGGACTATGGGGGTGTTGCCGCGCGCAGTGGGTATAAAGTTGGAAAAAGCTCTGCTCGCTCCCAATGCGCTAGAGGGCGCGTGCCCACAGATACTTAGAAATGTCTGACAAAAAAAAAAAAAAAAAAATAGAGGAGGAGAAAGACGCAGAGCGGTTTGTTTACTGCTCTCCACCCCCCGTATGCAGAGGAGGGAACAAGCAAAACGGTCATGGTCAGGGATTTGGAGCTGGCCAAGACAGCGCTTTATGCAGGCGACATGGTTGTGCGTCGAATGTGGCGAAACGGATTGGACAATTAGAACGTCGAATATCCACCAGGATATGTAGGATGTTTTCCTAGAGGATGTTCGAAGAGCTGTCAAAAGTGCCGGCCTTCACACACGTTGGGCGCTTTTCTTCTTCTTTTTTGCTTTTGCCCCCCCTAGCGCATCCCGCTGGGAAGGAAAGGGAAGGGAGAAAAAGGACATCGAGGAGTGCCTTATTTCTTTTTCTGGCTTGATTTTCCTTTTGTTTTTCGAGTCTCTTTGGCATTAGCATATATAATATTTCTCGTATTGATTATTATGACTTTCAAAATTTATGGCAAATCCACACAAGGTCCAGGGCGGGCTGTCCATACTAACCTAGTGAAGTAAGACCTCCCGGGCCCCCCGTTGCTCCCAGCTAATGAGCGGCCCCATTGAGCTTCCATCAAGCGTGCATGGAACAGAGAGGAGGGCAAAAATACTGGAGGGAGAGACAGGTCTGCTTGCTGTGACTCCAGAAGGTAGACTGCACATGGTGTCCAGCATTCTGGGACCGGGAGGTTTCCTTTCTGACACATACACACGCACGCATACTCTCCCTCCCTGTCTCCCTCTCTTCCTCCCTCTCCTTTCCCATTATTTCTCCAATCTCCATCATCTTCTCCTCTGTCTTCACCTCCATACCTACTCCATCGAGGCAGGACCAAGCCAATTTGATATCACCGGCGCTGCTGGGACCTCGATTGAAGCTTTTTCTTATTGTTGCTTGCATAGCTTGCCCCCATCTGTCCGCCCGCCTTTCCTGTTCCTGGGACCCTCTTTGCATCGTTCACGTTCTCTTCCTGAAACAGCTCGCTATCTGGCTTCCGTAGCCCTGGGGTCCAAGTTGGAGCCTTTGGTGGAGAGAGGTGACGATAGACGGCCGTTCAAGTCTCCTGAGGATCATCAACGCGAGCTGTTGTGACGTTTTTCCATCGAATTAACCTGATCCGGGACGACCCCCGAGGGACAGTTGGAGTATAGAGAGAGCACTGCCTCGCTGGAGTCCTGGACCGACCGACTGACTAGACTCCCTTTTCCCATTGATTCATATTATTGATTATTATCATCACCTCTCCTCCGACTGCTCGCGGGCGTGCCTCCCGTTTCTCTCTAGCAGGCGGTTTCACCTGTGTATATCTCTCGACCAGCACGCGCAAGCTCGCCTCCCGGAGCCGAAGAGCAGGCAAACAGGTGCCAGGCGGATGCTGGCTGTCCTCTAGAGAACAGAAAACATATCTTCTGCTACAAGAAACACCCGAGAAGCACAGAGCATAGAGCTGCACGTCGTGGTGAGTAGTTGGTTTCTTCCACTTCCGGCATCCAGCAAAACCGCCCATTGCGAGGTCACATGTCAGTCGCCACCAGTTGGGTTGACCAGGTTTTTTTGTTGACTGTTCATATTTCCCCAGTATATATTGCCTCCGGAGCAGACGCAGGACGGCCGTGGTCTTATAAGCCACGCACAGCACGCCAGCGCCGGCCGAGGACCGCAGCAGACCGGCAACCCGCGAGCGCAGGCGACGGATCTATGTTGAGGACGCCGGCCGACTATCGAGCCAGAGGGAGCTGTTGATCGCAACCAAGCCGGAGCTTGTCCTCGATCTCGCGCTATTGGGATCTCGAACCGCCCGCGAAGGACGCAGAAGCAGGAGACGAAGGCGGGAGAAGCAGGACGGTCTGACAGCTAGCGGGCTTCTCGTCTTGCTCTTCTCCTTCTGGCTGCCCATTGTTCTTATAGTGCTGCGTGGATCATGGAATCGAACGCCGAATATGTGGCACCCCTGAACCTCAGCACCGCCGCTACTACGACTACTACTACTACTACTACTACCACTACGACGACGACGACGGATTTAGCATCAGCAACTGCTACGACCAGCCCTATTTATACTGCCGCGGACGATGCAGGATCACTGGCCGTGGCGACCAACAACAGACTCATAACTGCATTGAATGCTCAGCTACGGATGACGCCGCCGCTGACACCGCATAGCTCCCGTGAAGAGATGGTCGACCGAAGCGGCCAGGGACGGTCACTGTTCCATAACTACCTGAGAGCCTTCTACCCTTTCCATCCAGACGGACCGATCTCCTCGTCGACTGTGACTCTGCCGCTGGACCAGGGAGACGTCATCCTCGTCCACTCGGTGCATACCAACGGCTGGGCTGATGGTACTTTGCTAGAGACTGGCGCCAGGGGATGGCTGCCAACCAACTACTGCGAGGCCTACGACCCTCAGCAGATGCACCCGCTGCTCAAGGCCCTGATGGACTTCTGGGACGTCATCAGGGGAGGCAGCGGATCCACTCTCCATCAGTTCTCAAACCAGGACTACATGAGAGGCATGATTGCTGGTGTCCGGTTTCTCCTGGTAGGCCTTTTTATGTTTTTGCCCTCGTAACTCTGGATAATATATATCTTTTTTGCTTACCAGTTAAATATAGGAGAAATCAGAATGTCTGACAAGAGACTGCCGGCTCGTGAAGAGAGTCGATGGACTACGGCGGAACCGCAAGGCTCTTCTCTCGGATTTATCGTCCCTCGTCAAACTAGCGAAGCAATTGCAGGACATTGCAAACGGACGGCACTTTGAGACATGTCTGGACAACATCTTCGACCTGATGCTGCTCAAGGCATTCCGCATAGTCACCAGAGGAGTTCGGTTTTTGGACGTTTGGAGTGAAGAAGTCGGGCTTGTAAGGGCACTGGATCATCTGGACAACACAAACTCATCGAATACAATGGACACCATGTTCAAGGGACCTCTTACTCCACCGGTCGATGGCTCCTTTAGCTTCTCGTCTCAACGCGCAACCAGCTCTATCGGCACACCAACCTCCTCTAGCAGCTGGAGAGGCAGCCTCGGTGACCGCAGCTTGCTCAACTCTACCACGATAGTCAGCCAGAAATCCGGCCGTGAAACACCACAACGTCCAGCATCTATCAGAATAAAACGACCATCGCTATCTCACAGAATATCATACAGTGGTCACACAACTAAGAATCCGAATCTAGCTTCAGGACGGTTAACTGCTGCCCATGACGGATTCCTCGGCGTCCTTGGATCATTTATCGGCTTGCATCTACAGTCACCCTCATCAACAGAATTGATAGTCACAACACAAGAAGCTGTCCAGTCCTGTAAGACCCTGCTATCAGTCGTCGAAGAGGTGTGGGAGCGCGATCTACACCGATCTTTCTTACTGGAAAGATCAAAGAATACCATGTACGACCACATCGCTGAGCTCGTCAACGCTACCCAAAACACGTTCCGCACCCCTATTAATCCCGACGATGAGACCATTTTTGTTCCAGGGGATGGAAAACGCCTGGTAGATGCGGCTACCGACTGTGTGCGTGGTGCTGGAGATTGTGTCTCGAGAGCCAGAACAGTCTTGGAGCAGATTGGGGATTTTGAGCTGGAGAACATTGGTCTGGGGATTACCATGCCCAGCACGGAGGATATCACAACACCAACCAACCACAAAGTATTACCAGAAAGGACCGACGAGGTCGCCTCAGCCACAGTTACAAAGCCAGACGATGAACTGTCTATGCGGCCTCTGCCACTCCAAATTCCCGACGGCTCCGTTTCATCCATATCCCTGACACCTTCATCCTTCACTGACGCTTCAACTCTCCGTACCCCAACCTCCCCCTTTGATGAATCTTTTAGTTCCGCCTTCACCGCATTCACGGATTTCAGTGATTCGTTCAATTCAAATTCCGAGCATGACCTCTCTAAATCATTCCATGCATACTCGCCTACCAAATCTACCAACGATGTGCCTTGGCAGCAGGACCCAGCCATCTACATACCACTTCCCCAGGACAACGACATGGATCTTACACTCGAGCCAACTGAAACTGAGAGTACACTGGTTGCCGAAACGCCTACGCGTCCAGTTTCGCCTGCCAGTGTCACCCATAAGTCTCCTAAATCACCTAAATCCCCAATGAAGGAAGACTCTCAAACAGAAGTAGGGTCAACTTCATCCGATGGAGATGAGGACAGCCTGTTAGAGAAGACTTACGCCCACGAGCTCATGTTCAAGGATGGCCAGGTGACTGGTGGCAGCCTCCGCGCTCTGGTCGAGAAGTTAACATGTCATGAATCGACACCCGACGCACTCTTCGTTTCAACATTCTACCTCACATTCCGACATTTCACCACCCCTGTTGAGTTTGCTGAAGTCTTGATCGACCGCTACGACTACATCGGTGAGACCCCCAGAGCTGGAGGACCCGTCCGCCTCCGCGTATACAACGTCTTCAAGGGGTGGCTCGAGGCCCATTGGAGACACGATGTTGATGACATCGCTCTGCCAACGATCCTTAATTTCGCGAGGACTAAACTCCTAATCACGTTGCCTACCGCTGGTAAGCGCTTGATTGATTTGGTCGAAAAGGTTTCCTCCTTACAGGGGCCTGTGGTCCCACGTCTGATCTCCACCGTTGGAAAGACAAATACCTCCATTGCTCAATATGTCAGCCCAGACCAGCCTCTACCTCAGCCCAATATGACTAAGAGCCAGCTCAACCTCTTGAAGCAGTGGAAGAATGGTGGCGCCAATGTCAGCATCCTCGACTTTGATCCCCTTGAGATTGCCCGTCAAATCACGATCAAAGAGTCTCAGATTTTCTGCTCCATCCTCCCGGAAGAGCTTCTCTCCACCGAATGGATGAAGAAGACCGGCTCTTTGGCCGTCAATGTTCGGGCCATGTCTACTCTATCTACAGACATTGCCAACCTGGTCGCCGACTCTATCTTGCAATTGGAAGAGCCCAAGAAGCGAGCAGTGATTGTCAAGCGATGGGTCAAGATTGCCGCCAAGTGCCTTGAGCTAAACAACTATGACACCCTTATGGCCATCATTTGCTCTCTTAATTCGTCCACCATTTCTCGCCTCAAGCGTACATGGGAGATTGTCCCCGCCAAAACGAAGAACCTTTTGGAAAGCCTCCGGGAGATCGTCGATGTGTCCCGCAACTACGCAGTCCTCCGACAACGACTACAAAACCACGTACCACCATGCCTGCCATTTGTCGGAACCTACCTCACGGACCTGACCTTCGTCGATCACGGCAACCAAGATACCCGTACTCTTGCTGGCGACGAGAGCTCCATTGAAGTCATCAATTTCGACAAGCACATGAAGACCGCCAAAATCATCAGTGAGCTCCAGCGATTCCAGATCCCTTATCGACTTCGCGAGGTCCCAGAACTCCAGACATGGATACAGGACCAACTTGTCCGTGTTCGATCTGCCGGCGACAAAAGCTTCCAGCAATACTACCGTCGATCTCTCGTTTTGGAGCCAAGGGAGCGTGCAGTTACGCCCCGCGGATCTCCAACCGAACCCAGTCCCTCCCTGTTCGCTAAGGAGAATACGAAGGAAAAGTTCGACTTCTTAGCCTGGACTCATGGCTCCAAACTCAAAGTTCCAGCTGCGTGATGATGATACCTTTTGTGTTTAACTCTCATCTTCAACATCTTATGCCGTATTCCCCTGGATCTACTCCCGACCTTCCCCCTTAAACTTATGTTTTATGATTTTATGACCTTCATGATAGTACCTTTTCTCCTCTGGCTCGACTCTCCCTCTCTCCCTCCATTTCTCTACCGCCGCCGTACAAAGATCTCTTCCCATTTTTCTCCATACGGACATACTCTTTCCTCACTTACAGGAGGCTTTTCTTTATCTGCCTTTTTTATTTTTATTTTTCGTTGCTTTTTAACCTGATATCCCATACCACCTTAGTTGTCAATACGTTTATGTTTTTCCTGCAAATTCAACTGTTTATTTAAGCAATTTGCTCCACCTGTTTGTTATATACTTATGTTATCTAGAGCTGAAGGTGGTGGAAATACCCCGTTGGGCGGCTGCTTGTTTTTTCTCTTATGGCTTGTTCTTTTTTCCACACCCATGGCATCTAGGTTGTTTTTTTGTTTTATGTCTTGACGCGTCCTGTTAATCATTGGTGCGTCTATCTACATGAGGAAGCACGCGAGTGCGGTTTTCAAAATGGCGAGGTGGACCGGACCAGGGCATGTATACCCATTTCCTTACTTTTCAGCTACTTTGTGGGTCAGGGGGAAGGCAGGACACTAAGTATTTAGAAAAAGGCAGATTTAATGTTTAGTACTTATTCGATTCTCATCAAGGACCCTGTGCATTCGTGTAAATCTCTCGCTTCCTTTTCCTTTGTCGCTCTGTCTCGAGAGGCGCCGGCCGAAAGCCCCCCCCCTTTTTTTTTTTTTTGCAAACTAAACGATTTGCAGTACGTAATTCCCTCAGCATTTCAAAATAAACCGTGGCTGACATGCGAGGATGGATCTATTTCCTTCGGGCATGTGCCGACAGCGAGTTATACATGTGTCTGGCGGTGATATTATACCTCTGCATCTTAAGGCTTCGCAGGCCAACGTCGTTCGAGTCGGTCAAGGTCGCGCTAAAGATTAACCGGCTGCAGCTGCCACAGCTGCAAGATGCAGGGCAAGCGACGTCCCGGCATTCCCCTGCCACCTCCCATGTACGACCAGGCCACCCTCTGCATCTTGCACCGCATATTGCATGGCCTGTCCCCTGCCTGCCCCCGGCTCGCGCTCATGGCGGAATCCGCGGGATACTTAATCACATGACCAATCAAAGCTGCAGATTCTCATTCATTTGCATCTGGGCGGTTAAGGGGATACGGTAAGGCGACTGTGTGATGGCTCAGGGATGCGTGCAGCAACGGCCAGAAATATTCGGGGGTTGCTTTTTCCCATTCCGTATTCACAGCTTCCCGGTTGGCTTATGCTCGAAGGCGAAGCAAAAATGGCCCGTCTCAGGTGTCCTCTGCCGTGTTGAACACGGCGGGTGTTGGCTGCGGCTTCAGTGTAATTGGGAGCTCCAGTGAGATATCCCCAGATAATCACCAAGCGGGTATGTAAGGCCCAAGTTTGAGATCCAACACCTGTCACAGCCCCAAAGATCGGCCCGTACCAGTTGTCCAACTTTAAATATAGCAAAAGAAACATTTCAACACCCAAAAAGTATGAAAAATTACCAAAACTATGAATCTATACTCTGTGCAACCCGGGTATAATCATACAGGGTCAAATTTCTCTGCCCAAAAATTATATAAATAAATATATGCCATATGGTTCATGTCAAGTGGGAATCGTCCTGCCACTTGCTGAAAGCAATGACAAAGTCCGAGCAGGGTTCTGCTGGTTCGAAATCAGGATGACTTGTGCTGGTCATATGATCCAGGGATGATGATGTGCCCAATTCAGGAGGGCTGCACATTGAACCGGCAGGTTGACTTCTGGATCCCAGGCTTATTATCGGTACCATTGATGGCCTGCCATGGGCACACTGGAATGGAAAAGCACATTTTGCCAGTCGAGACACAAGGTTCTGGCATTCAGATACGGAAAGCACATCATTAAACATGATAGCTGACCGACATGAACGGGAGACTATCAGATCAACCATCTTCTTTGGACAACCGCTGATGCGCTGCAGCCAACAGTGATGGGTTTCGGCCATTCCGAGGCCGTTTTCAGTAAATCCCTGGCTTCCACACTCTTCCAGTGCTGATCTGATAGATGGTTTGGAAATCTCTGTTGGATCCCAGATCTCTGAACGAAGCATGTCAATGGCAAGCCTAGGCTCTACTCGACATCGTTCAGTTATTAGAGTTGGCAAGCCCCTCACCACAAGGGAATAATACCCCTCTGCCTCCCTTAGGACTTGATACAGGCAGCCCCAGGAAGAAAAATACCCGGAGCGTGCTTCGAATAATCTTGCTTCCTGAGCTGGTATCCTGAAGCTTATGGGTGTTGGTAGATTAGTGGTATCAACATTACCAGAGGGTGAGAGATTACAGAGTGCAGCAAACAATTCCTCCACGCGGCACCTCTCATCAGCAGCATGTTGATCAACCAGCACTAAGGCTTCCTCACCCTTTCTCCCCTCGCAAAGTAGGGAGGTCCGGAGTAAGATGAACTTCTGATCAACTTGAGCGATGACTGTTGCCTTTTTGAGGGCACATTTATTGAGCCGGCTGCCAGATCTTCCCATCAGCCCCTCCAGTGTACTACCACCTTGGAGATTCTGGCAGCCTAGACAATGGGAATCTGTGGTGACCTTTGAGGACCACTTTTCAGTGTAGCGTATATGCGATGTCGTGGATGGAATGGGAAGTTCTGGTAATGGGAACGTAGGATTCTTCCAGCTTTTGAAAAGCGAGTCAAACCAATGGGATGTTTCATTCCTTTTCTGACCCTGGTCATCATTTCCTGAGGGGTAGATAGCCGTAAGCCGTCGGACTGTGGATGGGCTATTTGGAGCTTGCTTGAGCACCTCGGGTTTGCGTGGTACTGTCTGCCCAGTGCGTTTGTTGACGTATATGGTCCTTTTCGTTAGAGGGTCCGTCCAAGACATTAGCTCATCTTGCGGCTTTATAGGACAGGGTGGTGTAGAATGCTCGTATACGGGGCCTATTTCTGTAATTGTTTCCGTGTCTGTGGTATCAGATAGTGTCTGGTCAACGCTTTCACCTCCATGTTCTGGGGCAGGTTCAGGGGTTGGAGAAGATGGGTTGATGCCGCATATACCAGTATCCCTCTTGAGTGCTGGTTGGGATTTACTTCTCGGTAAACCTGCGCAGATATCATCATAAAAACCTCCTCTTGCGCCTTTAACCCTTGACCACGATCCAAAATCCTTAAATGGGAGTGCCTTGACGTCTGACGGCTGCAGCTCCACGGGATGACCTTTCCACTTATCAAAAGTAGTAGAGTCCTTTCTTCTAGGAGACGATTCGTCATGCCGACGTTTAGCTTGGGTTGGTGCAGATTGTGGAATGCCAGGCCCAGGCAAATGGTCTTGTCTACCCCCCTTAATACCTTGCGGATGCCGGGATAAGAAATGGTATTGTTCTAAGAACTGGCGAAACAACGCCTTGATAACTCCAAGAAGTTTCTGGATGGATATTTTGGGCTGAAAGGATTCATAGCCCTGCGAATCAATGCAGCTGGTCTGAGTTGTGGAAACTTGGACGTAAAACTGTGGCCATCTATTGACACCCTTGGATTTGGTCTTTATCATATTGATAGAAGAACTTGTGGGTGCATCTGTATCCCCTACGGTAGCCATTTTAATCCCACCACTAACACCAAGAGAAGAATGCTCCAGTCCAAAGTCAGAGGACGCGAATAACTGGTTGATTTCAGAGAACAGCACATTTGCGTCTCCAAGGGGATCAACTGGGTTAATTCCAGATGAAATGAATTGTACCTGCTTCGTTGGGCCAGGTTGCAGAGATATTGCAGCCTCTACCCAGATATCGGAGCTTCGGGCTGATGCCGCAACCCATGACGAAAAATCCGAGGGAGTAATATATCCTGCATTCCCCAGAATTGAACGCACACGATCCAAATCAAAAGAATGTTGGTCTTCATCCTTTATTACCTGCCGAAGGTCAAGGGCATTCCGTCCTTTACCTCGAAAAATCTGTTTTCGTGACCTAGATGCATCAACGATGTACACCTTGACCGGCTTTTGAAATGCAAGCAAAAGTCCTGTTATCGCTCTTTTCAGGCCATCCCATTCGCGGTCAATATCTTCATTTCTGCGAAGATCCTGTATGCGGCGTTTAGCTCGGACCGGGAGATTGCTAAAAAGGTCATTTACGGCGACTCTTGTGCCATGCTGGGGGTGTAAGAGGTCATGCTGAATGGGTGCCGGACACAGCCTTGAAATAAGTTTTGAATGTCGGAATATGACTGAATTTGTTTCCTGAAATGAAATATTATGGGATGTTATTGTGACTAAGGCCATGGATATCAAAGATGAGATAAATATGCCTTTGCGACCATATACTTGGCCTGTGGTATAAAACTTTGAGGTGTCTAGTCGCTAACCATCAGCACCGGTATTAAATAAGAAGGTATCTGCGGCACATACGATGTAACTTTCCGAGGCCTCCATTTTCATGAAATTCATTTGGAGGTATCCCAATGCCGTCATCTTCCACAGTACAAGCGCCTTTCTGGAAATCAACGTTCACCATGACCGCCGATGCATTGGCATCGAGAGAATTTTTGATAAGTTCAACTATAACACTGTTGAGGCTCGTCACGATTGATGAGGACCTAATCTGCCCTGCCACATCCCGAGGAAGCATGCGGATTATCGGGACATTTGAATCCATAGTACTCCGTGTAGTATCAGGGTGATAAACCCTTCTGTCCTTCACCCACAGATCGTGCCTAATCCAAAAAGAAATTGTCCAAAAAAAATTTGCTTAGGGTAGCTGTGCTTTTCAAAAGATGATAAATCAAACGAGTGAACCGCGGGTATCAAGCACACCTAAGCATATATTCCGGTGTTTGGTTTGGTTTATGGCTGCGCCTGTAGGAAGGAACGCTCTGGAGTGGCGGTATAAATTGATGGGTTACCCTTTCTCCAAAGGAGCTAGTAGGCGAGATCGCTTTATAGGTGATTCATCGCCCTGAAATACCATGGCTGGCAGTAGAAAGTTCCTTCAATTCGTCCCGGGGCACTTTGACACCAGCCTACGTCCAGCGTGGTAGCGAAATGGCTGAGGACCCGCAAGATGAGCGTATGTCTCCAGGTATGTCACATTTCCTGAGCTGCAAGGAGACACGGCAGGGTCTGTATCCGGCGAGTTAACGTGAATATAAATATACAACAGGAAGCAGGGACAATATATGTGAATGTCTTTTTCTCTTCCTCCGTTGTTGTCGCCTCCAAAGACTGGGCCGTAGCGATATCACGTGTTCAAGTTATACTTTACGCTGACTAAGCGCGTCAGGTCCCCCCAGACGTCCCAGATCTCGAAGGTTGTTTGATAAGGAAGACCAGCAGGCAAACGAGACGACACGGGAGACACCGCATCCGCAGCGACAAAGGACCAGGATAGAGCGAGGGTGTCTGGGAGCAAACGGTGGCCCTTGCTGGTATTCATATATATATATATAAGGCTGCACCGAGGCTGCCTGCGCTGCCGTCGCTCAAGGCCAGGTCTCTCCGGGCGACATCAGGGAAACGAGGCAGAAGACATCACGACGACACTTGTTTCACCATACCAACGTTTACGAAGGAGACGGGTTAACTACCAGCTGTCTAAATATGACAAGTGCAGAATCATCACCTGGTATGCTCTAGCGGCAGACTCAAAGAGAATCTAAGCCCTTAGTTTGCGGAGAAGCTAACATGCAGCTACAGATCGCCATGCAAGACGACGACCATTCTCCCACTGGATGAAACGCCTTACCAATCTCAAGAGCTCCTCGTCTGACAGCAACCCCAACAATGCATCGAACAAGCGAAACGGAGCCAGTACGCTCACTAAAAACAGGAAGAATAACAATCCATATCTATCCGGCCCAATAGATAGAAGCTCTGGAGAACATACGAATGGCCACCTCTCCTTCTCTGAGCCGGCAAACAGCATACGACCCAGCCATTTGTCCCAGTATGATGACCCATCTCCTACGACTGGGGATAAATCCGCTGCTCCCACGCTCTCTACGACTGGCGAAACCACTGTCTCTGATGCAGGCTATTCCAAAGCCGGTACCTGTGCTACCGGCGGCAATGGCTTTAATCCTGCTGGTGGTGGAGAAGGTAGCACATTTTCATCCCCGTCGCCGTCAGTTCGCTCGCTGACGACGACTCTTACGACGATTCAATCGGCAGCTCCGTCAACGCAGCTCAACGCAGCCCAAAATGCGAATCACTATTCCGCTGGTATGGGCAACGAACACCACAGTGGATCTCACCATGCCACTACCCAACATCCAGGTGTCCAATTTACGCATCAGTTTCCTACATCACCAATTACAGCCGTTCCGCCACATCTTGCCGTGAATCCAAATCCCACGACATATTCGAGCGCCACAGCAAACAACCTGCTGACAGATAACGCTTCTGTTCTTACCCTGGCATCATCTTCCAAGCGTCGACGACGAAATTCTCTTGACACGAATGCGTCGGTTCTAGCACTTGCGCCCTCGTCTCTCTTTAGCGGCAGTCGTGAAAGCTTACCGCTTAGTATGTTGAGCGGTCATGTCGGTGGTGTTGTTGGAGTGGACCAAAGCAGCTCGTCTACACATAACGTAGCGGGTGTGCTAAACCGAGGCGGGGCTTCTAATAATGAAAGAGCCAGCGTCCATTCCATGTCTGGAATACTCGCCACAGACCGGAGCAGTGTGAGAAGCGGTATACATTCACACCACGGCCGAAACGACAGCATCACCGGAAGTATTGGGATGCAGGTTGGCAGCGCCCTCCCTGGAACATCTGGACGGGTCAGTCGCCGTGGATCCGGCTGGGGTGAGATTGTTGATTCTGAGGATACGGGTGATGAAACTCAACGTGAGGAATCCGATAAAGACGCCGACGGCAAAGAACATGCAGACGAGAAGTCAGCAGCAGAGAAAGATAAGAAAGAATGCTAGCAGCGCCACCCAGACCATTGCAATAGGTCCTGTTTACCCCTAATCCCTTACATTTTTTCTATACGTTCCACATCACTTCTTTTTCCTTTAACCTCTGTTGCATGTATACCCCTGAGTTTTTTCTCGTTATCTCTTTGTAGCCCATACTGCTTATTTTGACTTATGATTATCACCATTACTGACCCAATCACCGTTGACCACTGTTTTCAATGTTTATATGCGTACGACATTCCCCCCTGCAAGTTGGAGGTTATTTATTTTTGTTGTATTTAGATATCACCCCAGTTCTTCTCCTCTTTAGCATCCAGTTCGGCCTTGTTAATGACATATGTATTTTCCATTTGCCTTGATAGCTTACAAGTCTTCGTTGGGAATGACTTACACAGCTATATCTCCGCGCAGCTTACTTCAAAACAGCTAACCCTAGCATCTATGTGCCTTTCCCTTTCACCTTCCTTCCAACCGGATGCGGCTCGCAATATCTAATGGGATCCAGAAAGAATAAAAACAAAATGCCACAGACTAGCCAGCAAGACAGGTTCTGGATGAACAACTGACCTATTCAAGGAGTCCTGTCTCTATGCCCACGTACCCCCTGATTCATGTACTGCGCCGTTGCGAGCCTACCAAAATCACATTAGTCTGGTGTTAGTCGACCTCTGTTATTACAAGCGCCCGTCAAGGCAGCGCCATGCCCACCGTGGCATGGTCTTGATGGCTCGCAGGCCGAATAGCCGCAGCACGCTGTCCAATCCAGGCCTGACACTCCTGGGGCGATCGACGAACGGAATTTTCCTTGGTTTGTTTTTCGAGCTGAGTCTGACTCCCTGCTTCAACGACTCCTTCGCGATGTGGAGGATCACCCGAAAACGACCATAGGCTCACAGCCTCGTGTGATTATTGGTCCGTGGAGGTCGATATAACCCACACTGGGATGGTCAACTCGGGTCCATCTATTTGCTATCAATTAGTTAATACGCACCAGCTGATAAGAATGGGCGGATCATCGATGGCATTGCATAAAGCCAGCAATGCCTCGCTGATTCCCATCTACACCAAGCGTCTGCGTCAACTTCGGCTGCACTTCTTCAGCCGGCTGTTTCAAATTTCCTGTGGCCGTTTCCCTTTCATTAGCTTACCCTCTGTGCCAGTCTGGTCTTTCACGCCGTCATGGCAAGCAAGGACTTGCTGAATGGGAGCCACCGTGGTATGGTGAAGCGTATAGTTGACGCATTGGATAGGGAGGAGAAGGGCTATGGCACGGAGGCAGAGTCTCCAGTACCACAGGCAAACAGACTGGCAGATGGGCCAACAGACGTGCAAATCAATGGGCTGGTTAGCGTTCCCACCGACGACCAATTAGATGGGCAATCGAATGAGCGGGCAAATGGAACCCGGAGAACCGCTACTTCGTTAAGTCAGCCGCGTCTTTTATCGACACACTCGAAGCTCAGGACATTCAGAGTCTTGACTGGCATTGATACACCTGCAGGCCTCGCTACGGCCAGTCTAGTCCGTCGACCAGCGTCTAATGTTGGCATATATACCCGCGTCGTCAACGCTGAAGCTCGTTATAAACGGGAATACCGCTTTTTTACGCTCCTAATAAGTTGTTGCTTGGGGATACAGGTGATCGTCGCTGCAGCACTGACAGCCTTGGGCGCTGGGAACGGTCCGCGTGTTTTGGTTACTATATTCGGAGCAGTTAATACTGGTATTGCTGGGTACTTGACATATTTGAAAGGGTCTGGCCTGCCGAATAGAAAGCGCTATCACCAGTCGCAATATGCCAAGATAAGGCAGCACATTGAACAGAGAGAACGCGACTTTTGCCTGGAAAACTGTGAGCTTGACGTTCATGAGGAGATCCGGCATATTCAACACCTGTACGAAGAAGTTCAAGAAGATGTGGAGGCGAATACCCCAGAAAGCTTCTCCGGCGTAAAAAGATTCCAAGCAAATCAACCAGTTCTCCCCTTACCGACAATTAAGAATGAAAAAGATGGAATTTCAGGGAAAGAGGCACTGAACAATGGAGTCAGTATTCCTTCACCTGTATTGAAGGCAGGAGCTGCACCCTAGAGCTATACATATGCCTTGGTTTGTTTGTTATGATTACGAAGGGGGTTTTGTATATATATTATTTTGAGCGTACCGGAGATATGTATATTGTTAGGATCGTCTAGATAGGATGGATTTAACCTTATAACTTATAGCACATATGACTATCTATTTTTTATCTATTACTATCTCCAGCTGGCTTTGACTTCACTAGTTATTATCATGAGCACCGCAAAATGCTCAAGGGGCTCACGATGGCACTTAATTAATCATACAGCAGTGCCACAGAATAAGGTTTAAAGGAAAAATATGTATTCTAATTAACTTATTTGGAGCATGGAAATCGTTTCTACAGAGTACCTGAACATGGTAGTGTTGTTAAAGCTGCTCTTCGCAGTTCCCCATATTCCTAGCGAAACAGCGCGAGAGCGACACAAGGCGGTGGGCGCATATGTTGTGAGTTGGCTCACACAACAGATTGATTACCCATTATATGAACGAGTCGTGGAGGCAATTCTTCTGATGGAATCAGCCTATGGCCTCTACAACACTATTAGAACGCGGTTCCTTGAAGATATGCTGCGTTTGAATGTTCTTGATCCAGATGGACTGACAAGGGTTTATTACAGACGCCTGTCGAGATAATACAACACTGGGAGGCCTGTCATACACTGAAATGAGCGGACTTTGCAGCCATCCCGCAGTATATTGGGAGGCCGATAGCATCCTACTGCAACCTTACGCAGACGGGATATTCTGTCCGCCAATCCATGGAGTAACCAGGAGAGGTGAAAGGGGCAATAAGCCATTAACTTCTTGTTGAATAACAGTGCTCCTTAGATTGATTGATATTAGCGCCGCACATAGGATCGAGACGTAGCGCTGATGCACCTGGCAGGGTGTGCTTGAAGCTGTACTCCGTATAGAATAACATATGGCGTAGTTAATGGACGCGTGGGCGAAAGGGAATCTTTGCCTGGAGAGCGGACAGCGAAGTTTAACTATTTATAGCGACTAGCGGGCGGGTTCAGGGGGCTCGGGAAGCGGGAGATGACTAAGCAGCACCTTTAGCCACGCCCAGCAACGACCGCAGGGGCGAGCTTTCGTCACCGGGCCGCAGCTAGCAGCTAATACGTGGCAGCCTATTCTTCTGCTTCTTCAGCCTTTGGACAGACATAAGTAATGGCATTGGTAAGGACCATTGGCTGAAGAGAGTGCAAATATCATAGCCGGAAGCCTGTGTTATGCCGCGGTACCTTCCGGAAGCTACAGGGGGCAGTATAAATTCTGTGACAGTTGTCTAAACCGCCGGATACCTATGACAAAGAACATTACAGAGAGACGCGATATATGCCGCCGGAGGTCTCGAAACGCCTGTCTGCAATGTAAGAAACGTAAGGTGAAGGTATGTGTAGCCATGGGTTTATTTATCTTCGACGTCTTACGCAACCGCTTAACCACGGACCCATAGTGCGACGAACAGGCGCCATGCTGCCACAACTGCAGATATCGGCAGACAGAATGCAGCTTTCAGGCATTTACAATGCAATACCCTACGAGTATAGACAGAAGGACACTGAAACCTAGTCAAAGGACTTTGAGGCCATTTCCTGCTACTGCGGAACTCCCGATGTTCGAGGCCAAACAGCAAAACAATTTTATACCCCTAGACCCGGCGTACCAACAAGAAACTAACCCTCACTGGACCGCATCAGATTGCTCTGGAACTACTAATTATGCTCCAAACCTTGACTTGATCACCTATTCTGCGAATGTGCCGCGCCCATTAAGTTGCGCGTCTCATCTACTCCCTGAAGAGCATGAATTATTGCATCATTATGCTACAACCGTCTTTGAATCGCTAGCAGACTATGAGGCATATAGACCAATATGGCAAGTTGTTGTCCCGCGAGAAATGCAGTCTGTTAGCTTCTTGAAGCACGGGATACTAGCAATATCGGCTCTACATATACACTATCTTCGCTTTAGAGCAACTAAACAAAAGGGACTAAGTTCAGAGGAACTCTTGCACAAGGAGTTAGCCCAGAAACATTACCAAGCAGCGGTAATGGAGTTTGGGTCACTGTTTCCAGAAGACCTATCCAACACTAATGCCGCATTTGCTTTCTCACATTTGACGATTTTCTTCGCTTTCGGTTCCGCTCAGCTATCAGGTTATGGAGCTCCAAGGCCAAATGCAATTGATGATTTACTGAGCTTATTTGCCTTAACTAGGAAAGCCATGGCATTTTTGAAAATGAGATGGGAATTACTAGTAAAAGGAGACATGGGAATACTCCTTCAGCGTGGCCCTGAGATTACGAACAGAAAGTACCTACCAACAGATGCTGTTGTCGCGCTCGAATTGCTAGAAGAACTGTGCAACGAAAGGGTATCGAGTAATCGGGAAATTTCGGGTTCGTTTAACGAAAGTGACCACGATATCAAGGCCGGATATCGTCGTGCAATTGAGCAGCTATGGGACTGCTTTGTCATGTTAGAAACAAAACGGAAGGACTGGGGCATGGCCCTCCGATTTCCTATGATATTTCCTGACTCCCTTTTTCCATGCTTCAGAGCTCGGGAACCACTGGCAATGGTAATACTTGCATACTACTGTGCACTATTGCGCAGAGCACCGGTACGATGGTGGGCGGATGGCTGGAGTACACAAGTTATCCAGACAATATTCTACATCTTGCCTCAAGACTGGAGGTATGCTGTGTCCTGGCCGATGAGTACTTCCGGAATTTTGTCTTCAGAGCTACAGCTAAGAGAATAGGCATGTTTCTAACTGGAATATCTATGTCAAACCCGACTACTAGAGCATCTTCGAACTAACTGATTGACTAATAAAGATATATTTGTCAAAACGTAGAGGGTGCCTTGATTTATCGAGCGATACCTGTTACCCTATCGGTGCAAGGTAGTCAACGGAGTATATCAACAGTATCTTTATATTTGTATGAAATGTTTCCATGTAAGGCCATAGGTATTTACTATTAAGATCTATTCCTGATAAAACTTTAAGAGTTGGGGATTCTAAACCTTAATCAAAGCCTCACACAACCCAAGTCAGCGGGCTTAGTAATCAGAAGTTTCCTTCAACTACCTCGATTGTTCTTCCCATCTTTCTCTTTTACATATCTCTGATAACGTTGAAATTTACCTTCACCTGATTGGCATAACCGGGAAAGTATGGGTATTCCCACGGTGGCAGAGTACAGAAAAAGAACAGAAATACCCAAAGGAAGCCAAATAACCTGCGCCATAGCCGAATCCCAGGCTCAAACCTGCCTCTAAATTGCGGACAGTGGTGTCTTAAAAGTTGTTTAAGACCATATTCTCCAAGGGTTCCCCAGAAGTTGAATATTAAAAATAGCGAAAAATTGTATATCCTCTCCACAGATTCTGATTTATCTTTCACGCTCCAGGATACCAAGACATGAATGATAGCCGAGGCCATGAAGATAAAAAAGGCAAGGAAGACTTTTTCTCTAGGAGAACCAGGCTTGAGTCCCAGTACACGCCGCGACAAATACCGCCCCCACTCCAACTGAGAAACTGATCCAATTTTATGCCAGAAAATACCCCAGAATCTCTGCAGGCTGTACGCCTCACCTGGACTTCCCCAGAGCCATGGCCATTCGCTTGGTATATCCACCCCTAAGACTCCCACAAACAGTATCGCAAGTATTGCATGACCTATGGTAAGAAAAACGAAAGACTCCCACGCCCAATGCACGCAAAAAACTGCTCGGATTAAAACTGGATGATCTGGTTTAAAGCCAAAATAGTATCGAAAGGATACTCTCCATTTCATGGGCAACGGATAGAGAACCAGAGCAACCACGACCTCACCCGTGAGATATAGGATTCCAAGTAAAAAAACAAGGCCAACTTTTTGGAACACAAAAGTGAGTCGTTTTTGCCATGACACCGAGTTTTTTTGACCAAGTTGGCAGACCCTTAGTCTTCGTGGATTCCCCCATAATTTCAAACCGAGGTAAAGAATGTCATGATTTACTGACTGGTTTGCAACGGGTACAACCCATGGTTCGAGCAGAAGGCCGGCGCTTTGGTGGATAATTCCGATGACGCATAAAAAGGCCCAAAGCCAATCGATACCGGCAGGCAGACGATTCGACGTGATAAATCCAAGGGTAAGGCTGCCAGTCAGGAGGAGGTAATATATATTTCTTCCCAGGCCAGGTTGATGACTGAAGGCAAAGATGAAAGGGAGAACAGACACAGCAACCCAAGCTATAGGAATTAAAATGCCCAAGATCGATGTGATACCAGGAACAGATATGACAAATTTGAAAGCGGAATTCATTTTGATTTCTAGCACCAGAATTAACTGAAGCCAGGCGCTGTGGTTTGGATGTTCCCCGAGACTGAGGAACAGTGTTCTGAGTAATTGAAGAAATTTTCTGGTATATCTGTACACAGTACAAGAATTCTATCCCACCAGCCTCGACCTTAAGGCTGTTCTATTTCCATGGAATATTGCCCTGCCGTCGGAATACTCTATTTAGAAATTCCGAAGATTTCTTCTTCTTCTTCCTCTTCTTTTTTAGAGATGTTTCGCCAGGCAAGGTTACAGCCATGCTCTGGCATCTAAACACACGCCTTTTTGTTGGATGTGTCCCTACTGTCCCTATGGTTCGGTATACGCGAATAATATACTTAAGAACCGTGGAAGAGTCTGCCTCGGCTCTTTTTAACGGGTATATTACAGCTATTGCACCCAATTACACAGAACCGTGGTTGTTATGCTGATAGCTCATAGAAGGAATTTCATCCCTGGCCATGGACCAAAAATGCTCCAAACAATTGGGTGGTTCAAAAGAAACATTAGGCTTCCGTCATGTTTCACTATTAATTTCTTTGCAACCCTCTAAGACGTGCCGTGCTGGTTAATAATCCTGAATATGCCGAAGATGTTATGTGTGTACGTATATATCGGTGGACCTCATCTCTGCATCACATACGAGCAACTGATATTTGATGTTGGCGTTAGATAGCAGTTCCTACCCTTTCTTAAGATGTTGTGGCTCTATGGCTACAGGGATAAAGTAAACGTACCCGTTTATATACGTTCCTTGCTAATAACTAACCAAGACATATAACAATCTTGGCTCAACTTCTCACAACCGCCGCTTCCGCAGCAAAGTTCTGCCTAGAATATCCAATATCTAAAGAATTAGTGAATCCTCGCTGCTATGGGGAGTTCCATATAACGTTTTTTTTCTGGAGGCCGATGAGCAATGTTTCTCGTTCCTCGGATCCCATAACTGCTATTATATCACCTGGTTGTCTAACGGATGTTACCTACAATGTATTGGTATTTGCGATGATAATTGCCCACCACTCCACTGGGTTCACCGATGGATACTGAGATAGGAAGCAAGTACGAGTCATCCGGAATGCTCATGCGATACCAGGCATCTGTCTATAAAAGGGCGAGGGTATTCCCCTTCGTTTTGAGCCCATTCTTCATCCAAAGTCAGCAATCCAGAAGGAAGATACCAAACCGCCGTTTTTAATCTTCTGCAGTACCACCCCCGCAACAATTTTTCTTGAATTTTCACAATGAAGGCTGCTTCTGCTCTTGCTACTCTTGCCCTTCTTGCTGTGGCCCCTCAGCCCACGCAGGCTGCTTTCCCAGGTTTTACCATCATTGCTGCCGGCCTTATTGGGATTATTGGTAGAGCCCTTGGTACCGCTATTCAAGGTGCTCGAGTTGCCGCTACCTTTGATGCCACCGCGCTCCCGCCAGGCGTTCCACAGTTCGAATATGAACGTTGTCGTAACGATATCAAGGGCCGAACAATTGAGATTAATACAAACTACCAGAACCGTAAGTATACACATCACCCCGCCCACCCCTCCCTTCGGCCCTTCTATTTTTTTCATTCGATGGAGAGCTAAAAGATATCATTAGACCTTGAGGTTAAAGGCCTCCTGGCCACCTGCATGAATCTTGCCAATGTCATGGCTGGCGATGGCACTCAGGGGCCCTACGCACTTCCATGTGGCTCGGACTGCCTGTTCTACGATGCCATTACCCCTGCTCAAATTGAGGAGTTCAGACACAGCCTTGGCTTGTAGTTAAACTTCAAAAGCAGCATTCCACCACAGACTTATTGTTTTGAGCTTTTTCCTATTATCAAAGACTTCACTCCTTTCTAGATGTCATATATCTTGCAATTCCCTAACTGATCCTTTCGTTCACATGTCTCCCTCTGGAGAGCCCTATGATTTTACATCTCGTTTAAACTTAACCATTCTAAATCATTCTACCTTCACTGTTGTTAGTTTCTCTTGTATCACACCGTCCATTAGACGTATTTTAGCAGCCAAGTGGCAATAAACTACTTCCGAAGAAATCAGTCCCATCAACAAACAAAATCGAGTAAAATCAAGTTAAAGAACTAGGAACTGAGTTAACAGTTAACTACCTAATAATTCACTCATAGCGCTCGTATACCAGCAAGAGGCCAGTACAACAGACGAATTGACACAGAAGCTGGATAGAATAACTATAGTTTGCATTGTTACAAACCCCAACCGGTTCCATAGGGAAACTCGTTGGTACGTGTTTGAAGAATACGCTTGACTAGGGTTAAGCTCAGTCAACGAACACAAGGCATGAATATTGTTGGAAGGTCAAGGAATGCGTTACATACCTCCGTCCCAGCCCACTGGCTCTATGTTGGAATTAGCAATTTCTCTCCAGATCCGTAAACACCAGACCCCAACTAGGGCATCCCGTTGGTTCTGAGGCATGCTTTTAACTATGTCCAAACGAAAAATACCATCGTCAATCGTGTCATACGCTAAAATGTGAGCCCCATTTCCAGCCTCATGCCATTCGAGCCGTCCTTTACCCTGTGTTTTCGCAGTAAAAACAATATCTTTAGCTTCCAGGTCAGAGCCGGGGCAGGGTATTGTCGCCTTCCAAGCCTGATATCCTGAAGAGAGAATGTGGTGATATCTTTTCAACCCGACATAGCCTAAACTTCCATGGGAGGCAGGCTCCAGGTGGTATTCAAACGATGGTGTAGTAACGGTTGGAGGCCGGGTCAAGTTGAAGATATGCCTTTCTCGGGCGCTCACTTCTGGAGAGCCCGTGGTATTGCGATTGTGGATGCGATTCTCGAAGCGAGACAGCTCAACTTTCGTGTTGTTCTTGCGTAAAAAGCTAATATCAAGGGAGAGTTTATATAGAGGAGTAGAGCAAGAGACCGGCCTAGATGTGCCATGTATGGCGTCGCCGGCAAGGAGAAGAGTTTCTGGAGGCAGTTGGTCGTCTTTCGAGGGATTCTGTGTGTATGAAGGGAGATTGCCGTCGGCATCGGTGGGCAAATTTCGGTCTTCCTGTGCCTTAAGTCCTTCTGGTTTGGGTGTCGTAGCCATTATATTTAGAGAACCTCCTAGGTCAGACTTAGCACCGTTATTCATAGCATGTATGGCATCAAACCTGTGTGGAACCTGAGACGTCCGCTCCAGAAACTGAGATATTTGTATACTGCTGGGTAGGTAGAGGCTGACATATAGATGCCTTTGTATTTCTGAGCACAGCCCTGTCTTGCTACATGTATTGATATCCCAGTGGATCATTGATGGAGTCGGTTATAAACACCGAGTATGAACTCCGCTAACTAAGCCACACACATTACCGGTGCCAACAGAAAACGCAGAGACCGGAGGGGAGCGGAACGGGGCACTTCCGCCCAAGAAGTGGAACCGCAGCTGAACTATGGACAAGGTCCCGGGCGGATCCTTGGCTGGATTCCTTGGCAATTGACGGAGTAAACAGCGAAGAGTTTTCTAGTTGCATGATATGTGGACACCTGGTGGCATTGATTTAAGAGCAATTTGATATTGAAAGCAGAGAAGGGGGCTATTTAGGGAGCATTCTGGTGCTGAGAGAGAGGCTGCGTGCAATAATTAACCAAACATGAGTGTGGGGCGAGCGGGAGACAGACCAGCAATGAAGGCGGGGTCACCTAGTATATGTATGAGAGAACCACTAAAACGTAGCATTCCCATCATGCAAGGCCTCTGGTTGCGATGGCATGTCTTGCATAGATGGATTCGGCGAAGCTTTGACACAAGTTCATCGGCTCACATCCCCGTTGTTCGTTTGATCTCCTTCCTTCTGACTGCATTTTCAAGTTTTCAGACCCCTTCAGTGCTATCTTACCTCGTACCAGGGTTGAAATCACGCCCGGATGGATGACATTCAAGGTCACCATGAGAATAAACATTAGCGTGGCATCGAATATATATAGATAATATTCCTGCTTCAGTAATGTCCCATTTGTTCCTTGAGCAAATTCAGCAACTCTAAAGATGGAGCGTATCATGACAAGGGTGGAGACGACATAAAGGCTGTACAGATATTTTCGCCACGAGAAATGAAGTGATAACGACGCTGTTGTCGGATGGGTCCTCATTCGAAGGTGAATAATGACGGACACAACGATGAAGAAGCCGAAAAACAGAATCTGAATTATCAGACCAACTACGACGATTTTTTCGCCGAGCGATAGATTTGAAGGCTTGCCGCTTGCCATAATTCCACCACCTGCATAGGAAGCGTCAGTTCGTAGATATCACACATATATAACGTCTCGTTACGATATCGCCCCTACCAAGTCCCTGGACAACAAATGATAATATATCACCCGTAACGAAAATCTTGGTCATCCAAGAGCGCCGAACAATAGAATGATGTTCCGCTCCTAGTAGGATGATAAGTCGACCCAGCTGCATATAGATTGAAGCAGCAAACAATGCAGGGGCCAGAAGGAGGAAGAGGTTCTGAATGATGTATGGCGTGTCCGTAAATAGAGGTGCCTCAGTGCTGGAAATAATTCGGCCTCCAAATCCAACTATCTCGACTGTAAGAGGAAGAAACCAAGCCGGTCAGCACATCCCGAGTCAGTGTCCTCGAACAGGTATGGATTGGAATACTAACATATACCACCAATGAACAGAGGAATAAAAAACAAAACACGACCTCTGATAATTTGAAATAAATGGATAACGGAGGATATCAAAAACAACACAATGAAGGTGATAGCAGCAGCTTTTGAAGGGGTGTACTTGTAGAAATCATGAAACTCCTCGTCAGCCATGATGAAGGAATCTAGGGAAAAGGATATTTCTAAGACAGATGAAATGCGAGGTAGTAATCTAATGTTCTCGAAAAGTAATAAAGTAGGTACATAGAACATCAGGTCTGCCACAGTATATATAGTAACTACTACATAGTTTGTAGTAGTTCCTTGCCGCCTGGAATGCCATGGTCAACTGCGGCTGTATGGTGTATCCGAAGGCAGAGAGAGTCGCAACGCACACGCGTCCCGAGGACGCAATCCTTGAAACTTGAAAAGGTCATTTCCGAATTCGAGCTGTATCCAGGCCAAACAACAGCCAAATAGCTAGGTATCCTGTAAGTTGTTGGCTGGAAAAGGGAAGAAGAAGGAGAAACACGAATAGACTTTAAGCTCAGCAAGGCTTGGCATCGTATTCGGAAACTAAACCTAATATGGAATAGTCCACAGAATGCTTATATTGCCAAGCCCATCCTGTGGGTGCTGCGATAATCGAGATTGAATCCTATAGATAGAAGCTGATAGCTGAGGAAGTGTTTTGAGAAGCGTGGCTGAGGCACAGCTCTGCTACGGGTTATACAGGTGCTGATAAATGTTTGCCATTAAGCCAAACACCATTAAATCCCTCGGAAACTAAGCCTAAACAGACAATAGGAGCAACGCCATTCAGAGTCAGGTTAATTCATGAAAGTAATTAGGATTATAATTATTATAGACAGTAGGTGAAGATGTCTCCGTCCGTTCCCCCGTTCCAATACAAGCCCCAACCACCCGCAAATACTGAAATTAGTTCCTATCAGTTCATTGGAAATGCAGCAATATGTAGTGATAGATCGAGAAATATTTCGAGGGGAAAAAAAAAAAAAAAACCAAAGCGAAGACAAAGGGGAATATTATAGACACCGCTTTAGGACGCCAAAAGCTCCATAAAATGATGTCTGTCATGTAGGCGATGAGCGGAATGAATTAAGAAAATCCAAAGATAGGGAACATGGCGAGTTATGAGATAAGGGGAAATGCGAGGGGAAATGAATTAGCTGGCAGAATATGTCTTTTTTGTCCTTTTTGATTTTTCGTTAGGTGTAACGCACTGGGCGAAGAAGAAATCTATGACGGGTATTGAGTTAAAAATGGGTATGCGCTTGCTCTTTTTTTAGGACATATCGCCATTGATATCGTTTGAAAGTCGGAATTAAAAAAAAAAAAAATTGCTGAATAAATGATGCTCACTGACTTGGGTGGGAAGGTCTCGGAATAAAAACGTGGGAAGAAAGGAAGAGAAAGGGAAGGAGGGGAGTTGGTTGTGGGGTGTGGGTGCGTGAGTATTTTAATTACTGCCAACGGGCTTTCGTCTTGCATTATTAACAGTCGAAGAGATTCGAGGGGCACCTTGAATCATTCGTGGCTCTTTCATAAAATTCGGGTCCAATTTTGCCGGCACTGGAACTAGAGTAAGTAATGCTGCTCAAAATCCGGGGAAAGGGTATAAACTGATGACATGGCGAAGATATACTAACCTCGAGTGACGACAGACTTCCAATCCAGGGAGGTTGGTATCTCCTTCCGTGTGGTTGGTGAAAAGGAGGAGGCACTTGCTGAACGCCAGAGATGATTGGAAGTATCGCTCAAAAAATCAGTAGTCATTCGTCCGGAAAAGAAAGTCGAGCGACCACGGTTGCGCTTAGATAGCACAATTTCGTCGAACAAGATGATTCGTGGGTCCTTTGACTTTTGCTTCGCGCGTTCCCGTTCGCTGATAAATTCGTTGAAGCCTACAGGGAAATTAGTAATAACGCCCAAACTCTCTTAGGTTTGACTTGATACATGCCTTGAGTTTGCTGCAGGACCGTCATGTACGCTGCATGTTCGTGTGGTAAACTCTTGAGGAAAGCTTCCATTTGGAAATCATAAGTGAGGCCGTTCTTCTTCTTGTCTCCAGTGGCAGGTCGGAGGAATTTCTTGTAGGTATACAGTAAACTCGCAAAGCATCGTACGAAGGCAGCACGGATCTGATCTGGATGGAATGCAACAGGGCACACCAGACAAATCTGTCCAGCACAGCGGTGGTGTACAATGGTTGTGCAACCGGTGCACCTATAGGTTGCCTCGTCTGCTCTTTCATCACAAATGTCACATGTCGATCTTTCATCCACAGGCCGCAATAATTGCAAACAATGACCTTCTATCATGGTGGATCCAGCTGGGCTCCGTATAGGTTGGAAATGTTGAGGCATTATTGTTGAGGCAGCGATTGTGGATTGTGCATATATCGACGGTGCATATACGGAAGTTCCCGCATCCGTATTTAATGTAGTTACCGAGAGATTTGAGGAATGACCGAGGAAAGGAACGCTGGGCCTCCTGGGTATCTGTCGTCGATCGATGGCTAGTGACGAACTCCTGCGGGAAGCCTGGTCAAAGTGGCCCGATCGCTTTTCACGAAGGGATGCCTGCAATGCAAACCCGGAATCGTTCCGAGAGATTGGAGTAGATGGGTGCGGGAATTTAATAGAGGTTGGCGAGGCGGTTCTGGGTGAGGACGGGTTACTGTTCTTTGAGGTAGAGCTGGTAGAGGGCCGCTCATTGCCTCTTGAAAGGGAAGCGTCGCCTTTAGAGCACAGGAAGGTATTGTAGATAGGAGCAGGGTTAACGGATGATTGCTGTCCAAAAGATGCAGAGTTTAAAGCAACGAATTTCGGTAAGTTTGTAGATGGCGCCTTTGGAGAGTATATTGATGGGATCTCTGCGGGGACACAATCGTACGGGAAGGTCTCCATGGCATATGCAGGTGGCCCAGCACTGACACCGTAGCGATGGTGAAGAGGAGCAGCAGCTTGCAGCAAGGATTGGAGTTTTCGGCGTTGATGGCGAGGGAGAGGAGTAGGACGAGATGTGCTTTCGATGAGATCCTGGTCGAGATCAACGAGAACAAAGTCGTCTGCAGGAAATTCGATATTTTCATATCGTCTTTCGATGCCGACGATATAAGGGCAGGGTGCTTCGATAGCTTGGATAAGCCGAGCCGGAAGAATGGGTATAAAAACGCCAGTCCACTGGAAAGGGAATAGGAGTTCTATCAGTGCTTTACTTGCGAGATTTAACATAGAGATGTAGGATGATAGGAATATTATTCTCGATTCGGCGAGAGCATACTAGGGGATTGTTAGCCACTTGCAACTGTTATAAAACGTAATGAGGATGGGGAAAAAAAGAAACATACCTCGAATAATATGATAATGTTTGAGACTGAGAGAGCGCGGAATAGGGGGTATAAATCAGTCTATTTAACGAGGGTCAGTTAGCATGTATATTTTCGTAGAATAGTCAAAAAAACGGATCGACCTCTGACTGACATTTCGAGATCCGGGGAGTTCGTTAAGAGCCTCCTTTCTAGCAAAGAGCCGCAACTCGCGGATTGAGAGTTCCACCTGTGTTTTGGAAGATATGGGGCTGAAGGCCTCCATGCACAGGTTTACCACGTATCTCTCGAGGGGCTGCCATCTGCCTACCCTGGGAGAAGTCGGAGGAACCCTCAAGATAGCGCCGTCCATCATGGGTACTGTGACGGCTTTGAGCCACTCTTTCCAAAAGGTCACCATGGAGGCATCCTTTCCAAGAATTCCGTAAGCCCGAGGTATCCAAAATCCGGTATCTCCGTCGGTTAACCCGTCGATCTTGGAGGCGGCACCGTGGCGAACGGGGCGCAAAAGGTCAGCCATCAATCCAATCTTCTCCTCAACGGCGCTTATTTCATCCTCAAGGTTCTCTCGGGAAGCAGACCCAGAGGGGACAGTAGGGAGCTGAGCGAGCAGCCGAGAAAGCTTAGCACGTTCAAGGCCGAGCCGTTCGCCTAGGCTGGCGGCGAGCTCTCTCTCCTCGTTAGTCATGTTATCTCTTCTCCATTCCTCGCATCTCTTCTCCAGCTCGTCTGCGGCATTATGGTTCAAGGGAATCCACACGGTCACACAGACCCCGTGGAGCTTAGACCCATCACCACCGGTCATTGCAAAGCCATGCCAGGTTGACCTCGGCCGCTGGTCAGAAGAGACGATGTTTATGTCGTTGGGGAAGGCGAACATGGGGATGTAGTCTGGGAACTTCCCTCTCCGTTGGTTTTCGTTGGGGGCACCCTTGGGTGGGTATCTGTCGAGAAGGACTGGTTCGAATTTCCGTTTCAGCGGGTGCATGTTTGCAGGCATCTCGAGCGGCTGGGGTACTGGAATGACTGAATTGTAGTTGCTTAGGCGTCTGGATGTTCGAACCGAAGCTAGAAGTAACCAATGTTAGCCGTACGTAGTAGAAAAAAAAAAAAAAAAATAGGACCTGGTGAGCAAAAAGGAAAGGAAAAGGGGGAGAGGGTGAGGGAGACGAACATTGCCGTGCAATGGAGGGCTGTCTTTTCATGCTGCTCATGTCTCTAAAGGACATGTGCCTTCGGACGGTCCCAATGCTGGACTTTAACGAATTGACATCTTCGGCGACGATCTTCTGTGTCCTCGGTCGAGGCTTGGGTCTGTTTGGCACAACGGCCCCGGCACTGAGAGTCAGGTCCGTCAAGAAGGAGTCTCGCTCGGAGGCGAACTTGCGAAGGGCGTCGTCGAAGTCAGCCTCGCTGAGAAACGAGCTCCCCGTGCTGTTTCCGTTCGTGCTGGAAGCAGCTTTGATGGTCAGACTGCTCCTGTTGCTATGGGGCTCTGCGGCGCTCGAGGAAGCCGGCTCAAAGGTCGAGGATCGGAAGGAGAGCCGCGCCTCGTCGGCGGTCTTGGGGAACTGGACGGAGTTTCTGTTCGAGACGGCCGGCGAGGTGCCTGTCGACAGGCTCTCCTCCTCGACCTCTGCGTCTGCGTCCTCCTCGATGGTATCTGTGACCGGCGGCGCAGGCGACCGGGACGCCTTGTACTCCTCCCCGAGCTTCGAGTATATGTCCAGGATCTCTGAGCCGTCGACGCCGGCTATCCAGAAGAACTCGGCCAGTGGAGCAGACGCGGGCGTGTCGACTGTGAGCGCGGGAGCCATCGCGGGAGGATTTCAGGGGCTCCTGGGGGCGTATGTAGGTATGTATGTATGTATGTATGTAGGTATGTATGTGCGTATGTATGTGCGTGTGTGTGCGAGTTGAAGTGTTGTAGATGGCGGCCCTGGGAGGCAAGATCCGGGAGTCGCTGTCAGGCCAACGCTCCCTGGCGCATGAGCAGCGATCGGGCGGCAGGCTCCTGGTATCCCGCTGGTCGACCGACGAGAGGCAGCTGTCGCCCTGCAGAGCGAGTGTCTGGCCAGAGAGCAGGCCGAGGACTGGCTGGCGAGCGGGCGCTTGGAGCTGCGAAGGCGACGAGGCAGAGCTTTTTCGTGCCTGCGAGCAGGACGAGCCGAACTGAGCAGGGCGATCGAGGCAGAGACAGCGGCAGGGACAGGGACAGAGACAGAGACGACAGAGACAGAGACAGAGACAGCCAGCCGCAGTAGAAGCAGGCGACCGCAGACGATCCGATGAAGCTGTTTACGACTGTCCCGTTCGACCGGCGAGGACGCTCTGGCAGCGAAGAGGGAGAAGGGGGGACGAGGACGGGAGGCGGAGGGCCAGCGAGCTGGGGTTGAGCCGTCTGCGTCAACAGTCTACTTGAAACCCGCCAGCATGCATGGGCTAGCCGTTTGACAGGCGACGAGGGAGAAGGAGATGGAAGGCGAAGAAGAGGGCGAAGAAGAGAACGACGAAGAGAACGACGAAGAAGATAGTTAATGACGAAGACGAAGGTGAGGACGATCTCGGGCAAATCGACGACCCCCCAGAGCAACGCGCGGGATCGATAGGACGGCGGATATTATGGACAGGGAGATCTTCCCTCCAGGCGTGCCAAAACTAATAGTGCCTGCTATATATATATATATATACTTATATATATACTTATATATGCTTACAGGCAGATATACATCGAGACGTCGAGATATCGAGATATCGCCCTGCCTCAGCGTGTCTACGGGGCTGGCTCGAGCAGCAGCAGCAGGAGTGAAAGCCCGACAGACAGTCACAGGCCACCCTGTTTTTGGGCGGATGAAATCTCCATCGACGGCCGAGGATGTGGAGAGCACCGCGATGATGCGCATAAGCTACATACTGGGGTTACTATGAGACCCTCTGCCTGGCTGCTGGGTGGTTGGTGATGATATCGCTGGGACGGGACCAAACCTCGATGTCCACCCACAAGGCCGGCGGCGTCATAACTATCATCGTTATCATTGCTACGGAGTCGTTAACTGGCTGCTCGGGCGACCTATGACATGGCCTGTCTGTTTCCAAAGCCGCATGTTCCTGTTTGTTTAATCCATCATCATCGGCATCGCATCGACCGACCCCAAAACGGCGGAAGATTTCCCCCTTGGGGCCCCCTTAATATTTCAACTACTGGGATTGCGAGGCCTGGGACTGCCAGTCATCGCCTTTCGAGACAGCCGGCCGTCTTCTGCTTCGAGAGAGAGACACACACACAGAGAGACAGAGCAGAGAGAGAAAGCTGAGAGGGACGAAAGTGACGATGAAGAACTCAACCTGCACCCACCCCTCAAGTGGAGAGCGTTCAGGGGATATACGGCCGATCTACAGGGATCGAGGATTACAACCGGTCAGCAGCAAAGAATACGACGCCTTTCCCCAGGCCGGCAGGGGCACTGATTGGCTTCACGGTTCCACGAACTGCTCCAGCAGGCAGGCCCAAAGTTCATGTCCACCACCGCAAAGGGGGAGCGGGAGATAGCTTTTCTTGGGTCGAAGAAGATCAAGAGCCACCCATTTCTCCAGAGGGGGCTCAGTGGCGTTTTCCGGGCGGACTACGTGTACCGTTCACCCTCTCTCTCCTTTTCGTCAAATCATCAACAAGGACAATTTTTGGGGGATTTACCTCAATATATGCTCCGTATTCCGTCCATGGATGCCGGCGCTTGCTTTTTCGCGCAGACGATCTCCTCCCTCCCACTCGGAAATTCCCCTTCCACATCCACATGGTCCGTTCTTCGGTCTGCATCCGGATTCCACCCCTTTTTTTTTTCGGGCTTTCTTTCATACTCCGTACTTCTCCCTTTTTATTTTAATTTTTATTGGCGAGCTGCAGAGAATTCATGATAATCTTGCGGGATCAACGGTTCCAGTTTGTTACTCGAGTCCGGTTTGGTTGCGAATAGGGCTTTTTCCTGCTGCGTTGGACAGACGAGAGTCGGTGTGTACCAGGGAGCCTGCGTCCTGAACCAGACCACACGCGATGGCCTGGAACATCTGCTGCATGCCAAACGGTTTTTCGTTTGCTTGATTCTCGACTCCTTTCGGCCCTTTCAAACTCTCGCCACCCGCAGAAGCTAAGTTTGGGTGTGGCCAAAATTTTGAGCAACCTGAAGGCCCAACAGATAACAGATTTAGCTATCCAGAGGTCCAGCAGTCCATGCCGGCGGCCATAAAAAGGCCGAATAAGTGCCGTGATTTCGGCGTATGAATAATAACATCTAAGAGAGAGCATTCCAACTGCTTCTTCTGCCCCTGGCTGCGTCACCATATGCATGTTGTGTTCCTGCATATCGCTTCAAGCAGGGCATGAGGACACATGCAAGTATGTAAATGCGTTAGACAGGCGTTGAATGTCTTACTTTTTCTTCGCCGCCAGCTTCAAACTAGCTACAGGGCTGCTCCTTGCTGCCTGAAGCATGCGTCGCCTTCCGAGCTCGATCCCCGACATTCTCCCAACCTAATATCTATCTTTCCTCGTAAAATATAGATACACATCGAAACAAATTGCTGAGCCCTTGTGACACCCCGTCCTCTCCTTAGTTAAACTCACCGAGCTTAGCTTGAATACGTACCTGGGAAAGGGCTAGATGCAAGCTATATTTACATAAAACAGGAGAGAAGCTCTCTAGTTTGAAACTTTGGCCATGGCTCGCCAAGGGCTGGGAACAAGGGGGGGGGGGATCGCTTTCTCGCCTGAGATTGATTAACCGCCTGCCCTAAGACGCTTGAGATTCCGTCTTCCAGAATATCGGGAGCGGGATTGCTCGTTGAACGGCGATATTCCTTGCTGAACTAATTACTTACTTGTACGTGATTGTTTGCCGGGGCCTCAGTTAAATCTGTTCGGGTGCGGGTGGCTTGCTGAAAGATGATCGGCCAGAGAATCCATGTCTCGCATCTCGATATCTTCCCCAAGCAAGCTAAGATCGAGCTAAAGTAGCTAAGTAGCTAGTTAATTGCTCCATCCCACGTATCGGCATAAGCAGTGTTAGATACGGATCCTCCCCCTCCATTTCCAGAGCGGCAACGTCAATGTCCTTTACGGGGTAAGTTAGAGGCAAGTTTCAACTCGCTGAAATTAACTAGTTATCTATCTCATCAAATTCGTTATCGGGTGATTCGTAAGATAGGGGGGAAGACACAGGCACCACTAAGTATGCGACTCAACCACCTACCCTCGAGCCTGGGATGATACCACGGTTAACACCCCCTTTGCATGGCGAACTTGGTTGGCTCCCCCCTGGTTGAGATGTGCTGGAATGCCACGTAGGAACCGACATCCCTCCTCTTCCATCGATAAGCGCTCAGGTACGAACCAGCCCTGATGCACGGTTGCTGGGTTCATCCGCGCCCCCCGAAAAAAAATCGAAGAGGGCAGTCAGCCCGATGCAAGCATCTACCCATGTAACGGCATTCCTTTGCATGCCAACACATATCGACCAGGGCCCGGTTATTATGGCCAGGGAACAGGAGGGGGAATGTGTATAAGCATTTACCTATGCTCTCCGTTTCGTCATCAAATTTCCTGTCGTCAGGTACCCCTTCTCTCCCATCGCGCTCCGCCACTGTATAGACAGCTGACCAAGGGCTGTGCGACCGTCTCGACTAATGTCTTTCTGCGTCGCTTCAAGACCTTCCTGCTGCCCTTCTTCCTGCTCAACCAGAAATGCAATCTGTACCACGTCTCTTGGTGCCAGCGTGGGAGCTATTCTCTTTTGATCTCCATCCTTCTCATAGAAATCCCAATTTAACGACGTTGATTTGAATGGGGGCTTAGAATTAAGCGTTGGGACCTATCTATTGGTTAACTCTCATCTTCTTCATATCCGTAAAAAAATATAGTAAAAGGATTAAAGGAAGCATGCACGTTTGTGCAACTGAAGCTCTTACCCCTAGAACAATCATTCCGTCTCCAACATTCTCAAGCTGTGCTTCCAACGCAAAACGAAGTAATCGTGTTTTTCCAAATGGTCCACCTGAACGGCCCTCTATTTCACGCGGAGCTAGCTCAGTAGCCTTGGTCCTTACACTTAGACACGGCTGGGCAACAAACTGATAAAGCTTCCTGAATGTTCGCGCCCTACCCCCCGAAGCCTGAAACCCGCTTGGTGCGTCTTTGTTGGGAGCCATCATCGTTTCAGTGTAATTCACGCTCACTGCCAACACATGGTTGCCCTCCTCCTTAAGGTCAAAGTGAATTATCTTCTGTACGGAGGCAGCAGTGGATGTACCGGTCGACTTTGTAGGCTCTTCATCTGCTGGGAGGAGCTCCAGTGGGATCGTCTGAGAGGGCGTTTGCATATCCGCCTGTATTCTGACGGAGGTCACGACCCGCGAGTTCCCGCCAAGCGCTTCATTGTTGGCAGATAGCGAGCACGCAAACGTCTCACCAACATATGCAGATCCAAACGATGGTGGTAAGGTGAGCTATTTTATGACAAGCATCTTGGATCAGTTTCATGAAAATTATAGGGAGGGGTCTCCAAAACCCACATTTGGGCTGAATATGAATTGCGAATCTGAGGTAGTTGAAGGATAGCTGAGAGATGCGATTTTTGAGAATTGTGCGTCGGATACTGGAATAGGATGTTGCAGCGAGAGAGAAGGCCGCGAAAGCCTGTGGTCCAAAGCATTAGTTGCTGATTCTTGTCAACCTGTGGCTTCGCACTCACCGTAAGACTAGAACAGCTGTCAATCTAGATAGTCATACCAAGAGAGGAGAAGAGGCAGCTTAGTTACCTTTCAACGAGATGGAGTGAGGCTCCTTATGCGCATCAGCGCCGGAGACGGCTCGTGGCCGCGACATGGGTGGTGGCTATACAGCTCGGTCATCAACCTCGAGCTTTCAAGATGTTCTGTGATGTCTCTTTTGGCTTTCAAGCTGGCCGCCGATAAGATAAGATCCTAGTCCGGATTCAGTCTAGCGCGCGGAAGCTCCAATTAAGCTCGAATAACACAAGAAAGGAGAAGATCAAAGAGAACATCGAAGCATTTTCCGATGATAATTTGGAGTAGAGGCCGTGATGTTTGCTGAGAGACTCCAATTCACGCTATGGGTACTACCGAAGGAGTTCAAGATCATATAGATAACCAGGGTCTTTTATCTTGGTGTACGATCAACCTTCAGGTTGGCGCGTCCTTGGCTAGAGCTGCTTTTCATAGTGTCGCCAGACTTCTGCCGGCCGTTATTGGTTATGCTCTATATGCTTTATATGCCAGACTTGAGTACATTAGACAGATAGATAGAAAGCATACCTGAGGACGCGGTGTTGGTATTGCTGACTTCCCTCTTCCTAACAATTGATCGCTGTCCCAAGAATTGGGCGTTGATCTCAGTCAGGTGCTGCCTAGACCGGATCAACTATGATCCAACCTGCTATGACTGCTGGGCTCCATACCTAATGCACCTAAAATTAATACCCAGACAAAAGGCATACTATCCAGCTGCAAGTATCGAATCTCGTTGAGGAAGTCTCTCTTCTATAAGCGGTCTACCAACATCTTATAGCTGTACCCGGCTCCCTTTTTATAACTGAAGGAGAAGAGGGAACATCAGCTTCAGCAATTTGTTCTCTTCTTAGCACCTACGACGACCTGTACTGTTAGATACCACTATGCTCTAGCCAGCACCATGAAAAGGAAGAGACAGGCGGACACAACTAGTGACCAGCCTGGTCCTGCTCGGCGGGCTCGAAAAATCCAGGCTGTGCCAAGGGGTGCAGGTGTCATCGAAGGCACTGGCGAAGCAGCATCTCAAGCTATATCAAAGTCACCAAATAAACCGAAAAAAGCGCCTCGTCAAAAGGACGAAGAGCGTAGGCTCCGTGCGTTTAGGTCCAAACCACCGCAGACCTACTTGGTCAAGTTAGACCGAGCAAGGACCCAAAGGTTAATAGCCACAAGATTATCCAGAACAAGCTCCCTACTGCATAACTAGCAGCATCCTAACATGTTGAATAGATTATTTGTCCTTAGGAGGACAAGAGGAGGAACCGAAGAAGTCCCAGAGGAGTATATTGACATTGCCGGCTCAACCGGCAATATATACCAAGTTGTCATCGGGAAAGAGCCATCTTGCACCTGTCCTGATGCAAAGAAAGGCAACCAATGCAAACATGTCGTATATGTAGGGTCCATGCTCCAAGAGAATCCTTACATCTTCAAATCTCTCTCCTAAGGAAATATCCTAAATGTCGTCTCAGGTCCTATATCATGTCCTCCGAGCCCATGAACATCTCCGCTACCAGCTCGCGTTTCTATCATCGGTATGAAAATTCGTTTACATCGAGCATGAAACCAAAACAAATACTTATCGAATTAATTCATCCACTAGGAGTTACGCGAAATTTTCGAGAATGCGCCGCAAAATCCTGCAGAGGCCGCTTCTACAGGCAACACTAAGGGGATCCGCAAAGAAATTGACGGGGACTGTCCGATTTGCTTCATGCCGCTTGAAGCTGAAAATGAATCTATAGTGTGGTGTAAAGCAGCTTGTGGTAATAATGTTCACCAGACTTGTTTTCAGCAATGGGTTTCCAGTCAGAGGGGAAAAGAGATCCGATGTGTTTACTGGTATGATGCTGCCCATATATCTCTACTACGTTATATTCTGTATCTATCGTCATTCTAACTGTCTTATTCCAGTCGAACTCCTTGGGAAGCAAACGATGTTCCTGCCTTGGAAAACTTGCTAGAAACCGGTCAAGTTAATAGTGAAGGTTACCTTAATGTTGGTGCGAGCCTGGGGTTGAGCTGCCTACGGGGTATGAACACATCTTTGTATACCATTTCCTTCCCTAGCACTGCGCTTATGTTTGAAGCTGCATATATTCCTCATAAATTAACTAACCTTAACTACAGATTGTTCTACATATCATCAGCCCTTGGGTTACCGACGGCGATATCGCTAGCTCTGGCATAATGTGCTTCTCTCGTGGACTTGTGCCCGGGCCAGGTGTAAACTATCAAAGTATAATTTGTGCCTCTGGAAGCGCGTTGGATTGACATACCCTACTATTCGCACCTTCAGGTTTAATATATATAATTAAAGTCCGATTTTCCATTCGTACTGTAATGTGCTGAGGACACAAATATATACAACTAAATAAAGAAAGAACAGCACTTGGTAACGTCCCTATCATGTCCTAGCGAGTAAATTATGGTGTCACTGTTACACCTCCCTTAATTACAGCGCTACTAACGCCCTCTTCACCTGTCATCCATGACGGCATACGGTTAGGGTCAATCACACCCAGTTCTGCCAGCTTTCGTAGGCCTGCTACGACATCCGAGCCCGAAAATGTGAGTGAGACCACTGTTTGATGAGGAGATGAGCCCGGCTCTAGTGTTGGAGAATCTTGAAGTTGTATCTCGAGGCGATCCAGAGCTGGATTTGGAGTTATTTGCGGTAGGGATTGGTCAGTGGCAGTTGCTAGGGTAGTTTCGTTTTGGTCGGGAAGTGGCTGAGGCGTTAGGCTGAAAGATGGCAAGGCACGATTTGGGTCCCCAGAGGTACCGAACCGGGACATTATAGCTTGTTTTCGTTTCTTTAGTGATTGGGAATCAGCTCTTGGCTCGTTAACTGGCCGCTTCTGCCTCTTCGTGGGAGAATGGCCGAGGTTTTCCTTGTCATCCAATGATGACTTATTCGTATTATTATTTGTGGTTCGGGCGTTTCCATTCTTAAAAGGCACAGCGTTGCTTATCCTGGGCTCTAGGGGCCCAGTCTCAACAACTGCATCTGCAAAAACGGAAAAGGCACCGATAGCAGCAGTTGTTCTCCAGGGCCCCCGGAGTGTAAGCAAGGTATGTAGGCTCTTTGCTGCCAGAGATGTGGAGGTAAGTGAGTACCGCTGTTGGGGCCGTGAGAGGGCTTTTGGGACTGCGTCGTTGATTATGCGCCGTAATGTCCCGGCATCGGTAGAGTACATATTATTATTTCCATCCCTTTTTGAGTTTGAAGTTGAAACAAGTGAGGAGTATATAAAAGGTGTGCTGTCCGGGAAGGCAAGGTAGATTAATCTTGAGCTATCGATAAAGGTATGAGGGGATTGGCGTGGGAATTGGTAGGGGGAGTCGATGGCTAGTATTCGAACGAGCGTTAAGGGGAGTGAATGGAATCGGTGGATGTGGTAATGTGCTTTAACGAGCGGTGATATTTCACGCTGCATAGCTTTGATAAAGCTGGAAGCCTGGAAGTGCGGAAGAGCTGTCGCATAATCTTCATTGTCCCTAGAGTCGCTAGGTAGTGATAACGCTGATGCGCTGCTTGCATCTATTCGGAACGCTGTCCACCGATGGCTGGATGGATGTTCTTCGATATGTTGCACATCTGCCATCGCAAGCTGCCGAAGCGTTAAACCATGGCGCCAATCCCCTTCTAGAATCCGATCGATCACTTCTCTCTTCCCACCCTTTTGGCCCTGGAAATCATTATATATTATCTTCAGGTCTTCCACAGTTTGAGCTGGTGAATAGGGGCTCGTATCATCGTCGTGCTCTCGTGACTTTGACTTGTCGGAAAGTAGGTAGGGCTTGCAACTGGCCAAATTTTTCTTTTCTAGCCATTGGAGAGCCAGCGATATAAGAGATGCCCGTGATAGCTTGCTTAACGTCTTTACCAGCTGATTTGTGGAAGAGGGTATGCGAAAGGTATCTGGTAGACTTGCGGACGTAGGTGCGAGGATGGAGGATTGTCTAGCCATGGTTTGTGTATCCTGGCTAGTGGTTAGGGGCGCATGTCCAGAATGCTGGGGTTTCGTTCGACCAAGCGAGCGGATATTGAGGAAGGCCGGAGGGAAGTTTGTGCTGTCTCACAGTTGCGATGGAAGCTGTCGAGCCTCCGGCTTTTGTTTACTTTTTCTTATCAGCAATCATAACAATTTTATGTTGTCATTGATTACATAAGCTAAAAGATTCAGAGAATATCTTTATCACGTGATATTTACATGTGACTAAGCTGAATACTGCCCATTCTAATCATAACAGTGCTTATTCAGCAGCTAAAGCTGGTATGTTACCGACATTACGGGTAGCAATCCCTGCTATTGGAGAAAGTCGTTACTAGTTGTATTACACTGTAATCACGTGTTGGCTTCTTGATACATAGAGAGCAATAAAATAATAATGATGGCTTCAAAAAGTCGCGCCCACAGAGAATAACTGAAGCGATGGCAGTAAAACATAGTGAGCATTTGTTCAATCAATGGATCTGTATTTCTATCTATTTAAGTGGCCAACTCCTGAATACCTCTGAGAGGCGCAATAATACCCCCCAAAACACTGAACTGGAATGTCGTCATGAGGCGGCTATGATGTCATCGGTTGACCTATGCGTTTTTCCTTTAGTTATCAGCGACGAGGCGCTGCGTAAGGTGCGGAGTGGAAAACGAGAAAAAACCCGACCCGGAAAAGGTGCACGCGATGAATATTCAGATGTAGTATCAAGTCTCATCGGCCAGAGGCCTCAACTCATACCTTGCTCATCATCATAAACAAGACGTGTTCTTGACGAGGTCCTTACCTGGTGAGTCCGCTTTCCCTCCCCTCTCCCGCAGGCCAGGGCGGCTAGGCCAGTTCTGACGGTGAGATTCTTCTAGACATCTGATCAGTGTCAGAACACAGGTTGGAGACCAGTGGGCTGAGGGAATACGGCCAGTGATGATATCAAAAAGCCAGAACAACGGCCGATGCCTCTGCTTTCGGGTACATGGCGTTTGCGTGTTGGTGGCTAGTTCTGAGGTCGCCTATCTCCAGTGCGAAGGGAAGAGAGGGGATAATGATGAAGATGGGAAGAAGAAGAAGAAGAAGAAGAAGAAGAAGAGAACGAGGAGGAGGAAGATAGACGCTGGCAGCATCTTTATACCCTTCTACGTTGTCGTTTTCATGCCTCTACGGAAGGTGCAAGCAAAACACGGAGACTTCTACGGTAAGTGCTATTGATGGCAATCTAAAACGGCAGGTTTCACTGCTAGAGATGAGTAAATAGCCAGCGGAGAATGAGTAGGGAGAGGGAGAGGACTGGTAATGGAAGTTGATATCCGATCATTGGCCTTTTGAAGGCTCTTGGAAGGCAGCTTAGATGGCTCTCTGCCGGGATTTCTACTGGTGCATGCGCGGTCATAACCCACTGTCTCTGTAAAACAGATCCCTACATAGAATATAGCATAGCTATCCTACCCTATGTCTCTACTCTATGTCTGGCCTACGTCTTTCAACGTCTATCAAACACCCATCTACGCTCGCTCTACAGTCTCACAATGCCAAGCCGGCTGTTCGTCCGAACGGAGGAACCCGGACACAGCGGGAGAACGCGGAAAACACAGCCGAGGATGCTTATGTAAGTAAATCGCGCGTGGGCGACCAACAAAGCGGATTTGTCATCGTCGTCCCCGCCCGCCTCGGAAGCCGGAGACGGACGTCGCCAACAGGATCTGGCAGTTGCCGCAGCGTTTTTGCGTTCCAAACTCTTCCTTTTTCCTGTCCTCCACAGCCAGCCAGCCAGCCAGCCAGCGACAACCCACACCAGACGACGAACCGTCAGCAGCATAGAGCAGCGTGCGTGTGCGTCCTCGATCTCTAGACGACAGACCCCCCCGAATCGACCTGCTGGCACAGGCTGCGACCGCCGGACGCTGACCCGGACAGGCACCGGAAGCGCTTGACTCAACAACACCACCTATCGCGGCTGGGAGTCCCAGGGCAGAGCCTGCATCGAGAGAAATCCTAGCCAGGACAGCAGCGCCATGGCCGAATTCAACGGGCGTCGTGCGCCCAACTTCTCGCAGTATCTCAATGAGCTGAACACCTTGCCCTCGCCCTTCGAGCAGACAGCACAGCCAGAAGATCTGGGGTTCGATGTCGACGCCGAACTCGCTCTGTTCACGAACGCAGAGTTCCTCGACTTTGACCCCGCTGGAAATGTTGGCGGCATAGACGAACAGCAGCCTGTCTCTTCAGGAACCGTGAGCCCTGCAAACGGACGGCAGGATATGAACTACGTGGGGATTCTGAATGGTGAGTGTTTTATGTAATAGATATACCTATGATGGCCTCTGGCTCATGCTTACTCGACATGTATCTGGTCAACGCAGATTTCAACATTTCCAACTTTCCTTATTTCCAGCCCCAGCAGCCGACGGCCCCAGTCCAGTCAACTACGTATCCATCAGCTCAGCCTCTCCCTGCCAACACATCTCTCCCTCAGTCTACTTCAATCTATCAACCGCAGCAGCAGCAGCAGCAGCAGCAACCACAGCAGCAGCACCAACATCTCCCGTCACAACCACAGCTACAAGCACCACCACAGCCGGCAGTAACTCAATCACAGCCCGCCACTGTTTCATCCAAAAGGAAGTCTGATGCCACCACTACTTCAGAGGCGGACCGTCTAGCCCAGGAAGAAGACAAACGCCGGCGCAACACCGCTGCCAGCGCCCGTTTCCGCATCAAGAAAAAGGAACGTGAGAAGAACTTGGAAAAGACCGTAAAGGATGTGACGAGCAAGAACTCAGCCCTTGAGTCCCGCGTCAGCCAGCTAGAGATGGAGAACCGATGGCTCAGGAACCTCATCGTCGAAAAGAACGGATCTGCCATCAGTGAGGGGGATCTCTCTGGCATGTTCCATAAATACCAAGAGGCCACCGGACAGCATCAGAACCAAAAGCAAGCTTCGACGGCAAGTCCCAGCTCAGAACTCAAGTCTTCTCCTTGAATCTTTTATGAAGGGATATTTCTATTTCGGAATACGACGGTTGCGCTCCTCTCTTTCTTACCACCCCTCCCGCACTCCATCATCGGGCCACCGTTAACAAGTTCCATTTTATTTCTATTTATCTATCTTTCTGTTTCTCCCACTTATCAATTCTCATCTGTAATTTTGATATTGCCATTTCTTTTTGTCTTTTTTATATCCTGTTGGTGGGCTCCATCTCCCTGCCTCACCTATTGCTCGGTGGTTGAACCAAAAGCGACCTATGAACCATTAATTGCTGCATGCAGTTCAGCAGTACCCAGTCTACAAGGATGCCTTTCAGAGGGCATATCATAGGGAATACACTGTTCCCTTCCCTTCTTGGCTTGAATTTTGGTTGTTGGTGGCCGAAAACGGAGCAGGGCTACGTATGGATGGCCGGTGACGATAATGTTGATGACTTTCCTAAATGAAGATGATGTGTGTTTCTTTTCTTGTGTGACCGTGAAGTGGTCCAGACCCTTCATTTATAGTGCTATATAGCCCAGCAAGAATAAGCAAAAGGCGACACAATTCCAGCTCGTGTTACTCTCAGTTTCCCTTCTTTCGTGTGTAAACCAAGCCGTACAGGTCTATGAATTCTAAATATCTCAAATAAATGCTTTAAATCTCGCTCATCGTATGTACCTATATTCAAATGCAGGAATAATGTCTGTCCCAAGTATATACCCGTCGCCTACCCACCTACATGAATCAGACACCGGCGTAAGCGTCACTACGAAAACCTCAATCCTCTGGTTGGATCCCAGTGTCCGGGCTTCGCTGTACCTGCCGTTGACCCCGTGCCAGTCGCATTACTCGAACTGGACGCTGAGGGCTCCACGACAGTCCTTGACTCCGGATACGGAGCAACATGTGCATTTGGTGCGGGCGCCGGAGCAAACTTGATTCCTACTTCAGGGGACCAAATCCCGCCGCCCACCGACGGCATGGTTGCGGGTGGAGGCATGACGTTTGCCCTGGTCGGCTGGGGGGCTGTCAGTGGCTCTACAGGGTTCGTAAAGGACTGCTGATGCTGGTTCTGAGCAGGCATTTGTTGTGATGTTGGTGAATGGGCTGCAATGTTCAGGGCCGCCATGGCAGTGGTGTTGGCAATATCCCTACGTAATAGGTTAGGTAAAAAGGATTCAGTCCTAATATAATGTATCAGGGGGCCTAGAGACTTACGTTTCCATTCGGCTGGCTTCTAGTCTTCGCTGGTTTACGAATTTCTTGCAGTCCTCTCTAAATCGGCCCACGATCCTTGCTAGGTCATTGTAAAACTTCCTCCCTGTATCGATGTTTGATACGATCTCCTTATACTTCAAATAACCAATCTCCAGATCTTGTAGCGCCTTCTCTCTCTCTTTAGTCGAAGAGTCGCCCCTACGTGCAACCGTGAACGCCTTGTTGGCTTCTCGGAGCTGCTCGCCGAGTTCGTCCTGTTTCCTCTGCTCCTCAGCAAGCATGTTTCTATCACTATCATAGCGACGAAGATGTTTCTCGAACAAGCTTTCAAACTGGCTTGGCTGAATCTTCTGCATGGGGAATTCACGCTCTAGGCGTGCTGTTTCTTCAAGGAGTGCAGAATCTAAAGGTGTTATTTGTTAGCAACACATTGGTCATATTAGGTGGATTCTTGGGGTGCTGAGCTCCTTACTGATGTTGTCCGCCTGGGAGCTCTCTCGCAAATCTTCAATCAAGCGTCTACGTCGATTTTCAAGTCGGGTAACTTCGTTCAGTGCACTTCGTAGCCGGCTTATTTCACGTCCCACCTGAGGTGACAGTACAGGTCTTCGGCTGCTGGGTACGAATGCCTCCAAGTCTCGATTTGTCCCAGCCAGAACCTGCAGCACTCGACCATGTTCATTCAGCTTGCTCTGGATGAAGTTATCGCTGGTATTGGCGGATGAGAGATAACCTTCTATCTCACTGGTCTGCGCATATAGATTTGGAGCTGCCTTCTCGGATGGCTCTCGTGTCCACCGATCAGTACCATACTTGAGTCTCGCCCTCTGGTCCTCTTCCTTCTCTGCATTCAAAAGGTCTACTGCTTCGGTAAAAGTAGCTTTATCAGTTGCTTTCAACTTGGAAGTGTCGTCCAATGATGTTATAATGCGGTTCAACCCATCTTGCTGCCGAATTTCTTCTGCATGAGATACTAGGCTAGGTGGCAGACCCAGGGGCTTTTCGAGTGCCTGGAGAGATCCAGGGAGGTTCAGCGATTGTAGGAGACTATTTTTGAATGTTAGATTCGGTAACATAAAAATCTCAGCGCAATAATCGGAATATCTTACTCTCGAAGCTTTGTTGTCATGGATTCCAGCTCGCCAATGGTCTCATTAACTCGGCGGTCTCTGCGGTCAGCATATATACTAGCCGCAACGTGCACAGCGTAAGGTACCAGTTTCGCAAATAGAGCGCGACCTAGAGGAGCACCCTCTCCAATCATGGACAGCCCGTTTATCACTTCAGGTGGAGCTTTGGCGGCGACCATATTAGCCCTGTCCAGGAGTTTCAGCTCCGACTTGGGAGGAACATGATCCAGGTATATCATGTCATTATCTTTTTCAGCCCTTTTCAAGTCTTCACTGACTCTGGATTTCAACCCATTAAGGTCACTGAGAACCACCTTGTTGATCCACCGCTTCTCCTTCAGCGCCTCGTTAGCACATAAAAGACTATCTCTCAGCCGCGCAACTTCTTCGCCGTACTTTCTCTTCTCTAAACAATCAAGTGATTGCCTATACTGAGCAGCCGCGGCAAAGTGGTGATGTTTGGCAGTCATATGATGTATCCAGTCAGTGCTTATGCAGTTGGATTTCACGGCATAGCCGCCAGCGTTGATGTAGTAATCGGAGACCTTCGCGGCCAACCGTGCAATCGAGACATCTTTCAAACCATCTTTCACCGCTTTTTGCCAAAAGCATTCCTGGCTTTGCGCAAGGAGCAGCTCTTCCAAACTTCTCAATGTCATTTCATCCATGTCTTCTGGGGGTGATGTTCGTAGGTCAGGTAGTATATCCGTCCTTATATGCTCGATAACACCAGCCGCCTGACAAAAATATTTGCATGCAGTCTTCAGGGTCTCCGAGTTGGCGGGAATCAATGAAACGGCAAGCTGTGAGTAAAGTGCAGCGAGATTGAAGAGTATATTGACAAGCTCAAAGCGGAGGTTATTCTGGGATACTAGATCAGTCAAAACAGTCAGCAATGCCTCCGGTTTATGGGGCCTGGTTCAAAAACTGACCTGGTCGTCCTGTATTGAACCCAAAGGCAGGGTACCATGGAAATTCCACGCCAACCTATCAAGCCCTCGCAGTCAATATGATAACCTCGTTATAGGGAGGTAAGGCCGCAAGCTGAACTCACGTCGATAGGAAACTTCCCGCCAATCCATTTCAGCTGTGCAGCATATATCACCAGCCTAGCGATACCGCTTTCGTGAGGCTCCTGTAAGCTGATGGCATCTGAGCGCATCTGGTCGATTATTATGAAGTCCTCCGCAAACATGTCCGGGTGCTGGTCATATTTTGTAGAAATGTACTGTTTCATAGCATCGGAGAGGGACACATTGTGAGACCGTCTAAACGGTAACTGTAGGATACTCCTGTAGCAAAGAAAAGGAAAAATCAAGCCGCATGTTAGCCAGTGGTTGCTCTGCGCAGGGTGGAGGGGCAGCCGTACCCGGTCTACACCACCCGGAGGACTGAATCACTTACGATGCCATGGTATCTGAGTATTCTGACGGAGAGGGAGAGAATATCCCGTCTCCTGCAATTCCTGCTCAGTAGAAGAGCACTAAGGGTGTGAATCTTGAGCTGCCTGTGGTGCTGGATGTTGTCGACCGGGTAAATATTCGTTTCTACGAGGTCGAGAAGGACGAAAGTTCAAACAAAACACGCGATCACCACAGCGACGTTTTGCTCCCCGCAAAGTTCACATCCTTAGAACACAACAGCAATAGCAGGCCACAGGGCGACTTACTCGTTAGACAACTGCAAGGCTTGGATGTCGATGAGAAGACGATTTTCGGGATACACGATTCAGCGGCCTTGAAATATTGGTTGGAGTGCCTTCTCCATACGGCTACGATACAGGTAACAGCTGCAAGCCAACCTACTAGCAGGTCGATACCAGGGAACCATGGACACAAAAGCAGTGAGAGTTATAACCATTACTACGAGGAAGAAAACAGTCTGGCCAGAATCAAATGCTTGTATTTGCGACTAAAAAAAGGCCAATATGCATGCAGTGCCTTGATAGAGTGAAAAGAAAGTCCCAAGAGCAATGTCGAACGAGAAGAAAAAAGTAGGAGACTAGGCAGACAAACCCAGTAACAAGGCCTCCGACATCGCAGTTATTCTTGAGTAAAGCAGATATGGACAAGGGCGGAGGTGAAGAGAGATATAGCAATCATCCAAGATCGAGATCAAGGTCAAGCTGGGGATATAAAAGGAGAACGGCCCCGTAGTAAAACAACTCGGAAACGGAAGTAAGGAAATGTAAGGAGGTCATGAAAGCGGGCTCCATCCAAGGTGAAAAAAGGGAGGATTGGATGAATATAAATGGGTCAAACTTCCAGCTTATCGATCTCTCTCTTGAAATACTCGAACATAGTCAGAAGGAGCATGTTCTGCACAGCCGTTCGAAGGATGATGACGGATAGTCCAGTATAGACAGAATTCTTGGCCACGGCGGCTCCCACTTCTTTGGATTGGCCGAGTATCATACTCTGTCGGCGAGTTTTGCGGGTATCAAGGGGGTACGTCTGGAGATACGGACATTAGTTTATTGATGCGTATATATATATATATGAATTGAGAGTATTAGCACTTACAAATAGCCACGGGAGGGTGCCGCAGAGTGCACCACCAACCAACTGGGGCCCGAACGGAGAATGGTTGTCACCCAGGTACTTTGACATCAGTTGCTTTGATGTTTCATAAACGGCAAAATAGAGCCCGGTGCCAACTGTGTCTCGTGCAACGTGAAGGCCCATTCCGGTGTAGAGACCGCTGAAGCCATGTCGAGAAATGATTTGTTTGATGGCCTGGATAGTCGATAGACGTGGAATGTTTTGAAGAGAGGTATACTTGAGGCCCTTTCCCGTCGGTCCACGCTGGCTGCTTGCCATGAGAACAGACGTCTGAACCACGTTTTTGGCGAGTTCGAAGGGACCTGTTGCTTGTTATTATCGCAGTTACAGCGAATTAGTAAGTATTTATGTGGAAGGATAAACGCACATGCAATAGGAGCAGCACAGAGACCGGCCAGCATCCCAGATGCCATGAAACAGGAGACACCGGTGAAAGTAGGAAGGGAGCCTGGAGTGTTGTATACGGCTAATGGAGACGTCCCCGTCTGTCTTTCCACAAAGTCGGAGATGGCATGCTTGCACTTCTGGTAGACGGTGAAATTGGTGACTCTGACTATGGTAAGACTCGCCAGTGGTGGTAACGCGCCTGGACACACGAGTTAGACGAATCTCTTTTTTGCTCTTGAACGTGAAACAGCCCATCTTACCAGCCATAAAACCGCGTGGTCCTTCATGCTTGAGCATGTACCGAAGGCAGTCAGTTGTCCCCTTGAAGTTGTATCTAGCACAACCACGTCAGTATGAAATATATGGTATTAGCCTTATAGAGTAAGAGACAAATACTCACGACTGGAGTCGAGTCTTCACATTCTCCAGTGGGGTCTAGCATGCGAGTTAGCCTATGAAATTCCACATTCTTAAGGCGTCTGCCAACAACCAAGCAGGGGGAGACTCACCACGGCCAGGCAGGCGAGGATGGTCGAGGTCGCAGAGGCCGCCTGGATCCGGTAGTCCTTGAGGAAGCGGTTCCTGGCCGGCGTGTCGAAGGGGATGGCCCACGGCGGCATCTCGGTTGCGGCTGTCTCTGGCGGGCTCACGGTGGCTGCCGGAGGTTGCAGGGAGGATGCTGAGACCGGTGCTGAGAGGGCAGTTACATGTCCAGCATCCTCCTGTGAGGACGACATAGGCGGCGGTGGGCTGCTAGCACTGTCACTGTCACTGACACTGATACTGATACTTGACACTTGACACTTGACACTTTGACACTGATAGCAGACAGCACACTGACTGGCTCAGGCCGTCGCCCCCAGAGACCTATGGAACGCAAAGTGGTCTCTCAGCGTGTGAGTGAGCAGACCTCTCAGCATCCCACAGGTGTCCATGGGTTCTTGCTGGGCAGTTTGACCTAGCCAGCACTTGGGATCCTTGGAGGGAGGTGAGCGTTTATCCTCTCTTTCTTTATAGCCCTGCCTTAATGTCTCTGGATCCGCTGGGAGGAGAGGTTCTTTATTTTCCTTTGGAATATCCCAGTATCTTAAGCCTGCTACTGGGCCACCGCCACAGCGTGTATTCAGGGATATAAGAATAGAAGGCAGTGCAGGCTAAGGAGAGGGAAGCAAGTGGAAAGGAGAGGCCTAGTTGGATGTCCTGGTATAGATATAAATATATATGGCGATATGATGCAATGGCAGGCTCTCAAAAAGGAAGAAGAGCTGCGGTGGTATATATATATGGGTGGTAAGTGAATTGTAAGTGAATATAACAAAAGGATGGAAGTGAATATTAGGAATATACTATGCAAAGGTGGGTGAATATGGCCGATGTATTTATATTATAGGGAGAGCACAGAGGCCGGTCCAACTGTAATATAACCAGCAGCTGCTAATTGGAGCCAGCAGGGATCGTTCCTCTTTCAATAATAACAGGAATATACGGAAAATGCAGCGGGAGAGGCCCAGAACCAGGAGCAATGGAAGCCCGCTGCCTATCCCTCAACGGTATCTCGAGATGGCGGGGGGGAGGGAGGGAGGAGGAGGAGGCGGAGGAGGATGAAGTTGGCAGCCAGAGTCGACTTGCGGAACTTGAAAGGTCGTGAGAGCCCGCGGGAGTGATGGCCGAGAGCGACAGAGGGAAGAAGAGCAGCCGGACGGAGCAGCCTGGAGCCTCTCTCTGCAGCCAGCAGCAAGGGCGAGGGCGAAGGGCGAGCAGGCGGGAGAGGGCGAGAAGCAGGACGGAGATGCGGTTTGTCAACGCAGCAGCAGCAGCAGCAGCAGCAGCGAGCTTCCGCTCAACCAGCCAACCAGCCAGTCAACTTCGCCCAACCTAGATCCAAGGGTCGACGGCCATGATCGAGCGCACTAACGATATTCCGTTAGCTGGCGGGCATCATCAGCGCTGGAAGAGGGACAAAGGTCGACGGCGATGTGGCTAACGAGGAGAGTCAAACTACATGTGAACCCTCTGGGGCGATCGAGCTCGCGCAGGGCAGTTAGTTAGTTGAACTAAATCTAACTGACTAGTTAGTCGTTAACTAGTTAACCAGCATCCCAAGTACCGTCTACCGCGCTGTGATACGGGAGCGGCCACCAGACGCAAGGTCGACGGGACTTCAGCCAAACGCACCGCCGGCCATGGTCTGACCAGTGACGTCGTCAAGGGCGCCTTTGGCTTTTGCTCTTTTGTGACTGCAAGCCCGTCCACCACCGAGCCAATGGCGGACAAGCCAAACTGCACTTACACTGGGGCCGCGGAGGGGCCTCGCTCTGTGGTTATGTATATACTTAGTACTTAGTTACTTCGTTGCGCCAGGGAGGGTTTGCTCTGCCTGGGCGACACAGACAGGCGCCTGGTGGCACACAACCTTGCTGCAGAAGAACCGCTGGCCGTACCTCTGCCGGGTTCTCGAAGTATTCGGTACATCTCGCCAGTTAGTTAGTCGGTTAGTTAGTTATATACGACCCAGACGCCGATGGCTAGGGATCCAGACAAGACGTTGGCTTCAGGCCTAGTTATCGTCTGAAGTGCTGCGTGTACCGTCTCCTCTCTCACCACGGATTAACTTGCCAGATGACGAGTGAGTTACTGGCATCCATATAGGCGGCAGCCCGGCATCGTCTCCGGCAGTCTTGCGAAGCTTCCAATTCCTTTTTCCTTTTTTACCTTGCAGGAGCAGCAGACGATCACGACTGGGATGGACGGGGGTGGCCCTGGAATGCCTCTCCCACCAGGGTTGCTTGACTTGGGTAGCCATGCTGGCCGCGATGGGCAGCCCAATGCCATAGTTATGTTATATATCTATCGACTCAATGGCCTGCCCATCCTCGAGCAGGTTGCCACAGCATGCCTAGTTAGACGGTTGATCAATGGCTGGCCTGAGACTCCAGCCAAGGGGAGCCTGAGGATCTCCAGCTGCACTTCCGCTGCCCGTGGACATTACATATCAACTATCAGCTATTCCAGCAACGATGGCCGTCACCTCGTCGTCGGCGCTGCTGCTGCTGCTTGTTTACTGCTTTCTCTCAGTCAGATGGGAGAGATATGCTTATGTCAGCAGCCGTCGAGCCTCGGGACCTCGCGGACCTCGGGACTTTCCCCGCAAGATCTGAGGCTTGCTAGTTGGATGAAAAGGAGAGTCAGGAGCAAGAGACGGAGCGGCAGAGGAAGAGGATTAATATACGGGGGCGTTGCCTCTTCTCTTTGGAGTCTGAGGACCAGAGCCGATACTCTTTGGACCATCCTACACTAACCCTTGAGCCAGAACGCCCTTCTCTTACAATCCGTTGCAACAATGGGGAAACGAACGCAGTCCCCAGCCTATGTCCTAGGTGTTGGCATGACCAAGTTCATCAAACCGCGCGGAAAGGTCGACTACCATGAGCTGGGCTTCGAGGCTGGTGTCAAAGCTATGCTGGATGCCCACATCACCTATGACGACGTGGACCAGGGAGTTGCATGCTACTGCTACGGAGACAGCACCTGCGGCCAGCGAGTCTTCTACCAGTTCGGCCTCACCAAGATCCCCATCTACAATGTCAACAACAACTGCTCTACCGGCTCAACGGGCCTGGCCATGGCCCGTACCATGGTCTCGCACGGTGCTGCCGACTGCGTTCTCGTGGTTGGCTTCGAGAAGATGAGCCCTGGCAGTCTCTCTTCCAAGTTTGATGACAGAGAGAACCCTACTGGCAAATTGGGAGAAATGATGTTTGCTACCAGAGGAGTCACCAATGCCCCGGGAGCAGCCCAGATGTTTGGAAATGCCGGTGTCGAATACATCGAGAAGTGAGTTGCCCTTTTTCTACAAAAAAAAAAAAAAAAAAAAAAAAAAAAAAAAAAAGATAGAGATTCTAACAGGCACAAACCAATAGATACGGTGCAAAAGCCGAAGACTTTGCAGAGATCGGCCGAATTAACCACGAACACTCGAAGAGAAACCCATACTCCCAATTCCAAACCGAGTACACCCACGAACAAATCTCCAAATCGCCCATGATCCACTTCCCCTTAACCAAACTCCAGTGCTGCCCAACCTCAGACGGTGGTGCTGCAGCCGTCGTCGTTTCACAGGCGTTCCTCGATGCTCGACCACACCTCAAGGACCAGGCCATCCTGATTGCCGGCCAATGCCTCGCCACAGACACTCCCTCAGTGTACAACGAAAGCTCCATAAGCCTCATGGGCTTCGAAATGACCCGCTACGCCTGCCAGACCGCCGCTGCTGAAGCCGGAATTAACGTCAAGGACGTCAAAGTCTGCGAACTACATGACTGCTTCTCGGCAAACGAAATGATCACCATCGATGCGCTGGAACTTTGCGAGCCAGGAAAGGCCCACGAAATGGTGCGAAAGGGTGACATCACATACGGCGGGAAGATGGTCATAAACCCGTCCGGCGGCCTGATTTCAAAGGGCCACCCTCTCGGCGCAACCGGAATTGCCCAATGTGCGGAGCTAGTCTGGCACCTTCGTGGTTGGGCCAACAACCGCCTGGTCAAGGGCACTGATGTCGCATTACAGCATAATCTTGGCCTTGGCGGGGCTGTCGTCGTTACGGTGTATAAGCGGGCAGATGGTAAGGTATCGCAGCCCGTGACAAGCGAGGAAGTAGGGAAGATCAATCAGCTTGGGTACAATCCTGCCGTTGAAGCAAAGGGATTCACGGCTGAACAAGCGGCAAGGGTGCTCAGCAAGGAAAACCGCAGCGACTGGGCTATGGGAGACACCCAAGAGAAGGTCCTAGCGCGTTTTTAAACGCTCCGACCTCCACTGCCCTTGATTTCCTCTGGATATACTCTATACCCCCAATGTATATAATTCATTTCGTCAGGTAGGAACCTTTTTCTTCTTATCTTCCTCGGCTTGCTGGCTCATATCGGCTCTCATATCAGATTATATGATTATGTTAAGAGGATGTCAGTGGCACCAGCGTGACAATGGCGGCTATCTCCCCTTTGCTATGGTAGGCAGGCAATAGAGTGAGAGGCATCAGATAACTTAAAACTCCTAAGCCTTAATCATAGAGTACTACATTTACGAATGTTTCAACTTCTACTCTTGAGACACCTTGTCCACTGGAACTCAACCTCCAACCCTAAATAACTTATCCATCATGGCCTTGTATCCAAATTCACAAGCAATATGTCCACGGTTACATATCTACTCACGACAAAGTCAAAAATACTCTTACGATGTAGGACCTGGCAGACACAGAGACAAGGCGTCACACCACCCTCCACTCCCTGAAACCTCTAGAGATCTTCCAGAAGAAAAAGAAAGAATTTTCTTGGGACTGATCGCCTTCTCGAAGTTTCCCGTATATCTGCACTTCTCTGTCCCACCACGGCAGGCTTCAAGCTGTTTTTGATATCCAGAAGGCGAGGCTTGACCTGGTAGTGACCTGCACGTGATACGATATGAACTTACATAATACAATCTAACCTAAATAACACTAGCGCCGCACTTTCAACTTCGACTTTCGACTTTTCTGCCTTTTTTTTCTTCTTTCCTTCCATCAAACATATTTCACGGTCTCTATGCCCTTGTCGAATGGTACACGCTTCCATTACCTCTACAAATTTGTCAACATGAGACCCAGATAGAGCTCCTTCTGCCTGTTCTAATACTCATCCGCCAGTGGAAGCTCGGCTTTCACCTCCAGGGCGCCTGATGAGCTTCGCTTTGGCATACATCCAAGCCCTTTCGCTGCCTAGGTGCTGTTTAACTAACTACCACAGCAATATCACTGTCAAGCTGAAGCAATACCTGGGATAAGGAATATCGACAGGCCAGTTGGAATAATGCTTGCCCTGGACCTGGGACGAAGAGGAATCCGTATCGCCTTGGTACATGCGACTGTATCTCCGCTATACCGCCTCGCTTCAACCGATAATCGATGAACTCCTATCCCTATACCATACGTACCCACTTGCAGGATAAAAACTTCGCTAACTCTCAGACACAACTCACACGTCTACGTTATAGCATCGAAGTCGAAGAAAACTTGCAGAACGGCATAATCGAAGTCTCGTCCGTCCTCTCCATGATGGGTTCTGCGTTCGCGCAGCGAGGTCAAAAATATTGCCAATAATAACCAAAAAAGTTACCAACTTGTCTCGCTCGTGTTGCGCCCGCCTTTCAATCATTCTATTAACGTAGTTTGTTTCATAGGGCTGAGGCGTGTCAAATAGAGTTAGATACATCTCACCAACAACCCAGTTACCATCATACTTTATTTAGGCAAATGTAGAATATCAATTGACTCTCATTATATTCTCCGTTTAGGCTCCTATTGTCCCCACGACTGGAGGTGGACAAAATATGTGGTAAATCTCCATATGCTAATACCTGAGGTGTTGATAAATCTGAGTCAATTCTATATCACGGTTTTGCTGCGGCCTGTCGTTGGCCTTCGTATAGTCCTGTGTAGTAACCGGCAAAATACCACGACATCATGAGATTCTTCAGCCCTTCGTCTTGAACTATATTCGATGTTAGTCTTCGGGGAAACGTTTATGGTTGCTTCGGCTGTCAATGTACTCACTGTTTGGCGGATTAGGTGCTCCGTTAAGAACTAGTTGCGGCATATTTGCCAAATTCGCACTTGCCGGTGCAGCCGTATCGGCCTGGTCTGCCCCTGCAGTTAATTCTGGTGCTGCTTCATCCTATATAAGTGAGTCATTGTGAGCAGTTCGGCCTACAACCGAGGTACGTCTCTTAACGGGGGAAAAAACCAACCTCAACTTGACTCGTCGTGCAGACATCTACCTGCTTTATCTTGTCATCAGACTCTTCCACAACGACGGTCTCTGATGCATTCACGGTCAATTTTTCTGAAGGGTTTTCCGTTTCAGCGTTGGTCTCAATCTGCATTTCATCTTCATTTGCGTTGGACGCTTCTGCTGCTGCTTCGCGAAGAACATCCTCCACTTTCTGGCCCCTAGCTTGAATGCTGTGATAGAGCTATAATAAAAAAGAAAAAGGGGTTAGAAAGTCCTCATCAACACAGCAACATCCGTAGAAAGAGATACACGTACCCTGTATTCCTCCGCAGCCTCTTCCCAGGACTCAAGGAGTGCCGAATCGTCCCATATTTCTTCTTGAGTTAGAGTTTTGTTTTTGCTAGAACGTTTTCTCTTCTTCATGGCTCTCACCTCGAAGCAGTTGTGTCAAGTATATCGCTATACTGAGAGGATCGAGCTGCACCGTCAAGCCGTTGAAGCTCCAAAAGCGTTTTGCGCTGCTGTTAGTTATCGATTTCGCGGAGGAGCTCTCGAAATCTTGGCGCCGATCCACAACGCAAAGGAAAAAAGATAAAAAAAAAAAATTAACAAACATGCCAGAAATTCACAAGCCCTTTACCGCGCACAATTGACTACAACCAGACTCCGGCATGGCTCCAGAGAAGAAGGCCACGAAGCGCAAAGGTTAGTATTTTACTTGTGAGTCAAGATTTCACGGTGACATGTTCTAATTTGGTTGTATAGCGCCCGCGACGACCACTGCTGCTCCTGCGGTGAACGAACATCCACCATCGAAAAAGTCCAAGAAGACTCAGGAAAAACCTGCAAAGCCAGAGGTGGCTACAGTGAAGGCTTCCAGCACTAAGTCTAAGAAAGAAAAGGGCATTGTCAATGGTGCCAAATCCGAGAAACTGTCTGTCAAAGTCGACAAGAAGCCCACGAAGGAATTGAAGCCCCGCAAACGTGCCGCAGACTTCCTGAGCGATGATGATGATGAAGGAGAAGAGCCAAAGCAGGAGATAGCTCCTAAACCTAAGGCTGAAAAGAAGGAAACGCAACCAAAGAAGAAAGCCAAATCCGAAAAGCCTGGCGTCAGTGCCGAGTCAAAGGAAAAGATAAAGAAGGCCAAATCCAAAGCCAAGGAGGTCGAGGAGGAGCCTGAAGAAGCTCCTGAGCTTGTAGAAGAGCAGTTTCCTCCCAATTCTGATGCTGACTCGGACGAGGAGGCCGAAGATGACCAAACCATTGCATTGATTCGAGGGTTTGAGAGCAGCGGGGATGAGGATCCCTCGGAAGACGAAGGCTTTGAGCCAGGTCAAGAGGTTCCAAGGATTCCTGACTCTAAGAAGGCCATGAAGGCTATTCGAAAGAAGAAGAAAGAGAGCTCTGCACCAGAGGTGCCTGGCACTGTATATGTCGGGTATGCTCTATCGCGCCTGAACTCTCCTTCACTTTTATTACAATGCAGCTAACTCGTATGTGCTATGTAGGCGAATCCCACACGGTTTCTACGAAGATGAGATGCGCGCATATTTCTCCCAGTTTGGAGACATCTCACGTCTACGCCTCTCGCGCAACCGTACTACCGGCAAATCGAAACACTATGCGTTCATTGAATTCACATCCTCCTCTGTCGCCAAAGTTGTTGCTGCTACTATGCAAAACTACCTTATGTTTGGCCACATCTTGAAATGCATGTACATACCCCAGGACAAAGTTCATGCGGATATGTGGAAGGGAGCCAACCGTCGCTTCAAGAAGACGCCGTGGAACCAAATTGAAAAGCGCCGACTTGATGCCGGAAAGTCACGCGAAAAATGGTCAAAGGCTATATCTAAAGAGAGCTCGAAACGAGCTAAGAAGGCCGAAAAGATGAAAGCTCTAGGCTACGAGTATGAGATTCCAAAGTTGAAGTCTGTGAAGGAGGTCCCTGTTGCTCTAGCAGTGCAGGACCAGATTGAGGAGGGCACGTCTGCTCCCGTTGCTGCGATTGAGGACAAGAAAGAGGAGACTCCCAAAAAGAAAGAGACAAAGAGCAAAGATGAAGTTGAAGCTAAACCTGTGACGAATGGAAAGGCGATAAAGGAGAAAAAGGCCGAAGCTGGGAACATCGAAGCCGAAAAGAAGTCCACTGAGAAGAGAGAGTCAAAGAAATCTAAGAAGGCCGAAGAAAAGCCAAAGAAGGTGAAGAAGGCAAAGGCATAAAACTGGAACGACAAGGAGGTGGCTTGACGATGCAAATAGCTGTTATTCTGTATTTATTATCTCTTTCTTCCAATTTCCCTCCTTCGCATGTTTTCTATGTGTCAGCGTTCTGTTACCAGACGAAGTAGCGATATCAAGAGGAACCAGTTCAAAAGAAATGAAAATTATTTTATTTATTCCTGTCATCCAGCATTCCTCGCACCTCAGGCACCCAGTTGCAAGTCACACAGACCTCTGGCCCCTGAGTCTAGGGGCTGCTGCCTAAGAGTCCCAGGACCAAGGAACCGGCCGGCAAGCCCCTGCGGCTTCCCAAGGCTCGACCCAACCTTAGGTTAGAATAAAGACAGAGCCATGTTCAGCCCTAAAGTATCCTCCACAAGGTTAATTACGTCACTACTCACGACTTCCCCTGGTCATATCAAACGGCCGTAAAATACACATTCAGCCAACCAGCTACCAATACGAAGGGAGAGAGATATTATATATAATGGTAATAGATGCAGACGCGCCTTAGGGTGTGCCGTTCATAAAATCACATTATCCCGGGTATAATATGCAGTGTTTTAAGCACCAAGGGAACATGCAAGGGAAGACAAGACATACATGCGGACTTAGACCATGGCGTTGGTATAGGAATGGGAAACAAACATATAGACGTAAGGGAGATCGTTGACCTGTATCCGGCGTTTCTTGGTTTATTCTCCATGGGGAAAATGGCAGGGGATAAGTGAAGATGGTGATATTGACAACGGGCAGGAGAAGGCGTAACAAAGAACGGAAGCAAACAGGACAACCATCTAGATATCATAGTGAGGCTCAAGGTATTGATTGCCAATCAGAATCTCATTCTCTCAATTTTTGAGAGATAAAAAACGAACGGTTTCGTATGTGTAAGCAGGCATGACCGGTGAAACAAAAACTGAGAAAAGAATGAGCAGATACAACGGCGGGATATATTCTTTTGTTTTTCGCAAGAGAAAAAAAGGAGAAGAACAGGGGAGATATATTAAAAAAAGGTTTTAACCGGGCGTATTTATGGGTATAGGAAGGATATTGATAGGAAGTTCTTTCAAGACATGCCAGTCACCGTCACCGTTACTGCCACCGTTACCAGCAGGGAGGGAAGCATCTCGACACAAAATCAAACCTGATAAAACGAGATAGAAGCTTGGAAAACGAAACGAAACGAAAATCAAACGTAGATGGGAAGATCCGACGTGGAGGGAAGCAATGCAAATGGTAATCAAGCTGCGAGATGGCTGGGGTGAGAACAAAACGACATGATCTTGGTTCCATTCTCAAATCTATGTTGGCTTGTCGCAGCCAATTCTACCAAGGAGGGCTTTTCGATCATTATGGTCACTTAACGTAACTCGTCCACGGGTCGTTCTTATTCGCACCGGGTGGCTCTGGTGGTTCGATCCGTTGGGCATGACTGATCGTGACCAGGCGCTGCCTTCTGAGCCAGATGGTGGGCTCATGATTCTTGCCGAAGAGGTGCCGGCCTTTTCCTTCGGCTCACCAGCGTCAACGTCTTCCTCGTCATCACTTCTTGTATCCTCTGCACTTGAGCCAGTCCACAAAACGCCCAGCGCAACTTTGATGATCATACCAAGCCAGATGAGTGAGAGAACTTGTAGGAGCAGCAACATTCCGAGGAAGATAACCTTGATCGTGCCAGTCATACAGATTGGGCCATTGAGGTCGAGGAACGGGTTGAAGATATGGGCCAGGAGATCAGGCGAGCCAGTTGATAACTGCTTGCCTGTGATACCCGAGTAACACCCAAACGGCACATCGGTGGGCACCGTTTTGTGAATGGACCACCACAAGCCCATGTAGATGAAATGGCGAGCAACGATCCAGGTTGTGACGAAGACACCGAAAGCAACTGTACAGGCGCGCTCGAATCCAAGGTATTTTAGCATTTTGGCGAACTGTTACTTCATTGTTAGCTGGAGATGCGCCGTGCGGCAGAATTGAAGGCAAAAACCAAGGTACATACCGGTAGCATATAATCAACAATATCCATAAGGCAGAGAACGACGTTTGCGACATTGTAGAAGCTATAAACATATGCGGATCCGAGGAGAGTGCTGGTTATGATATGGTGGATAAACATCTGCGCGTGGTCCTTGCGCTTGGCTTCAATGTGAATGACGAATATCTGCTGTACCCAAAAGGATAGCTGCAGGAGGCAGTACAGTTTGACGCTGCCGCTAACCTCTCGGGTAGGCCAGTCGGCCCATATAGCACGGAAATTGTACCAGTAGCTAGAATGATACCAGATGTTCTGGTGCCGTTAGCAGGGACAGCGATAAGAAAGAAAAGAAATTTGTAGTAAGGCAGCTAACCATTCCATAGGCCCAGAAGGCAAGGTAGTAGACCAAAAGCCATCCCTGCTCGGCAAAGCGTATCGATTGCTTGTGTCTCAGGCCCAATTGAGAAGCAATGGGGTAGAACAGCCAGTCAATCACAATAGCTCTGGTAGCTGTAAAGCCCAGCATGGAGCTGATGATGAAGTAGACATCATCCAGTCCCTGCGTGTACTTTCCAGTCTCGGGGTGATAATGAGGCAGCTCGAGGTACGGAGTCGTGTATGCCCTTAGAGACGGAATGAAAGTGTGTACGGCGAGTATCGCACCCAGAATCGAGAGCGAGCAGCCTGAACAACAGTTAAGTCAGTAAGAGCACGGATACAGCTAAGATGAAGCTTGCAATTGTGCTTTTCACACACCTATCTGGTTTGCAACCATCCATTCTCGCCAGGAAGTGTTATCCTTGGACGCCCTGCTGGCCTCGGTAGTGGACACACAGGCATTGACGTTGGTTATCCCAGTCTGGCCCCGTTCAGCGACTGCGGCGACAGCCTCCTTAGCCATTGTTCACTCGCTTCACTGGCCTCGGCCGCTTGGTTCGGCAGAGCAGAGTTGTTGAGGACGGTGCACCGGGGGCGGTTGAGGTGGTGCTGGTGTGGAAAGGTTAACTAGAGGAGGATCGCATCCAAGCTATAAATTCGGCTCTTTTGCAATTCCAAACGCCCCCAATGGATGTGCTGTCCTCGACCAAGGGGGTAAAGAGAAAGAGTCAGAGAGAGATTGAGACCAGTCGAGTGACTGAAATCTCTTTCCTGCTGCAGCGGAGGGGGGCAAAGGGGCGAATGTGATTTGGTGATGGCGTGTATGCTCCCTATCCTCTGTCCTCTTTTTTCCCTTTGGGTCAGACTAGGGACTAGTTAACCAGGGCAGGGTTTTTGTAACTTCCTACCTTAATAACTATAAGGCGGTGTCGCAGGGTCAGCCAGCACGGCGACAGCAGCGCCAGGCGGTGGAGGAGCAGGAGGTGAAGCCGCAGCGAGTCTCTTCGTCCGCTACTCTTCGTCGTCTCGTCGTCGTCGTCGTCCTGCTGGCGTTTTCTCTTGCTCGAGCTCGCCCGTCGTTCGCTTTTCCATCCCGCGTCCATGAAACGGGCCTCCCCCGTCCCCTTTTGGGCGGGACCACGTGCTCTGCTGAGTCATTTATTAGTAAGAAGGCGGAGACGGTAGCAAGTGGCAGAAAGACGACGACGACGAAGACGACGACGAAGACGACGACGAAGACATTAACGACATTGATGAAGAAGAAGAAGAAGAAGAAGAAGAAGAAGAAGAAGAAGAAGAAGAAGAAGAAGAAGAAGAAGAAGTTGATGATGATGATGATAAGCGCAGGAGAAGGAAGAGGGGGCAGGCTGGTGACGAGGCGATGAGAGGCTGTACATATGTATAGTTGTCATGGATGGTGAGCTTCAGGGATGGAGACCTAGCATCACCGCACACCACAACCACGCTATAGCCCACGATCAGCTTACTTAGTTACAGACTGCATCCCAGCAGTAAACCTCGCCTTATAAAGGTGCAGCAGCGTCACTATATCCATGGATTCCTCGTCATCGACATGCATTGACACTCGGGCTTGCAGGACAGTTCCCTTTCGTCGGAATACTCCGGATACAGATAAGAAAGCAAAGAAAGACCAAGACCTCCGTCGTTAGAGCCACGGCAGCGGCCCCAGAATTTAAGTAGTTAAGTAATCTATACGAACGCCAGGAAGATCTTCGATTATTGGCATTCCGCTGAGATTAAAGGCATACGGCTGCTAGGCCCGGATCTTGCTCCCATTCTGCGCATGTGTCTCCGAGCAGTTCTTCAGCGCCCAGATGTCGCCCTGTTGGGTTAACCCTAGCCTAGAAAACCCAATTTTGGTTACTATAAAATATATTTAAATAAACATGAACAAACAGCGTTAACTACTCCTGCAGGCCATCTTTTAGTACGGATTTCACGCCGACAGCTGCGGACTTACATTTTCAGCCTCAGCCCCTCAATAAACTTCCGCCTTCGACCGAAGATACAAGAACTGCACCACATCTATGAGGCTCGAACATGATGGCGGGTCGCTGGCTGGAGACTCCGATCGTGAAGAGCTCAATCGTTTAGGGAAGAAACAAGTACTCAGGGTGCGTGTTCGATATAAATGAAACAAGTCATACATATATTATTACAATGTACAGGCATTTCTAATAAATAACCAGAGAGGCTTCCGCTTTCTCTCTATCCTAGGCTTCAGCTGTGCTGTCCTCATCACTTGGGAGGCTTCGCTAGTCCTGTTCCTCACGGGTCTTCGAAATGGCGGCCATGCAGGCATCATATATGGCTACATAGTGATATGGGTCGGAAACCTGGCTGTCTTCACAACCCTTTCTGAGCTCGTCTCCATGGCTCCTACCTCTGGCGGACAGTACCATTGGGTCGCGATGCTGGCTCCAAAGTCAATGGCGAAATTTCTCAGTTACATTACCGGCTGGTTGACCGTGGCTGGATGGCAGGCCGGTTTCGCCTCTGCTTGCTTCTTGACCGGCTCCATGATCCAGGGACTCATTATATTTACGAACCCGTCTTATTCGCCTAGCTCCTGGCATACCACTCTGCTTCTCTGCGCCGTAGCGTTGTACTGCGTCTTTGTCAATGTTGTCACCAGCAGGTTATTGCCTGCGTTTGAAAAGATAGCATTGGCTCTCCATGTTCTCGGATTTTTAGCAGTTTTGATACCGCTGGTTACGTTTGGAGAAAAGAATGATGCAAATCTGGTATTCAAAAATTTCATCAACGAGGGAAATTGGTCCAGTCAGGGCGTCTCCTTTTTGGTCGGATTGATTGGAAATGCATTCGCTTTCTTGGGTCAGTTCACAGTCCTCGGCCTTTTTTTCTGATGTATCCTATTTTTTGCTAACTATATTGACAGGACTTGATGGTGCATATCATGTACGTCTTGCTCGATTTGCCTTGATTCTATGCTACAATCTATTAACTTGAAACAGATGTCAGAGGAAATCCAAAATCCATCCATCACGGTTCCACGCTCTATTATCCTTACTCTCATCATCAATGGGAGCCTCGGGTTATCAATGCTCATTGCGACTCTATTCAGCATAGTTGACTTGTCCACTGCCATAGAGTCACCAACCGGTCTCCCATTCATTGAGATCTTCCGGCAATCCACGGGTTCAATTGCTGGTTCTGCTACAATGGCGTCAGTCATTGTCACGTTAGCACTGTTTGCAAACTGTAACTACCTGGCCTCGACATCCCGTATGACCTGGTCGTTTGCAAGAGATCGAGGCCTGCCAGGATGGAAATCATTGACTAAGGTCCGTCCATAAAACACTATACATTTTATTGGGTGTTATTGAACTTTATGGTGAAATATTTAAATGCTAACCTACTGCCTGTGTCACAGGTTGAGAAACGCACCGAAGTGCCGTTGATGTCAATTCTCGTCACCGCTACCATAACTATCCTTCTATCTCTCATAGTTATTGGTTCAACGACGGCTTTCAATATCATTGTGTCCTTGACGGTTGCTTGCTTATATCTCAGTTATTTGCTGGCCACGAGCATGCTACTGTACCACCGATGCGTAGGAAACGTCTCGTATCCTTCCAGTAACACGGAAATGGGCCAAACCCTTGCCAATACTACCGGCGCCCGTCTTGTTTGGGGCCCATGGCATCTCCGTGGTGCCATGGGGATTGCAACAAATATATTTGGAATCATATACCTGACGGTAATCCTGATATTCAGCTTCTTCCCTGCTGATGCTTCTCCGACGGCAGAAGGCATGAATTACAGCGTCGCCATTTGGTCCTTCGTGGTTGTGTTTAGTATTGTATATTACCTTGCATATGCGCGGAGAGTGTACGATGGACCTGTAGTGGAAATTGATACCACACCGTCTATTGAGCCCGCTCTCAAACAGTGATCTGGCATCAACATGTATATTTTTAATAGCTATTTACTTCCATTCAGGTCAATTTTTCCAATTATTATTCAGTCTATTTGATAAAATATATACATAGCAGATGATTGTAAACCAACAGGTTCGACCCAATAAAGTCAACTGATGATAGGATCCTCCAACCCAGCAGTGAGCTTATCCACATATTCGCCCGAGTCTATTATTTCGTGCTCCTTTGCGTCTGTGCGATTACCGGCTTGCAAGGCTCTATCGTTCATCACCTTCGCAACAGCATTGATAACCCCTTCTTCCTGCCAAACCCAATCATCACCATCCTTGCCTTCTCCACGATGGTACGCATCATACTTCACACTTAGCTCAGGATCCCGTGCAATCACGCTTCTTGTCACACTAAGAGCCTGTAGCTTCGACATGGCAGCTAGCATAGTCGCAGTAGACACGGATAGAATCTGCTGTGCCTGCTCCGCGGGCGTGGGTAGGGTATAAAAGAGCCTATTGGTAGCTGACAAGTAAATCAGGGCAGCACAAATAGCGTCAAACACAGTAAATGCTAGAGGCCGCAGCGTGACTAGCTGAACATGTAGACTCGTTGGAGCATCTGGGTATTGAGCGTATAGTTGCGTCCACTTATTACGCTGGCCGTCAGACGAGCTCCTCGAACGGGAGAAAAGAGGAGACGTTGCTCGTAGGATAACACATAGTTCGATAACCAAAAGCGCCACAGCGCCAACGAGGAACTTGTTCCTCCACCTGGCTGTCTTCTCCCCTACTATGGAGCTGGAAGTCGCTATGCCAATAACCAGAAAGTGGAATAGATGGGGCACTAGAGTGTTAAAGGGCAGATAGTAAAGAAGGTATGTAACCGCGCTATCCAACGAGCAGAACGGACAGGCAATCAGCGGCTCTGATCCGAGCTGCAGGTACACTCCTCTTGCCGTGTGAGAGCTGAAGAGCTTCTTGAGCGTGGAGTCGTGTTCGCTTTCGACCTCGAACCGTCCACCAAGCCGTCTCAGGCGAGAGAATAACAGTTCCGTCGGCGTATTAAAACGCGAGCCTGTCAGTTTGAAGATATCATTTGTGCCCGAGCTGGTGCTGGAGAGTATATTACTACCCGGCGTAAGGCTAAGGGCGAGGAAGAGGGCGGTTGAGAGGAACAGGGTGTTAAGCGCGCGGGAGGCAAGTGTAGGAAGAGCCTGGGGAGGCGGACGGTTCGTAAGATGCGAGTGGACTGATCGGAAGAGAGCAATGGCCTTGGGTATTATGATCGGCGCAAAGAAGATGGCTAACGCCTTGATGCTATCGTGGGTTATGAGTAGTCAGTAGCTGGTGATAGGTGAGCCTGGACGGAGTTTGGACGTAGCGCATACTTATCGTAGGAGAGCATATTTCGGGAGTACGCCTGCCCACTGCTCTGATAGAATAGGACCTAGATATTGATAGTATCACACATCCTACGCAGCATGCTCTGAGTAGCTACGTCTATGGCTTTGTGTTGGGGAGTTGTTGCAAGTATCTGCATAGGTGTTCATTAAAAAATATATTTTAAGCGCGGGTCTTTCTTTTTAGCTAGTTAACCACCTGCAGCTAACTTAACTACCAACAGGGGTATGCCCATGACAGATGCAAGTGACTCGACCGGACATAAAGACATACACAAAGACATCGAGATGCATAAAATGGTATATAAACGACTAAAAAGACAGTTACAGTCGCTGGCTAAATAAATAACAAAATAATTTAAGTACACAAGTTCTTTTCCTCAGAAGGCTCGGGAACGCTAGACGCTCGCTGATTTCAACCGGAAGTAAAAGCAAGGATGAAAGACGGAGATGGAGGTCCTCAAATATAAAATCGTGAAACGGCGCCACACCCGAAACACCTGCCAATCATGCTAGAAAGTGAATAATGGGGCTTGAATATTAAAGGTGGAGGGAGAAAAAAAGCCACAATATGGAATCCAGCTGCATAGACAAGCAAATTCGAGAAAACGAGCAACAGAAAGAATGTTGGTGGGTTTCCGGAGTGCAGACTCCACAGATCATCTGGACTGGTATCATCAAATATAGTTAGAATACATTGCAGGATGATGGGCGAGATTGGGAGCGGCAATCTCCGCAGAAGGCATGGGCATGGGCGCCGGCATTGGCGCCGGTGACCTAGATGCGTTGGCAGGCGGTGTAGAGAAGGCGTCTAGAGGTGAAGAGATGTGGACTGGGTATCCGTTAGGGGGCTGGGGATGTCGTTTATGTCGAATTGAGCCTATCCGTGGAGTGGTGGATGAAGACTTGTAGGTGTTCAGGGAGGCTTTGTGCGAGAGCTTGAAGGATCTGTAGCTGTCCTTGCGAGTGACCACTTCTTGCGTAGCAACAGCTCCTCGGGCACGAACATGACGTGCAGAGATTCCGATATCTGGATCTCGAAATACATAGCTCTGTGTCAATTGGTGTTAATGAGGAGCCAATCACATCAGTGAAAATGGAAGGAGTACAAACCAGGCCAATATTGAGGGTCCCGATGACAATTGACACAACGCCAGCTCCGAGGATGAGTTTCCAGAAGGGAAGGCCTATTTCTTTCGGGCGGGTGGACTGGTTGTTCAGCTCCCCCAGAGTCGAGATACCGAGCAACACCATGGTAGCCCCGAGAGTCACAAAGCCGGAGTCTTCGCCGAGCAGGGGCCAGTTCCGGTCAAAATACGCCCTGAAGACGCTGAGTTCCGAGACAATGAGGAATGCTATGGATGACATGTTAGAGTAGGGTATATATTTATGTCTGTGGAGTTGCAGAAGGACGTACAGCAGACGGATGCAGAGGCAACATGAGTAACGGCTTCGAAAAAGAAAAAATTGGTGACCAGGACGATTTTGATCAGCAGAATTATGTTTGCGGCGATGACGACAAGAAGGCTGATGATGTTCATGACCCGAACGAGATTTAATATCACATACCCCGGGCCGGCCAAGGGAAACTTGGGGGCCTCCATCTGCAAGGGTCGTTTTTCTTCAGTATTATTGTGGGTGTAGGAGCTGTAGTTGGAGGAGGGAGCGAGCGAATGCGCTGCAAGACTTGGTGCTTGCGATGGCATGGTTAGAAGACGATGATCTTATATATTGGCAGCAGCGGCAGCAGCAGTAGTAGAAGTAGGAGATGGTATCAAAATGAAGGTAGAAGGTCAGAGAAGAAAAGAAGAGAAAGAAGAAGGCCTGGCCGGCAGGACAGAAGGGCTGTCAGGATGAATCACCAAGGACAGCGAAGAATATGATCAATAAGAAGCGAATGAAGGGCGGTTTGATTCAGCAGAGAGAGCGAGCGATGAATCAAACATCTCGCAGGTCAGCCATTAGACATTTGACAGGCGGTTGTTGGCAGACAGCAGACACTGTATATTGATTGATATGGTATTTTGAACAATAGCTATTAGGAAAAAGGAACCGACACAGGAAAGAGATGAAAGAAAGGCGAAGATGAAGACAGGAGAAGAAGAGGGAAACGCTTGAAGGCCAGTTTAAGCAGCCTCTTCTTCCTCTTCATCCACCAGTCCATCCTGTTACTCCATAACTATATTCACGATATATGAATAGCATGAAACAGCATGGTTGAAACATGTCTGTGCAGTATACGGGCAGAGGCCTCCAACCGCCCGTCCAGGGGCTCCCCTCGGGCAGCCCTGAGAGGCTCTCCTGTGCTTCAGGATGGCCCGTTGTCCCCCTCAGCGACTGGCCCTCGTCGTCCCTCCTGCGCTGCGTCTGCGGCCCGGGATGATGCTGAAACGCAGCGTCTCGAGCATCTCCCGACCAACCACAGTCCGTCTTTTCCTCTTGACTACTCGATCGTTCATCGTTTTCATCTCTGCACTTCGTCTTCCTCTTCGTCTTCCTCTTCGCCTTTCGTCTTCCCGTCTCGTTGCTTTTTTATATCCACGGTCACATGACCCCGGCGCTTCTATCGAACTCTTCTTCCTTCTGCGGCGGGTTTTTTTTCCTTCGTTGCGACCTTCGTTGTCCATCGACTCGCTCTTCTGCGTCCTGCGTCTGCTCGCTCGTCCCCGCGGCCTCGTTGCCTCGTTGCTTCATTGCTTCGTACGCTCCGTCGTCAGAGTATCGTTCGGTTGAAACTAAGCTGCTAAGATAGCGCACCATGACTCGCGGTAATCAGCGTGACAAGGCGAGGGAGAAGAACCTCAAGGAGGCGGCCAGCCATGTACGTTAAGTTGAGCCTCTATCGATAGTGCATGCTTCTCCTGTTCCATGATGTTTGGCAGCAGATGACTGACGACTGACACTCCCGTCTACAGAAGAAGAAAAATGAGATGAGCGGGACTGAGTTTGCTCGTACTAAGGAGGCTCAGGCTGAAATTATGCGGAAGAAACAAGAAGCTGGTTCGTAGACCTTTGGTGGTGATTGCTTAAGACGTAGCCGTTGACTGACTGGTTTGTTTGTCTCTTTATAGCAAATGCGAGAAAGGCGGCTGAAGGGGGAAGCGGGAAGAAAAAGTAGCTGAAGGCATGCCATGCCATTCCCCCGTCGCTGCGACCTGCGTTAGTTCACAGACGATACCCGTTTGCTCTGGCTTTGTCTGGTCAAGAGGTGTTCGGCGTATGTTGAGTTTTTGGATATTCGGCTGCCTGGCCCTCCCGCGTTAACTATCTTTCCAGCCAAGATATCACGATCTGTGATCTAATCAATCTCCGCATCAGGAAAACAGGAGACAGCATGGTGTTATGCATTACGATGATGATAGAGAGGATTACTCCTCTACGAAGACAGCCTCCTTGATTCAAATGATAGCGTTATAGCGTTCTTTTTTATTTTATTTATTTTATTTTATTTTTTATTTATTTATCCATACATTTCAATCTCCTCCCCATATTATTACTAACATATAAATGACAACTCTCATTTGGTTATTCACGAGCCCAGCTCGCTATAATATCTCTTTTATCCACAAGTCATCACGGGAGATGTTGAGCCCACCTCTTCCACGACCTCGGGCCTGGTACATTAGCGGGAATCTCATTTGCCACAGGGCCTTCCAACTCCAACCTCAACGCTGCTGGTCCCTGGCCATGACCCTGGCCCCGGTCATACCATCCTTCTAGTCCACTTTCCGTTTCTTCTACTGTGGTCACCCCAAACCTCGACCCAGCAAGCTCAACAAAAGTCCACAGCGCCTCCCGTTGCCACTGCACCGCACGGCCAAAGCGAATAACCTGCTGCACAACATCATGCACCTCATCGTCATTACCGCCATCACGGACCAACGTAAGTATGTGAAGCAGGAACATCCACCCTGAGTTATCGCCAGGGTTACGTAGGCACCAGTCCCGCATGGTAATAATGAGATGGGTGTCGGATATTAGACGGGAGGTGGTAACTCCCGTTTCTGGTACCGCTGCGTTCGCCCCAGCACCCCTGCCATGTTCGGGTTCAACCTTGACATCAACCTCGTAAGGGGTGACGAGCTCTGATCGATCGTCAAGACCACCACTACCCAACAGGGCCAAGGTCTGCCGTAGATAGCTAAATGCATAGTAGTTCATCGGGTGATGTTCAGCTGCCCGCAAGACAAGCTCAACTTCACGTTTCAACAGCCCAGCCTTGGCCTGCTGCTGCTGCTGCTGATGACGAAGGCAGACCTGCATAAGCCAGAGGCGATGGTACCAGAGCGTCGGCGACTTTGCATGCCGGTGTAAAGGCGATCCAAGCAAGGAGGCAGTAAAGTTGTACTCGATGGAGAGGAGTCGTGGTAGTGGTGGTGGTGGTGGTGGTGTTGGTGACCACGGTCGATCGGCACCATCCGAGCCTTGCTTCGAGAGTGACCTGACAATCCTTCGCTTTCGCCAGTTACAGGCCGTCAGGTGCTCTGAGTCGAACACCAGGATGACCGTCGATGCCGCCGCCACCACATCGTCGTCACTGCCGTCTTCTGGCGTGGGATTGGACGTGAAAAAGGCCCGTCTGGCGGTGGTGAAGGCCCGAACAAGCGCCTTCTTGGTGACGCCTAGAGAGCTGCTGTCGCCATCTGTGAGCAGTGGTCCCAGGGCGTCAGGCAGGATCTCGATCTCGACTGTGTTTTCGCGCTCGCCTACGGAGGCCAGGGTATCATATATGCGCGCATCGAGCGCAGTAGACGTGCTGTCTGCGTCTGTAGCTGGAGCTGACATTGAAGAGCGACTTCATTCTCGTTTAGATATTCTCGTTTAGTTACTTTGTTGTTCTGGCTGCTGCTGCGACGGTGCCTGTCTTGCCAAGGCTGCAAAAATCACGAGATTCAGGGGATTCGCGGCTTGAACAAGATAACTACGCTTATCGACAGTTGGAGCAGTGAGAGTAAGAGAGTCGTAGCTTAGCTGTTGAAGATGTCTTCAGCCAGTGTCGTCTCAACTTCTCAGAGATTCAGAGATGTGCGATGACGCGCAGGGTACAAGTCGTAAAATACAGATACATGATCATCACGCGTGCATAAAAAAAAAAAAAAAAACAACAACAACAGAAGACAAGGACGAGACGAAAAAGAAGCAAAGAATGGAAAAAGCAAGCAGGCTGATCAATGGGAAGTGAGACGGATGGAACAGTCCAACGACTCGCGAGTAGGTCCATCCTGAGAGACTCGAGAGACACATCATAGCAGCCACCAGCTATAAGTACGGAGTGACTGACTTGTCCGTTAGATACGTAGTTAGCTGAGTCCCGAGGGACTCCATCGACGTCAGGGTCTCCCGTCGCACGGCCATAATACAGGAGCTCCCTAGCTATATCAGATATCGGTTCATGAGACATGAGAAACATGTTCTCTGTTGCTATCAGTCATATTTGCTTAAAAAAAAAAAAAAAAAAAAAATACCGTGACCACGGCTCTTCTGTAGCTGGCTCGGCCGGGGCTATGCACAGATAATATAATATTATTAGATTTACATCCACTCTGGAGAGGAACGACAGAAGAACATTGGGTTAACCTTTCAATACCCTTAAATTTGATCACCTTTTTCACCGGAGCAAAGGACCAGAATAAGTTAAAGCCAGAGCCCAGCAGGAAAAGAAGAAAGAGGAGAAGGAAAAAGCCTCCATCGCGTTGTTATTTTCTGTCCTGTGGTTGGACGGTTCGATTTTGATACTGACCAAAAGGGCTTTTTTTTTACTCAATTGCTCTGCTGGGTGGAGGGAAAAAAAGGGGAAAAAGAAACGAAAAAGGACTTGACCCTGCTGCAGCATCCCTGTTGGTACGTTGGGTAATGTTACTATGAGAAGTGAAAAATACAGCATACAGGTCCTGAATCTGGTATTACCAGTCCGGGTTTTACACTGTGCTCTGCGAGACATCGAGGGGGGTCGCCCCAGCCGAACGAGTCAGGTAACCTGTGATGATTGCTCGATCACTGGATTGGATGGACAGCCATGGAAGAAGAGGAGAAAGAAGAAGAAAAGAAGAAGACGAAGACGACGAAGAAGACACCAACGACGACCATGGGTTGATTATTTATACGATGGAAGCCACGCCACATTTATGCTCTTGCTAGTGCAAGGTGTTTTTTTTCTTATGGAGTAGGGAGTATACATACATTATACTATTTGGGTGAGTGGTGATTTAACTACTCTTTGAAGCAAGCGTTTGACGGAGCGAGAGGGCAGTCGGTGACTACTGTGGACTAAGAGTACTATTTTGATAGTTCTTGGTCTGTGTGACGATAGCTCGCGGCCAGAGGAGTAACTAACTCGTTAGTTCAGGACGGGTGCCCGTGATCCGGCGGTTACAGATAGACCATGCGATGAAACGGGGGGGTATTGGGGAGGAGAGGGGAGGGGGTAAGAAGCAGGCGGTTTTGCAAGACAGCGAAGATTTCGATGGCCTGATCTCGATGTTTCTTATGTTTGTTGGCGATGATGATGAAGGTAAACGGACACCCGACGACGTGGCTCTGGGAGTCTCTTCGCCGTCTACTCCGTATAACTACTTCTTCTGCTTTCTTTATCCGGGGCTGAAGAAGGAGGCGAAAGAACACTCGACCGAACACGAAGAGAGTTTCGACCTGTCCATGGTTCGACCGAAGATCGAAGGCGACTTTGAAGGAACAAATCTCGATGGCCACGAGATACGACTTAGGTTACGTCCTTCCTCTCTCTCTGTCTTGCTGCTGCTGCTCGCTCCGGAGGGCAGTGTATACATGAGTTACATGTAAGTATACGTGCGTAAGGATGTGACGTCTTAAGATGCCTGCGACTGCATGGTACTTACATACTTACTTGTAAGTGACTAACAAACCAGGCCAAACAGGGGGGCAAGGAGGAAAATAAATATATTAAAAATGGAGCAGCAAGTAGAGACAGAAGAGCAAATTCGAACCCGACACTGCGGTTCCAGACCCCGAAAACAAGAAAGCAAGAACGAGACGGCATGAAGACGCTGGGAGATCTGCCGTTAGCCAGTCGACGGGACACACTCCTTCGCTGCTCGCTCCCTTGTTTGCTTTCTTTTTCCTGCTCTTTTTTGGCTGCTGTTGTGTGTGGGTGTCTCTGTGTGTTCTGATTGAAGAATCATCCTTGAGCGGGTGACACAGCCATGCAACCTGTGACTTCTCGGTCAGCACATAACATTAAACAGTTATTTTTATATACTCTGTACGGAGTATACATGTCGTCTTCCTTCGTCAGCCAGGGCGAGACATGCGAGTGAACCGAGGAACCAAGCAACCGCAGCAGCACCGTGTCCATGGCATGAGGGACGACAAGCACCAACAAAACAGCACCTCTCTTACGCTGCTCCCACCCAGAAGAACGGACAGGAGGGGGGCCGGCAAGGCTGGGTCGGGTCAGATGGCGTCCGCTGTTTGGGTGCAGCTTGTTGCAGCTGTTATTATTGTGTGTGGCAGGTCGGGTAGTTGGTTGGGCTCCTTGCCTGGCTGGTGGGAGAGAGACCCAGCCGGAGGGGAAAAAAACCCTTGCATGCTGCTCGCGCCCTCTGGGAACCCACCTTCGCGGTGCTGCTGCCGCCGTCCTGGGAGATGCAGAAGCCATCCATCCATTATTGCTATCATTATTGTAAGCCCTAACCAAGTTCCAGTGAAATATATTCATATATATATATATATATATATATATAATAACGAAAGAGCAGCGAGCGACTGCTGTCTGAAAGTAGAAGTGCAAGCGAGAAGGCCGCTGGCGGCTCGAGGACGCCACGTTTCCCGAGCTGCCCGTTCGATGGCTGGGCAAAGCAAAATGCTATTATATTACTCTTTTTGGTCGGATTTTCGTGTTTTCTTCTTCCTCTGCCCTTTGTTCGATCGTGCTCAAGGCTCAAGGGGGCGCACCCTGCGTCCACCACACACCACTGTCTCCGCGGGGCCGCATGCTCCTGAAGTACATGTACCTCCCTGCGTGGCGTCTGACTCGTGCACACTAGTCTGCCATCGCCCGCCCCAAGCCTCTGTCGCTGTCCTCAGCCTCTCTCTCTCGCCATGGCATGTGTGTATATACCTGTCTGCCTGCCTGCCTGTCTGTCTGTCTGTACGGTGCATCCGTCTCCGCCGCCGCCCACCAGCGTTGTTGCTTCTGCGGCCAGACAGGAAAAAAGACAAATTACGAAAACGAGAGGGGAACAACGGTAAGTTACGGCAGGTAACAACGCCTTGCCCCTCTGGGCCTAGTGCTACCCCACCCCTGTCCGGCCCAGCCCGTCGGAGTGGCCCAAGGGAAGCCCGCCAAGCCCGCCAAGGTCCACCATCTCAAATCTTATTTCTCGCCTGCGCTCCCGCTGTCGCATCCACCACCTTGTCGCCCGCCAAGCCCGCCAAGCCCGCTCCCCTATCAACCACTGTGGAGCCCTAGGCCTCGTTTCTTTTTTCTTTTTTAAGCTTTTGCCTGTTATTTTTCAAGTCCTTCTCGTCTCTTACTGGCCCTGCCCGCTGGTGCTGGTACTGTCACGCCCGTTACAGCCCAGTAACATACTGCCCTTTTTCGCTGCGCTTACCGTACCGTACCATACGCCTGTTCCGGGGAGGGATCAGTGCGGCCCCAGCGCCCCGGACCTGGTCCACCCTTTTTTTTGCTTTCCTTCTCGTCGCTCGCCTTTCTCTTCTTCTTCCTCCTCCTCCTCGCCTGCACACAAAAACCAAGCAGCACCGCCAGCACCAGACGACCACCCGCCGACAGACAGACTCTCGCACGGCAGACACGCACTCAGCACACACAGTCTGACTGGCAGCCGTGTCGAAGGACCGCAGACGATAAGTCGTCGCATGGTGAGTTGAGGCGAGGAGAGGCGAGGCGGCGTTGCGTGATTGTCGACTCAACAAACTGACGGCTATCCAGGATACCAGCTAACCGCCCCGATTCTCTCGACTCTTTCTCTCTCTCTCACACACACTCTCTTTGTACTCCTGATTTTGGGCCATAGCCGTCGCCCAAGATGGCTTCCAAGTCGTCCATCCTGCACCCTCCAAATGAGACCGAGCACTCCTAGTCCAGGATCACCCGCGAGGGCAAGAAGATCACCTACTCGCTCAGGGTGATGCAGCAGCCAGAACGTGCCAGAGCATGCGGCGCCGGCGCTAAGTGTACGTCTCTTCTCTTGCCTTCTCTTTTTAAAATAAAGATTGTTATCAGTAGGATGAGAACTAAGGAGTATTAGCCGCTGCGGACCGTCGTCCTGTTGACCCGCCACCGATCGTGGAGATGCGCATCTACGAGTCAGACCCAAACAACGACATGCAAAAGACTGACATCACCTTCTCATACAATGCCAACTTCTTCCTCTTCGCAACGCTCGAATGGGCTCGTCCTTATGCTCACGGCAGAGTGCAGGGCCAGCCGCCCACTTGTCCCGTCCTGACCGGTGTTCCAGTCGCAGGCATCGCATATCTCGACCGTCCCAGCCAGGCCGGCTACTTCATCTTCCCAGACCTCTCTGTCCGGCACGAGGGGCTCTACAGACTCAACTTCAGTCTGTACGAGGAACCCAAGGATAACAAGGACGAAGACAAGGTGTCTCCGTCTCCTGTCGGGACCGTGAGCACGACGGGCATGACCATGCCGATGAAGTCGAGACAGCCAATGAAGAACATGTATTTCCGTCTCGAGGTCAAGACCATCGCCTTCACCGTCTTCAGCGCAAAGAAGTTTCCTGGTCTGTCCGAGAGCACAACTCTTTCTCGTATAGTTGCCGAGCAGGGCTGCAGAGTGCGTATCCGTCGAGATGTGCGTATGCGTCGTAGAGAACCCAAGTCGAACAAAGACTACGGCGGCTACGATGAGAGACACGTTACGCCAGACTCGTACCATCCAGGAACACCGATCGAGCGGCCGAGAAGTGCCAGCAACTCGGGCATGGAAGGTGGTTACTACTGTCCAACACCACAACGCGCTCAGTCCGTCGCTCAGGGGTACGGCTATCCTGCTCCACCACCACCACCAGGACCAGTGTCTCAGCAGTATCAACAACAACCACCACCACCACATCCTTCTGCCGGTCAGATGGCTCTCCCGGGACCGCCAGTGCAGCCTCAAGCTCAGTCTCACCTCTCCTTTGGTGCTCCACAACCACAATACTGCACTCCCCAGCTCCCGCCACAGCAGCAACAACAACATCAACAACAACAACCACCACCGCCGCCGCCGCCGCAGCACCCACCAAGCCAGATGCCCTACTCATCGCCAATGCCCAACTACACACCTCTCCGCCATCCATCAACGACAACAGAATATGAATCTCACGCTAAATACCCTTCCTACCAACAATCGCAGCAACCACAGCAACCACAGCCATCGAGACAGCCGTCTGACCCCAACGTGAAGGCGAGCCTCCCACCAATCTCCATCCCACACGACTCTGCATCGAGCGGGCCTCGCTACTCCTCAGATCCAAAAGCATACCAGTCGACCACATCCCAAGCAACCCAGATGCCTCCTCCATCGTCTCTCACCTCCGCCTCAACTTCTACTTCTTACAACCCGCCCACCACCAACGATGTCGTCGAACCAGCCACTCCAACAGAGCAGACACAGCAGAATTCATCCAATTCAACATCACAGCAGCCACCAACCTATGACCCTACGCCAGGCAAAGGCTGGTCCTTCCGCCCGGAACCCTTACTCTCTTCCAAGCGAGGACACGGCGATGTCTTTGGCACCGCCCAGCACACCCAGCCCTTACACCACGGCAAACGAGCAGACTCGATCACTACGTCATCTTCTAATGCTAGTCGAAGCACTCTGCTATCACGCCTCACTCGACTACAGGGCATCGATGACGAAGACAATGGCATTATCGGTATGACCTACAAGCGAGCCGATGGCCGAGTTGCTACCAGAGTGGCTGGACTGGCGCGAGCGTCGTAAAAAATATCAAGCATCGTTTTCTATCAAAGCAAAACTTGAACAAACTTTGAACGAAAATACCATTTTGCAAGTGTTTCGTGTGATTTTTCTGCATAATGTGCCATATCTATACCAAACCGCAAGCCATCTCTACCCGCCAACCTGACCAGATCTTCCCACCCCGTTTCTTTCAATCTATCTTCTTTCATATCATTTTATCGCTTGCTTGATACATCAAAAAACCTTTGGGAGGGTGGGAACCGGTGGCAATTTGCCCTTTCGAACTTCGTCTTCAGCTCCCTTGTGTCTGCCAGATGTTCTATACGCCTTTTCTCCGACTTGTTTATTTCCCCCCTTTTTACTGCTCTTCTTGCTATATATCTGGTATTCTTCTTTTTCTTTTTCTTTTGCTTCTTTCTCTCGCTATTTATTTCCCTATCTGTTGTCCTTGTCCTTGTCTTGATTCCCCTCGCCTGCCCGTCTATGATATCCAATCCCCTTTACCCTCTACATCTTTCCCGCACGCTTGCTTCTACTTCTTTTCCCCAGATGTATTTGACAACTCCTTCCCGCAACCGTTTTTCTCTCTCCACACACACACACAGACATACACTTACCAATGTTACAGGGGCCGCAGACAACTCGAGTCCAATAGTTTGGAATGAATAGTGAAAAGCCAAAAAATGCCATGTTGGATTGGACAGATGCAGTCGGAGTGCCTTTCCCCTTGCCAGTCGTTCTTCTTTATCTAATCTGAATGAGTATATCTATCCATCTATATCCATTCCAGCCCTACGCATCTCAGTCTAGTCCAGCTTTCTTCTCCGTTCCTCCGTCTTTCCCCTGTTTAATACCCCTTTCTTTCTTTTCTTTTTTTTTTTTCCTTTCTTTCTTCCATGTCCTCTCCTGTGTGTTTGTTTAGGTATATCTATCATCCATATCGTACGTACATTGAACAAATGGGAATATAAAGAAAGAACAGAAAGTGAGCAACAGCCGTTTCACCACAAGCACTCCCGTATAATACTCACTCATCCATCCCATCTACCTGTAGCCAGCTATCCAACCGCAAGAGAGGAACTCTTCTGCAGCGTAATTGGCTGCCCTGCCAACCACCCCTTGTCCTGCGGCGTCTCTATCTCCTGCTGTGCCCTTTTGCCCCTTGCCAGCCCAACTTCCACTAGCCGCGCCTCCGCCGAGGACTAACCTTCTTCTGCTTGTCTTCTCTGGGTCTTCTTCTTCTTCTCCGCTTGCTTGTTGTTTTTCTTCTGGCTCTATTCCTTCTTTCGTCTTTCTTTTATCCGAGCGTGGGGGTTGCACCTGAATTGGGTGTCTGTCTGGTCGGCGAGCCGCGGGTGTCGGTTTAAAAGCTGCTTCTGTCTCTGCTGTTTGGGCGTTGGATAGTTTGGCGTCTTCTTCTCCGTTTGACTTGACGTTGGCTGTTCTTCTTCTGCTGCTGCTGCTGTTGTCATTTGTTGTTCTTTCAAGAGGTCGACATCGCCAACTTCACCTTCAACCACTGACCTCCCCGTCAGCCTCGCCTTTTTCCCTTCACCATCTCCGTCGCCCTCGTCGTTATTTCGTTATTATATTCGTCTCCAGGTCGGCAGTCGAAGGTCGATCTCGGGCGTTTCACAAACCTGCCACAGCCCGCCAGCAACGTCAAATCCCGGCCTGCAGGGAGGCAACCTCGAGCCGAGTCTCGAGTCCAGCTCCAGTCCCCTCTACCTACCATTAATCAGACAGAGTCGGGGGGGGCTTGCCTGCTCGCCTCTCTACGCTATATCGTCCTGTCTGTCTGTCTGTCTCTATTGACCTCGCCGCCGGTGTCTGCTGCTGGTATGTCGGCTCTGCTATTTACTTGCGAACTAACGCGTTGCCATCTCTCCTCCCACTATGTAAACAAACAAACAAACAAAACCCACCAGGCCAGCGGGCAAACGGGAGTAACAGGTTTAGCTAACGGACTAATTTACTTAGATGATACGGAGTACGGGTCCCAGTCGATGTTACTCTAGATAAACGAGCTCGCGGATCAGAGTCAAGATGCCTCGAGCGGCAAAGACGGGCGATGTAAGTGATTATTTGTTTGTTTATCTGGTTCGCGTTACCAGAACCCGTGGCTGCCACAGAACCAAACAGCGAGACGTAGATACGACTCGAAAACATGCACAGAATTCAGTATAACTTGAATAATTCCAGGCTATGCTGCCTCCTTTGCCCTGGCATCTGGGACTCTATGTCGTTTCTTGACGGTTGTTGTGGATGTGGTGTCCTGTGTGGTTGCACTGGCTACTGGTACATGAACACGTATAACTGACTATTGAGCACAGGGAGATGAAGTTGATGTTGATCGCCAGCTAGAGGACACCCTACAGCAGTCAGCTGCTCAGGCTGCTGCTGCGGATGCCTCGCTGGTGGAGGATGGCCCTGGAAGCCCGTACTACGACAGACGGTATGGAAGTAGCAGCAGTCGTGGTCGGGCAGTTGTAACGGGGCCTTCAAAACGCAAGACATATCCATACCCATACCCAGAGGCCGCTGCTGGACGTGATGGTACCCTTTCTGCCTCCACGCCTTCTCATCGTCGCTGTGAGTCCAGCAGGGACCGTTACAGCGTTGACGTTGCCGGTTCATACCATTCATCATCGCCTCAAAAGCGTGTTGTGCCTGGGGAGCTTCCTGAACAGCCGGCTCTTCGTTCTCGCAGAGGTCAGGACGTAACGGAGCTTAGGGACAGACAGGAACGCCAGTCCCGGTTCCTAGAAGGAAGTATGAACGACAAGGTTAGCACACGTCCACCATCTGTTTTTATTGGCGAGGAGCAAGAGTACCTACTCTCGACATACATGGATGAGCACAACGGCGGAAAAGGCGTCAATGGGTGGCAGCCTACTGCAGGTGGTCGGGCTTCGACAGCTCCCTTGCTACAGGGCAAGAAAGGATCTCTTTCTTCCACCAAAACAAACAACACTGATGCAACTGATGCCAAATCCTCAGGTGTTTTCCGCTTTGGAAAGGCTATCGTCTCCGCTATCAACCCAATGGGTGTATGGGGCAACGTCTCTGAAATCTGGAAGGGCCATGATTCGTCATCCAAGGGGTCAGGCTCAAGAGAGATGCCGGTCGACACACCTCATGCCGCACGCATCGAAAAGGCATACCAGGAATACAAGGCTTCGGCGGCCTATAGGAGCACCACACCTTCAACCGCCCCCTTACACAGATATGGCTCTTCGAGGGAGGACACTGGCAGCCCAGCAAAATTGCTCCCCGTTCAGACACCACAACCGCAGCAGTCTCATGATACGAGTGCTTTGATCCAATCCAGCATCAGCAAGGAGCTGCCACCTACACCACTTGAATGGCAAGGTCTGCCAGTTTCCACCGTCTCCAAACGTTCCTCGTTCCAGACAATCAAGGGCTCTCGATCATTCCTTAACCTCAGTCACTCCCTCCGAAAGGAGCAGTCACACAAAGACCTTGCAAGAGAAAACAAGCTGAGGAAAAAAGTTAGCAATCTTGAGGAGAAGCTCTTAAGATATAAACGCGAGCTCAGCACCTTTGCACACGAGGAGGATAAGAAAGTGGATGAGCTTGAAGGAGATGCACACGCGGGCCTCGCTGTTCAAGTTAATAACCATGTAGCTCATCACCTTTATCCCCATACTACGGCCGGCCTCTCGGTTCCTTCAGTCCCATCTCCAGCTCCATCTCCAGCTCCTCCAAGCCATGATGCGAGATACATGCGAATGAGACCCAAAAAGTTTGTTCCAGGTGCCTTGCCCTCTCTTCCCTCAGAGAGACTCCTTCTTGACGATGGAGAGCCTACCACCATTCGTGAAGTCTCAAGGCAAGAGGCTAGCCCTGAGAAGCCCATCTATACGAGGAGATCAGAACCACGACTGAGACGGGCGGTCCCGCGAATTAGAGAGGAAGATGTCACCCGGACTCCTGCCGCCACGACCACTAAACTGACCATAGAGGGAGCAAACACACCTCCTTCACGGAAACGCAAGTCTCCTTCCCCCGACCATGCAAGTATCCGTCGTCGCCGGATCTCTGCCACCTATAGCAAGAACATAAGGAGTAACAACAATAGCAACAATGCTAACGACAGAAATGATTGCGCCTCACCTCCGCCTTCGCCGCAGCCCAACCGTCGTGTCTCGACTGAAAAGCTAACAGGACCCCGTCCGTACCCTGTCAATGCACGTACAGAGGCAGAAGGCCGGCGTAATCAGCCATCTCGCAGAGCCAAAGAGATCAAGCCGGTCTACTACCCAAATTATGATTTGACAGGACGCTCTGTCCCTGTCCCCGAACGATCCGAATCCAGACCCAAGCAAGACCAAACCCCAGCTCCAGCCCCAGCCAAAACGCCAATCCCCAAGTCAACCCCAGCCCTTCCCCCCCATCATGGTGGCCCCTATGCATCAGTGGAAGTAGCCATCCCAATTTCAGTCGCCCCTCCCATCCCATCCTCTACCAAACCACCACCGACGCCAGCCTCCAGGCAAAAACCAAATCAAAAGAAAACTGCAGATGCAACCGCAAATACTGCTTCAATTCCACCCCCACGCCCAGAGTCTGTTCCATCAATAAAGGACATCATAAGCAGATCTGGCAGCCCCAGGAAGCACCACAACATTCCACCGCGTCGTAAAGCTGCCGAGAAGCCTATCAGCATTACCCCGGGGAAGGGGGGTGACGAGAATATCCCGCCTGTTCCTCCACTGCCGGTAGAGCATGGAGGCAGTCCCTTGATTGAAGACGGCGAATTCGAGTGGCCTGAAGACATTTTTTAGATTCCGAGATATGAGTGATGATTTTATGTTCAACTGCCTCTCTCTTCTCCTCTTTTCATACCTGCCGGGTCAAAGATCATCTCATGCCGTTTGATATAATTTTGGCGGTATAATCACCATGATTCCATTGATGAACAGATCTCAAATGTGCATGACGAGATATGATTTGCTCCTTTTTTTTTTTTCTTCGTTATTCCCTTCTGTCACCTCACTATGCCCTTTACCTTTGCCAATTTTAGTACGCACTGCACACCCTTTTTGCTTCGTGCATATTCCTTACCACTCGCACGGACTTGCTTTTGCTGTATCTTGGTTCTTCATTCTTGATTCTTATTATTTGGAAGTCTTTTCTTTTAACCCCCCCAGCGTAGCGCAGCGCAGCACAACATGCATAGTTAGCATTTGGAGTTTGAACGACTGGAGTTACGTCTTTTTGACATTATTTCTGCTGCGAGCTTCCTTGATTAGGGTTGGAATGACAGCGATATGACGACAGCTAACTGAGTCAATCATGTGTAACGAGTCACAACAGGTAGTCGGTTTCCATTATGTTCCCTTTATCTAAGAAAGACAAAAAAAAAAGTAGTTATATTGATAGCTGATCTTATATTGCTCCTGTGGTTTTGATGCACCTTGCCGTCGCCACATCTTAGGTATAGAGCGCGGGATTTAATGCAGTACGAAAAGCCCCCAGCCTATATAATAATAGCATGCATGTACATACATACCGCCTACACGTATGCCCGTGAGTGTCATCTACCACCCTCTCCAGCTCTGCCAAACATCAACTATGCGATCCTTCTCGCTTCCCTGGGCTGTCGAATCAACAACAAGCACATAAGTGAACCCTGCAAGGCAAATGCAACAATGATTCGGCCAGATGCGCAGTTTCTCACCAATTCGCAAAGGCCGCATGTTCTGTCGTGATCCATGCCAGCGCAAAATTCCGTGCTCCTGGCTTACACGATCCAGCACCCATCCCGTTTTGTCTCCGTCTGGATTATAAAAGCCGACTCCTTCATCCGCTGCTGGTGCTGCGTCATTAGCTTGCTGCTGCTGCTGCTGCTCACGCCAGGGTGTGACTACACCCCAACCCTCGTAGCTACGACACGGTTCCCGTCCTATAGCCAGTGAACCACATGCCACAAGCGCTTCCGGGTGTTCGCGGTGCATGTACAATGATCCCACTTCCGCAAGAACAGTAAGCGCCAGGTCATCGAATGATAGATGTGAGCTGTTCGGCCGCGCACGGGCGGCTAACTGCTGCATGTCCAACGTCACGTACGCACCCGCGTGCAGTTCAACGTCATACGTTTGCTTGGTCTGGTCAATGAGTTCCTTGGCCTTGTCTGCTCCTGGAAGAGAAAGGGTCCCGTGTCCCGTCAGGTTTTGTGCTGCGGTTGTGCTGGGCGTTGCGCCGACGGAGAGAATGAAGCGTCGTTGAGAGTAGTTTGTCTCCCCGTCAAAAGGGGTAGGCGGCGGGATGGCTGAAGCACGATCTGCAGCCAGTTTGCATCCTTCTATCTCGACGCGAAGGTAGTCCATTGCCTCTGATGGGTTATTGGAGCCATAGCTGTGCCCCATGTGAGAGTAGAAGCCGCGAAGGGTGAAAAGATGCGGTTCCTTGCCTTCTAAGGCGTAGAGTTCACTGACAATAGCATTGAATTGGGCACTGCTGTAAGTCACGCCAGCGCGACCGTAGCCGGTATCCAGCTTAATGAAGACGCCCAACCTCTTCCCACATAGGGCATGATAGCGGGACAGAAACGGAATGACCTCAACACTGTCCACCAGGCAAGTCACTGCTCCATGGCCGAGGGCCTTGCCCAGTTCAGCTAAGCGAGGGAAGCATGACGGCTGAACGGGAAGACCGTAGATTAACTATGTTGACATATTAGCTAACTAGTTTTGTATTACCTTAAAGCCCCCTTCATCCTTTATAAGGGAAGTTAACATACATCTACTTTCCGCCCTTTTGTTTGACATTCTTTCATGAACGGAACCAGCTGCTCAGCTTCTACCAAGGTGGATGCCACCAGCCGTACCGTATCTGATTTCTCACCAACTTGGAAGCGGGTGAGTTCGGTTGTCTATCAGCATGTCAGTCAGTTGGACGTCACGGAAACGGCCCCCACTATACTGATTGCTGGTATACGTATGTATACTTCACCATCATATACACATATATATCATGATTGAATATACACTTATGTTAGACACAAATAGGGGGATGATTGGGGATGTAACGGCACCTTATGTGTCTTGACATGCGCCCTAAAGTCCACGTCCAAAGCGAGGGCCGCATCAAGCATCATCTGGCAGTTCCGGCGTGCCACCTCACGGTCGATAACTGGTTTGGGACCGTCAACATCTTGCAACATACGACCAACGTACAAGGCCTTGAGGTCAGTCACCTCGGCAGTCGGTTGATAAGCGATGTTCAACGTCATCGTGTGGGTTGTTTTTTTCGGGGGGCTATATGCCTCGTTTTCTCCTGACACGGAGGGTATGCTGGTTGTTACCTTCTTAGGGATGGATATCTGATTCCCAGCGGTCGTGTTCTCGCACGGCTCTGACGTGGCCTCAGGCTCTCTCAAGTCCGCCTACCTGGCCGCTGATGTATGTATCAAATATGTGGACCAGACGATGTATATTCGCCCTTAACCCCGCCCGCTCCGTCGACGGTTGCTTGCACCCCCGGCGTGATGTCCGCAGGCCAACGTCAACCTGAAAAACAAAAGAAACAGAAAAAGAAAAAAAAAACAAGAGACAACCCTGTAATGCTGGGTAGTTTATCAGGCTTGGACGGGCGGTTTGCTGTAAGACGGTTAGCTCGTTGCTCTGGTACCTGGCGGCGGAGAACGAACCTGACAGCCCCTTTGGCCTCGTTGGTCAGCTAATTAACTAGTTGTTGCGAAAGGTGACAAAGACGATGCAACATCGCACGTCCGGATATTCGTCTTAGCCAGCAGGTCCATGCAAGGCGTCCTGCAGGGCGACTGGGTATGTCGGCTTTTCTCCTGCTGCTGCTATTGACAAGGTGAGGCTGCGTGGAGTCGCGATGAAGTCAGGCCGACGTCGTTTGGTCGTTTCCGCGATGCGCTGGCTGACTAACCAGTTAGACTTAGGTAGGTTAGGTAGTGAAGTTAGTTAGCCGGGCGGGCAACGACATCTCATCCTCCACGCCGCGACGCAGTAGTTACCTGGCCAGCTGCAGCAGCAGACAACGAGAGCGACAGTGAGAGGACAGCAGGAAACCAGCGAAGATGTCTGCCAAAAGGGCTGTGTTCACGGACAAGGCGCCCGCGCCGCTGCCGGTGTTCTCGCAGGCCATCGTCCACAACGGCATTGTTTACTGCTCCGGCCAGGTTGGAACCGATCCGGCTACCCGTGAGCTGGTCGAAGGGACCGTCAAGGATCGCACTGTACGTGTTTGCTCCCTCCCTCGCTGCTGAAAAGTGGCCGGTCATCCAGTAATATGGGCTGGAGAGGCGGCGGGACTGGGACGATGGTGGACTGGACTGACACCGCATGGCCATTGACGATGTACTTACATGCCGCAAACAGGCCCAGATATTCCGCAACATCACCGCTGTGCTGGAGGCTGCAGGGTCGAGCCTGGAGAAGCTGCTCAAGGTCAATATCTTTCTTACCAACATGGATGACTTCGCCGCGGTCAACGAGGTCTACGCGCAGGTCCTTAACTTTGAGCCCAAGCCGGTAAACGACCTTATTTCTCCAGCTTCGTCCATTCGTCGTCGTCTTCTTCTTCTTCTTCTTCCTTTTTTTTTTTTTTTTTTTTTTTGTCTCTTTTCTTTTTAGAGCTGCCTGTCTAGATGCCACTGGCCAGTCACTGACCCCTTCAACACAGGTCCGAACATGTGTTGCAGTTAAAACCCTTCCACGAAACACTGATGTCGAGATTGAGTGTTCGGCTTATATCTAAATAACTAGCCTTAGTTATATTCACCCCCTTTCTCCCATTCTCAACTGGGGAGTAGGATAAGGGGCTCAAGTACAAATGTATTTAGCTAGTCAGCAATAAAGAAAAACGATTAAGCGTGCGTTGTCCTGCTTGTCAGACATGAACCGGAACAGAAGCAATATCTCACTAACTTCCACGTGGAAAAATAGCAAAGAAATAGAAAAAAATAAAGAGGCAAAACCAACGACGAGGGTAAAAAAAAAAGAAAAGGAAAAAGGAAATACAGAAAAGAAAAGGAAGAAAATCTGGTTTAAAAAGAAAAAGAAAGTCAAGGAGGAGTGGAATAAGCCAACGCCTTTCTTACATCGTTCTAGACATATCCTTTGACGTCAACAGAAATGCCTCTCAGCCACCAATTTCGCCTCCAACTGGGCGGTCAAAGACATCTCCCCATCCACGAATCGTCACCCCCCCAAGCGGCCCGTCCGGCTGCTCAGCTGCCCTAAGGAAGAAAAACACGGTAAATCGGGCCCTGGGCAAAGAGGCAACAAGCCAGATGGTGCCAGATATGTAGGCTGGGAGGCAGACACCCCTGCAGGACCCTCTGATCTTACTCCTCACTCTGCTCATCATCCTTCTCATCCGTATCTCAGCTCTCAGAGTGAAGCGTTAAGTACGATGTGATCACCCAACGCTAATTCTCCCAACACCCACGATCCATGCCTGATGCAATGCCCTTGAAAGAAGGAAAAGAAACGAAAGAACAAGCAAGAAGAAGAAAAGAAAGAAAGGAAAGGGAAAGAAGAAAAAAAAAAAAAAAAGGAAACGAAGAAGACAGCAATTCCCCGAGAGCCCCATCCCTGACCCATCGTGAAAAGTACTTTGTATACATCGCATCCCACGCTCATGGGTTGGATGCACTGATGTCCTAATCTGGAGTATCTCCGGAGAATCCTTCATTGATACCATCCATTTCTTTCTAGAATTCTTTCTCGTCCGTTCTTCTCCTGCGCCAGCTTCTTAGCTGGACAAGCCCCTTCCGTGCAATAATACTTATTAGCTAACCAGATTCTTCAGCAACCACTAAAAAGGGGAAAAAAGAAAGAAGATACGGGAACCAAAGATCCTTAACCGAGGTCCTTGATAACTAACAGGACTATCACTTTAACTAACTATAGTTTTATGGAGCCGTTGTTTGTCATGCATCGTGGAACAATCGCAACCGAGAGACCCCCTCCCTGTCAACCTGATAGATTGAGATGTACTCCGTACGGAGTATGTATACGGAGTACCCTACCCGATAGTTAACCTGAAGACGCCCTGATGGTATCATGCCATGGGGGTCTCCGACCCTCTCAGGGCGGCTGGAAAAAGCAAAGACAATTAGCAAAAATAGAGGGCGGATCTGAAAATAGCCGTTTCAAGCTCATTTCCTCGTTTGCTCCAACGAATTAGACATCGGGTTTCGTCTCTCTCCTGTTGTTCTCCCTTGACGATTATATTAGTATTACCTCGATGACAACCTGAGGCTTTTCTCCACGGTGTATCTGTTTGTCTTTTTTTTTTTTTTTTTTTTTTTTTTTTTTTTTTTTTTTTTTTTTTATTTCTCGTTCTCATTCTCTGATTCTGGCTCCTGGCTCCTTTCTTTTTTATCTTGTCCATCTTGTCCGCCCAGATCTTGCAGTGCAAAAAGCTAACTCGGAATCCTGTAACTAGGAACTGCCCGGGAAAAAGGGGCGAGGCAAAGAAACAGCAATAATAATGTCAACAAACGTCCAACTGCTGTGACTCCGACTTCTCCGACATGCAAAAAATGGACCCGTCTCCAGTGGCCATGGGCTGTGATAGCCCCCAACAAACACACACTGGCTGGCACGGAGTACCCAAAAGGAGTACCCACAAGCCGCGCGCACCCCACGGACGCTCCGTATATACGGGAGGTCCTCAAGCATGTAGCTTTTACACAAAAATAATATATTTGATAAACCACAACCATGCCAATCAACCGGATCGTGAGCTAAGGTTGGCCGTGACAAGCATGGCCTTCCACGCTATCCTTTCACCGATATTTTGGCCTTGTGATTCGCTTCAAGCCTTTCCCTGACTTTGATTCTTTTCTTCTTCGTCTTTTTTTTTTTTTTTTTTCCCACCCTCTTTTATTTTATTTTATTTTTTAGCTCTGTCCCTCGTTTTCGGGTCCCATGGTTGGGCATGATAATCTGTCATAACATGTAGGGTCCGGCAGCTCTCCGCAATCCACGCCTCGAACGCCGAGCTTGATTAGTTCCCTTCCAACAGTTTTGGATTCCCGAGACCTTTGACCCTTTTTCCTTTTTATTCTCTCCCTTTTCTTCCTTCAGGGTTGTTGCCATGCGCGCAGAGTGGATGCATATATAACCAGGGGATATATCTTGATCCTTTTTCCTTTTTTGTTCCCTATCACTATTCCCTTCATCTATACAAGCTCCTTCGCTCAACTTTCTTTGACAATTTTTACTCCTTGTTGCAACGGTTGATATATGACCGGTTGGCGTCACGGTTGACGGCTCCGGCTCCTTTTGATACCTTCCCCGATTCCCTCAAGCACGCAGCATTATTGCCCAACCCTTTTAGTTGTATTTCGATTGTCATTGTCCCTCCATCCATAAGTATAAAAATTTGTACCCGTGTTCAAGTTTGGATGCCGTCAACGCTACCCTCTGTCTCGTCCCCTTCATCCTTACCAACAATGCCTCCGATGCATAACGGCGACGACGTCATGGACCGGAGTAGCCTGCAGCCAGTCACTAAGGGGATCCGCACCCTCATTCCTGGCTTCTACGTCCCAACAGTTTGCTTCTTTGATCCTAGCACTGAGGACATAGACCTCTCTGCAACAGCAAAGCATGCAGTAAGACTGGCTGAGTCTGGCGTGACGGGCATTACCGTCCACGGCTCTAACGGTGAGGCCATACATCTGTCCCCCGAGGAGCGGAGATTGGTCACAGAAAATACCCGCCAGGCTCTTGACAGCGCAGGCTACACTAGCATGCCACTAATGGTTGGCTGCAGTGCCCAGTCGACGCGCGAAACCATCCAGCTCTGTTGCGATGCATATGCAAGCGGGGGGGACTTTGCCCTTGTACTTGCTCCCTCGTATTACCGGGGATTGTTCGCGGTCGATACGATTATGCAATTCTTCACAGATGTAGCTGACGCCTCTCCCGTCCCGATCGTGATATACAACTACCCTGTTGCCGCTTCGGGGCTTGATCTGGACTCGGACACCATCATCGCTCTTAGCAAGCATCCCAATATCGTGGGGTGTAAGTTTACCTGCGGAAACACGGGCAAGCTCAACCGCGTTGCCACAGCCCAGCGAGCAATGCACAAGAGCACTAAAATGGCTAGTATCAACAATGGCAATGCCAGCAGCAACACATTCCTCTGCTTTGGAGGATCCGGCGACTTTACGCTCCAGACCATGATCGGCGGGGGGTCCGGAATCATCGGGGGAATTGCGAACCTAGCACCCAAGACATGCATGCTGCTGCTGAGCCTGTATGCTGATGGCAAGATGGATGAGGCCCGTGAGGTGCAGGATATCCTGTCCAGAGGCGACTGGGCTGCTATCAAGAGCGGCGTGGTCGGCATCAAGTCAGCAATGCAGTCGCACTTTGGATATGGAGGATATGCGAGACGCCCTCTCCCACGGCCAACAAAAGAGACCAGGGACGCGTATAGCGCACAGTTCAAGGAGCTAGTTGACTTTGAGAGGGCGTTGTAGCTGTACATTCCGCCGCTTTCCCTGGTCGATATCAACCTCTACTAACGATCTATGACCTCTGTTTTGTCTTTCCTTGGTCTTTCTTTTCTTTTCTGGGCCTTTGTTGTTTCACATCCCTTCCCCCCCCCCCCCCCCCCCCCTTTTTTTTAAATACCTGTTTCCTCTCTTTGAGTTGGCTTTCTGGTGTTTTTGTCTGGTGTCTGGTTCGATATGCCTGGTTTTGGAGCGATAGCTAGCAACTTGTTAATAGACTTCATCTCTAACTTCCCCCTTTTAAATTTTTTTCCCGGTAACGAGCGAGTGATTCTCCATGTCCACAGCTCGAAACTAAGTCTTTTGGTCCCCCACGCTATGCTCGGAGGACTCTCACGCTCAGCCGCTCTACTTGCTTGTCGTTAAACGATGTAACAAAAGCCACATAAAACTCAATATCCAGCCTGAGGGAAACAAAGTTTGCTGGGAAACCCGCAGCTATGGCTCTGTCCCGCGTTGTGTGGGGGTCGACCTTTAAAAGAAAAAAAAATCGCAGTAGGACGCAGTGGAGGTAAAAAAGGGGCCCAGAAGTTGATGCAGAGCTCAGCTCAGCGCGGCGCAGGGGGGTTTGAACGGAGGAGACATGGAGAAGCGAAGGGGGCCAGGCTTTGGCGAACCTGCAGCAGCGGTGGCAGTGGCAGCAACCAGCTGGATTAGGCTGGGGCAGACATCAACCAGAGAGAAGCTAGGCGAGAAGCAGACAAAGAGGAGGCAGAGGTGACGGACAAATGCATATCCGCAAGTTATCCTACCTAATGCATGAGATCTGCTGTATCCGGAGCAGTCACAGCGGCCTTCTACGAGACTCGGTCACCCAAGCAGGCTGCAGCAGGTTTCTCTTGCGTCAGACCAGATGCAGATGACTATGAAGGGGGTGGGAGGGGACCCTTATATCAGGCGCAGGATGTTACTGTCATACTCAAGGGAGAGCCGTGGACCTGGTCGTTAGGCATTAGGTTGAGAGGCAGTGAAGTGAGCTTTGCATGGATACGGACAAGGGGCTATATGCCAGGTGGCCAGCGGGTACCTCTACCTCGAGGAAACATGCATATACATAATAATAACGACAGGCCCCAGTGCTAGGGAACCAGGATACACAGAGCACGCAGGATGCACTGCACGAACATCTGCAGGCATCGGCAGCAATGCTCGACAGTAGCAATGGGATAACTATAAATACAATACTCCGTACTCTACATGTCCTTGGGTTTTGACAGTTATCTATGGCTTCTCCCTTCTCAAGTTAACCAGCACACATATAACTAGTTAATGACTAACGTGCATTTCCTATAGGCCGAGCCCCGAAGACCCTTTTCCCGAGGTCGTTAGCATAATGCATGAGAAGCCCTTGTCTGGCTCCCATGCACTTAAAAGCAGTTATATACTAACTGCATAATAATGTACGATGCGTTCTCATACCTTATGGTAGCTGCAGCTGTGGACTATCAGTCCCATACCACTCTTCAGGAGCAAAAAACCTGTCTGGTTTTCCTGCTGGCGAGGTCGTCGATCATGTAGGTTGATGGCACAGCCAACGATGCCAAGTAGTTACTGTGAATATGGACCTGTAAACGCAGCTTGCAACAGCAAAACATCGACATACCTCTATACCCTGGTCCCCGAAACGGCTGACCGGCTAACCCTTAAATCGATCCCAGTGTCCTGTCTATCTTTGGTACACGCTTTTTCGGCCACATACGCTGATCACAATCAATAAAAGCTTAATATTCTTGCATCATGGGGTAAAAGAGGACACTCAGATGCTGAGAGAGGCTGGTGCTCAAGTGTTACCTTGTCTTCTTGGAGGGAGTGGCATATGCATCCCATAGCCACAGGCAGGCAAATGGGATATCGTTTGCGTGATTGAACCATCAAAATGCTATAGCCCGAAAACGGGTAAGTGTCCTGCCGTCCATGGAGGCTTTGTGACTGCCCAAGCATCACGGAAAAAGAATATACTCGGTCTCGGCCATGGCTCGCAATGCAGTATGCCTGGGTCTGGCGTTAGGAACTTGTTCTTAAGCACCGGCATACCCTGGGTATTGGGAGATAGTCAGGACTAAGCATACGATTGGCCTGGTTTGAAATAGCCGTGCTACCTCTTAAGCTTGAAGCGAGACATTTAATATATCGGACATATTCTAATTTCAGAAATTTGCGTTATCTTCTAGTGTTCAGCCTTTTATAGTAAATCTAGTTGATCTGTGGCATTTTGATATTTATAAATCATTATGATTATATATTCCAGGGTCTCCAGGAATTTAAGGGGCGCTCCATTAATTAGTTCCCTCCATAGGGTCATGGATTTATCTTCCAGTTTCTGTTCCCATTCTACCTTCATGGACATTCAGGGATGGCCATCACAGGAAGGAAAACTAACTGGGAGAATAGACCTTGACAGAGAGGCCGCTACATAGATAGTTTATGCTATCTTGCATAATGACGTCTGACAGTCAGAGATAATGAACCATGGATCATGTCATGACTGAAATATTAGCTGTGTCTCCCTACAACTGCATGATAGGCAATGGGGTGGTGTCAAGCTTCTTCAGTGGGCACCTCTCCTTTCTTTGACCAAAAACAGACACTCTGGTCTATCAGGCTTCCTCACCAAGCCACCTCTCACCCCCTCCCCCTTCCCCTCTCGATATATCATTTTATCTACGTTATTTGAATTGAGCGACGCCAATGGCTGATACCATCTTACCCAGACACAGCCCCAGAGCAGATATTGAGTTGGCCAACGACAGCCACCCTGAGAAAAGCTGTGAGACCCCAGCCAAGGATGGTCAAGAACCGGCTGCAGTTGATGATGGCAATGATGGGGATGATGCAATGGTCCAAGATGTTGAATACGAAGAAGAGAGGATACTCTGTTCTCGGCTAGATATTCGGCTTCTGCCTGTGCTGGCGGTGATGTGTATGTTTGCTGTTCCATCTGCTTCCTCTGCTGACAGGGGCCGACTGACCGGGGCAGATCTTTTCAATGCACTGGACAAAGCAAACATTGGAAATGCGCAAACCAAGGGGCTCAGCGAGGGTACATATTTACTATTGGCAGCAGCAGTACTTATTTTATTACTCTCAGAGCTAACTCCGTCGAGATTTTGATAGACCTCGGTTTCGCAGATGGAGAATACAACCTATTGCTGTCAATATTCTTCATTCCCTATGTGATCTTTGCGCCTTCAATCGCCATGATAGGCAAGAAGTACGGTCCCGCTCGCGTTTTGCCAATATGCATGTTCTGTTTTGGATCTCTGACGCTTCTCTCTGCCGCCGTCCACAACTTCGGCGGCTTGTTTGCAATTCGTTGGCTATTAGGGATGGCTGAATCAGCCTTTCTCCCGTTGGTAATTTATTACCTTACCACCTTCTACCGGCGAGGAGAGCTAGCACGGCGTCTTGCCATCTTTTATGCTGCATCGAATATTGCAAGCGCATTTTCCGGTTTGGTCGCGTTTGCAGTCTTCCAACTCCCCAGCACAAGACTGGAAGGGTGGCGTTACCTTTTTCTTATTGAGGGGGCATGCACAGTATGCTTCTCTATATTTGCATTCTGGTATCTTCCTCACACGCCAGCGCAGGCAAGGTTTCTCACTGCGCAGGAAAAAATACTTGCATTCCACCGGATACAGGTTGATTCGTCTTCTGTTGTCAATGAAAAATTTTCTTTCAGGGATGCACTCGGAGTATTCAAACAGCCGACTTCATACTGCTTTATCCTGATTGAGATTTGCCTCGGCGTTCCTTTGCAGTCTGTTGCCTTGTTTTTGCCCCAGATCATACAGCGGCTAGGTTACGGAACAGTTAAGACAAACCTATATACCGTTGCACCAAACTGTACCGGGGCAATCATGCTCCTCATCCTGGCGTTTAGCTCAGATGCCACCAGACTGCGCTCGCCATTCATTGTTTTGGGATTCCTCCTTAGCTTCAGCGGGTTTATGATCTATGCCTCGATCGACGATATCAAGAACAACATACGACTCGCATACTTCGGCGCATTCCTGATGACATGGGGCACATCTGCACCCTCAGTGCTGCTAAGCACATGGTACAACAACAATGTTGCTCACGAGGGACGTCGTATCCTTCTCACATCTGTGGGTGTTCCGATGGCCAATCTCATGGGGTTAGTGAGCAGCAACATCTTCCGCGGGAAGGACAGCCCAAAATTCGAGCCGGCATTGATCATCACCGCCATCTTTGGTGCAACCGGTGCGTGCCTTACCCTCCTTCTCGGCCTCTATATGGCATGGGATAATCGGCGACGTAACCGCCGAGCAGGAGTCAAAATGTCGGCGACGGACGTCCCAACCAAGAGATTGCGAGACGGACCAGCAGTGCAAGAGTTTCGGGGCAACCCTCGATCTGGTCTCAGGCGTCAAACATCCTTCCTGACTCCTTGTCTTTCTCGTATTTTGACGCCTTGAAGTTGAAATTGCCAAAGTAGAAAGTTAACGAAAAAGAAAAGAAAAAAACCAATTAAAGCCCTTCATGTCATGTGATATCGCGTTCTCTTCGCGTTCCACTTTTTGCTCCTTTCGGCCACGTCAGTTTCTGCAGGGAAAACAGGCAAGGAAGCGAGACGAAAAAGCGATGGGCGGGAAAGAAATGCGAGGGAGAAAGGATACGACTTGCCGTGTTCCGGTACTGTGGAGGCTGAGTGAGTCACATCGATGGTGTATTGTGGCAGATATATCAAATGGGATGTCAGATGAGAGAGCCGGCGATGAAGCTGCCATGGACATAAATAGGCCCATCGTCCTTCACCTTCAAGATAAAGAGGGTTTCTTCTCCCAGTTCGACAGACAGGAACTATTTAGTCGAGCTGGTATCGAAAGTGGCTCGGAAATAAAGCATTATCACATCACTCCCCGCAGACATGTCCCAGAACGACCATGCACGCTTCCTCCGTAGCCTTCACAGGAAAGGCAACCCTCTTGTTCTTTGCAATGTATATGACGGCCGAACCGCAGACATTGTCCTTAGCCACAAAGGAAGCAATGGTGAACACTCGGCCAAAGCCTTAGCCACCAGCAGTTTTGCTGTTGCAGCAGTACACGGGAAGCCAGACGAGGAACTTGAACCGGAGATGCTTGCCATGGCGGCCAAAGATATAGTTGGTGTAATCAACCGCCACGTATCAGCTAGAAACAACAGCGAACCCATCCCGCTTTCCATTGACATGCGTGACGGATGGGGAGACCGACTCGAGGAGACCATCACTTCACTGATTGAAGCTGGCGTGGTGGGATGTAACCTGGAAGACGAAGATAATGAAACTGGAAAATGCATGCCTTTACCCCAAGCTGTGGACCGTATTAAAAGAGTCATGGCCAAAGCAGCTGAGCTTGGGGTCCCTGATTTCGTTATCAATGCACGAACAGACGTCTTGGGGCACGGTGGGACAATAGAAGAAGCTATTTCAAGGGGTAAGGCCTTCATGGAGGCTGGTGCCTTTTGTATCTTCATTTGGGGCGGTAACCATGGACGTGGAGTGTCTAAGGAGGAAGGGCAGATGTGCGTTAATGCATTTGATGGACTTTGGAATGCAAGGTTGAAGACAGGGCCGGGCTACTTGACCGTGAAAGAGCTAACTGATATGGGTGTTAGAAGGATCAGCCTGGGAAAGGAATTGGGTGACATTGCAATGGAAGCATATCGTGCCGCCGTGGAGAAGGTTTTGGCTTGAGAAGAATTTTTTCGACTAAAGAATAATGGATAGCTACTGGTTGTACGTTATTTGTGTAGTAGGGCTGTGCGACAGTCTCAAAGTGAAAATAGGGACCTGAAAATAGTCCTGTGACAGTCGCCGGATTTACTATATTATCTGCAAAACATCCAATGTACTAGTTAGTCCTTCTTAGGCGGGACTAAAAGATAGCTGTTGAATTCGGCCTGGTACCCACTCCGGCTATATATCACCAATGGTTAGCCTGAAGGAATTATTCTAGATGTAAAAAGGAGTAAATAAATAAAATTGTGCGTGTAACTCACCTGGGACGTTGAACGGCGCACTTGTCAAGAAGAAAAACCAACGGCCTGTCTCACTGCATTTCTTCGCAAGCCTCTCGAGATCCCACATCTCACCAAGTGGCATCCCCCACAGGGCAAGGATGTATTCATGCAGATAGTACGATACAGGGGTTGGCCAGCGCTCAAATGCCGGTGCATCCCCAGCAACAGCCGCAAAGTAACAATCATGCAGCCAGTCGAGCATATCATCTTCTTGTGCAACACCAGCATACTTTTGTCCATCGTCAGGTCCGGCTGAGTGTGGCCGGAGAGCAAGATCCTTGCGCTCTTTGGGGCTGCGTTCGTGGTAGCTTTCAACCCATCCTGATCGGATCAGTAGGATATCGCCGACTTTTATATCTCCGCCTTGGGCTTCTGGTCTGATATCGATGCCTTGGGCTTTCCCACACTTGACCAGCTCTTCGTATGTAATTGCATGTGCGCTATAAGGGTCGTAGTCAATCCCGTTGGCTTTTGCATAGGATCGATAATCGAGTAGGACTCCTCGACCAGCAATACCGTGCTCGGCCCAGTGATGAATACTGCATTTATTGCTAGCATTTGGTCCTACTATGTCTTCCCCTTTTGCCTGTTTGTAGAGATTAGTGGTTACATAGCCAATGTATAGTTCGCAGAGAGGACGCTTACGCCGTTATAAAAACTGGCGGAGGCCAGGTGAGCAAACTGTCGACGAAAGAACTCGTTAGATCAGAACTTCATATGTAAGGAGACTAATTCACACGTGTCGAAATCCATCCCACTGCGTTCCACACTGGGTATTAAATTCATATAAATCGTCGTAGGCGATTCCTTCAACAATCGGCTTGATAGTATGGACGAACTTCTCTCGGGCAAAGCCTGGAGTCTCTGGGACATTGAAGGGCAAACTATTCTACAGCATTAGTTCAATTTTTTCCCCCACATATTCTGTGCTGCAGGTACTCACTCTAGAGGAATAAGTTCTCCGGTTTTGATCTCAGCAGAAGCGGTCTTGACGCGAGCCGGAGTGAGCAGATTCAATCTCCCAATCTACGATGACAGTCAGTTTTAGTAGTTAACCAATCAACTAGTTATAGAAAGAGTAACTAATGATGGTACACATACGTTATCGTCTTTACCCCAAACCCAGGCAGCACCCTTGGGAGCTCCGGGTATATCGGGTAGATCTTTGCGGGTGGGGAATTTGGTATTTTCTGGATCCCAAGGCAATTCGTTTGGAGATTTCCAGCCCGATGCCATAACGCCAGCTACGTGAGATACTCTTTCACGAACGGACATGGAGAGGCAGCCGGGTTTCTTTTACTTTGTTTCATTTAAAATCCAACGACTGCGGAATAGAAAGGTGGCCAAAAAGTGGGTGCCTGGAGCTTGATATAAAAAGCTGCTGCTCGGCCCTCGGCTGTCTCCGTGGTGAATACCCGAAGACAACGGCATAGCGGTTCTCAGATAATAACAATAACAATAACAATAACAATAATACGCATCATTAATAGACCAGGCCAGGTGGAGTCCATTTGCCACTTTTTGTGCGTTAGTTAACAGGCGAGCAAGACACGCTGGAACGGAGGAGTTATGCGCTATATCAGAACGAAAAAGACGCGCATATCACCACTGGATCTTCAGGAATCACTGGCTGGCTGGTCCAATGCACCAGCTGCCGATTAACCTGCAAGGCCCCCTGCCTTGTGTGATGCCAGGGTGGTAAAGATGAAGATCCACAGATTCCCAGTTGGTGATCCAACCTCCAAGTCTAGTCATGGGATTTGCGCAGCCTTCATGGTCTGCACAGGAATTTCGCGACTCGTTCGCTCCATGGCTAGACATCACCCACTAGTTAGTCAACTAAGCGGCTATGTGCTATGGATCCATGGCCCATGCATGCATAAAGCCAAGCGTCGAGTGGAGCGTCTCCTTTGCATCAAAGACGCAATAACTAACTAGTTAGTTATCTAATAATACGAAAATGTCTGTCTAGTCCAATTTCCGTTTCAAGGCGTTGACAAAATTGCCTGATGTCGTTTCTCATATAATTTGCAGGGTTCGTTTAATCCTTGCAATAATAGATAGCTTCATTATTGGTTCAGTTTGACATGGCTCATTGCCTTAACTAGTGTTTGAACTAGGCGTAACTACGGCTTAAGTTTAAAGGAAGGGTTGAAGTACACTGACATTTAAGATAGAGAATTTGCAGGGCCAGTATTCTAACTGTTTATCTACGCTACGAAATTGCGAACTCCCAGAAGAGTGACATCATGAAGTGTAGATTCTTGTTAAAGTTTGACCAGAGAAATGCTATAACCGGCTGAATAGTTACTCTTCACAAATAGTAACAGTACCAAATGATTTCACACCCCGTTATCGATGCAAGCAGGGTATTACTACTAATTTTTATGTGCACAACATGCTAGGATATATGGAACTATCCTTCAAAGTATTGACTGGCTGTGACTGTGTCTTCTTCGTCCCTTTCTATAGCCCCAAAAGCGTTTATGGCGTGGTCTAAAACCTCAGTTTTGATTTGGTCAATCCCGGCCCTGTTTGGCTGAAGCCCTAGAAGTCCCCGGTCTGCCATTTCATACAGTGCGTCAAGTGACGCCGAAGTACGTTGTCGAAGGATCAGGGAGCGAGCTGCGTAGCCCACATGGCTATGAGCGCTAATAGATAGCTGGCAAGATCAAGGTCGCTAGACAAATAGAAGTTGAGACTATATACGACCGATAGGAGAATCAGAAGGGAGCTGTTTGCAAAAAAATATTGGTACCGGGAGATTCTGGCTGGTATATAAATCTGACTACCCCAAATTGAGCATGGTGCTTGTTTCAGAGAAGTTCAAGTATGTGAGTTAAATGAAACTCAGATCTCTCCAACAACACAGAATCATTGGCTAGTGGAGTAAGATTTATTGTAGACATGTATCCCGGAAAGTCAGTCCGGGCGGTAAGCGAGGTTTCAGGTCATGCAGTATTAACCTGACTGTAAGTCAACAGTTCGGGTAAGTTGTAACTAGGTAGTTAACTAATGCGGCCCGTAACCGCCGAGCCTCCCGCGCCGCCAGGGTACGGTAGAAGCTACCTAAACTTCGAACCATCATCATCATCTAGAGCAAGATCAAGTTATTATTGACGAAATTGACCTATTTACATTTTTCCAGCATGTATAAGCAATGTTAAGAGCCTATTCAAAACATGGTCGAAAAATACCATCATGACAACGATAAATATGGGAAGAAATTCGGCACACGTTTCGCACCCCAGTTGACTTATTTTTTTGATAGTGGTTAGAGCCATTTTGTCACCATTATTTTCATTCCAGACCAGCATTCTTATACCCAGATGGCAACTTGCCTACTAAGTTATGTCAGCAGAATCGTGGGCATTAGGCAAGATAGGGATAACATGTCTTCGAACTGCTCTCAGCACCATACCTAATTTTGCCCAAATAAAGCTCTCCCCATATTTATCGACAGATTGATCGAGTATCGGACCCAGTTCTAAAGGGATCACATGTCAAAAATCTCTCTCAAGGACTTTGTCTTGAATAATCTGACAGAAATATCAAAATGAAGCCAATGCACTGCTCGCCATTAAGAAATTTACAACGATCAATGCACCAAGACTGATTGGCCCTGTTATGAACGATGCTATCTGGGCGGCCCAATTAGTGACCATAGATTTTCAGGAGACTCCTGGGGCCCTTTTAATCTCCGAATTTAGAGACTGCCTTACCAGGGGCGTTACAAAGCCTCGAAATGAGCTTCCGCTCTCTCTTCTATATGAACGGAAATATGATCTTTGCTTCACCCATCCAGATTTGCACAGGTCCAACTTATTTGTAACCCGTGGCAGGCTTTCTGGTATTAGTATTGGGAATTTACTCGATCTTTATGGCAGTATGGCGGAGAGAGAAATTTATGCTACATTTATACCTGTGCATTTGATGGTAAATACGATGATGGATTAGAGGCCGAAGTCTTCATCCTGCATAATTCACTATTCGTGCTCTAAGTGTTCTAATGATAGCCAGTTCAGTTGTGCGTGGTTATTTGCCTTTTTGATACTTTACTGGTTTGTATTTTCTGCATTTTGCACCTGGTTGGAGGGTCAGATGGTATAGTTTATAACAAAGAAGACATGGGATAATGCGTGGAGAAAGCATCGAAGGACCTCTGGAGGAGCACCACATCATTAACCAGTGGTAATTTATGAAAAGGTAAATAGAAAAATATTCTCATTATTAACATTATCGGCTGAACTTGGCTTGATGTTCCACATGCACTTCCGCTGGTTTGGAGAGGTCCAGGGGGGCAACCCCATCCTCCATATGAGGGGCCATTTTACCAGAAAAAACGCCTGCTTCGTCTTTCCTAGCGTCATCCATAGACATTGGGGGCCCTGTAAATGCCTTACGTGCCCTAACAAAGTACCATACCACACTAATAGTGGCAAACCCGGCGAATACAACGCTCGCATAGTTCATACTAGATGGCGTCACGGGCAAGGACACCGGAAGACAGAAAAGGAAAATAGAGAAACATATCCAACATATTGTGGTTATGTTGATCAAGAATCCAAATTTCCCCAGTGAAAAAGGGGCATTTTCAAACATTTTTCGACGGCGAACCAGGGAAATCAAAATTGGTAAGCCATACGAAGTTGATAAGCATATCGTAGCCACACCGGTGAAGGAATTGAAGGCTGCTGCAGAGCCAAAGTAGATCAACCCAAGGAGACAGTCCACTAGAGTTGAGAGAATAATACCCCATAACGGAACACCAAAACGGCTGCTTACCTGCTTCCAGACCCGAGACCCCGGGATGGCACCATCACGGGCAAAGGCATATGTACAACGGCTTGCCGCCGTAAGTGCGCCAATTCCAGCAAATATCTGGATACCCATGATTAGAAAGAGCATGCCAAAACCGCCTGCTGCAGAGCCAGTAACTGTCTTGAATAGAAGGCCGATGGGTTGGCCATTGGCAACTGATAGGAGCATTTTAACTTCCGGGAGAACGAAGAGCAGGGTAATGAGGTACACCAGGCCAGTTATACCAGCTGCAACGACGGATAGGACAATCGCTTTTGGGACTTCTCGGTGTGGATTCTGTGTTTCCTCGCACATGGCTGCAACCATCCCGTAGCCTGTCAGCGTGTAAGCTGGTTGCAGCAAGCCGACAAAAAACGCCCATCCCGTCGGCCTAGATTTGATCAAATGGAACGTTAGATATAATGAGCCACAGTTAAATGTCTAAAAGAAGCAAAGGGAGGTGCATGAATAGTTATTTACCATCCACTAGCACTTGCATCGTAGTGCGTAAAAACGAATTTTCCACTCCTCCGATGATCAGCCAAGGAGAGCAAAGTGACCATGATTATCAGCACACTGGATGCAGTCCAAAAAATGCATATTTTATTGATGAGATCAAGATACCGCGATCCAAATATGTTTACCAGGGCGCATACAAGCATAACAGCCCAGAACATCAAGATCGTCTGCCATTGATTCGGTACAAAGTCTTCCTTCCAGAGTGAAATCGCACTCAGAATCAACTGGCCGCCAGAGAAGTTGATACTCAAAGTCACTGTCCAATTTCCCACGAGCGTCAGCCAGCCATCAATGAAGGACATCAGTGGCGCCCACTCGCGGGTGGACAGCATCGCACTCCAGTAGTACACACCCCCAGCAGTTGGGTATACAGAGCAGATCTCGGCGAGTGAGGCTGCAATGGCGGTTGAGATCAGGGTGACGATCACCCAGCCCCAAATTATAGTAACCGACTGTCCGTCAGTCAGAGTAATATATAGTGTCGTGCTCAGCCCAAAGGGCGCCGCCATGATAGCGAAAGACCTGCATCCGTCGAACGAACCGGTTAGTTAGCTGGGAGAACTCTGTAGGAAACGCATAGAAAGAGACAGCGAGGGAGGAGGAGAGCACCTACAGTCCGAGAACGCTCATCATCCCCAGATTCCGGGGAAGCTCGCTCTTATATCCCATCTTCGCTAAAGCAGCGTTCGCATTTGCGTCCTCAGACGCCCTCCGTATCCTCGCTCCATCCTGCGCCGGTGCTTTCGTCATCTTCCGGGGAGGGCCGAACGGTCAAGCAGGCTGATTAGCTGGGTGTCCCATGAAGTGAGCAGGATATGGGAGCAGTGCGCCAGAAGATGCGAGGTGGTTTGGAGGATGAGAGAGGAGAGACGCTCTTCTGCTCCTCTTCCAAGATAACTCGGTCCCCGTCTTGCGGCCGGCTCGGTAAAAGTCCCGGGTAGCTTTTCTTTGCTTTGTCTTGTCGCCTCCAAGGATGGGCCTTGTAACTAGTTAACTTCCGTGGTATCTTCAACTGCGATCTTCCGTACGACCCTACGGTCTGGCCAGCAGAGGAACACAAAGCGATCCAGGTCCTATTACGATGAAGAGATATTCTTTTCTGCTCTTAACTACTAACTAGTGCGCTTAGATTAAACCGCCCCCCAAGTGCCTCCAAGCGGTCGGACGATAAATACGAGCACTCGGATGGTGAGTCAACCACAGAGTTGCCGAGAGAGTGGCGGCATCGTACGGAGAGCTATTGGAGGCTTCATCACTCTTGATAAGCAGGAAAGCGGCGATAAGCCAGATGTCCGGCCATAGACAACTAATAACAGGGCGCAAATCGGGGTTGATAGGTTTCCTGACTCCTTCTGGTGGGCTGACATCAACGCTTTCGGCATTCGTTTGAAGACTTGCTGGAATCGTTCTGGCCTGCTTTATGGCTCTCTGCATACTGAAGTTGGCGTCCTAATGCCAAATATTCTTAGCTATCAAGCTCACACATAGAATGATGGAGGAGACAACATACCAAGCCTTTGTTTCCGCATTTTATAGTACATGGAAGAGACGTCCAACCATATTGTGGCGAGTGAAGAGATAAGCCCGACTAGACACACGGCGGCGGTGACAATAGTCAAAATCGAGTGACATCCTTGATAAATTTTGACTAGATACCCCAGGAGAATGGAAAACCACGTCAGAGAAATAAGTATGGAACAGAATAGAATCTGTTTATCTTTGGTCGAGGCGTTCATAGTGGTTGGCGCAACGTCAGGCAAAGGATCAGATACTAGTGCAACTAAATGGCAGTAATATGACGGAAATCGCGTATTATCCGTTTAGAGATAGTGTTAACCGAGGACCTCTGTGATCTAGAGCTGAAAAGGTTACCAAAAAACTGCCTATTGAACTGTTGATGATGCGGAAGGGATATATACATACTCTGCCCCTGTGTACCTAAGAAAGAACAACAATGAGGGAAGATTGCCTGCAGGTTTTAGTGTAGATTAGTTGAAAGGAGTATTATTTGTTTCAACTAGCTGGCAAACAAACAGAACCCCCGTTAACGGGATCCTGCAGCTTCTAGGAACTAGCAATGAGATTGCCGGTGCCTAGTTCAGGTCTTTGTATATTGCAACCTTGTTTGAGATTTCTGCCATTTGATTCATGTCTTTTGAGTCACTAAATATACTAGAGGGATTATTCTTGGATTAAATATTGATTATCTCATACGCTCAAACACTTTACCACCAGATATCACCATTGCTAGTAATCATCTGCTTAGCGGTCCCAAGGATTAAATTATCCGACAGCTAGGTCACGCCGCTTCTTGTTTAAGGTATAATGCTAGATAAACTCGTAAATAATTGCTAGATACACACTTATTTATTAAAATGAAATCAACCACTGCCAGGAACAGCGGTATGAAAGACTGGGCGGGATTCTCAGATGGGTATGAGTACCGTACCTAGTCAGAAAATACATCAACAGCGCTTGCTCTGTATAGTCAGCTGTAGGGCAGTCGTTGTAGGAGCTCTACTCATTTTTAGTCAAAGCACGTACTCCGTAGAATAATAGAGATCTTACATAGTATAGCTTGCTGGTGGTACTTGTTACTCCCATGCAACTACACAACTAGTAGTGAACTATATAGTAATAACCTTTAGAAAACGAGGGGAAAGACAGGTAGTGTCAATTATCAATTATGGGATACCCTCTCCCATTTGTATGCTATATAAGGTAGAGAAATGAGCTGTGAACTGACCTGGATATAAAAACAAGTTATAAATAGATGCAACTAACTCCTTAATTCGCAGATAGATTAAACTTCTTGGCCCCACAACCCTATTTATTTATTGTGGGTACTTGTCCATAAAGAGACTAGTGCAACAAAACTCCGACCAGCAAAATTCAACACTCAAATCTGATGTTTTGCATCAGGAAGAATCTCCAGAACTACTTGATACCCATGTTTGTTATTCTACCTGCCATGTTTCGAATAAAGACAAAATTCAGACCACCTGGCTGTCAAGAAGCCAGGTTTATTCTCTCAACGTCTGTTGATATCCTCTATCGCTAGCTTCAACTCCTGGACGATACCTCGAAATTTAAGCACAGGGTTTTCATTCGCCCACTTGTCCACCTTTGCCAATATATTTGCTTTGTTGTATTTGAAGTGCGCCCGAATCACCTTTTGCCAGATTCCATATCTATGTCTGGGCTGCGTCAACCAGTTTAACATCCCAGCAGTGACTATCTGGGGCTGAATCTTCTCTATGTATCGCCGGGCGCGTATATCAGCCATTGTGCCTACTGCACTAGTGTAGGCCGGCTCATTACGCCAGGGGTCTTCCGTGAAGATCATTGCTTGGATGCTAATTAGCACGGACAAGATTGTTGACTTGCCTGGTTGCCATTGCGCCGCAGCATCGCCATCACGCCATGTCCCGAGAAGCGAGAGGCACACTGCTCAAATGTTAGCCCTATACCCCCTACCTCCCTAGTTTACTGATTCTCCACAACAGTATATTCTGTTGAAACTTTCTAACTCACCTTTACCATCTGGGTGAAGATTTGGGTTTATTGTTTTACCAATAGCTGTTCTACAATGCACTTGAGGAGGCTGATTCGGGTATGCTGGAGGACAAATCAAATCAAAGCTAGCCAAGGTCAGCTACCCTTCAAAGCGATAAGTTGGTGGCATGCCCAGAACTTACTCAAAGAGCGCATACCCATATGGACTATCAGGTGGCCCCATTATAAGACATTTCATGACATCCGGCCGACTTTCACTAACTTTGACGAAGATCCCAATTGGCAGAGATGTTGACATGTTGGCTACCTCAGTGACCATTCGCTTGATTCTCCCTGGACTCGAATACGTCATAGTTATAGCCTTGCTATAATATGCATGGGTCCGGTCAAAGACTCCCTCATCTCGGGAAACCCCATGCTCCTGGTGAAAAGCTTCCCACTTTTCCTGTGGGCTTGCTCTTGTACGCATCCGAGTGCCCTCCTGGCCTGCTGATATGACTGAGTAAAGAGAAAGGATACTCTCACAGCAGAGAAGTAGATCTTCTCCACTCCTTGTGTTAAGATCTTGACTTTCAGCTGAATCAAGGACAACCTTGCTCTGACGTGCTAGCTGCTTCAATCTCTCGCCGACCGAAGCTATCTTTTCTCCTAGAATGAGCGGAGGGCTATCATACTGCTGTGGCTTCGATGAAGAAAGAATTTCAAGGCCGGGAGTTTGTTGTTTATGATATCTGGCACATTTGGCAAGGTCGATTAGCTCAGGGTGTGAACTCAGCTTCGAAACAAGCCCAAAGGCCGCTTTATAGACATCGCTGCGCTTCGTTACATCATCCAAAGAATCATTTCTGAGTAAGTCTGCAACCTTGTCCAAAAGTAATCCAAGTTGCAACATCGCATGTAGCTCAGAAGGAAGATTCTTGCTCATGGATCCAGGGATCATCTGACCAACAAAGTCGAACACCTTAGCTACAAACTCATCTTCTTTCTCGTCACTGCCGTGAAACCGCAAAGGCCTGTTTGAATATAGCGGCTGAAACCCTGACCCGTCATGAAAGAAATCTGTAAACGGGCTATAACGGCCCATACTGCCATCCGCATACCCAATGCCTCGGGCATCCTGTGTCTTTCGTTGGCTCGGGCCGTGACTATTTCTGGCTGGGGGCTGTTTGTTTTGTGTTACTGACGAGGATGCCTGCCAGCGTATCTCAACCCGGTCATACCTTGCCAGCAGAAGCCATATCCCAAACAGCCGCCCATTATCACAGCACCAGTCCATGTAATACCCTTCGATCTCATGAGGATTCTTGGAGTTGCAAACTTTGTTACCGCAACCAAGGCAAGTCAGGGCTCTGCAGCTGGGGCAGGTCGCAGCACAAAGATAACATCCTTTTGCAGGATTGCCTTTGGATCCTTCAGACCAACGGCGTATCCAGTTCCGGACAGAAAAGTTTTCTGTAATATTTGATGCACAGGAGTGGCATTTTATGGCCAGGCGTGCAGCAAGAAATGACTGTACAGCGTTAATACTTTGTTTGATATCCTCAGGATGCTCCTCCAGCGCCGGAAGACCTAACTCCTTACTTCCTGTCGCCCGGTGATGTTGATTTTCATGCGGAGCATCCCGGCCTTCATCATCAGGAGGACCGCTGTTATTATTGTTACCTCTTCGGTGTCGAAAGATTGTGCTTCTGAAAAACGACATTTTCACATAGGTACGTATCAACCCAAGGAGGCTGTTTGGCCCCCTTCCTTAGCACTGAACAAGGAAGATTTGGTAGATTGAGAATATTTTGGAAAAGATAAGAGGAGGATGGAGTTGAGCGCAAGAATGATATGCTTTTAAATTCCCGGAATTTATCTGCTATACATAATTTCACTATCTCGGCTGGTGAAAATTAATTATACAGCTGTGGCATGGACACTTCCCGCTTCCCCGTTCACTGCTAATAAAGGCATTTGCGATACTCCATATCCATACTCGGTAGTGAAGCTTAAGGATGCAATTATGATTGTATACTATCGTTGTGCACGCTCTCCGCGCCCATTGAATGCTCTAGTTCATGTAGTCCAGTTAGTCATATATTCAATACCCAGATAATTCCATGTACAGGTGCAATTGTTAGACCTAAAAAGGAGATTACAACTTATTTATGGGGGAAGGAGAAATTGAGGAAAAATTTTATTGTTTTTTGGGTGTGCCTTAAGAAACAGGCGCTTATTTTGATAAATCCCAATTCCTTCGCTGACGACCTTTTACATTGTTGTTACCAGGCTTCTACCTCCATGTGTCCATTTCAGATTTCATCTCGGTCATGGATACACGTAAGATAGAAGCAGAAACAAGAGGTAACAGGGATGAAGAAGAACAACAATCCAAGGATGGGACATAGAATAAGCAAACAGTGTTAGTTGAAAGGGAGAGGTTCTAAGGTAATTCGGAGGGGAAATCATCAGGCAGTGCGAGCTAGAGGACGGGGTATGGTTTCTCCGTAAACCCCTTTGTGAAAACTACCGTGAGACTGGACTGTGTTCGCGCATTCCCGGTGGAGGGTGAAGGGTCAGTGGAAGGCATTGGTAGGATGGTAGGGAAGTAGGTAGATTGTATGAGAAATTCAACAAGGTCATGAAAACAGGCTTTTTGTCTTTATTTTTTGGGGAAGAACGGGGAATAGTGAATATCGTAGGGGGAAACGCTTCAGGAACTCAAATGTACACAAGGGGTGAAAGGGGACTTTGATATTCGTAATGGTATTGTCGTGTGTTCATGGGTGGTATTGACGGGAGAAAACAATTATCACTGTCGTGAATGGGTTGGTCGGGCTGTGATTATTTTTTCCGTAGCGTTGTTGAAGTTGTTCGGTCAAAACTGTAGAGACGGTATCCGGGAGTCAAATGTTGTTGAAGTTTTGCTTTCTTCGCCGTCGAGTAAGAAGGTAAAGGAGCCAAAGAGTGGATAGGTTTGTGGAGGTTCCGGTTTAAGTATTGTAAGGAAACCATGGGTGAAAGGGGATTATCCCGCCCAGCACTACTGGACAGTGGTAAAAGGACGATATTGCCGAAATTAAGCCAACTGGCGACAGGCAACAAATGAAATTCAAAAAGGAAACAAAAATGTTCTATCATAAAACATATTTAACGAAGGCAAAGGAGCACCCGTAGGATAGAAACATGCGCAAGTTCCGAGATATATGCACGCCATTACAGGCAGAAAGTAATCAAATACAACGCGAATGTCCAGGCAGTAGGTAGACAGGTTTATGGACTTGGATCCGGAAGAAGATCGTCTGGGCCATCGAAACCGAATCCAGCCATATCCATTGAATGGAGTGACCCAGGCCCCTTGCCAAATTCCATGTCCGACGAAGCATAATCATGACCTGGAGGGCGTAGATGAGGACCGAAGAAAGGTCTATGCTCCTCGTCATGGGATGGAGTATCAACGTCATTCCACGGGACACTTCGTTGCCAAAACCGCGTGTTTGCTTGCTGGTCGCCGAAGAGATCGTGATGATCGTTTAGATGGCGTGGAAGTAAGGACGACTCGTTGTCTAGGTGACTACCAAATTCCTGAGGAGATTGGTAGTGAAGTGGGACACGGTTAAAACTTGACGCGGGGGAGTCGGCGCGGAGAGTCATGTCGAAGGCGGAAAGTGGGTGGAGATGGCTATCTGGGGCCATGGCCGCCGATATATTAGGCGCAGCAGTTTCCGTCGAAGGGAATAGGAGGTTTTGATTTGCCGGGCCATGTGTTGCTATTATCGAGCCATCCAGTGTTGAGAAGTTCTCCGAGGCTGGGGGAACCGGCCCACATGCCTGGACTATCTTTTCCTGGTCTTCTGGAGATAGCTTAGCAAAATAGTCCGCTGCTAAAGGCTCTTTTCGAGATAATTGCGGAGTTCCTACTAGTCCATATTCCCCCTTGGCATAATCCGAGAACCCAAACCCGGGTGCATATGGCGAGCAGTAAACGGGCGGCGCCTGGCGTCTTTGTAGCTCCAGGTATGCCCACTTTCCGGTAACCGATTGAGCGGCGAGTTCTTGGGGTTGGGGCTGAAGAACTTTCACAGGCTCGGGGGCCACCACCTGCTGCTGTTCAGGAGCCTTGGGTTTCTCTGGCATATTAACGACGCTGGTGAGGCTGCTCACGGCGAAACGAAGCATTCGGATCAGATGATCGACGTCGTCGGCCTCCATGTTTAACGGCTGGTAGGTAACAGTTCCATCCAGGGATCTGACTGGGACCTGTGATTCGGACATGGAGGTTCTAAGCTTTTCCAAGCCGTTCTTTGGAATTGGCGAGGTATCATCTCCTAAAAGAGTCTGTACCACAAAGTCAGGATTAACAATAGTGTATCCAGCGGTTGCATTGGCATGTTCAGTAATGGAAGCAATAAGCCTACGGGCCATAGTAGACTTCATTGCAGCATCGCTTGGACTCCACACCGGAAGACCATCGTTGGTCTGGGGGTTGGAAGCCTGAGACTTTGCTGGAGACACCGATCTTGTGGATTGTACTGCTGGACCTATAGCTGTCGTAGGGGTCGATCCTAAAAGAGGCCTGGTAACAGAAGGGGATCCAGAAACAACTGCGTTCGAATTGTATACAGGACGACCCAAGGCCTTGGCTGGAACAGTGGGCGCCCTAGCAGTTCTTACACTCTCAAGGAAATTGGACCTAGGATTATGAATGGAAATATCCACATTATGGGTATACTGGGCACGGCAGTCTGTAGAGGTCTTGCCAATATAATACCATAAGGTTTCCGGCTTTGTCAGATCAACTGTACAGGAATCCGGATTAAATGGGGGTTGCTCGCAAATGAAATCCTCCCAGCGGTAGCTGGAGGAAGTATCACCAAATATCATTCCATGAGATGGCATGGACGAATTCGAATCGTTTCTCGAATCGGGCTTTCGAGAAAGGTGGGCAGGAAGAGGCAGAATATTTGGGGGTAGTGGGGGAAAATTGGTCTTTTTAACTATTAAGGTCCACCGGTATGGGAGCTCAATCACATCACTGGAATGGAAAGAAGAAACAAAGGTGGTTAGTGAATGGCAAGAATTAATAAACTAGAAAGATACTTACCCTCGTGGAAGCACTTTCAGCATTAGTGAGCGCTCCAATGGACGGTTTTCCAGCACCACAGCTCCGTTAATCTCCTTATCGGCTTGAAATTGCATCAAGTCTCCTGGCTTCAACTTCATTGCTGTCTCCAAAACCTTGGAGTCCATATCGAGCGTCTGTGATGGGAGAGAGCCAAATCTCTTCTGCCGATGGTACTTGCATTTCAAGTCGATAGCTGGAACTGAATACTCTTGGCCGTCATCCGCAACAACCGAAGTTTCACCAAATTCCACCTGGACACCTGCAAGCAATGCACATGTAGGATGGTATGACCTAGCACACTTCCCATACATACACTGGAAGCAAGCACCTTTTACCTCGCGACAGAACAAGCATTTTAGGCCCATTCTTGCTTTGGGAATCTTGTCAACATCGCAGACGATCTCACGTCCGAGGTCATCCTTAAGGATAGAGGTCTCTTCAATAAACAAGGCGCATCGTCTATGTGCTTGTGATTGACCACCTTCAGTGGGCAACAGTTCTTCGTAGTCCATACTATTTGGGCATAGTACACATGGCGGCTTCTTTGGCGAATCTAGATGCAACTTGGCACGCTTGGATTTAGGCTCAATACCATCAACCTTCCGTTTCCTGGGTCTTGTGGATTTTTCCGGAACGCTTCGAGGCGGAGTGAGAAGGTCGGAGGCACCTTCATACTGTTCACTTCTGGTCTCATCGTAGTACTCAGGAGTAGTTTCACCCCGTAATTTCCGTTCAATCTCTTCGACGTCGATCCAGACAGTATCCGTTTCGCAGTGGCATTTCTTGGCGATACGGGCATAGTCGAGCCAACTTTCCGTAGCAAAATTGACCGATTCTGCACAGTTGTACCCCAAGTTGAATCCGGAGTGGTATCCATACGGGAACGTGATAACGAACTCGCCTTCATAGTGGACTAGTTTGTTCGCGGTAATGCCGTACTGAGACTTGAGGACGGTGGGGGAAATAAGGTAGGTCTTGTGTCGTAAGAACTGGCTGCAGTTTTTCGAGTCCGTTGGCCAAATACCTATTGAGTAGTTAAAATTAGTCAGTATTTCATGTTGCACACCTGTGTGTTCATCAAGCATCTAAACTTACTCCGCATCGCTGCCTCGAAGCGTGGAAGGTCTTCCTGTGAGATGCTGTACCACTGTTTAGGAGCGCCAAAGTGGATGTAGTTAATGCTGTAGAGGTCAACATCTTCAAGATGCCAGGCGAAAGTGGCCTTCCACATGCCAAGGTATACATAGGCGGTGTTGACACCAGGGACTTTTTGGCCGAGAACATCCAGAAGATTTGGGAGATTGGCAACATTCCATGAAGTCACGGCATCATCAAACAAGGAACCTGGCATATCAGCACCATACATGGGGTTGTTATACATAAGAGATTTCCAATAAGCGGTTTCGAGTTCTTCACACCTTTCAGCGGTGAACTCTTCGTTACTGGAGAGACGATAGTCAAAATCGATGAAAGCTTCTTCATCAATATAGTCGTCTTGCTCATCTCGGTTATTTTTCCGTCGAGCAGAGACAGACTTGGGTTGTCTGCCTTTTGGCTTTGGGGCAGGCAATGGCTCTCCATCACTTAGTTCCTCGGATTTGGCTTTGACTGGCTTTGACACTGGGGACACTGGAGTAGGAGGGCTTTCAGGTTTGGATCCTTGGCCATCATCCTGGCGTTCGGGCAATTCCTCACTGGCTTTACGCTTACTTGAAGCTGTTTTGCGTTTCTGAGATTCACCTTTATTACCATGACTTCTGACTGTACCCCGGGTCTTCCCTTGGGTCCATCGTCTTTCTCCTCGTCTGGCTGGAGGTTGATGACTGATTTCTTCAGACAATGCTTTCCACTGTGGAAGGTTGTATGACCGCTGTTTCTCAATGTTTGCCTGGGTAAAGGTTCCGTGAGACCCTGTAAATTCCTGGACGATAGGATTCTTGATGCGGATGGTCTTGACGGCCTCGTCTAGGGCGGGAAGCGAGTCCGTCCTATTTAGTTGTCAAGAGTCAGCATGACAAGTCTTCAACACTAATCCAACAACTCGTGGTTCTAGATCGACTTGCAAAGCCAATAATATGTGTCATTGAAGCCTGCAGTACTCACCACTCCTTTGGAGGAACCACTTTCACAATTCCTGACTTCATGCCATATTTGTCAATACAGCGAATGAAAGCTCGAAAGTCTCGGAACTGGTCCATGGTCTGGAGAAAGAAGGATTCAGAATTAGTGTCTCGTGAAGTAATAAAACAAAAAGGTCAAGATACGGTAGCTATGGTATGCAAACGAACCGGCTTGAAGACCGGCACTCTCCCACCCTCATAATAATGATCTGGTTGAATATCTTCCAGAATAGGAGAGGTACCGTCATCCTCGATGGAAGGACGAGGAGAAGCCGAGCAAGAATTGATCCCATGAAGGTGCATCTTCTCTCCGTCGGCGCTGGCAGGTGGGGTCATCGATGCAGCAGTGTTGCCGCCTGGAACACTGTGTTGTTCCGCCATGACTGGTAGATCGAGCTATACGAACATGTGTCGCACCCTCTTCTCTCCACTAGATAGTTATCTGTGTATTTCGTCTCGCTCACTTGCCGAACGTTTTTCTCCTATGCCTTTTTTTAGTCTCCTTCCCTCTTGTTAGCCCTAACACTGCGGTAATACTGTTGAGAAGGCGATTGACGATCGTCTGGTGGGCAGGCGCCAACGTACGATGAGAACAAGGGGAGAGATCGATTCCCGCCTCCCCAAGGAAGCTCTTGTAGGTGACAAGGAGAGGCAAGAAAAGGAGTTTGACGAACGGCGGAGGATCCGATATTAAGTATGTATGCTGGAGGCAGCGAAGAAGGCGTATAGTGTAGTAGATATGGTTGGGCAGAAGAAAACGACCAGGATTGATTAGCGGGTTACTTCCGGGTGTTAGGGGGTCGCTTAGTACGTATCGTGAGCGTAAGGGAAGAAAAAAAAAAAAAAAAAAAAAACCAAGAACTCGAGACAGCCGGGTGAGAGAGAGTGGTATGACTAGTCGAACGAGGCTTTCTTTCTTCGCGCAGGGACGTTGATTTCAGTCAGCACGGCGATGAGGGAGCAGTAAAGACACCATTGGAAGGACAACGCTTGTGAAGTCCGCACGGCCAACGCAGCGCTCTTCTGGGTGCTCTAGGAAGAAATCGAAGGTTCGAATGATAGATCGGTCGTGCTGGTTCCGACAAGCCCCTTGTAAATATGCGGTTTTTGGTGCTAGTTTATTGTCGCAGGGCCTGGAAGTACCCTTTTTCCGCCGTGCCCCCTGCCCGGTCTGGCAGCAACACCAAACCAGAAGCAGCAAGCAGCAGCACCGGCTCAGCGCCCGTCTCGTCTCTGGGTCTCCTGGCGCTCCTTCAAGCCGCAATTCGAGCCTTTTTCGCTCCCGGCGACGCAGACGCTGAAGGTGAGGGTGAAGTTGAAGTCGAAATAAGGCGAAAAAGCTGTCGAGCAGTCGAAGTTTTGCAAGACGACGTCGAAAAATACCGAATCAGGCAATTGGCTGAGAGCAGGCGGCGCTAGTCCTTACCAGGCAAGCATCAACTACGCTAGTATTATCTGGGCGAAAGAAGTGGCCGCTTTAACAATGACGTAATAGATGTCATGTGATAGTTCTCTTTTTGCTGATTAGATAAGGAGAAAAGTTTAATTTGGTTATCAGATATAGTCGCAAAAAGGGGGAAACGCCCGAGAAGAGCAGGCCAGCCGAGAGCGGAGGACGAGGAGGAGAAAGGACAACGCATCAGAGCCACACCTGGTGGTCAGATGGCATGCAGGAAAAGAGGGAAAGCAGAGGGCGGCGGAGGAGCGAAAAAAGGGCCCCTCATGTCTTACAGTTTATATCGCGGGGAAACAGACAGAAGCATATGCAGCATTCTGTAGCCGTTGACCACTCATGATTTAAAGCATTTACCCGCCGTCTCCTTAGTTTATTTCCACCCGCCCTGTTAAACTGCTTAGTATTCGCTGAATTTCAGGCTCTTTCCCACCAGGCGTCGAGGGGAGGAGGCCTTGCTGTCTTCTCTTTCGTCCGTTCTCACTCCCTTCAGTGCATGCAGGAGCATTCCTGCATCAAAGAACCCGTCTAGATGCTCAGAGTTAGTCATCGAATACTACAAGTTTTTTAAAAAAGAAAAAAAAAAGAAGAAGAAGAAGAAGACGATGAGAGGGGGAAAAAAGAGAGAGAGCGAGGAAAAAGAAAGGAAAGAGAGTGAGGAACTGCACATACAGCCGCCCATCCCATCGTCGTCACCACTCTCGATGCCATCCATGTCCCCCAGGGATTCCGTTCTGATCACTCGTCCCTTTCGCTCGGACTTTGTTCCAGCCTGTTTGTGGGCGGAGTCAGAGACAGTCGCCTTGCCCCTAGCCCTTGACTGGTTTGTGGCTCGCAGCAGTTTGCGAATCTCAACCAGATATGAATCAAGCGTATCCATAAACCTGCTAGTCTGTCGATGCTTAGAGGATGCGCAGATAGATATTGTGTCATCCTTGATGATATACCCAATTCCAAATCCATCACCAGACGTCGGTCCAAATCCAAAGTGACGCAGCGCGGGATTTCCACAGTTTGAAGTCGAGAGAATGGTGTTGTTAATCCTATCCCATCCCGGGTCGCTAAACAGCGTTGGTGTGGTAGGCGTCTGACGGCTGCGAGAACCAGGTGTGCTGCTCTGCATTCCATCCGCTATATCAGCCTCCGCAGACGATTCGCCATCAGAAACTAACACCGCAGCGCCATCACCGAGGGATCTCTGCCAAAGGCAGTAGAGTGCGTAAAGGTGTCGGTCCTGACCCAGTCCCTTTGAACATGTCCTTGTAATATCTACATGCTTCTCGCATGCCCGTTTGAGGGCCCTAACCTTCTCTGCCGCCGGATTATCGCCCCAGAATGTCTTGACGAACTCTGTTGACTCAGCAGAGACAGTACGTATCGCTTCTGTTCTCCCATGCAGGAAGAACTTTGTCATCGCAGGCTCATACGTCGTTTCGATACGCCCGTACAAGCCATAATATGCTGCCTGGAATGCCATCTGCACAAACGCATCCGGAGAAAAGCCCATACTAGTGATAAAATTCTTCCCATACCCTGCGAAATCCAGGGTCTCAAATTCATGTTGACGTAGTAAATCTGCTAGATGAGATTCTGCAAACCGTAACGCCGTGCTCAGCTCGGGTCCCATGTCCCATTCGAGCTTGTGAGGCGTTGTGCTAGCGTCATCAAGCCCGGCGGTAGTGTCGCGTTTGCATGGTGGAGGACTGCTGGACGCCCACAAACTCGGTGCCTGGCCATTGATAGTCCTGGCAAACCGAAGGATCGTATCTGTGTAGACATCACTGGCAAAACGAAGAACCGTATGCCCATCCACACCAGTATGTTCAAAATTGATTCCTGCGCTCCCGTTCTTGCAAACAATAATCTGCAGCTTGTCATACCATCTGTTTGTGCATGTTCCAATCTGCACCCCTCGAACAATTTGGCTTGTGCCGCACAGCATGTTCCCGCAAAGTTCTGCCACGCTGGATGGTTCGGTGGAATCAAGGCAGAGCACAAACAATGCGGTGTCGACAATATTCAGACACTCCGCATTGTTTGAACTGCCATCTTGGGTCAAAATATCCCTCAGTTTAGACCAGACTTTCCGACTCTCGGTACTCAAGACACCCACAGCCCCCTTGGCTGCCTCCTGGGTCGGTGTCTGTTCGGCGTCATCAATAATCACTCTGAGGTTCATCGAAATATCTTTCTCGCTCATCAAGTGGTTGTTGTCCTCGTCCAAAACATCAAACCAGTAGAACTGACCCCGACATAGCACCACAAGGTGTCTTGACGCAGAGTCTTGACCGATTACACAGCCGTTGGGCGTAGGTACCCGTGCTGTCCCAAATAGCCGCGAGTACTGGAACATGCAAAGCGGCTTGCCGCGTACGGTGTCAGGTGCAAGCTCCTCCTTACGCACTGCACGGACAAATGACAAGGCAGAGACAACAAGGGAGGCTGCTCTCGTTACTTGGTTGTTCCTTGCTGGTGTTGGGTCATCTGCCAACAGGAAAAAGGGGTTGAGGTTGAGTACAACAGCTAACCAACGGTTTTAGTTACCACGTCTTTTCGTTCTAAGGGATCTATCGGAAGGTTCTCCTCACGGTTGTCAAAATTCAAGTAAGAATCATACCCTGGCCACGATCCATAGTCAGCTCAGCAGATACTTCTCTTGGTGCTATGTCTTACAGAATTGCTCTATGTAGCTGGACTTGGAAGTAGCATATTTCTTCAGCTTTTCCTGAAGCCCAGGCCCCTCAGCTTCCATGAATTCTTTCACAGCAACCCTTGTGGTCTCATGTTCCTTTGTGCTTTGTAGCGGAGCTAAAGCCTCGAGGTACTTTGAACAGGTCGACTCAAGGTCCGGTATAGGTAATTTTGGCAGAGAGTTCTGGTTGGCAAAGGTAATCCCTTTACTTTCGACTGTATCATTTTCTTTGCCAATCCCTCCATCTGATGGGTCTCCGTTGGATGTTGCCATATTCTCACCCTTACTTGCCATTGACCTAATTGTGGGCGACAGTTTAGGTATAGTGGATGTCGAGCACCTCGTTCTATCATCAACGTCAAGAGGGTCTCGAAGGTGCTTTATATGGCTGAGAACCTGGAATGCCATGAATAAGCACTGGGCTAAATTTATAATAGCATGGAAATAACAGGTACAACGCGGGTTAATATCAGGTGAAACGAGCAGGAGCTAGAGTAGAGATAGATAGAAGCTGTAAAGCACTGCAGTAGAAATAGTGGCGATCATAGAGGTAGTGTAGCGGCGTCTGTGGCACAGAGGAAGGGAGGGAGAGAGAGTAGGCAGGGGACTGCTGGATGAGATGGCAGCAGTATCAAATGAAGCCACGGGCATTTGCCGGAGGGTATCCACGACATGGCTTTGAAGTAGGGAATATATAGCTAGCATAGCAGCCTTGTCTACGAGAAAGGAGCTCGCAACCAAACCCCGCGGCTGCCAACCACGAGATGAGATCACGGGTTCTCTTCCTTTGGGGCTTGGTGACTTTGGCAGTCCATGTGAGCAGAAGGCAGAGGCTATAGAAGGGGCGGGCGTGTGTTCAGAATGTGCGAGGAAAAGTTGGCAGAGTAACTATGTTGGATGGTTGGGGGAATATTCAGCTAGAGCAGAGAACTACAAGCCATCAACGACAGCTTGTTTGCGAGAGTAGGCAGCGAGGAGAGAACCCACGGGGATGGTAAACTAGCTACCGTTTAACTTGGTTATTTGCCTGACCAGCCACACTCACTTCGGTAAGATAACTAGTTATGCGGGATAGTGATGAGGATGGATATCGTATCCAGCTGTCCCGGCGTTGTCTGTGACCAGAAAAGAGGCAGAAGATATGCAGCTCCTTGATTATCTATATAACCAACTAACTAGTTAGCATCTCCGTCTCGGGTGGATGTGCCGAGGGGGCGGGTTGGCTAACTTGGCGGCGAGCTTGGTAGCGACCCCATGGAGGCAACTTATCAAATCACAGCGAGCCATTTGGATACAAACAAGCATCTCCGGGCCTCCTCCTTCAGCCCTCGGCGTCGGCGGGTGTAACTTGGCACGTAACTGCACGTTCCGGCGTTAGGTTACTTGGTCTCGTTGATAACTAAACTGTTTCTAGCAGCGAAGATACATAACTAACTAATCCCCCATAACTAGTTACCGGACCTTCTTTTAGAAGCCCCTTTCCGGCGAGATAGTATAAATTCACGATTATTAAAGTCTATTCAGTAACTAGTTAACTAGTTAACTGCTCAGTTTTAGTTGTATTTACTCATAACTTCTGTCTCCGCCTAAGCTCTACTCTCTCTCTTTCTTTCTGCAGCTTCTCCGCGAATTCCGGCTTTGCGGGAGTGGCAACTTTATGGTGCTCTGCTGTTGCATACACAATCTTCCCGTCCACGGACTCTATAACTCCCCGAAGCATAGCCATTGTTCTTCCATGCTGAAGAGTAGTGCATTTAATCCGGATGGTAGTTCCTGTTGTAAGCCCTTAGGTTAACCAGCATTCTCCAGACACTCATATTTACTCGTATCTGGGGAAGGGGGTTTATATCATTCATCATAACAAGACATACCAGTAGGTATCCCCTTGAGATAGGATAGGTTTAGAGATCGTGAGACACCTTGCAGGAAACTAGATATATGGTATTAAAATGCGGTTAAATGGCGCAAGATGGGAAGAGAAAGACGCACTACCAATACCCAGGCTTAGTTACTGGATTCATTGATATCGCAGTGCACATGTCTTTCATTCGATAGCTATCAGCAACTCCTTCGTTCCGAGAGTCCTATGAGAAAGCAGGTAGGATATTAACATACCGAATACTACAGCACAAGCGCCTCCATGCATAACACCTACGTATTTAAACCCGGGGTGTCATTATATTTCTTATTGCGAATATTCGGTAAAACAGAGACTTTAATACCATTCAAATTTGACCAGTATTCAGTTACATCCATCTCCCATGTTGCACCCCCTGAGGGGTCAGCATCAATGAGGCGGATATCCTCAAAAAACCGTCTATCATAACCCTGTAAGGGATGAGACAGGCGTCAGTGACTAGCTACTCGTCTTCTATTCCACTTCTCAAGGGTTCAACGAGAAAATGTTACAGCGTACCTGGTAGTTTTTCTCTTTCGTTATTTCCCCATAACTACGGAGAGAATGTTAGAAAGTACGACGTACAATACTTCCTTCATCGGGGGTAGGGAGAGTCCAGGCAGCTTACACCTTAAGGAACGTTTCAATAGACTCCCTTGCTCTTTGCTTTGCTTCAGTTTCCACCATTTTAGATCACCTAAAAGAAAGAAAGGATGGTTTGTGTATGGGAATCAGCAAGGATCGAGAGAAGAGTACGGAGTATATGAAAGACAGGTTGCTGGGGAGAAGGTTCTTGCCGCGGCCGAATTTCGGCCGAGGCTTAACTATGGAACCAATTGATAATACGTTCCATAACCTTTGACATACACACCAATGCACCTAAACTTCTAGGTCGTTTCGGCGTTACGGAGTACTTCGTAGTTAAAAGGTGACATCTTTATAAGTTTCAAGTTCGGTGCTTTGAAGTGGCCGGAATTCAGACGTGGACACAGAATTCCATACGTGAATGCATCAAACACAACGGGCAATTCTACAATAGACTAAGAGACACAGAACAAAGTACTCAAGGTCCGCTTTCTGTAGCCATAGCCACGAAATGAGTTCTACAAATTTACTCCGTATTATTTGGCTGTTCGAGCTTCCACTTCTCCGCCTGGTGATGCTCTTCGGGTGTTGGGGAGCATGGGCAAAAAGGGGGGTCACATGGAGGCTAGTCCCAAACAGGACAGGAACGGATCAACTTAACACCGGCGCAGATATCCAGACTGGACCCGACCGGCCCGGGGCCCTTATGACTAAGCCATCGAGGAGGTCAGGGGCCAAAGTTTTATGCAAAAAAGTTACTCTGCAGAGTCAACAAAGATATACGGAGTACTTAAACAAGCAGCCTTGGAAACAGGCAAGCCACGAAAGGATAAAGGTGGCAGTAAGTCAGCCATTGACATCGATATCCAACTCTGTTCCTGGATCATGGCTGTCAATCCGTCGATTCTGGGAACACAAAGTCCAGAATCTAAGAAAGCCACCCGCCTTGTGTGTTGAGTCGTTCCTACCGGGGCGCTCCGAAGAACCAACGCCTTTAAGCAGAAAGTGTTGTCTCTAGTTCAAAACGAGGCTCATGAGGCATCTCGTCACATATCGACAGTCATTATTTGCAGCTGTTTTATTACCGACTGGCTTGTATTTCTTTTGCAACCAACCAAGTCAAAGTCAATAATGCCGCATGTTCATGGATTAAAGTCCTTAGGCGGACAAGATATTAGGATCTCCAACCCCTAGGCTGGATTGATATCAGCTTGGACGAAAGAACTCGGGAATATTTCGCCTATGGAGCACGAAGTACGGAGTACATGTGGTGTGATGAATCGGAGCAGAACCGGCAGCATTATCGGAAGCGGCAACTGCTCATATGGCATTAACCCAGGTGATAACAAGTTGGCTCTTTGGTACTCCGAACAGAGTATCTTCTCGTTTTTTGTGGTTTACTAACGCTAGCTCGAAAGTGTCTCACTCCTACGGAGCACTTCGTACGCCACAACGAGTAAATCGTGCGACAAGAACTAGGGGTGCAGCAAAATAAACCTAGCCAAATGCTAATGCAAAGGCGCTATTGAGGCTATTGATAGCTTAGTGGCGAGTATCCCAATTAACATCCATAGAACACTCCCTAAGCGGGGAGTTAAACTCACAAGATAATCCCCTTAAAACTGAGTGAAAGAAACGCCTAAGGCGCTCGGCCAACCCAAAATGTGGAGTGAAAGAGCTCGATCACTGGGAATTACGAGAGCTGTACTTTTACTCTTGCTTATCACACTCTTCGAAGCTTCCCCGGTGGAGAACTTTGAAGTGTCGGCTGATTTCAACCCTCACGATTGGCTTTCTCGATTTATGGACATGTCTATCATGCAACAGAGCGCAATAATATCCTGACTTCGATCGTTTTAGTTCTGGTCATACGAGTGCGGAAATTAGAGTGGCGGGACGTTATCCTGTGGACGCCAGTATAACGGCTCTCTACAATGGAATGCTAAGGACGAAAAGGCTGATATTACTTGCAGAGATAGAAAGCAGGCTTGAAATCGCTTGGTACCACATCTATCGCCGCGGCTCTCTTAAATGTTTCCTATGCGGAGAAATGAGTGTATTCTGTATGCACATCACATTATGCACGAAAGGCTCGTTCAAGGCACCTGGATCAGAATTATGGGGGATACGCTTGAAATATGGCTCGGTTTTGGTTTTACTACTCCATACGGAGTACGGAGTACTCTGTAAGGAGTACAAGATATCGGAGAGCATAACTTGTGGAACTGCCGAGCACATAATCTAGATGCAGGTACTTCGTACTCCGTATGGAGTTCCCCAAGCATCATCCAGGGACAAGGCGGGAGAATATCATACCCCTTTGACACTCCACGCCTATCGAACCCCCTTAAACAACACTTCTGTGGTGATTGCTGATGTTGTCCGGGGTAACAATTCTCCAATTATAAAGCTGGCCCGTCCGTGGACCCAATAACCTTCACCCCCTTTTGCCCCACAAACTCAATTTTTCCATAGATCGCAGATCGACAAAGCCACAATTTTCTTTTGACCTCAACCGCTCTTGACACGACAAATGACAGAACAGACACGTCCCACAGACTGTGATGAATGAGAGCTACAAAGCTCGAGTGATGCCGATGCCTATGTAGTTTGAGCAGGATGTTCTGTACGGAGTAGCCAACATACAATTTATTACGGTATACTCCGTACACGGGGGTACAAGGTCATGTTCATGTTGGCAGCCTGACTTCCAAACTATGGGATCAAAGAGCCCCCTCAACCAAGACGTGTCGGACTATTGATGTCAAAGTGACAAGGGAGTGGAGCAGGTGGTGGAATCTTGCAGGCATGACCACCAATTCCGAGAGTTTCTTTCGTGCCAATGCGGATCCGGCATACAACGAATAACGCCAGGCAGCAGATATTCCTTTTATTTGGGCTTCACTAGAAGGTGCGCCTCCAAGAGGAGACACGAGATTGTACCTGGATCTGCAATGACGGGTGAGAAAAAAGGGTGACGTCTCGGAAGAGGGAGTACAGAAAGCATAAAAGGACGGCAAATCCCTTCTGGAGGGCTCTTCTCTCTCTATTCTCATCCAGCAACCAACTTGAGACAAGTCACTCATTCATTCTCTTCATCTCTTCCAGTCTCTTCAGCCATTTCCCTTGCTGGTTCTCATTCCTTCCTTTCTTCGAAACCACATTCCTTCGAACAAACTTCAAAATGCGCTTCTCCATCGTTTTCTCGGCCGTTATGGCCAGCTCTGCCATGGCCGCTCCCACCATCGTCGGAGGAGTTGGTAACAACGTTCCAGTCTCTAAGGGTGCTGTTGGAACAGTCAACAACGTTGCCCCAGGTGTTGCAAGCCGCGATGTCGTCAACGGAATTGCTGGCGGTGCTGTCGGTACTGTCCACGGTGTCGCTAGCGGGGCTGCCGGGCTCAAGACCGGAAGCATTGTTAATCGTGACCTTGTTAACAACGCTGCTGGTGGTGCTGTTGGTGTTGCTGGCGGTGCTGTCAACCAAGCTGCTGGCGATGTTGTCCACGGTGCTACTAACGGTAAGCGTGATATTGCCGGCCAAGCTGTTGGGGGAGCTACCGGAATTGCCAACAATGCTGTTGCTGGAACTGTCGGAAGTACCGTTGGATCGACCCTTAACGGAAAGCGTGATGTCGTCAACCATGCTGCCGGTGGAGTCGTTGGTGTCGCTGGCAATGCTGTTAATGGAGCTGCTGGTAACACAGTTGATGGTGCTACTGGCGGTGCTCTCAAGCGTGACGTTGTTGGCCAGGCCGCTAACGATGCCACTGGAATTACCAACGGTGCTGTCAAGAGCACCGCTGGTGAAACCACTGGTCAGGTTGTCGGCAACGTTAAGAGAGATACCCTTCCTAACTTGAACGGAGTTACTGGTGTTGTTGGTACTGCCAAGAATCTCGTTGGTGGTGCCACCGGAGGCGTCGCTGGAGGAATTGTTAAGCGTGTGGAGGGTGTTAACAACATGGTTTCCGGCGTTACTGATAGAACCATCGGCGGAGCTGGCAGCATGGTTGGCGCAAACGTTGTCGGACAGACAGTGACCGGTGCTACCAACACAGTCGGTGGAACCATGGACATCGCCAAGGGTGTTACCCAGCACCAGAAGCGTGAACTTCCTGCGGTTGGAGGTGTCACCGGCGCTGTCCAGGGAGTCACTGGCAACCTTCTAGGCGGTGCTGCCAGCCCCGTTGCCGGTATTGCTGGCCGCCGAGTCTAAGCTTCAAGGATGCAGCTGCCGGCATGACAAGTTTCTGTTGAATATCCGTACGTGCTCTGGATTCCACTTCATACACTTGATGGGACAAGTTACTAACTACAGATTCAGATATTCTACAATTGATTTGTCAATGGCCATCAAGGATTTCCAGGTAGCCCGGACCGTTGGAAGAGTCTGCGCTCGGAGCCCGTGCTTAAAATAGACGAGGACGGCATGATATTTTGATGTTTTGTTTATACCTTTTTCGAAGAGCCCTCTGGATTTTTGTTCTTTTTATCAGCCTCAGGGGTTCAGCTCATTACTCGCTTATTAATTTCATTTTATCAATGACACGACTCATCTATTGTGTGTTTAACATTCTTGTATTTGTTTTTGGTCGTCGGGATCGTTTTTGGATATACAAAAAATGCTTCTTGGTGTACATTTATCTGGAAGTGGCAAAGACGCAGTGTTTTTATTATTAATTAGACATCAATTCAATTTCATGACTTGAAATTATTTACTCTACTGGTATAGGCAAGGGACCTTCGAATGATTTATTATTATTTTCTCTTTTGTGGAGAGAGCTGGACAAAATACCCGATAAACAGTGGTTCCGAATTGCACTGGCCAGGGATTCGTTAGAATACCAGGGAGTTGCATTTCTTTTCAGTTATTCTGAGGGTGCTGGCATCAGAGGGTCTGATCGTCCTGCCCAGGGTATCGCTCTGGACCATATAATAATGCGGAGGGCAATATGGACAGAGAACCCAGCAGATCTCAATTGTGGTAAGGCCCCCTGTACTTGCTGAGACTCAAAGCGTGCAAGGAGTAACCACGATGAGAATGATTCGAGAATGAGTAGACATATGGAGTACTTGCGCCGCCACGTGGAAATATATTAATACGAAGGAAGCAGTCGTATTTGTTAGTTATTGATATAATGGAAGTCTGGGGTTGCTGGGTATGTCTAGATATCAAGCTGTTTACGACCAGGCCTGAGCAAAGTAATCTCGGCAGGATGTTTGAGAGCCCCATGTCGCATAAACTCACTGACTCGAGCTCGCACGGTTATTCATAGCGCTCTGTCACCTGTGAGGTAGCGGGCGGGAGCATGCTTGGTGGCTCAGGGGTTTGCTAGCCTGCGCCCTGAGAATAATGACGGTGCATGCGTTCTCCCTTGACAACTAGCAGCTTTTCATGGGAGGCTGGGTTTGACTGTGCGACAGTGACAGCCCCAGATACCACATCTCCTCATCACATACTGCTCTCCGGCGTCCCTGTCCTCTTCATCGTCTCTCATCGTCTCTCATCGTCTCCTTCGTCTCTTTCGTCTCTTTCGTCTCTTTTGTCGTCTTCTCCTTTTCCCCAATTTTAACATCACTCTCTCGGTTACATAAGCAGAATAAACACTGGTAACCATGTTACTGTAATATTACCATACTGGTACTTAGTTTCTGCGGTATTTTGTGCGTAAATGGGGGTTGCGTCGCATTTAACGCTGGAAATGTTACAATACCACACCAGATCCTGATCTTCAGTTGGGCCCAAAAAGGACAAATCAACGACCAACATCAACATCCAACTTCATCAGAAGAAAAAGGTCGAGCCTGTCCAACGATCAAGCAGAAAGGGACCTTCAGGTGGGCAGAAGAAGAGGCAAGCAAGCAACGATGATGGGTTGCTAGGCAGCTCCGTCTCCCACAGCTCTCTTTTGCCCTCTCATCCTTCACGGTAGGCCCCTTCAGCCTTGTTTCTAGGGGAGGGTGTGCAGCTTGCATATTCACCATCCAACTAACGCAGAACGGAGTACGAACAGGAATCGCTCTACTTACGTGTTCGCTTTCGCTGTAAGTGTTGCTGCTGCTGCTGCGACCCCAGTCCTGATCCGCCACTCTTTATCGCCTGCTGGTCCTATACGAGCGGAGACATATGGAACATTGCCATCTTTATATTATTACCGCCCGCGTATAGACAAGCAGCAACGCTCTCCGGCCTCCATACCGAGTATATATATGCTGTCAAAGGAGAAGCAGGTGAGTTTCTCGATTGGTGATTTCCTTTCCTTTTCTTTTCTTTTCTTTCTTTCTTTCTTTTTTTCCCCCCCTCCCTTGCGTTTCTTTTCTTTTTGCTCACCCCTTTCAGGAGACGTTTGGTGTGTTTCGCATCTTCTTGGTTCGCTGTGTTATTTTTATTTTTTTTTTTTATTTTATTTTTTATTTTTCGCTTCGAGTCCATCCAAGACAGCTCGTATCCCTCCTCGTCGCCATCCCTCTCTCGCCAGCTGCCCCTTGCCGCATGTCTCTCCTCTCCTGCCTGTTGTTAGTTATATTGTGGCTGAACAAGCCGTTGTTTGTCTCCATATTATTTTCAGCACCACTGCGACTCTTCTCTGTTGACCAGAACGGGTGGCTGCTACTCTGTATATTTCAAGCAACTCTGCACAAACAATCTACGGAGCACCACGGGTCATTTTGCGGACCTGCTGACTTTGGTCGCTGCTAGGAAGCACAACGCCAAAATAGCCATACATATGCTCCCTGAACCTCACACTGATACGTCCGCCCATACTCCGTACAGACAGACATCGACGTGGCCCTGCGGCCTTGCCCCCGTTCCCCGTCCCTGACATCGCATATTGATCGCCCTCCCCGCTCGTCGCCCTCCTTGCACGAATACCTGAGCATTCTTTTCGTTTTACTTTTGAATACACATACGCAGTCTGAATGGGGGCCGTTTAAGAACCAGCTGTTGCCTCTCATTCGATAGAATATCGGGGCTACACCTTCGTAGCGGTTTTGCGATTATAGCTGAAACAAGTCGCTACCCGGATAATTCTCACTACCAAGGGTGATCAAAAGCTCGGACATCCTACTTTACCTCTCAGATGCTTCACATCACAACTTCGATAGATCCGTCTTCTTCGCTCGCTTTTTGCCAGATCGGATCATCCCCCCTTTTCTTAACTCGACCCTTGTCCTGAACGTACAGTTGGAATACAGTTGGAGTTATTGTGAAAGATGGATATGGATGCCTCAGCCTCGACTGAGTCGCCGGACGACCAAGATGACTTTCCCATCCACTGCAAAGGATGCGGCGAGGTATGATGTTGCTCATGGAGCCTCCTCCGTTTTCACTATACCATTTTTTGATTTTTGCTAAAATATCTTTTTCTAGATTCTCGAGGAAGGAAAGGCCTTTGAACTCGGTATGTGAATTTTGATCCCCTTTGTGCTTCAAGCCACCAACCTCTGCTAACCATCTATTAGCCGGAAACCGATGGCACATCGACTGCTTCCGATGCCATACTTGCGGCGCTTACCTTGATTCCGACGTAAATCTCCTCATGGTCGGCGATGGTTCCCTCGTGTGCCGAAACTGTGCTTATAGCTGCAGCTCTTGCGGCTCCAAGATTGACGACGTTGCCATTGTAACCGGTGAACAAGCCTTTTGCGCTGGTTGTTTTAAATGTCGCAACTGCAAGAAAAAGATCGAGAATCTCCGTTACGCGCGGACCTCGCAGGGTATATTCTGTATGGATTGCCATGAGTCGTTAATGTCGAGAAGGAGGAAACGGACTGCCCGCAATGCTGCGCAACGGCAAAAGCCCCCGGCTCCCAGCATGCATCTAGACAAATCACTTCCATCACTTCCCCCTTCCATGGTAGCGCCTGAAAATAATCCACCCCCGCCGTCCTCTTCCGATATATACTCTGATTCAACATCAGAACATCTCCCACCGTCTAGACAAGAAGATGACCGGGCAGCTAGATCATACTCTTCGCACCAAGGTATGTTTGCAGTAACTTTGAACGAACGCCTTCATGTTTGGTTTGGCTAAAACGTACATTTTTTTACTAGATAATAACCAACTCCTCCCCTCGAGTACGTATAATAGCAACCGTCAATCGGTAGCTACTCACAGGTCAGATGGCTCCGCCGGTGGTGAAGAGTTCCTTATACCTGTTGCCTTTGACCCTACTCCTTCCGAGCATGCGTCCCCACACTTGGGTTCTCCGCACTCATCCATGACCCTAAGCGATGGACAAAAGGATTATTTTGGCCGGACACCCTCCAACGCACTGGGAATCTCAGCAGATGGACCACCCGTGTTATCGCCGACGCATATTGCATATCAGGATAAGCGCCAAATGAATCCCAACCCACAGCAGTGGATTCAGGAAACTGTTACCCCTCCTCAATCTCAAACTACAAATAATGCTATCCAAAGAACTGGTTCGCACAGTGCTCGAACTAGCATGAACATAGACAGCTCTAGGCTATCGCAAGAGGGTTCAAGAGGAAAGGATCAAGCCACTTTGGGTGGCAGCGTCCACCTCACGCCGAGTGAAAGGTCATCTAATCGCCATTCCGTCCCAGGAAAGGATGCCATTATCTCTCAATCATCCACTTTCAACCCAAGGAAAAAGGTATTAAATGAGCAATCCAGCCCTGGAACAATTTCTTCCTCAAACCAGCTGCAGTACCCACCCAAGAGAGGGGACTCTCTAGAGAGCAAGTTACATCATAATATCCAAAGGAAAGAAATACCACAGCCTTCACAAGACCATGCGGAGAAGCCGGAGGGTACCGTTAGGTCCTCAACTAGTTCAGACTATGCATCGGTAGCTTCGAAAGCCATTGAAACTACTCCGCCAAGCCACTCCAATACCACCACCGCTGGTGCGGGTGCTGTATCACCGTCCCATACAAGGTCTGTATCAGGAGGGGTGAGTGGAAATGTTTTACCACCGGACTCTCAGCGTCAAAATTCATCTGGTTCTTCTCCCGGCCTTCTACGTTATAGTGCTGTTGGAGACTTTTCTCTAGATGAGGATATGGCACGAATTCTTGGGGATGACCCACAAGCTCAAGACTCATTCCTACGAAAGGTGTCGAATTCTGTTCGGCACGGTAGAAGCTTTAGTGACAAAGGCTCACGGTTATCCCGAGATAGCAAGTGGCCTGCTAAATCTCCCCTCGAGGCAGGAAACTCTGGGAATGATATTAGTAGTCCAACTTCTAGTGGACTTGATCCCAAGGATGAACTAACGTGGCTCAAGAACGAATTGAAACGGGAACGCCAGAAAGTTGTTGAAAAGGACCAGAAGATTGTGGAGTTAGAGGCCTCGCTTAATGCTACTGTAAATATTAAGCAGGTCAATACAGAGCTGCGGGAGAAGAGATCCACCGTGATCTTCTTAGATGCTCAAAAGGAGATCATTCTCCGGGAGCTGGAAGTATGGAAAGAACACATCGCAGCTGAGAAGAAAAATAATAAGCCACTTGACCTGGGAAAGATGAGCAATTCGGTTCTTCGAGACCTCGCGGAATCTCTGGAAAATTTGAAAAATACCTTTGCCCCCCAGATCGAAGATTTGATTCAGAAACGCAATGATTTGGTCGAAGAATTATCTAATTTAGGGAAGATGAAAGACAAGAGTTTCCAGGAATTCGAACAATTGTCTCTGAAGAATGCGCAGTTGGCAGAACTAAACAACCAGCTGGTGCACCAAATTCAGGAATTATACAAGGCGAACTCCAATACATCTGGTGGTAGTGTTCGACAACCTCCTCCAAATGGGTTAGGAATATATTCCCACAACAAAGACAAACCAAGCGCCTCACTCGAGGCACGTTCTACGCCATATGAAGCAGTAGGTTCTAGCTCTAGCGTTACAGTGCCGGAAGAAGCCGAGCCGGCTACAGTCATTCAAGGCCCCCATGTTGTGAATATCCGCAAAGGACAGCCCAAGAAATTCACTTGGAAAAAGGGCCAAAACGTTGCAAAAGGAGTTACCAAGGGCCTTAAGGGGGCATTCTTATATCAACGAGACGGCCAACTTAACGAGAACTCTTCTTTTGTCTCCACCCCTCAACAAGAAAATAACGGTTCCGCAATGCCACGCTCACAAACACAAGACCCATCCAGGCAAGGGTTTGGATTCTTTGGGAGCAACCAGAAGACCAAGCCCACTCCATGGAGGGGACAGTCCAACGGAAGTTCACCTGGTTTGGATACTACAACGAGTAAGCTCATTTTGCGATATATTTCTTACTGCCTGCTTTGTTTAGTAGAGCTAACATCTGCTAGGTCTCTTTGGTGGCGAGCTGGAGCAGCGCTTGGAGATTGAGAAAGCTGTCATACCTAGTATTGTCACTCGTTGTATCGAGGAAGTTGAACTTCGGGGTAGGGATCCTTCGATCTACCAACTATTAAAATATTCGCTAACCTGGACTCTGCAGGAATGGACGTTGAAGGAATCTACCGAAAATCTGGAGGGAGTTCTCAAGTCCAGACTATCCGCGAAGGTTTCGAGCGTTCTCGCGACTACGATATATCGGATCCTGATCTCGATATTAATGCCATCACCTCCACCCTTAAACAATATTTCCGAATGCTCCCGACTCCGCTCGTTACATACCCTGTGTATGATATCCTTATCGAAGCCACGAATGTGACGCCTGTCTCAGCGAGAATTGAAATAATCCAACAGGCCCTTCAGGAACTTCCTCGTGTGCATAGGGATGTTTTAGAATTCCTCGTTTTCCACTTGAAGCGTGTTGTTGATCGTGAGAAGGAGAATCTTATGACCAGTCTCAACATTGCCGTCGTTTTTGCACCTACCATCTTGCGCCCCGAGAGCTTGAGTCGTGAAATGACTGATGTCCAGAAGAAGAATGAAACGATTCAGTTCATGGTAGAGAACTGCCAAGACATATTCATGGGCATCGAAGAGTGAAATGTTGCTTACACCGCAACTAGGCTAGAATTGCGGACATGGCCAAGGCCAAGCTACAACCTCTGCTAACAGGCCTTTTCCTATTTCTCTTGAAGGATAAAACAGTCTCAGGAAGAAAATTTGGAGGGACTACTTTTACATTACGTCTTCCCATTGCCTGGCATGATTTATCCTTACTCATTTCGCAACTCCTTTCTGATCCCCTCCAAACTTTTGGCTTGGCTTCTTATTTGACAATGGCTACAGCGTGTTACTGTCTCTTCCTTCGCTCCACACCGATTTATATGTGGCACGCCATTTTTCTATATCGCTTCCTCAGTTTTGCAAATGGGAAAACAAAAGGGGAAGAAGTACTGGAATTAAAAAACACAACTTCGGAAATAATAGCAACTTTCTGCTGGTCCAGATTGGAATATGATTTTATCTCCCTTTTCTTGCGTCCTTTATTTATCTCCATCTTAATGCCTTTTGCAGCTACGATGATTTTCCCGCTCTTTTGTTCTTGTGTCATTTTTTTTTCCTTTTTTTTTTTAACTTGTTAAGTTACCCCTTTTTGCGCGTACTACTTGTTTATGGTTTTATCCAAATACCCTTCAACTCATTGCCTACTTATCTAGTAGTTAGCAAATTAATAGCAAGCAAGAATGATTACGATAGTAGATTAATCCTGTCTCGTAGTAAAATGGAGTAACAATCAATTCCGCTTGGATATGCTGGTGACTTGCTAGGGTTTATCATTCGTGTAGAAATTGAATACTACATTATTGATCTGTACTTAAGATTAAAACGTTTCATCTACACCAGAGCGCCGGATTATACTTGGACTATTGTTAGGGTCGTCATAAATATCGTCCAGATCATCAGTCAGTTCACTTGCCCCAGCAGTGTAGAGTAAATCTGAAACAATACGTTTCGAGGCCTCCTTTGCTGTATCGTTGGAAATGCATGTGAGTATCATGTGATAACCAAGGAGAAGCCGAAAGTTGAAGCGAACATACCTGGAGTTTTCATTAGTCGACTTTGCGGAACATGGAACTGCATGGTCTTTGGCGGGCTAAAGTCAACGAGCGCCGAGTCATCTTCATCATCCGCATATCCGCCCTTCTGGAATTCCTCATCGCTGTCCCATTGGTTTGGATCTCCTTTAAATTTATTTGAAGGTGTTGCTAGAACACTAACTCCAGGAGTTCTGGTCTTGCTGTGATTGCGCTTGGCCGCGCTGCGTCGAATCATAGGTGAGTCGAACAACTCTGTGTGCAATTTGGGCGCTTCTAGCTCAGGGCTTGAAAGAGGAGAATCATCCAGCTTATACCGGGAAGTAGGTGGAGTAGCGATGTTAAGTTTATTGTTCCCTTTAGCGGTAGTAAGTCTTCGTGGGTTTGACAGTGGGGTTGCCTGAACACGATATGTTTTATCTAGAACCTGGTGCATGAGAGGGTCGGCCCTATCCCCCTTTAGAGCCATAGATAGCTTAGATTTCGATGTAGGATTGAACACAGTAGATGAAGAAGTATTAGGTGTAGCAATTTCGTTGTAGCCAAGCTGGTTTCCTTTCCCGGGGGTCCTGGGTCCTGCGCCGCAGAGCTGAAGGGGTGACTCAATAGCGGGTAGATTTTCTTCATGTTGGTCAGAGGCTGAGGAGTGTTCTATACATGGGGAGGTAGGATCATCATCGGATATGGCACGAGATGATATGCCCCTGGCACGCGGAGTGCTGTGTGAAGGGGATAATGAAAGTGTCGAAAGGTCAGGGTCATCTTCATCCTTAATCTTCTGGTTTATTGATATATGCTCCGAAGAAGGCGAGGCATAGGATTCGGACTCTTCTTGGTAAGTTGAGTCATCTGTAGCGGTTGTGTTGGCACTAATAGTAGCGTCCTGTTCATTATCAATTGGTGGTTGCTCCTCGTAGCCAGACAACGAAACGTTGGCGCTTGCTTCAAAGAACTGCTTCCAGAACTAATATCGTTTGTCAGATGAATGCATTAAGCGTACATTTTTGCAGTTTATTGCGATTCTACCTTGGAAGCTTCCCAAACGTCTTTTGAGTTCTCCGCGTATTGTTCAACGATTGGTATAATGCTAGAAGTAACGATCCGGTGGGCTTTATTGAAATTGGAATCGATTTCTGCGTTTCAATAGACACCATAAATTAGCGAGCGATAACGATGCATTGAACCTGGAAACCACTTACCTTGTAATGTCAGAGTGATGGACTGTTCAAGCTTCTCCAGCTCCTCCGTAAGAGTGAGGCTGCGCTGTACTGCTGGTGGATGGGACATGCTGCCGGAGAGAGACCGTCCAGCCGGTTGGTTGTTTTGCTCGATTGACCGGCTATCGCGCGCGTTCAAGTACAAAAAGGCGTTGTTGATGTCACGAAGGGGGTTAAAATTTAAAGTTTAGCGTCTAGGGCGATAAGAGATTATCTAATTATTACATAAGCCGGCTTTGCTATCAGATATGACGACGGAACGGCAGAGGCGAAGGCGAGGGCGAGCGAGGGCGAGGCAAGGCAACACCATTCAGCAGCCACACAGTAGCCCGCTGTGTGATTTACACTACTGACTGATATGAGAATCCTCTGAATATAGTAAAGACTTGGTTTGCGGCTTTAGCTATTTACTTTTTTTTCTTGATAAGGGTATCGGGCGGCCCTACATATTACTGCTTCCGTCTCACTCTGAGTATAACGCCCTTCAAGGCTCAAATATGACAGCCCCTTTGGCAAAAGGTTAGTACTTATCTGAAGCCCCGTCACCTCTTGGAATTTTGTTTTCCGTCATTGTAGGTGATATATGGAGGAAGATAATAACGAGAATTCTGGTTTTAGGCATCGTGATAACTGTCACAGTTATCGTCGCAGCGGGGATTGCAGCCTATGAGAGCCCAGAGGTTCAAAGATGGCTTGACACCTCTCGACGGAAGATAGCCCTCGCTTTACACAGCCTTGGAGATGGCATCAGCCCAGATAAACAGCGTACGCCGCAAAGAGATGATATATCCATGGTTGAGGCTACCGGAATCGAAGCAGAGGAAAGAAGACAAAGGGCTAGGGAAGATATCATGAGACGCCATGCTCTACTAACTGCAAAACGACGTGCCACTTCTGAGGGCAGCATGAGCAGTTTTGATAAACTTGTGGATAGCGAAGGACGGCTAAAGGAAACTAAATTGTTTGACAAGGAACCAGAGGGCTCAGTCTCAAGGTCTTCGGGGGTTCAAATGCCTGACCTGTCCCGGGTAGTGCCTGTGAACGTAAAACAAGGCGATTCAAGCGCTACTTCCCATTCAGTGTCCATGGTTATCCCTGGCATCAATCCGGACCAACGTCGTGCGCTTATCGAGAAATTGCAGCTAAATACCTCTCCTTCATCAACTCTGGATTCAGAGACATCCTCCCACCATCCATCTGAATCTCTAGTGAATCTAACCCCGACTTCTGAGTTCCCGGACACAGATTTCCAAGCTTCTATTCACGTTAGTGAACAAGATATACCGGTCCAAAATGGCTCTCCTTCGGCCTCCCATACTGAAGATGGGGAGCCGGGTTTCTACTACGCTCACCCTGATCATCTTAACCAAACCACCTCCCACACAGATGGGGTTCTCTTTAACGCTGACGGCAGCCATACTCCAGTCACTCAGCCATCACCTGCACCATCCATCGCTTCTAGCTTGAGCCACATCAACAGCGATCCATTTGAGTCTGTCTCTGACGAATCAATCAGTGACATTGTTCAATCACGGGACGATGTTTACACGCCTGTTAGCTGGTCTGAAGTCGGGAGTGTCACCAGTAGCAATGACGGAGGTCACGCATAAGCAGTATATTATGTTTGTTATATTATGTCAGGATGCGGGTCAACAAGACATATCGTTTATTTCCCTTTACCGGTGCGGGCTTACGAAAGACTCCAGAATACCTTTGTCCCACGACATCTCTCCGTCTTTGTTGATTTATATTCGGCGCCTTGGATTGACAGGCGCAACTATATAGGAATTGTCTTCATATTTGGTAGGAGTTTAGGAACCTCAGGCCTAAGCAGGATTTGAATATATCTTTCATCATTTCAGTCACAGTGTTTATGGATAGCATTAGCCTGCGCTCAAGATTTATATTTTACCATAACTATATTATTGATTGCTTACTAGCAATCTCGTTGGGCTTTCATTCATATTGCCACACAACTTTCTCATCCTTAGCAGAGAGTGGTCTCGTGGCTAAAAAATGTCGGACTTGGTATATATAAACCCCAAACCAGACGTTAAACATATAAGTAAGCAAATGGGATCGCCTCCACCTATATAGAAAAGCCCCTAATGGAAGCTACAGCTCTGACTTGTGTGTGTATTGAACCATGGGTGAAGAGTTGCCTATATCGGCTTAGTGGCAGCAGGAGCAGAACTGGGCACGCGACCACATAAAGCATCACCGTGGACAGCGTAGGAAGATGAAACACATGCAGCAGACTTCATTCCCTCTCTTTTTAATGAACCTATTGTTATTTGTTGCCTGTGAATTACATGTATAAGGCATCCTACCCAAAGTCATTATCAGTTGAAACAGTCAAGCCAATATCCCATATAGTCATTCCTTCAAGCAGCTCCAACATCAATTTGGACCACGCCACCCAGCCGGCCCATAACAAATGCCTCTGGGAAATACCAAAACGTGACAGTGTAGGTATATGTGTGCCGAGTGACGATGAAAGTCTTAAGGTCGCTTTTGTTTCTAGTGTCGTTCATTATAAGCCATGCCATCATGGCTGTTTCACAAACCACATCGAAACCCGTGAAAGATCCGCCTGGTAAATACTTCGAAGAGCCTGGGACCGATGACACCCTTCGCCATTATGATAGCAGGTTTTTTAAGGGGGTTGTAGAGCCTGCAGATCGAGTGGAGAGCTTGACGGATATGATTCGAGCATATCTGCAATTTTTCCAGGAGAACAGTTTGGAGACCTGGATAGCCCACGGCACACTCCTGGGTTGGTGGTGGAATGGAAAGGTAAGGCCTTCATTCGATGCTAGGATGTCTCGGAGCGGGTTGTCTAAAATAGGAACTAACCCAGGTGAACGCGCACAGATACTTCCATGGGACTGGGACTTAGATACACAGGTCAGCTCTAATACCCTTATATATCTCAGTGAATGCCTGAATCAAACGGTCTATAATTATACTGGTAGCAAGCCAGGCAACGGGAGGAAACGTCAGTATCTGCTAGATGTCAACCCGGCTTCACAAGACCGACACCGTGGAGACGGCCAGAATGTCATCGACGCTCGATGGACTGATATTTCCAATGGTATCTACACTGATATCACAGGAATCAGTGAGCTTAACTATGATACTGAGCCAGGAGTGTTGAGCGACAAAAATTTCCACCAGTACCGAGAGGCGGACATTTATCCTTTGCGCCAAAGCATTTGTGAAGGGGTACCTGCAAGCATTCCATTTAATTATATCGGTATTCTGGCAGCAGAATACGGCAATGCTTCTCTCTGGAGAATCACATACGAGAAGTAAGTCGGTGCCTTTAACTATTCACAAGTTGGTATCCGACAGCCAGGGGCTAATCTACCAGTAACAGTCATTCGTGGAATGGTGAATTACGAGAATGGGTTCCATTTCTGTCTTAGGCCAACCGAGGAGTCATCCAGTAACGGTGTTGAACAATAAGTTGTGTGGAAAGGAGGCCTCTAAGCCAACTGACTGGGCTGTCGATAACACATTGAACTAGGGATATATCATGGTACAGCTTGCTGCCGGTGGTATTCTGATCATGGTTGATAGTTAAACCTCACAGTCCCGAGGAGTGATAGTTATTGGTTTTATCAGGATCAGGTCTAATGTTCTGCACACTATGCAGGCCATCGTTATCCAGTATGCGTGCATTTCACTTTGGATGATGTTCCTTGAATCCTTTCTAGGCTCCTTTTTTTTACTTATATTTGTTTGCACCACTAAAGAATAAGGTTCAGTGCTGAGCCTCGGCAACATTAAGTCCGCCTTAGAGCCGGTAACTGATTACTAAGCCAGACATCCAGCAGAAGCACAGCCAGCTTTCGATATCTTTCCAAATACAAAGCCAACAAGGATGCGAATCATTAGCATAAATAGCTGATACGTCGGCTTCGAGACAGAAGCTATATGCAAAGTGCAGAGTTATTATAAGGCTTTTGGCTAGCTAATTCACAATGGACGCCAACCACATGCAGACCATCTCAGACGAGCAAGGCAACATCAATATCACAGTTCATCATCAAGGCAACGCTCACTCTATATCACTGCCATACGGTTCGACACTTCAAGATCTTTCGGAGGAGCTTTCAGAGAAACTGTCCATTCCATTGCATAACCAAAAGTTACTTATTTCACCCAAACCGGGCTTGCAGAAACCTCCGTTTCCGCCAACGCCGTTATCCTCCCTCCCTCTAGACTCCCCTCGAGCAAAGATAACCCTTCTGGGTAGTACCAGCGGTGAAATAGAATCTCTAAAGAGACCTCTGCCGTTGTCTCCGGCCCGAAAATCAATAATAAAACCTGCAAAACCATCCGCACGCCCGACACATTCATCTTCCTCCCAATATACATTCCATAAGCTACTTCCACTACCCTACCTACCCAATCCTGAACGAAGCCTTAATTTCCTCGCTCGTTTACGAGATGACCCCGGCATTCGCAAGGCGATGACTCGCCATCGATTCTCGATTCCTTTACTTACTGAAATGGATCCCGCACAGCATACGACGATGTCGTCTCGTACCCTCGGCCTGAACCGAAATAAAGGGGAGGTTATCGAACTTCGACTTCGAACAGATGCATACGATGGATATAGGGACTATAGGACTATACGAAAGACATTATGTCACGAACTTGCACATTGCGAGTTTAGTGAACATAATCGGGACTTTTGGGACTTGACAGGACAGATTGAGAAAGAAGTCGAAAGAGCCGACTATTGGGGGAATAAGGGCCGAAGTGTTAGTGATGAGGAGTTCTATAATCCTGTTGACTGGGAAGATATGAATGCCCAAGGGGTTGTAGACCACGGCGGTTGGACCGGAGGTGAGTTTGTTCTCGGTGGCTTACCTGGAGAGTCAAGTGAGACTCGGCCAGCGAACTCTCAGAAAGGCCTGAGTAGGCGAGAGATTCTGGCCAACGCTGCCGAGGCTCGAATGGCAAAGGTGAAGCCCCAGGAGCATTCTGAAGATAATCCCAGCAGTAAGGATGAACGGGATCCCTGATGAATATATATGACACTGATATCATTGGAACATAATTCATGAATTCTATATACCCAAGGAGCAAGGCTAGCTATCCGTTACATTTAATGAAAAGAAGATAAACGATTTACTGCTCATTAACAAACAGACCAGCCATTCCTTGTCCAGTTCCAATGCACATACTGGTAACTAGGATCTTTGCGTTTTGTCTCTTTGCCTCGTTCATGATGGTGCAGACCTGTCTTGTGCCTGTGCAGCCAAGTGGGTGGCCGAGGGCAATGGCGCCTCCACATGGGTTAACCTTAGCGTGGTCAAGTCCGAGAGTGTTAATACAGTAGACAGCCATGGAAGCAAAGGCCTCGTTGATCTCAAAGATATCGACATCCTCCTTGCGAAGGTTGAACTTGGAAAGGAGTTTGGGAATTGCAATAGACGGGCCAATGCCCATGATGCGTGGTGGGACGCCAGCAACGGTAGCGCCGACAAATTTGCCAATAATAGGCTGGCCGAGTTCTTCAGCCTTTGAGCGCTTCATGAGAAGGACGGCAGCGGCTACTAGAGTATTAGTATTGCAAAATTTCTTCAAGTATAAATTAAAGAAGTTGGCAACTACTCACCTCCATCTGTAATTTGACTGGCATTTCCACCGGTGGTTCTGTTACCAAACTGAGGGAAAGCCGGACGAATCTTGCTCAATCCCTCAAAGGTAGTTCCGTATCTTGGGCCTTCATCTTTCGTCACAGTGATCTGCTTAACCTCTCCAGACTTAGGATCCTTTACCTTTGTGGTAATCGGAATAATCTCTTTGACAAAGTGTCCAGCCTTCTGTGCCACTTCAGCACGACGGAAAGACTCAACCGCATATCGGTCCTGAGCCTCACGGGAAATGTTAAAGTCAGCACCGACGTTTTCAGATGTCTGACCCATAGGCTGAGAGCAGTCAGCAGCATCCTGGTTGGCGAGCACTTCTGGCGCAAATGGAGCGGGCTTTCCAGTGGGACCTTTGGTCATAGACTCGGCGCCAACGGCAATACCAATCTCAATGGATCCGTTGGATATTTGATTAGCGACATCTTGGATAGAGTAGAGACCGGAGGAGCAGAATCGGCTGACGGCTGAGGCACCTGATGTATAGGGAATTCCAGCAGCGAGAGAGGCAGCACGGATGATGCTGGATGCGCGCTCGTTGTTCGACTATCAAATCACATGTTAGCTACTTAAACCAGGCCCAAAGTTGTGAGATAGCAGCAAATTAAAGTAGGCTTCCTTACGCATCCCATGACAACATCCTCAATGATACTTGGGTCAAGCTTAGAACGAGAGACAACTTCCTTCAAAAGGGAGTACACAATGTAATCGAGCTCGGTATCCTTGAAGCTCCCCTTGAAACCTCGAGTCATGGGGGTTCGTGCCGCAAGGGTAATGACAATATCATCGGGATTCTTCTGGGTACTGCATAGAACACATTAGCAAACGTTCAACCTCAAGTTCCATCTGCACAGGCATATGGTGCTCGGGGCGTGGGCCTACATCTTCTGGACAGCGCTGCTTCCACCGGTAGCAGGCTTGAGCTGCGCTAAAACAGCATTTAGTCTTGCGGTAGCCATTTCGATAGACGCGCTCTATATATAAGTTGTATAAAGAGAAATAAAGGTGCGCTTAGATGTGACGAGAGAAGGGAGAAATAAATAAAATAAGAAAAATGGAGGGGACCTCGGAGCTATAAATGCAGCTAATACGAGCCGAAACTAGTTGAAAGCCAGGGATGTTGCGGAACGCCGTCACCAAGAAACCGCAGAACCAGGTTTGTACATCAGCGATATCACCGAGAGAGAGAACGAGGGTTTGTCAATAATTCAGAGAAAGTGGACGAAGCGAATGCGGGCCTTGCGCGGCGCTATCTTGGTATTTATAGCACGCGAGGGTTTGCGGCTTCGTTAGAAGAAGGGCGGAGGTTGCTTCTTGGGTTGCCGCGAAAGAGCCGAGGCAATTGCCTGTTTCGGTCACGTCTCTAAACGCCGAGATAAGGCCGACCGGCCCAAGCAGAAGCAAGAGGAGAGACGGGAAACATCTACAAAAGCTGCTGTACGATGAAATTCTAGTGAATTCATTCTGTATTCCTCTATCCGTGTAATTAGAAACGATTTTTAACACTTTTAACCCTTCTGTTTGTGATCATTATACCTGCCAACCAGGCGATAAATGGGCAAGAGGACAGACGACCTTGTTATTAGAAAAAAAAAAAAAAAAAAGAAGAAAAGAGAAAACAGCAATGAAAGCAAAGCAGAAGTGAAGAAAGGCCATTGCATTGTAAACATATGAAACATGGGAATGGTAGAGGTGTATGGCATGGGGAATCGGTAGGACGTGTAAGTAGTGCAAATACCAGCCTCCAAGATGTCATGAATGCTAAAGAAAAAGAGGAAAAGGTCATCTCATAAACATTTTTCTCATCTGAGTGCATGTGTGCGCGTGCGGTTTACTCGACTTCCTCCATCTTGGAGTCGCCGTTCGCATCTGCATTGTCCACGGTGTCGCCCTTTATTTCGACGTGCTTCTTGGGGGCGGCTGCTTGTCTTTCAGCCTCGAGTTTGTCGAGGTAGCGTTGCACGATTGGACCGGAAAGGAAGCGGATGTCATCCATCTTGGACATGTAGACTGCCTTGGTAGTGTCTTCGCCCTCCTCATAGAGCCAATCCTAGAAACTCTTATTAGTGCCGATATTCTACGGGTCATGCATGGGTCTGGAGGGCCGACATACCTCGGTGCTAGTGAGTTTGGCCCTGAGCTTCTCTTTCTCCTCCTCGCTTGCGTGCTCAGCGTAGACACCGTCAATCTTGTCTCTGAGTTCATAAATGAACGATTCAAGTTCATTCTTCTTGTCTTCGGTATCGGCAACAAGCTTGTCCTCCATAAACATGGCATTTTCTCTTTCGGCCAACTTCTCGCGAGCAGCAGGATCAAGCGAGGTAGATCCGACAACAACGGGAAGGTCTCCCTTGCGGAGCTGCTTCTTAACCTTGCGCATCTTCGGTTTGGCTTCGGCTTCGCCGTTGGCATCGTCTGTATCCATGGTCTGTTTCCACAGTTTTCTTATGTTAGAAAACACGCTCTTTGTCGTAAAGATTACCGGAAAAAGGGACATGAGTTAGCGGCATGGGGCAACGCCGGCATAATGGAAGTACTTACCTCGCCTTCTTTCTTCTCCTCAGGAATTGGTTCCTCAACTTCAACATCCTCCACGTAGTATCCGGATTCAATGTTCAGGATACCGTGCAAGTTCAGTCTAGCCTTGAGCTTACAGATCATGAAGTCGGAGTTGGCATCAGCGGTGACACCCTTGACGGAGAAGCGTCCAATCCAGGGGTTGGTCTTTCCAGGGAGCATGTCTGGTTTGGAGTAGCGTGCTTCCAAGTCAAATGGCTGCTTTCGGTAGAACGTAAGGATCTTAGTGGAAGGCATGATGTTGCCCTTGTTGAAGACGGTCAGGGAGGTGGCCTCATCTGGGATATCGGGAGATTGTTCCCAGGTGAATTCGATAGGGTAGTTGATGACATCGTGAACAGAGAAGTCACGGACACGGAAAACGGGCGATAAGATAGCACAGCTGAAGGCACAGCCACGAGCAACGGCCTCATCCTGGTTTAGGGTGAAGGAGAGTTGCTTGCCGAAGAACTTACTGATGGCCTCCTTGATAGAAGGGACACGGGTACATCCACCGACCATCTCAATGCTATCAATCTCCTCTGGCTTAAGGCCAGCCTCGGCGAGAGCCTGTTCAAGAGGGACAGTGATACGGTCAAGCAGTGGTCTAATCATCTCTTCGAGCTCCTCACGCTTGACCATAGCACGGACATCGACATCGTTCATAATGGACTCAATACTGATGGGTGCCTGGGCGTTGGCAGACAGGATCTTCTTTAGCTTCTCAGCAGCTGCAAAGGTTCGGGTCATGGCCTTGGGGTTGGTCTTGATGTCAATCTTGAACTTCTCTTTGAACTCCTTAGCAAGATGGTCGACGAGGGCCTTGTCCAGAGCTCTGCCACCGAAGTGACGGTCCCAGGCAGTTCCCTTGACGTTAAGCTCTCCCTTCTTGAACTCAACAATGGCACAGGAGTAGTTGCAGTGGCCAATATCAACAAAGGCAACACGCCGGGGTGTCTCGCCTTCAGCTGGAAGATCCAACTTTGTGATACCGTAACCAAGTGCAATGGCGGTGGTATCGTTGATAAGGCGGAGCATATTGAGACCGGCAATCGCGGATGCATCAATAAGTGCACGGCGCTGGGCATCCGTGAACCACGGTGGGACACTGACGACTACATCGGAAACAGGCAGCTTCAGCTCGGCAGAAGCAGTTGACTTGATTTTGGTGAGGTACATGGCAACAAGCTGGGTAGCAGAAAACTGCTCCTTCTTGCCCATATAACTAACCTCAGCACCGGCTTCGCCATTGACATCGACCAGCTTCGCAGAGCAGAATTCCTGCTCCAGCTGGACATCTGGATCGGAGAATTGTCGTCCAACGAGTAGCTTAAGAGAGCCAACGGTGTTCTTCAAGTTGGAGATCTCCTGTGTCTTAGCTGGCTCGCCGATATATCTGCTCTTTGGGCCAAATCCGACGAGAGATGGCGTGGATCGGTTGGAAACTTCATTTGTGACCTAAAAAGGTTGGCAAAACACAGCGGGCCTTTGGTCAGTGAGAGATGAACCGAGGACTCTGGCAGGAGGTTGAACATACAATATCAATACCCTTATTTCTAGCAACACCAATCTTAGTGCTGAGGGCACCAAAGTCGATACCAACGACACTCATGCTGGCGATATATGCGTCTTGAATTCGTGTACTTTAGTTATCTGCAATGACAATATAGTTAGCAAAACGGAATTCAGCCCATATTTATAACGCATATAATATAGAAGTATAGGCCAAACAGGATAGAAAAGCAGAAATTGATATGATGAATAAAGGTGAGTTCAGTTGCGGTCAAAGTTGGCAGTCTCCTTAGTTGGAAGTGAAGCAGCGCCACTCTCAGCCAACACAAGGCCTTAGGAGAGATCAATGGCACTCTTTCTTCACATCCAGGTCTCTTCCTTTTGCTCTCTTGATTCCCCAGTATCTAGGCCAGAAGATTGACAGGGAGGATGTGGGAGAGGTAGGCGGTGGTTATAACGATCATTGCAGGATACCGCCGTGCATCCCCTCCCTTGCACATTGAACCATGCAAGTTGAAGCCATAGCGGAGGATTATGCTTGCATTCTCCCTTCCCAACACCTCATAGGAGCCAGCCTGGACTTGCAGTAGACAGGTCTGAGAGAGATGTTGACGGCCAAAGCATCCCATAGAGAGCGCTATCAAGATTGATAGCTATGGAGGGGCAATCAAAAAAGGGAGCAGATCCCACTTACATCCGTTTCTTCTGATTTCTTTCTCTCCGGTCGAACAAGTAAACGAGTCCAGCGATCTGTTACGGACACTCGGGGAGGTCGACGCTCTCTAGGACAAGGCGAGGCGTTGCGTTGCTGTTGCTTGGGAGGGCTTCTTCTTTTATGGTCGCAGAGAAGCAAGAAGGCGGTTTTTTATTTTATTTAATTTTATCTTTTTTTCTTTTTCTTTTTTGTTCGTCACGAAATTTCAGCTTTTTTTTTTACGCTTTTTGCTGGCACTTTAGGCTTGGCATCACGTGATCGAAGGTTCTCGCTTTTGCTGGAAGCGAAAGGACGAAGAGCGAACTGATATATATATATATATATATATATATAGAGAGAGAGAGAGAGAGAGAGAGAGAGGATCTAGTAGTAGTAATAGTTGCTGACAGAGACAGCCAGAGCAGTCAGACAGAGCTGGTTCTATAGCGGACAAGGGACAGGCATATATTTGTAAGTCTACTTTTATCCAAAAAACTAGCGGCAGAGGGAGAAAGAGAAGAAAGCAAAGAAGGTAAAAAAAGCATTAGAAAGAAGTAACTAAACATCCCGTTTGCTGCCATATTTAATCTGGTTCTGTCATTTTTTCGTGGTGTCGACTGGCGGGGGCTTGATTAGACGCCTTCGGTCCCGGCCCCTTTTCTCCTCTGACGTCCCTTCTTCATCAGTCTCCAGTGCCAGGCTCTCACAGAGAAGGCTGGACGAGTCACGGCCACGCCCGTCAACGAAGCCGTCTGAGTACCGCCTGGTGAGTGGACTTCTTGCTGTACGGGCTCGGCAAGGCCGCTCGAGGCCAGCGAAGGGTGCGTTCCCTGGTGCACCATCGGTGGCAGGAAACTCGTAGGACACGCTCCTTAAACTCGATGGGGAGCTCCGGACAGGTGAAGCCGGCTGGCTTGGGAAATGTCCCATCTCGAACTCGCCCGTGAAAACCTCACCGACGCCCAGAGCTGCGCTTCTCCGGGCTATCTCTATCTTCTTGTGGTCCTCTAGCCCCAAAAAGACGCTTCTCCGGTCCTGGGCAATGAGATACTCTACGCCACATGGCCAGCCTATAGACGTTGCCCTTGAGGCTGAAGTAAAGGCAGAGTCCAACGAAAGCCGGGACTCTAATCCCGCACCGTTGGTGAAGTGTGTAGGGAGAGTAAGGCCTGACGCGTTGGTATTCTGATAACATCCATTCGGGCCCAGGGTAGGGGCGGCAAACCGACCCTCGGCACCCTCGGGAGGCTGCACTGGAACTGGGTCTTTGCCTTCAGCCGCTGGGGGAAACGTGTTCAGGTCTACATTAAGCTCATCGCCAGCAGCCTCAGCCATGTCGGCTGCCTGGGTCGGCGATGTGTTGTCGTCAGCGGCCGCTGCATCTGCTCGTGGACCACCCCATGTTCGTTGACCGGCTGTGAATATACCGTTAACCATGTAGAGCCAGTTGAAAAACGGGTTTAAAAGGAACATTATCGGGTATAACCAAGCCTTGAAACGACGAAGCTTCAATCCAAAATAAAGCATAAGCAAATAATTCAATCCAAGAGACACTGCAATGAACCCAACAGGGAGATTTTGAATCTTGTTAGATGTGGTAATTACCGAGATCACCATTATAAAGAAGAGCAAAGCCGTGGTTCTGATCGTGTTCTGCATGAACCGCACAACGCATAGCAGTGGATATCGATACCATAGCCTTGCATCGGTAAGCATACAAACTTCGTTGGTAATAAAGCCCAAGAACCAACGTCTTCGCTGTTTCAACAAACTTCTGAAAGTTTGAACTGCTTCCGTTTTGCAAAATGCGCTGGTACACATCTGGATCTGGTACCTGTCCCTAGCTCCAATCATGAACAGATGCGTGAGCCAGCGGTCCTCTCCCAAATGGCACTTGCCAAAGTCGAATAGATCGGCACATTGCTCGGCTTTGTCTGCAAAGTAGTACTTTGCCATCTTCCGGAAGGCAGAGAAACGAAGGATGGTGAGAGCTCCGGGGAGGCAGGTAACGGCACCACAGCCAGACTCTACAGATCGCTCGAATAGTTGTCCATGTATATATTCCATGTCCTGCAACAGTGTGATCAGTGTGGTCTTTTTGGTTGTTGATGTGATCACACCCGTCATCGCCAGCATGTTGCGTTTGCTTCCGGGTTTGAGTTCCATGTCATACATAAAATTCTGCAGGCACACGCGGTCGAGGATACAATCCGAGTCAATAAATAGGACGAATAGATTGTCGTTTTGTAGCAGGTATTTGGCGTAGACCTTGTCAATTAGTCTAAAGGTTTGTTTCTGGCAGTGGCGCTTCCCTCCATGCTTGAATCGAGAGAGTGTGACTCTGGCACCCTTATACGAGACATCTATGCTGGTTGGGTATTTCTTTAGTCCAACTGGAATACCAAGAAATCCCGCAACAGCGAGGTACGATTCATCTACCTCATCGCCGTCGTATGAGAGAAACACATGTATGCATTGAGGGGGATAGTCGCAATCGACGACGGAATTCACAGCTTTGAGGAGAACTTCGGGCTCCTCTTTGTACACCGGCATAACAACGACGGTTTTGGGAGCTGTCTTATCGTCGAGAACTTCTTTGATGCGTTTGGTCCTGCCCAGCGAATTCGTAACCAGCCTGTAGACACAGAACAGCCACGGCACAATGAGCAGGACAGCGAAAGTCCAAAAGGCAAACCATTGTAGAAACGACACCAGCTCATGCGGAAAGTACTGTGTTATAGTAGGTGGCAACGGAAGCGTGACGACCATGACCGGAAGGAAAATACCTCTAATTCACCATTATTAGATCTGACAGCTTGTGAAGTCCACCAAGGTGAAATAACCAACCTGAGCGCAGTGAACGCTATCATCATAACGATGGCGAGAATTTTCACACTGAAATGTTCTGCCTTCACGAAGACTTTGTACAGGCAGTATAGGAAAGCCGCAAGCCATAGAAACCATTCCAGGAAGGCCGCAAGCATGACAGGCCCAATGATTGCCACGTAGATAATCTAGATAATGAGCGAACTGTGTTAGTCTCTACAAGCATCTCTCTCTCCCTGAAACCAGGGGTAAAAAGGGTAACATACATCCTGGACAGGCCATTCTGTCAACAGCTCCTCTGAAGATACCATCGTCGCGTCGGTGAAACTGCTATCCTCCTGCTGTTCCTTCCAACAAGCCTTGTGGATGGGCTTGCCAGGTGGGTATTGATACCTCGTTGTCTCGCTTTCGAGACCCAAGAGATGGTTAGTTGACTCCCACGGGTGGTTGCAACAGCCCTGTCCTCCCAGACTATACAATCCCACCTACAAGATGCAGGAAGACTTGGTGAAGGGTTTCACCCTATGGCCAGTAGCTAAGCTGCAGGGAAGGGCGTGCCTTGGTACCCCTTATCACTTTGTACGGTTCGTGATAGAGAGAGAGCGTGTGTGTGCGTGTGTGCGTATGATAGTGTAGTTCTTCTGGTGAGGTTGCGAAATCTTGGGTGAAGAAGTTGTTCGGCGGGTGATGTCCCTTTTTGGTATCAACAACGACAACCCTCAAGAAATGGCCGCTGTAACCATCGCGGTCAGTTCCCTAAGCAAGAAGAACAGAAACGAAAAATAAAGAGGACTGCTGAGAGCTGATTAACTAGAAATACTAGTCACCCTTTGCGTCTCGACCCCGGCGCCCAGCGTGGTAGATTACTAGTTATTCCAACTACCAGCACAAAGAACACAGCCAGCTCGAGGAATATCCACAGCTCCGGACCAGCAGTCCGAGTTAAATAACTGATATCAAACGGGAGAAAGCGCGGGTCTTGCTGCTAGGGTTGCAACCTTTTGAAAAAGAAAAAGACGCCCAGAGGCAAAGGACATGATAAGTGCGGTCCTTGGGCAATCGCTATGGAGCCTTTTCCACTTTCCGCTGGCCAGCGCGACGTTCCGAAGCTGCAAGGAGGGAAAAATGCAGTGGAATTCTAGCCAGGACTTTTTCTCTTCTTCCAGTTGGACAAGACAGGCCTCGCTGTCGATTGCATTGCAGCCATACCCAGGCGTTTGCACAGCCAGGGGCCTCCCCGTGAGCCTTGACCAGCCTACACACAGTGCCAGCAAATCAAGGATAAAGAGGGAAAAGACTGAGGATATTTTCCCCTGCAATTGGATTGGGGAGGGGAAATCAAGGACGGCTTGCAAGTTGCCACTACAATCCGGTAACGCAGAGTCGCAGGACATGTCTCAGATCGAGCGTTCAGACAAGCGGCGTTGGCGAGTATTCCACGTTGTGCTTTGCTGTCTGTCAGATCCGCTCCGGCCAGCCGGCCACAAAGCCCAATCAACAGCTATGGCCATGTTGCAGTGCATCGCGGACGATCGATGCATGATTCCAGAGGCTTGACTCCGGTCGAACGGTTTCATCGCCAATAAAACATAGTAATAACTAGTTATGTCAGCCCAGCCCAATCATCTTCGCCATCTCGACATTTGCGCCTCAGGAAAATACATGACTTTCTTTTCACATCTCCGGCTCCTTTTTTTACATAGCTAACTAACTAGCTCGCTTTCCAAGCAAGTAGAATAATCTTTATCGATAGTGGGAGTGGAGGGAAAAATACATGTCTGACATGTATTGTAATATCTGGCACCATCATGGGTTCTCCGCGGTGAAATGTTCGTATTGATATTACATCACCAAGGGAAAAAAACATGTGTGCCTTTTTTTTTTTTTTTTTTTTTTTTTACGCAGCTTCAAGCGCGAAGCTTTTGCTCTCTATCGGACAAGACACCTAACTGCTGGAGGAGGCACTGAGCGTTCACCTCGACTAGAAGAGAGAAGCATCTCGCCTAAGGTATTTACCCTTATCCTAACTTACTCCTGCATCCTTGTGAGTATCGAGAGCCCCCGCATGGATGGTGGTAGAGACCTGATATCAGGTTTCTTCGTCACTTGAGGCTCAAAGAGCTAACCGTCTAGCCATTTCTCCTAGACCAGTACCAGGCCGATTTCCAGGAAACAGTTAGAATGGCGGAAGAGCAGAAAGTAGCTGCAGCTGTGGATGCTACCGCCGACAATGCCGCCGCAGAGCAGGATGTGAAGGAAGTCCTAGCTGAGCTCAAATCGGACGAAGCTAGAAAGCAGGACAGCGCAGATGCTGAAAAGGCCGAAGAAGAAAAGATCGTTGCGGCTGCTAAGAAGCTAGGCGAAGAAGCTCTGTCAAATGAGACTGCAAAAGAAGCGTCAGAGACACAAAAGGGACGTGGCGGCAGCCGTGGCCGTGGCCGTGGAGGAGTGCGCATCAACTACCGCGACAATATCAAATCGGATCCATCCTCCCTGGAGGAGACAGATGATCCTGTTGAGATTAGAAAGCAAGTGAGTGTAGCTGCCTCTGCCCTTTTCATGTCGCATGCGAGTTTGGCTTGACTCACCCTTGGACAGGTTGAATTCTACTTCTCTGACTCCAACCTACCAATGGACAAGTTCCTCCTCTCAAAGGTTGGCGGTAGCGAGAACAGGCCAGTTGAGCTCTCTCTTCTTCATTCGTTCAAGCGAATGCGCCGTTTCCAGCCTTTCAGCGCTATCGTTGAAGCCCTCAAAGGCTCGGAGCTCGTCGAACTGGTAGATGACGATAAAGCTGTGCGTCGCAAGGTCCCTCTTCCAGACACCATCAAGGAGACAGCCGATTCATCAGCCGTCAAAATATTCGAGGATAAAGCCATGCATCGCAGCATATACGCCAAGGGATTCGGTCCAGAGGAACCCAGTACCCAGTTTGACATTGAAGCGTTCTTCACTCCCTACGGCCCCACCAACGCTGTTCGTCTTAGACGTGCTATGGATAAGACATTCAAGGGTAGCGTGTTTGTCGAGTTTGAGACGGAAGACCTGCAAAAGGCATTTTTGGCAATTGAACCAAAGCCGAAGTGGAAGGGCACCACAGAATTACTTATCAAGAGCAAGAAGCAGTACTGTGATGAGAAGATCAAGGAGATAGAAGCTGGTCGTCTGAAGCCCAGTGACCGGTCTAGTGGACGAGGTGGTCGAGGAGGCCGCGGAGGTCGCGGAGGTCGTGGGGGACGGGGCGGTCGAGGCGGCCGTGGTAATGGTCGGGATCGTAGTGATCGAAATGGTGACCAAGTAAAAGAAGAAGCCCAGGCAAAGCGCCCTGAAGCAGAGAGAGATAGCCGGTATGTTCTTGCACGTTCGCAATTAGTGGGTTACAGCCCGCATAGGTACAATTCTGACTTGGCTTCTGATATAGCGGTGTCCCTGTCGTCCAGGTCTCCAGCAACAAGGCTGGATCCCAACACAATGGAGGTTCCAATAGCCAAAAGCGCAGTCGTGAAGAAGACTCTGGGCCAAAGGCCGATGGCAATACTGAAGAGAGACCAGCTAAGAAGGTTGATGCTAAAGACAGTTAAGCGCTGTCTCTCCACTCTTGTCATTCTCTTCACACCAAGCCTCGATCATGCAATATTGAAGATATCAGTTATATCTGAGAATAATCTTCAAATTCTATTTTTCTGCACCTTGTTGCTATGACCTTATTCCTTCCATACTGGCAGGTCTGATCTATTCGCATTTTACCTCAATTTCATTACACCGGCGTGATGGGGTTAACCTGATATTCGAGATGAAAAATATCAAAAAAAGCATACAAAAGAATTGTCCGGGTTGGATTTGGCATTTTGCTTTCCTACAACGATGCATTTGTTTGTCCTCTTATCATGTATCTATATGACTAGGCCTAGTGGCATACAAGTGGTACGTCTGTTTATCAATCACTCGATTCTTACTTGATTTAGACGAGCAGTTGTGACTTCGAATACTCTCGGGAACCAGGTAGACAGTGGCGATCTATCGTCGTTAAAGAGTATGCTGGTGAGTGCTTTTGCACATGAGAAGCACATTACCATGCCTGTAGAGTACGTTAGAGAGGGATCGATAACAAACAGCAGCGGGGACAGAAGAATAGAACATTATTACCATGCCCCTGAAATGAAGCTGAGATATACAGCCCGGGCTCGTCCGGGATGTCTCCTACCCAGGGGAACCCATCGGTGCTATATCCCATGATGCCAGCCCACTCCTGCCGTACTCTGCCTTCGGCGCTGTCTTGGCCCCAATTGTCGCCAAAAAACATCTCCGTGCAGCTAGCCAAATATCCACTGATCTCCGGTGCAAGAGTGGCATCATCCGTTGTCCCGTACTCATACAGACCTCGGCCCCTACCTTTGGTAAAACCTCCCCCTATCACGATATCGCATAGAGACCTGGGATCTTGGGAATAAGGGATCATATAGTCAAATCCACCAGCATATACAAAGGAATATGTATATGCAAGCCCGTCCTTGGGCATGCTCACTCCGGGCCGTTGTGCAGTGACCTGTCCTTTCAATGGTACGATTCTTCCATGTAGCGGAGGGTATAAGGCAGCAGCGTATCCGTTGGTCGCCATAACGACCTTAGAAGCCAGTATTTGGCCTCGAGGGGTCAAGACGCTCCAGTTTGGTTTATTACTTCCGCCTGGACTTGAAGTGATTCTGGTAACAGGAGTCCCGGTCTGCAGATTTGCACCTTTTGCCAGCGACAGCTTCAGCACTCCAATAACAAATTTGTATGCATTGATACTTCCAGCTTCATACGTAATAGCACCGACGGCCCCTTTGCAAAGGAACTTCTCCTCTGCATCTTTGCTGTTCCATAGGGTATATTTGCTGGCTGGGTCGTCTTCTCCCATGGCTTTTCGCATCGCATCAATGGCCTGCACCGACTCATCCCAGGCTTTTTGATCATAAATGATATCCACCGTCTCGAGTTCACAGCTGTCGCAAGGAATGCTGTGTTCCCTGGCAAACGCGTGAACTTGCTTGATGGTATCATACTCAAGTCTCGCGATCTTGACTGCTTCATCTATTCCAACAGCAGCCGCGTGCGTACCAAATGAGGTATATGAAGCTGCCTTTGTATGGCCGCCTAAGCATTCTCAGGGGTTAGCAGAGCTTTATCAGATAGTTTTACCGGCGTTATGTACCATTCCGTCCACTTGCTCCGCTGCATGCTTGCCTGGCTTCGAGAATGACCACTCTTGTGTGTGGTGACCGCGTGAGAATGTTGTATGCAATACATGCACCGCTAATACCAGAGCCGATGATAGCAATATCTGTATCCGGGGGCAGTTCAGCTGTTGAACGGAGGTCAGCAATCCCATCTGGCGGAACTTGCCAGTACGATGTAGTTGGCTTCTCCCATGGGAGCGTCACTGGCATCAAGGCTCTTTCTTCCATGGCTGCTCGAATATGTATGGGTATAGACTCTGGAAGTACACCCGTTGATAACTGCTATGAGAATTTGGTAGATATAAATCTATGAAGTTCACTTGGTTAGCTCGTCAGAGTTACCCCAGATTCAATCCTTCGATACGAGGTGACCAATTCAGCCCATCAGATACAACCGCGAGCCTCTCACTAACTAAATGGCCAGACCCATACCGAGTTAGTTACCTTTAACTACTAATTCTCGTATCGACTAACTAGTGAAGGATCGAACGGGTTCACCATGGCTCGAGAACAGTCACTTAAAGCCTTTCGGCCAAAGCAATCAACTTCTGTCTCTCCAGTGCCTATCCTCCCGGCCTATCCGCATGGACTTCCCGAGTCAAGGCTAGCATGATGGAGCATGGCAAAGCCGAGGGTGTGAAATATCCGTTGTCCCCGCAAGAGTTTCCCTGACGATGGCAGGGGGGAAACATTTCAACCATGAAGATCAACAACCCTGGCTGTCATACAAGTATCAGGGTGATTTTACATGCCCTAGCCCTCGATCACTGTGCATGAACATGGAGTCACTGTGACCTCTGTGCCGTGGACGAAGAATCTACAACCTCCAAAGCCACATTCGCGCAGAATGGAGTTTCGAACAGTTGAAGGGACCAATATGGTTCCTGGAACTGTCCAGATAGTTGACCGTATGTGTAACTATCAGCCGCCCCCCCTAGAGCTACGTCTTTCATTGCCATATATTAGGAGTATTTGATGCTAACCAAATAACATGGAGGACAGTGGAGGGGGCATTGAATGTGAAGCATCAGGAAGGGGGAAAGAATGATATTATTCTGGTACCCCAGCCAACGAATGACCCCAACGATCCTTTAAACTGGAGCAAACTGCGCAAAGAATACCATTTTTGGTTGCTCTGGATATGGGGATTCATTGCAGCAGTCTCTGTTAACTGGGTAGGCCCAGTTTGGGTGAGGCTATTACTTCGAGGTTCAACAAAAGGCTGCAGAACGGCTTATGCTAACGGCAGTATATAGACACAGCTTACAGTCGATTTGAACACGACATTCAGCCTTCTGAATGTTTCATCAGCCCTCGGTTATTTATTTCTCGGCATAGGCTGCGTTTTGCTTCAACCGATTGCCATGAAGATCGGTCGACGCCCAGTATATATTTTTGGTACCCTCCTTAATATCATTGGCTGTATCATGGGGGGTGTTCAGATCACGGTCGAGCAATTTTTTGGAGTTAATGTTTTGACAGGTTTAGGGGCAGCTCCAGTCGATTCTCTTGTGCAAATTTCCACTACAGATATCTTTTTCGCACATCAGAAGGGAACTAGGCTGAGCTTACTTGTCTTCACTCTGTATGCAGGATCATACTTGGGACCAGCTGCTGCAGGTTACATTGCAGAATCACAGGGATGGCGTTGGTGTTTTTGGTATCTTACCATCTTCTTTGGTTCTCTCATGGTCATCCAACTATTCACCATGGAAGAATCGAGCTTTCGACGGCCACTATCAAGAAACGAGTTCCCAAGCTCGCATGACACAGACCAAAATACATTGGAAGAGATGTCCATAACTCTCGAATCAAAGGGGAAAGAAGCAATGGAGAATGTTGAACCATCGCCAGACCCCGTTCCGCCTGGACCCAACCCCTATTGGAAACGTATGGGTCTATTTAATACTGCTCATGCCGACTCTAGGCCATTATGGTTGGTAACTTTGAGCCCCTTTACCCTAATCACATACCCTGCCGTACTATGGGGAGGGCTTGTGTACGGAGTCCAGATAATGTGGCTCTCCTTGATAACCGTCACCCAGTCGAATTTGTTTGGTGCACCGCCCTACAACTTTAGTATATCCAATGTCGGGAATATCAACTTTGCAGCCTTCATCGGTGGTATTCTGGGTATGATGTGGGGTGGCTTTGTCTCCGACTGGTGTATTCTATACTTCTCCCGTCGAAACAAAGGCATACTTGAACCAGAGTTTCGTCTATGGACTATGATCATACCCGCTATTGTTAACACAGCCGGACTCTTAATGTACGGACTTGGAGCTCTTAATGGCGTCATGTGGATTATGCCGGCTGGCTTTGGAATGGTATTCATTGCATTTGGCATTGGAAGTGGCGCTGCTATTGCTATTACATACGCGGTTGACTGTTATCCTAAGATGGCTTCAGAGGCATTAGTATTCATGCTCTTCCTAAGGAATTTGATTGGAACTGGCTTTACATTTGCTATCCAGTGAGTTGTCTTCTGATTTGGTTCGTATTAACAATGGTACTAACTTCGCTTTTCCGACTAGGCCGTGGTTGCAGCACAATGGTCTTCAGAATACAACCATAATAATGTCCCTTATATGCTTTGTTTCGAACATGTCATTCTTATTGTTTACATGGAAGGGAAAAGCCTTTCGCGAGTGGACTGCCGTGAGATATCTCAGGGCACAGGAGAAACAATTGCGAGTATAATAAATTAGCTGCTTGAATAAATGTTGAGCTAATTCTCTTTTTTTATTATTATTTTCATTGAACTACATTATCCATCGGCTATATATAAGTGGCTGACCTGGTTAGGCCTCTCAGTCCCTGGGGTAGGATTTCAAACTCCGCTGAATTGTACATTGGGTCAAACATTGTCTTGATAGACGATTGACCCTCCTCGGGAGTATCCCTATTGCCAGAACCGTAGCTACTGTTCTGTTCTGGATTTCCTGAAGTCCATGGTGAAAATACAACCACCATCTGCCGCAGTCGTCCTCGATACTGCGAAGCAGGTACGGACATATAGTCACTCCAAGACTCATCTTCCAAAATAGCAAAGCTTTCCTGAGATGATTGTAAGGGTTGTGTAGGGTCATGTTCTGCAGCCTTCTGAACCCCAGTTTCTTGACCCTTACCAGAAGGATCAAGATCGTTGTACTTGACTGCACTCTTTTCACCCGGATCTGTAACAGGTTCAGTTGAATCATCTTGATTCGTACTGTGCATATCGATGTTTGAATTTTGGACCGCCAGCATCGGTGGATAACTACCTGCCGGTTGAAACGAGCTTTTTGATTTCAGAACAATTCGACACCCGATTTGATTTGTCCATATGAGCCCTAACGCAGGAATTTTAAACCCTTTAGATATTCCAAGCGGTCCACCACTTGGGTATGAGTGAGGCGTCTGCGCCCAGCCTGTAAAAAATTGCTGCTGATAATCGAGGCTGAGTAGTAAATTAAACCCCGGGATATTGCACCTATCCTCTTGTTGCTCACAAGTACCTAAATTTAATTGAGGTGAATTGGCCGAAGGACCTCGAGGTAAATGGTTCTCGGCTGATTTTGGTTGCTGGTAGGGTTGAGATGCTGGGACGAAAGATGGAACGGCGCTGGGAGAAGATGCCTCTAGAGGACTCCCCGAATAGTCACGGGATTCCTCTGGAAAGGGATCGTGGAGTGAACTTTCAAAACTATCCGATATCTGATTAGCCACTACTACCGCAATATTGTGCGTCACGGCCAAGGTGCGGAGAAAGTGACCCAGTTTCTTCAGTTGGCCGGATCGCTCAAGGAGCCCGGATACACTCTCTGTGGAGCTTTCAGCACGGTAATTCGCCGTTATAGAATCGATTATGATAATTCCTATGTTATAGCGTGAAATCGCTACTGGTATCTGGTAGTTGATAATGTGCTCTTGGCTCTCAAGGTCGACGGTAGTAACCGAGTAAATATTATCCAAGGATGGGCGAGGAGTCTCGGGATGCAGAGCCTGGAGAGTCTGGTGTTCATTTATGAGTTGGCTCAGCCGATTAGTAGCTAGGTCCGACTCTGTTGATATATACAACGCATTTTTGGACAGGCCATGGGGTGCTGGCAGCTGGACTGAGAGAAGTAGGTGGAGCAGAAACTGAGTCTTCCCAGCACCACTGTGGATGTATACACGTTAGTTTCATAGCCATGACGAGTCGTAATAAAACAGAGTCCTTCGGATTAAGGACCGTCGTATGGGTTCAATTCACCTTTCTCCGGTCACTTCAGTCAGATATCCAGTTGATATGCCTCCAGACAAAGCAGAATCCAGTATTGGATCGAGAGTACTGATTTGTCCTGTCACGGGGGGATGGAGCACTTTGGACGCGCCATTCCCAACTACTGAGCTGCAGTCCGTGTCATCCCTAGCACTGCGGTCGCCATTGCCTCCCGGTTTCAGCAGGTATGTCTTGTTACCTCCATTATTTCGTGGTTCATTTCTCAGCCCAAGATCCTGGCGGAGAGCATCAAGAACATGTGCGGTAAACTTTCGAATATCTGTGACCGGTGCGCGAGAAGCCTTCGCAATCTCGAGAGCATCAAGAACTAGCAGTTCCTTGAGCGTAATGCCAGCCCTTTCCAGTAGCGGCAGTAAGTGTGTATATGCCTTGGTCGAGAGGTCAGGCAGTGTTAGAGATAGGTCCATTAGCGGGTTCGAGGGGTGCGCGGAGGGCGATGAGGGCAAGCAGCTATCCGCCGGAGGCTTGCATCATTCACGTACGCGTCGTCTTCGCGGCGGTATAAAGTACTATTGTCATTTGGATGTGAGGCTATGGCTGGTTAGACAAGTTAGACAATCGGTCAATGATGCAGTAGTCATTTGTAATCTTTTGAGGTTCAAATTTAAACTCTTTTATACCCGGCTTGGCGGCCATCTTGGTCTATTAAAGATCATTGCTGATGCCTAGATGCCGGATAAACCGGAGGTTTTTCATCAACTAATCTATATTAAAGAGCACGGTACGAGACACATCGAATCAACAATATTTCTGCGATCTGAGGAGCGCTGAAAGGGCTTTGCATCACTCTATCGCTAGCTGGATTAAGATGGCTAACATTGGCATATCAACTCCCCAACGCCTGACTTGATTTCACACAATGAAAAGAGTCCTGAAACATAGAAGTCATGATAAGAGACAAAGAGAAAGGAGAAGACCACATGCGGTGACTTTCTTTTCAGACAGCAAGCATTTGCAATGACAAAATGTATGTCTTATTAGGTAAGTAAGCCTCCTTCATGCACTGTGAGATGGCCATTTTTTCGCCTGTCATATTCTCACTTTGCCATCCGGTTTTTATTTGTTTTACTTCGGTTCATATGTTGATTATGGAGTTTCGGCCGTTGAAGTTTTGCAGGCTGGTATCATTCAGTTGCTGACTGGCTTGAGAGAAGCAGGCTTGAGGCCAATGTTGTTACGGTTTCTGAAGAAGAGGACGCCCTTTCCTTCACCCTTGGCTGTCTCGCATGGCTCAACCCACTGGCAGGTTCGGAAAGAAGTCCACATGGCTCGGAGGAATCCAAGACTGCCGTCCTTGGTGTCTGCGCGGTAGTGACGGCCCATGACCTTCTTGATGGCTTCGGTAGCCTCATCGGCGTTGTAGAAGGGGATGGTACTGACATAATGGTGAAGAACGTGGGTTTCGATGATGCCGTGGAGAAGTTGACGGCCGATAAAGCCAAATTCACGGTCGATGGTTGCGGCGGCTCCACGGGTGAAGTTCCACGACTCTGGCTGGTAGTGAGGAAGAGTTGGGTCGGTGTGCTGCAGGAAAGTGATGGCAACTGGTGAACGGGCAAGTTAGCAAAATGACGAAGCCAGAGGGGGGTATAGGGAGCAGGAATATCTGAACATACCAAGCCAGTGGTTAACCCAGAGGTATGGGGCGAAGTACCAGACGAACATGTTGAACCATCCGAATTTGCTTCCAAGAGTGTACAGGATGGATCCGACGATCAGCAAGCCGAGATCGCTGAGCAAGATCAGCTTGGCGTCCTTGGACTCGTACAATGGGCTGTTGGGGTTGAAATGATTGACGCCGCCGAAGAAACCGTTACTCTTGCCCTTTCCGCGTCCCTCGCTCTGACGTTCATGGAAGTTATGGCCGGTAACATTGGTGAAAAGGTACATGGGCCATCCAAAGAGCTGCTGGAGAACCATATCGATGATGGAATGGATGGGAGTCTCCTCGGTGAGTTCATCGAGCTCGTGGACCAAGCGGCCAACGCGAGAAGCATATGCCTCTCTGGTCTTGGGGACAAAGACCATATCACGCTGCATGTTTCCGGTAGCCTTGTGGTGCTTTCCGTGGGAGATCTTCCAGGAGAAGTATGGCACGAGCAGAGAGGAGTGCAAGACCCAGCCAACGGTGTCATTGAAGACCTTGGAGGTCGAGAAAGACTGATGGCCGCACTCGTGAGCCAGGACCCAGATACCGGTTCCGAACAGACCCTGGATGAAAGTGTACAGCGCCCAGAGGACGAAGCGAACTGGAGTCGAGGGGATAGTCTCGGGAGTGACATAGTTGTGGAAGATGTAGAAGGTGGTGGCAAGACAGGCAATGTCTCTCAGGACATACTGCATGCCGCGGAAGCCATCACGCTTGTAGCAGTGGGCTGGAATGGCATCGCGGATCTGCTGGATGGTGAAGTCTGGTAGCTGGAACTCGTTGCCATAAGTGTCGACCAACTTGCCGACTCCGGAGTCCTGCTGGTCTTCAGATTCCGAGGAGAGAGACGTATCAGATGCAGACATGTGCTGGGGAGTGTCCAGAGGCGAGGCAGTGGTGGAGCTGGCGGAGGAAGAGGCCGCCGTCTGTCTGCGAGTGGCAGCTCCAGCAGGAAGGGCGGTAGAGGCCATCTTATCAGCGAAACGAGGGGGTTTCAGCTCGCGGTCAAGAGCTGAGAGAAAGGAAGCGAGTCTTCGCGTCCCGGAACAAGACAGCTAAATCAGCTACTCCTTTGAAGGAGCACTCTGTCTTCTCACTATAGACTGGTTGGTTAGCATCTGCTGCTATCTCCTCCGCTTCCATGTCTTCCAGCCCCCTTTCTGACCACCCGCAAAGGAGCAGCCCGTGAAAGAGAGAACGATAACAAGAGACCTCCTGCTGAATGATTGATTGCACTTACAGGGAGACAGGCCGTTACTGTGAGCGATAACGGTGAAGTTGCGGGTAAGGAAGCCACTCAATGTGTGGGAAGTGAAGCTGGTGTCTTTGATATCTTTCTCTCTCTCTTATTTATTTCTTCTCCTTCTCTTTTCTCTTATACAAAAAAAAAAAAAAAAAAAAGTACGTCAGGGAAAAAAAAAAACTCTAAGTGGGTTCGCGTATTTTTGGTATTCGGGTATTGATACGTGATGCGACGCATCCATTACCAGGCAAACTTCTCGATCGTCGCAGGGAAGGCAAAAGGAGCGGACTGTGTGTGGCCTTGTGCGACGGACAAGCAGGACACTTCAACCCATGCATCGCCCAGGAGAATGCCACTTGATCACTGCCAGCAGCTAGGCCTTTTTATTTCTATCTATCTCCATTCTCTATGTAAAACACAAACCACCCTGAGAGACGACGAGTGGCAGCGTAATAATGGGCTGTAACAGTCGATACAGGCACGGATGTTTAATTCGACAGCAAGCAAACCTTGTTTCTACCACTAGAAAACTCTTTTTCAACGTTGCCCTTTTTTGCCCCATTAAGCTGTTCTTCTCCCTGAATTAATTATCCCCCGCTTGTTAACGTCCACAGGTTCTCTTCTCCAGCAGCGGCACCGACGACGAACAGGAGCCATCGCAGCCGAGCCAGCGCCTCCTCCTGCCTGTGCCCGCCCGACTCGCCACGCGTTTTTCTTCTTCTTCTTCTTCTTCTGCTTTCCCGCCGTCGAAGCAGCCTTTTTCTGCCCTTCACCGCCTTCCCGCCCCGCTAAAGTTAAGGGACAGGCACCTGCTTAGTCACAGCCTTTTGCGATAAGATAGAGTATTGATATTACCATCTTACAGGGCATTCCTGCCGACACATGTACGGAGACTTGGTATCATTATGTAAACACTCAAAAACAAGACGCCAGCTCGAGCGCTGATTGGCTGCTGCCCGTTTTGTTGGGATCTGTACTGCAAATACAGCGCGTGTTTCATTCAACAAAAAGCAGTGGCCCGACCAGCACCGAGCGCGGTTCCCAGGCTTAATGCGCATCAGGCAACGAGCAGGGACAGGGCAGGGCGCCAATGGGCGTCTGGCGATTGCACATCTCGCATGTGGTTCCGAGGCTGATATGGAGTGAGAAGTGGCATGACCGATGGGGGTATTCCGAGGGCTTGCAAGAGCACGAAGGGAAGCACCGAGAAAAGGGGGGGGCATCATCAGGCAACGGCGGCGTCGGTCTTGCGCTCAGCGTCGTGCCAGCTTCCTGCGGCGGCATCGCCAAACCCATCCAGGTTGATGGTCGTCATCTGAAGGTCGGCGCTGACCAGGACCGTCTCGCCGTGACTGCGGTAGTCCAGCTCACTCGAGATGAGCCTGCGCGGGCGAGGTGCAAAGCTATTGTCGGACTGTAGTAGATGTTCACCTCCCGTAGGCGACGACAAGCGGTGCTGCTGCTGCTGGCCTGGCCCGGTTGCAAAGGACTTGATATCGACCGATGGGAGAAGTAGATGGCCAGCTCGCTGAGGTAGAAGCAACAGCTGGAACCGTTTCTCCTCGCCCTCTGCACAGGTGAAGTTTCCACGCCGTCGGCCACCAATAACCCACACATCTGGGCTGGCTATAATTTCATATGTAAACTCAAGGGACGACTGGGGCTCTTGTTCGGCTACCTCACACCAGCGTCTTGTATGCCGGATTATCAGCTCTGCAGTTATCATGTCATCGACCCCCACATGGGTCTGGCCGGGAGAAATATCTTTCAGCACTAGCCTCGCGGTATGGACAACCTGCACATCCGGAATATCAACAGGGATGGTTATATGCCGAACAGCATTCACCGGTCGGTTGTTTGGTAGAGGTATAGTCTTGTTCGTCTATATATGCCAGGGGTACAAAGGGCTGAATTAGCCTGCGGATCATTGACTATACACCATAGGGAGGGGCGCAGGAACCAATGGGAACTTACATTATGCCACTCTCTGAGCCACTGCACCAGCTTTGTCTGCGTATCACCGTTCATGCTCTCAACGGCCTCTCTCCACTGCATACGTTCGTAACTATACACCTCTATTTCTCTCGTCAGGCCAATCGTTTCTAGAGTATGAGCTGTCCAGATAGCACTAAAAGCCGTCTGCAAGAACGGAACCAGGAGCTGCTTCATTCCTGCAAAGGGACTTGCTTCGACATCCTTCGTAAACCGATCTTCTAGAACCGATAGGCATTCTTCGTTCAAACAGGCAAACTCTATTGAGAGGCTCAACGGTCGAGTGGAACCTGAGTCTTTGCCGGGTTGGAAATCGTCCCGGGGCCTGATTTTGTACAACAATGATGCCGGCTGTTTCGGGAACACATCCATGATCTCACCCTCCTGGACGCTCGTCTGTACATCATATTTGCCAGAGCTCTTCATTTCGCAGCTAAACACGCGAATAGGTATCAGCATTCCGGGGCTGATGCTGAATCTCGAAAACAGCTGCTCATCCTGGAATAAATCCTGAACATTCACACTGACGGGTAAAGTTGATACAACCGAGGATGAGCTGATGTATTCAAATTGCCCCTTGGGAGTCTCATATTCAGCTTCCACTGAAACGGAGAGTGATGTCTGCGTTCCTTCCATGCTGTATGGCACTCGAAGCGTGGCAGTGGATGCCCGGGCAAAGGAAGTGAAACATATTCTGCCTCCCTTTATCTCCTCGCACAGCGTAAGAGCTCCGTCGATGAGTGAGCTTTCCGAAATAATGAGACGTAGCCCGGCAGTTGCTGGCCGCAACCGTAAACAGCCAGTCGAAATATCGTTCCAACCAGAGCTCAACTCAATATCCAGGCTCCGATGCCCAACCAAGTTGATAGCTCTCGATTGAGAAACTTTTCCGACAAACGCGTCGACAGCGGGGAAACAGACCACATATGGGCGTTCTGCCTCGGAAGTAAGCGATTTGCTTGTCGTGTCCTGCAGTATATGAGATGCAGCCACTTGATTGTCATAATCATGCGTGAACGTAATATTCCCTGCTCGCATCTCAATTCGGTCAACATAGTACTTTCCATGTACTGTTGTCTACAATTGTAAGGAAATATTAGCATTCTTTATACAAAATCGTAGAGTATCAAGACTTACCGAGGAGTCAAGTAAGACTTTCGTCCCCTTCGACTTTACTATAGTCGAGTCGGAGTTTTCCAACCACAGCTCATTGTTTGGTATTTCCAATGCATTAACAAGCCGCATCTTAATGTTGTCAATTTTTATTTTTCCCCCAAGAGCATATCTCAATGACAGCTGTGCTTGGAACCCGTCTCTATCCTGGAAGTGAGAAATACCGGGTTGGACTTGGATATCTCGGAAGAAATCTTTAATAAGAACTGGAAACGTATTGGAAAGCGATTGAGAGACCGCAAATAGATCCTCAACGTACTCCTCAACTTTGCAACGCATGTTAGATTGCAATGTCAAAGAATGCTGGATGGTCGAGGAATATATCCCGAGTAATCTCAGAAGAGCATGAACGAACTCGTCTTTGCAATCTAGTTGCTTCAGGCACCGACTGTATAGCTCTACCATAGTACCTTCTAACGTCTCCCAGCCATTGCTGCGGTAAAAATTGGAGAGCTGGTGAAAGTACGACGCCGCTAAGGCGTAGTCACCCGTTTCATACTTCAGCAGTGCAATATCAGCCATCATTATTTCCGCAGACTTGAATCGATTTGCCGCGATATTGTGACGGAATATTTGGTCTGTAATCCGCTCATAAAGGCAGTTAAAGTTCTTTTTTGATTCCACTGATAAAGCCAGGCAAGGCGTTTCTACACCCGCCGACGTTGGCACCACTGGAAGTCGTTTCTTGTCCATGGGCTCGTCACTCAACGAAACATCAGTGAAGCCGTTCTTTTCGTTGAGCAGTAACGGCATACTATGCCATCTATTTCCCCATCCTCTCCTTCGGCCAAGTGCTCCCAACTGGCATCTAGCGAGGTGATATAAATCAGCCTGGGCCGCGGCTAACTCTATACCGCCTGCTTTTTGTGGAGCGGACATTATGGCCCCCAATGGGTTTAAAGCTAATCCGGAGTTCGGTCTTGAAGTAGGGGACATCAATGAACTGGTTCGCTTAGGAACCCCTGGCCTTGCTCCCGTGGCGAAGCTCGTAAGAACAGCTGCATCCACCAGGTCCTTGCTCGTCCGTAGGGAAACTTTGGGAATCTCAAGGCTCTTAGTAGACGTTTGAATAAGAACTTGACAAACAGCTGCGTAGGCCCAGGATGAAACGATGTTTGTGATAATATCTTCCTTCCTAGAAGGATCCGGAGCTTGTTCTAACTGAGCCAGTCCAGTCTCGACATCTTTCCGCAAAGTCCGGCAAGCAAGGGTAATAAACTCGCTAGCTCTCTCACAGATCTCGGCGAGAAGAGTCAAGTTATGCTTCTCCGCATTCTTTTGGGAGCCACTTTGACGATTTGACGGGGGTGACCGCGCAGCTTTGAGGAGGAGTAGTAGCTGCCTCGAAAATATATAGACACGAAAATCAAAGACAGATATGTTATTTGCAAGAATCATATCTCTGTATGGTTTCTGTTGGGGTTGCAGCGGGAAAATATCTTGATCCAGTGCAATGGGGTTTGAGAAAAGCTCATCACGGTCTCCATCGTTGTCATCTTCATCCTCATCCTCTGATGAACTGGATCCTTCTGCCTTTTCTGACGACTCTGCAGCCAGGGCAGCCTCAGCTTTCGATCTGAGATCTTTACTGTAATTTAGAAATGTGCCTCCGTGCTGGTCTCCCGTGCCCGAAATTTGATCTCGCAGTGCCGAATCCAGTCCGACAGCAAGCTCATCGTATCCTATAAGAGCATCCTCGAAAAGTCCAACGTTCTCAAGGCCAAGAGAAAGACCTTCTTTTAGTATAAAGAAAGTACAGAAGTTCCAGCCCGGCAAACTTCTCTGGGAGTCCTTCTCACGGATATCAGCCTCATATTGACCCACGCGCAAATCAAAGGATGTGAGAATAAAATATTTCAGCTTCGCGACCAAATCATCCAATTGCGCCGTTAGTTCAGGCTGTTTCTTATCCGCATCCGCTTTTGGAATTCTCAGCTGCGCAACCCGGTCAACTGCGGTTTTTGAGGATCCGTTGAAATCGGCCTTTACTTTCTCAAGGACCGAAGTCGAGCCTCTCCCAGGCCATTTTGATGATGCGGCCTTCTCTGTTACTTCAGGGCTAGGTGCATTCGATGGTATGACGTGAAGAATCAACCATTCGAACGCATCGTGATTATCAGGTCCAGTTGGCGCAGCGGATGTCCTAGTTTTTATCCATTCTCGTAACGTCTTTCTAGAGGTCGTTTTATACGTCTCGTTATCATCACATCGTAACAAATATATCTTTAAATATGGCGTCTGTAATAGGCCAGGTATCTGGTGTCTTCTCTGCGATACCGCTCCGCTTGCGCCATCGCTGAGTCGCTTCTGGTCATCTGCTACCGTGTGGGCGGGTTTGAAATCGATTTGCAGGGAGTCAATCGAGCGGACTGGCCGAGTCGAAGACTTCCAGTGGAGGTTTCGGAGGGGAAGGACTTGGGATAGCAGCGGCTTGACTTGAGGAAACAGGCCGAATGGGTCGGTATACTCGACTGCAAGGATAAGGAGTAAGTTATCAGGCTTCCGCATAGAGCTTCAGTACTATTGCATACCAGTTACATTATTCGAGTTTAAGTGAGGGGTGGCGTCCATGACGACCAGAGCTTCACCAGTAACAGGAGTAGCATATTATTCCGCACTCATCAAGCGTCCTGCTCTGCGTTGTGAGGGCGGCTTTTGGGCGTTTTGCGCTGGCGAGGTCAAGTTTAGCTAAACGGCGGATAGAGGACCATGTCTTGGCGTCGCTTTTAAGTCAACCTCCAGCCTTTTTTGCAAACCTAAGGGGGATCAACATTCAACATATAGTAAGATGTCAATATTCTATTAAAAATGTACTCTGTAGCTACCCTAACAAATGTGAGACTTCAGAAGAAGAAAACCTAGCGGGAAAATAACCGCCCCAATTTCCACAAGGAACAAATGTACAATCGGAGACTGAGTCTGTCTCAACTCGCAAACCCGTAACAGCAAAACAAAACCCAGGTCGCCCTCCTGAAATACAAACACATGAAGTCAAGCGCTCGAACAAAGTAAACAACAAAGGAACAAAGGTACGCTACAGAATATTTCTGCACTAAGTAGCTAGAAGATTCCGGTTGGGGACCGGCGGGTTGACATGAGACATTACGAGCTCATATCCGTAAGAAACAGCTTGCCAGATATCAGGAATGAGGTTTTTCAGCATCGCCGCAACAATAATTATCAGGAGAGGAATCTAGAAAGAGAGAGATTAGCTACGTTGCGAGGAGGGGTATAAAGCAATGTTGTAAATAACTTACCCAAATAACAAAGAGATTACGATCACTGCGGAATCTCTTCATCTTTTGTGCGTGTGCCTTTCTGAGCTGATCCTGGTGCACTTTTGAGATATTCCTGCTACCTATAGTCACGTCACCAAACTCCTCCTTGGAGGACGAGGCATGAGAACGTGATGAGGCTTCTGCTTCCGCAAAGTGTTGGTCTGCCGCGGCATCTAGAGCAGCTTCGACCATAGACGACTTCTTGTCAGCGTAGCCAGAGTCGGTTTCGTGGGGGTATAGCTCCTCATATGCCGGTGGCGAGGAATTGCCAGTCAATCTGCCCCAGCCGTCCTTCATGATATTGGTAGACCAGGCCGATGTCGGCCTGTGTGGAACAAGGGAGCTGATACGTTGGATCATTGGGTGAGTTTGGTAGTCTGGAAGAGTTGGAATCTGGGGGAGTGTCGGTATCTGAGGGAGGGTGGGCATTTGAGGTAGTGTCGGCAATGCTGGGAGGTTTGGTAGATTAGGAAGGTTAGGAAGGTTGGGGAATGCTCGGTTGACGTTTTGTTGGAACTGGTTGATTTGAGCTGCCAGCTGATCTCGCCATGCAACCAATGCAACAGGAGGTGATGGGTTGCGGGCCATGCCAGCGACAACATCAGCCTCGGGAGAAGCGAGAGTAGATGTTTGGGAAATGCTAGCTTTCCTAGGAATTGAGAAATATTGTTTCTTCTCCTTGCGGGATTCTGATTTGGTGCGTTTGGGCTGTGCATATAGCAACTCTGGTACATCTGACGTACGTCCACCGTCTGAATCATCAGTGGATTCTTCTTCAGCGTCAGGCGCATCGCTGGAGGACGTTGGCTCCCAGAATCCGTCGAGAGAACCAGAGCTTGGTCGGCGGCGCAAGGGAGAAGTCGATCCCACGCTTCTTGAACGGTAGTGATTGGTAGAAGCAATTACGGCACGGTGTGATTCCAGGGTGGTTGCAAGGTCAGCAGGAGTGAAGCCGCGCAGATTAGGCGCTGTGATGTTGGCACCGGCGAGTCGAAGACGATGGACAATATGCGTGTGTCCACTGAGAGCGGCCAAATGCAATGGGGTGTTATGGTTCTTGTCCTGAACATCAGGATTAGCCCCCCGGGCAAGCAAGCCCGCCACGAACCTAGTCAACCCTAGTGAAGCAGCAAGGTGGAGGAGAGTCTGTCCAGATGGTGAACGAGAGTTATATTTTGTAGAGCCAGGATTGCCATCCAAGTCCATGAACTCAAGATACACCAGCATCTTTGCGTCGGTGTCCGTGATGTTCGCGCTCTGGTTGTTGCCTGGGGCTTGTCGCTGCTGGCCTCCAGAACCGCCATCACCCTGGAAATTGTTTTGAAGATTCCACAAACTATTCCCGTTGCCCCCCATGATTTGCTGTGCAGTTTGATAGGCATCAGCAGGGTTATTAAGCTTCTGGCCTAGTATTCCAAGCGCAATTCTATACATTTGCAGCTCGCGGTCATCCACATAACGGAAGAAGATTTGTGGTTTCGGGATTATGGGCTGTCCTGGCTGCTGTTGTCCCAATCGAGGATGCTCATGCTTGAAGACAACTGGGACAGTACCCGGCTTAACCGAAGGCGGAGTAAGACAGTTCAAACATTTCTCACCCCAGAAAGTAGTGGTGGTAGCTAAGGTATCACCGAAAACAACCTCCATACCCGGGTAGAAGCCACTGCCGAGGAGAGTGACCTCGCTTCCACCAGTAGTTGAGCCCTCAGCTGGGACAAGTTTATGAATCATTGAGGGTACCTGTGGTGGAGGAAGTCCCGTTGGCACGCTCCAAGAGTGGTTTTGAGTTCCTGTGCTAGATAAGCCCGTAACTTGGTCCTGAGACCTACTGCGAGGGGAACCAGGGCGGCTTGGGTGAGTGGAATTCGGTGCAGATATCAAAGATGATTGTCCCATGTTGTCCATTGGGTTAGTGGTCTCGAGTGGACTAAAGAACATCCCGTCATTATTGTTTGGTGTGGGTGGCCCATTTATAAACTGTGGATTGAGCATCGCAGGTGTGACATAAGCCTTATCTGAGCCTCCATTGGCAGATGGAAGACTTGAAGTTAAGGGAGAGTTGCTAGCAGATGGCGATGTCCTCTGGGTCTCGATTCGTGACATGGTCAATCCTGAAGGAACTTTCCCCGATCCGCTCTGCTTCCGTCGCTTAGCAAGAGGGCCAGTACCGTCAGAAGGAGATGCTTGGCGAGAGAGGTTTCGGGGGGTAGTGATAGGAGCGGCTGCAGTTGTACTATTATTCTGTGACTGATTCGAGGAAACGGGGGTTAACGGGTATTGTCGATTTCGGAGTGCTTGCAGATCGTTGGCGGAAGGAGAAATTTTATAGGGCACCGAATGCACGAAAGGCTTCGACAGATCAATCCCGGGGTTCCCAGGGAACATTGCTGCAGGTGGGAACTGAGGGTCTGTTACTGTAGAGCTGGGAGCTGCGGCATAGTTTGCGGGCGCATGTGTCTTATGGTCATCGGTGATCATGATTGAATTGGTAATTGCTTGAGCAATTGGGTTGTCCATGTAGTCAAAGATGGTAAAAAGAACCCTAAGAATTCAACTTAGTATATTGTGATATAATAAAATAAAAAAAGCTGAATGCAATAAAACTTACTGGAAGCCCACTTTCTCGTTCTGATGTCTGCAGTAGCACGCTATTCTCATTGGCAGCTCTACTTGCATTGCACCAAGGGGCGCAATGGGCAGAGAAGGATCACAGTTTGTCGAGTTAGGGGTTCTAGGGGGGTCTGTCCAATCCTTGATCTCTGTGGTATTGAAAACAATAACCCGTTTATCCTCGTCTCTTTGGAACAATTCATCTTCTTCCGGTTTCCGTTGTTTTTTCCGCGACGCACGCTTTCGTTCTCTTTGGATGCAACCAGCACATATTTTGACCTCCGCCCCTCCCAGTGGAAGGTCTTCGTCGCCCTGGCTTTCCTCGGAGTCCTTGGGAGACTTTGAACTGACATCCTCACCCCGGGCTCTTGCAAAGGCCCTCTCCCGCTTTTTCTTATCCTGGATGGCACTTGTGCATAGTACACTGGCGCGGAGTTCTAGAATATCTGGAGACCGTTTGATATCAGGCTTGGCGAGGAACTTTGGCTTGGAGATGGCATGGCTTGGAAGGCGCAGTTTCTTAACTCCAGGCGGCATCGGGTAGAGAGTCAACTTGATGGGGATTTGCGTTTCGACGCGAGACTTGAGCGAGGTGGGATGGACGATCAGGCGGGGGCGAATATAGTTCTCCATGCTGATGTTTGGGTGGAACACGGCCGAGTTGCGGTCATTCAGAGGGAAGACCACCCCGGGAGTGCACTTTAGCGTTTCGAAGGCCTGGCGCGGTGACCTAAACGTAGAGGTCGGAGATAATGTCGCTGAAAGCGGCGAGCCACTGTTCATACCGATCCCACCAAAGGCTTCTTCCAGAGCTGACTGCGAGCCTCGACTATCCCAAAGTCCCTGTCCGGTGTAAAGCGGTGTAGAGTCACCAGGACTTTGGAACACAAACGGGTTTACGACAGCCGACTGCTACAGAGAAGAGTTAGCATCTTTTGCTTCGGGGAATAAAATGATATCTTCGGCAATACATGTAAAATATATTGATGGAATGGGAGGGTACTGACTTGTTGCGATGAGCCTGCATCACTGGAGGATCCGGTAAAAGTGGAGGAAGAAGGTGTGCGGAACGACTGTTTGAAAACGGTTGGTTTACTCTTTTCAGTATTGAGCTCCATCTTGAGGGGGCTGGGACTGCTGGCAGCGCTATCAAAGTCAAAGGCCGAGGCCATCGCCTTGTTGCTGGACTCAACATCGTGCTCCATGGAGTCATCCCTGGTCAAAAGGCCGCCGCTCTCCTGGCCGAGAAAAGAAGCACCTTCGTCGCCCAGGGAGAGCTGGTCGGCGTTTGGCCAGCCCGGAATATATCGTTCGGTTGCGGCGCTGTCTGGACTGAAGAGTCCGGAGTGGTTGGAGGCCAGCGAGGCATTCCGCAGATGACCAGTCGGGGAATCCATCGAGGAGCTGTGGCTGGAATCTTCTGGAGAGTCTGATCGAGTGTCTGACGGGGTTGAGCCCGCTGGTGGAACGTCATTCTGAGACTTGTTTGGCATTTCGGAAGGGGACAAGCACGACATGGCGTCGGAAAGCTGGGGAGCACTGGACGGCCGGAAGAACATGTCTTCAAAGTCACGGCCCAGGCTGGGAGTCGAGGCATTGAGCACTGAAGGGTCGAAGCACAGAGTGTCTCTGTCGTCCATGATATTGTCCATATCTCCGTCCATGATGATGGGCTCCATCTCTCCGACCCTTGGCTGGATCGATCGCGACCAGACCCCCGTCTATCAGAAAAGAGAGAGAGAGAGAGCGAGAGAAAGCTTTTGACTCAACAGGGAAAACAAACAAGCGACGGGAGTAACCAACTACTCCGTACACCCTTTTCCTCGCGTGCACTCTCACCGTCGAACGTGCAGTATGGTTGTGGCCGTCTCGTCTCGTCTTGTCTCGTCTCGTCTCAGGGGCCGCTGCTCTCACGACAATGCGGGTGCCTGGACGACTAACCAGCTGGCCGAGCACGCTGAGCAAACGGGGATGCGCCTGTCTAACACGGGCCCGGGTCAGGCAGCGAGAGGCCCCCTCGGAGGGAGCAGGCAGGCAGGAGACAGGCGACGGGGAGAGGCGATCGAGAGGCACAGGCAGCGTCGGGCGGGAGGGCTCGTATGGACGAGATCGAAATCCAAGGGATGGCCGTCGCCTTTTCAGCGTCCACGCCCTTTTGTGTCGGTGAGCTTCGTCCTCGTCTTCTTCGACTTTCTTCGTCCCCAGCCCGCAGCGAGCGGCAAGCCACAACGACAGCTTGGCGCGCTTCTTCGCCAGCCAGCCCTCCCGTGCGCAGTCCTAAAGGGCTCAGGCTCTCTGCGCGCACACGGCGAGGACTCAGCAGCAGCAGCAGCAGCAGCAGCAGTGGGACTCCCTTGCAGCAGCCGACTCTCCGCCGTTTGAGCTGGGCTGCTCGCTAAAACGTCTTTTTTTCCCTTCTCGTTGTTGTTTCTTTCTTGCTTTTCAACGACAAAAAATAAGAAAATAAAAAAAAGAGCGAAAAAAAGACGAAACGGCGGGTGAGGGCGCTAAGCCTGTTTGGGACATGCCGCAGGAGCGACTTTTTAGGGACAAAAAGGACGAGAAAGACGAGAAAGACAGCAGAGAGAGGCCAGATTCCAGCAGACAGCGAGGTGGAGATGGAGATGGCGGAGACGGCGTTATATCTGGGGGCCAGCGAGCCCAGCTAGCTGCTTGGAGTGCGTGGTGCGAGAGTCTACAGGAACAGCGGCTTCGGCCCGGCTGAGGGACCTTCCTGGGGACTCGAGATAGATACCTGATGGTTATTGAACCAGCAGCAGCCAGACGACGGCGATGGTGCAGGCGACGGTGCAGGCGACGGCCGGGTGCAGCTACGTTTAGGGAGGAGGGAGGAGGGAGGATGGGCCAGGGAATGACTCCCTCCCTCTGCTCAGCCTGATCAACCGGGCTGCTTTGTTATACCCCCCTATTATATTTACTCCCTCTATACCGCGTGTCTTATGGGCGCCCTGGATAAGCAGAGAGACAGAGACAGCCACTCAGCGTTGCCTGGCCTTATGGAGTTGCTTACGGGTCCTAAGAATTGGCGCTAGAGCGTTGTCGAGGCTGCTCAGCTACCGGATGTCTCTCGGTGCTGGTATTCCCCCGGACGCCTACGGAGCCTACCGGTGGGATAATTAATAGCTACCTGCCTGCGTCTATAGACTGGCAGGACTTGACTTCTGCAGACTGTGCATGTGTCTGCATCATTGTCTGCATCATTGTCTGCAGTATTGTCTGCAACAATGGAGAACGTGCATACATGGAGCCCACAGTGTGGGAACAGTTCAAATAAAGGGCAGCCAACAACGCCAAATATGCTGATTTTCAATATAGAAGCAATGTCTGCACCTCGGATGCCACACAGGGTTCTCTTCTGCTCCTTCATGTCTCCCTTCCTTCGACCAGGAGCCGGGACCAGACACGAATAGATGAACGAGGACGTAAAAACAGTCCGACGCTACGAGTTATTTGCTGGCCGGCGATTGGAGGATTATTCGCTTGTCACTCTAGCACCTTGCTTACAGGGTGACACTAGACGGTTCTTCAGCTCAAAGGAAAAAAAAAGGATGACGGTCATCGTCGTTATCCTTTTTGATTATTCTTGATTATCATTATTATTATTTACTCCTGTCTTACCCGTCGTGGGACAAGGCGATCTATTAATAAATTTACACGTGGTTACATGGGTCCGCAGGGCTCGGGTTTGGCTCTATCCCTGCCGCTTCTTCACATGTGGACGACGGGTATGCCCCATATACCTAATGCTTATATGTCTTTCCCCTCAAAAACATATAACCTATGGATATGGGGTTAAAAGAGTATACGAACTTATACCTGGAGAAGGTCTACAGGTCTACTAGAAGTGCTCTCTATTCCTCGACTGAGGACGATGCTCTCTTTCTTGCAGAAAAACAAGCAGATGACAGTATGAATACTCAGAGTATTGATATTAGGTAGTATATAGGTGGAACCCGCACAGTCATGACCAATGCTTCTGTCCATACCGAACAAGCTCAGTCATGAGTTTGCCGCCAGCAGATACATCGTGGTAAGGGTCAGACAAGTTCGCCATGAAGCAGCCGCCTGGCTGCTCACTGCAGCTTCGCTCCCCACCACTGCAGATACCAACGATCGTAGGACGGCCATCGATGTACTCCCACATGGGCCCGCCAGACCACCCAGCAGACGCAAATACCTTCGACTCGAGCTCGACACCAATCTCTCCGTGAGGGTCAACGCCGTCCAGGGTTAAGTTGGTGACCAGCATCTGTGTCATGCCCTTGAACGGTTCAGTCGGGTATCCAGAGCTCAACCACGGGCCCTTGACATACGCCTGCGTATCCTTCCACCAGGCAGTCCCCATCCATCCCGCTCGTTCGCCCAGCGGCTCACACAGCTTGCATATCACATAGTCTAAACCAGTAACATTGAGCGTGTTCTTTACCCCGCGACACTGCGAGACATACGAGCTTCCAAAGGGCTCCGCTTGTGTCTTCCCATGGCCAAACCCAGGCACAAACCGCATCCACCTTCTGGCTCCATAGTTCCACGGGAAACAGTGGCTTGCAGTGAGGAGCAGGTTCTTTCCAACCAGAGTTCCCGTGCACCACCCGCCTTTGTCCCCCCTAAAACGCCGAAAGAATATCCTCCCTATCGTCGACCATGGATACCCTATCGTGGCAGTGACCCGGAACTGGTCGAACGGTGACCCTTCTGTGGACACTAGGGCGATATCAGTGCCGTAACTTTTGATATCAAAGTGGTAAGGCGCGGTAGTGTTGCTTTCCTTGCTCGTATTAGGGCTGAAGCCTAGCGTGCTGCCATATTCGCTTTCCTGTATCCCTTCAAACTCCCACGTTGCATCCCCTGGGATCAGATTCCACTTTTCATCCACCGTCAGTCCCTCTGCCCGGAGGTCTGGAAATGCCTTTCCACAGAGTCCACCGCCTTTAGGCTCCAGGGGAATCACCGCTGTAACGAGGGAGTCTTGGAGCAGGAATAATGTAACGAGTGGCCATATCAAGTGCATGGTAATGGAATAAAGAAAGGTCGAAAGAAGTGAGTGTACACATGGGATGGTAAGGTATTCCGCCGTTCCTCTTGCGCTGTTCTCCCTTGCTATGCCATATAACTATACAGCCTATAGGACCTGACATGGACAAGGACACAAACAATGCCTGATTGCTTTGGTCTGGATAATCAACGGAAGTTCAAGCACACGCAGGGATGGCTGCATGCTGCCTTCCTTCGCCCAAGAGATAACCCTGTAGTGACATATAAGAGGAATGCCCTTCTCTCTTTCCTCCATAGCTTGCTATTCAGTTCGCACGGTAGGCAAAGGAAGTATTAGCGAGTTCAAGGCGGCTGCCGGTCTTATTCTTAGGCATAAACTTGACATCATCCGGGTATCTGTTGTATCTCAGGCATCAGGGGTTAGTTGGGCATGTCAGGTTCAACATCTCGAAGCTGCCGAAAGGCCAGCAGTATATTATATATATATATATATATATATATATATATATATATAAACATGCAACCAGCTGCTGGCTCTTCAGTTCAGGCACCTTGATTAACCCCTTGATCCGGATCTTTTGTTATATGAGTCTACCACATTGTGTCGCGTGTCTAAATATAACGGTCAATAGCATCTTGAATATCAGTGTCGACTTCCACTCCGACCTGCAAAAACGGTCACCTAGAATTCGGCTACATGATGAACCACCATTCTACCGCCCGGGCATAATCATTAATTGTGTTTCCACTGTCTAGGTAGGCAAATAGAAGATAGACAGGCAGCTTGATTCTAAAACTGATCTCTGGTTTATCATCCATGGCAAAGCTCGAGTCAAAGCCTTACGCCTGATGCTGAGTGCAGGTTTCTTTCCTAGCAAAACCAAGGGATGACCTTGACATCACTCTCATCACCAGGGCAGATCCGCTCATCTCTTGCTCTATAACTAATGGCTGGACGTTGTATGGTAGCTTGGCTCCCTGGCTCACTCACTAGTTAGTTAGCTAGTTAGTTTGTTTGACTAAAAGCTTGACCTCGAACTTACTCATATTTATTTATTTCAAGCTGAACCAACCCCGCAGGCAGCCTCACCAGCAACATCTTCATTTCATCTTTGGAGGACTATTCTTTTCCTTGCGTTTTTACTTATTGTGTTAATAGTTTCTTTCACCTACTATACTACTATAGTACCCGGTTCAAGCGTAGCTGTCAAAAATGTTCAAGAAAAAGCCATCAGTTCGACCCCCCACACACCTACTCTCTATGACCCATCGAGGTAGCAGTGCTAACATATTCATGGCAGATCAAACCACTTGCACCTCTTCGGTCCTCTGATCGGAGGAAGATCGCAGACAAGATCATCCAGGAATACGGCATCTCAGTCCCAGAGGCACCAGCAGCTCAGCCTGAAGCTGACGAGACATCAGCCCAGCCCGCCACAACCACCCCTAGCCTCTCATCTATTCGAAACTCGCTTCTACCAGAGAACACTCTAGCAGGACGCTTTTCGACCACTGTGGGACCAGACTTACAACTTGTTCATGGTACTTTATACGTTGGAACGCACCCAGACGGTGAAGAGCGAGCATTATGGATCAGGCTTGAGCAAGGACCAGGAACAGATGGAAGAATATACCCCACAGTATATTCACTATGGCGCAACCCAGGGCTGGTTCCCTTGCTGTGCACAACAGGCCATGTTATGGAGAAGCTCTACAATGGTGCAGATCTGATGACCCCAGGTCTTACAAACGGTCCCCCATTCCCAGCAGGAGCTGTGAAAGGGTCCGTCGTTGCTATCTCGAGTTTGGATAAACCTAGCGTTCCCACATTCGTAGGTGTATGTGAGATTGATGTTGCTGGCCTAACGCAGGTACAGGGCGCAAAGGGACATGCTGTCAGGGGGATACAGTGGGAGGGTGATGAGCTATGGAGCTGGGGTTCGACTGGAAAGTCTGGCCAGCCATCGCCAGATCACTTGGATGGCTGGATTGGAGAACCCGAAGTGGTAGAAGAGAAACTCCAGGACCTAGAACTAGGCGATGATGAAGATTTAGATGGAGGCGCGGATGGGGGGGTTCCTATTAACGAGCCTCCAGAGGAAGAACAGAAGGTAGGGGAGGAGGGAGAAGAGGAAGAAAAAGATGCGGAAGCAGAACTTCCGCCTCCAACTACGAAAGGTAAGATTTAATATAAATATTACCTTTTAATAACGGGTTCTAACAAGGCAAACAAATACTAGAAATCGATGATGCCTTCGAGAAAGCATTCATATATGCGCTCTACCAGCACAAGAAAGACCACCCTGGAGACCAAAACCATGGCCTGTCATTCCCCATCCAGCCATCGTTCTTGATATCCAACTTGATCACTCCATTCTTGCCAATATTTTCGCCAAACCAGGCACAATATTACCAGATCAAGAAGACATCCTGGAAGAACGTTAAGAAGTTTGTCAAGCATCTCGATAAGATAAAGTTACTCAAGTCAAAGGATAGAGGAGGGGAAACAATAATCATGGATGTTGATTTTGATGATATCCTTGTCGACCAGTTTGTTCCTTACCGGCTGCCCAAGAAGACAAGCTCAGGGGGCGCAAAACCCAAGGCTGCCTCTCAAAATACTTCAGGAAGCGTGTCATCCGATCAGGTTAACGTTAAGACACTCTACCGCCCAAGCAGCAAGCTGGTACCTGATCTATTCCCGCCCTTATCCAACACCGACGTGAACAACTACTACTCAGCCTCCGATGTCTCCAAACGCTTGAACGATTACATTTCCTCACAAGATCCACCGATCATCTCTCCATCTAATCCTCGGATTCTCACGCTCAATGCCTTCATCAGTAACAAGATTATCCCTTCCAACGATATTGCGACTCTTTCCCGTGGAACCATCCCACGAGATGCTCTGCTGAAAAAGTTACTCGAGGATCCTTCATTATGTGCACCTTTCCATGCAATCCTTAAACCCAACCAGACACTCTCGGATGTGAAGCCCAAGCCGGGTGCCCTCCCAAAGGCAACCATAACCATTGAACGCCGCACAGGATCCAAGTTGGGTACCAAAGTAGCTGGTCTAGATAGATTCGGCATATCACCCCAGCTACTAGCAGATGAGCTATCGAAGAAGTGTGCGAGTAGCACCAGTGTTAGCCAGGCAGTTGGTGCTGCCAAGGGGGAAATGGAAGTCTTTCTTCAGGGTGACCACCGAGGGGTAGTAGAGAAACTGCTTGTTGGCAAGGGTCTCAAGTCCCAGTGGATAAGCATTGTGGACAAGTCTAAGAAAAAATGAGCTTCCCAGCGTTGCCTACTTTGAGCGGAAGTTATTGAGACTCCTACTGTAAGACCATTTTGGATACATTGGAAATGTGTAGGAGATTAAATAGTAACGATTTATGAAAAATATAGATTGTTACGGAGTACTTTCCTATAAATGTTCGTCTAGCTCCCCTAGCCTTTAAAAGTTCTAAATCGTCAATCTACCAATAACAGAATAAGGGGTATGCTCAATATCAAGATAGCTGCAGAGAGAATGACGTTGTTTTAACCTTGGAAGTAGATTGAAGCAAACAAAGCAAACATGAGAGACCACACCACGAAAGTTCCAATGCAGCTTTCCACAAGAAATTATTCCAGAGCACCGCTGCATCTCACTGCTCTACGTTTGAAACACAGAAACACATCTCTCGAACGTTTGTTTCCTCTTTTGCTAGCTATACACCGCTGTTCGCTGGCTCCCTTATATCAACACAAATATAGCGGGCGAACTACAACCTCGAGAAACCCGGCGCTGGGCCATCGTTGATGATGGCATCACTACTTCTTTTCGTGCTTGCTATTCAGATAATCGCCTATTTAATTAACACAATTGGTGCCAGCACTATTGATAGCCTGGTAATTATATTCTTCCATCCATCGCTATATTCGTCTGCTAACTCTCCGTTATAGCTATGGCTGCTGTATATCAAGCTTCCGAACCAAGCGTCGCAAACGGCTCGAGAGCAACGGCAAGCGAAGCTCGAAGTAATTCAACTTAAACGGGAGATGGGTGCTACCAGCTCCCAAGATGAATTTGCGAAATGGGCGAAGCTCCGGAGAAGACATGATAAAGCTATGGAGGAATATGACGTTAAGAGTACGTATTTATATTCGGAAGAACTGGCAATCTGGCCTGTAACAATATCGGAAGGCGTTTTGGTAACTGACGTATTTATCTACCATCCAGGCAAAAAGCTTAACGCGATGAAAGTTTCATTTGACTGGACGATCAAGACTGTCCGATGGGCTTCTACCACCGGTATTACCATAATTCTTCAGTTCTGGTTTTCCAAATCACCTATATATGACCTGCCTCGGGGGTGGTTTCCATGGCAGGTGGAATGGATCTTATCATTCCCCCGCGCTCCCTTGGGAACGGTGAGCATACAGGTATGGGGAGGGGCCTGTGGGACTGTTATTGCCTTGGTTGGAGGCGCTGTTGCGGCTATTGTACCAGCTCTGAAAAGCAGTAAGCAATCCAAGGGACCAGCAGTGGCACAGAAGACAGGAACTCCAAGAGGGAGTAGGGAACAGACACCCACAAGGAAGACGCAATAGCAGGTGAAACGAAGAGAGAAGCGTCTACTAATGTTATTAATGTGTAAAACCCATGCTACGATACTCATGATAACTGTTAATTTTATATCTTAAGAACATTGTTGATTGGCTTATAAACAAGAGTAAGTTAGAATAACTGGGGATGAATTGGGATGGGAAGGGGGATGTTCATCAGATAGGTTTTAAAATCTTGATCTTCAACAGCCATTATATGACCTCTGTGCTTGACTCTATGATTTGTATATCATCACTTGAACATGTATGAAGTAAAGAATCTGGCCCTTTCGAGGGGGCTTCTGCAATTGAGTCTCTCCATAAACACAGCAACTATCCGAAGCACGGAAGGCCGAGGGAGCAGAGACACAATCGCCGCTTTCCATAAGCTACAGGTTCGGTGGTAGGGGAAGAAAAAGGGTGAACTCCTCGCCTCAAGAATAAGCCCCATCGAGTTACTCACCCAATCCTGAGAATTCAGAAACAGGTAAGCAATCGCATAGCTGTAGAATCTCGACGAATGGCAACCTTCTTAACCAGGTTCCCACGACCGTCTCCCATTGTTTCCCCAAGAAACCTCCTCGACGCAACCCCCGAATCAGCTGCAACTTCACTCCAATGCCAAAACGTGAGACTCATATCGTCATCCCAGGGTTGTCCTAGCACTGGCCGAAGAGACTGTGAATAGGGAGAAAGCTGAAGAGTGCAGACGGTTCAACGAGGGTCGGAGCCGGCGCATAGGTGGGTAAGAGGGCATAAGCTGCTATGAAGTGCTTCTATGGCAGCGCGTTTCCGCAGTGCCTGGCACGAAGCCAGGGCGTCCGGGGACTTTCTCCCAAAGCAAGGTATTGGTACGAGCATCGAAATGCCCAGTTCGTAAGCTTTGAATGCGATTCTTTGAGCGAGGAGTTAGAGAAGAAGAAGAAAAATAAGAAAGCCAGAAAAAAAAAAGTCGCTTAGATTTAAGTGGTGAGGCTTAGTCAGAGAGTCTATTGATTTTTATTTTGGACCAGTGATTATTTTACTATGACTAATCAAAATTCTGCCCATACTTGGGGTTTTTAATACGGGGAGCCCGATATATACCATATATTATACAACCTTAGGTGAGTTGACCAATAGTATTATTTGAAACGAGTTATATGTGGTTACTCATGTAATCCGATTTTACTGTGATACAGATATGAAGCTCCAGGGCTCCAGGTTTCCTTCACTGATCGAACAACTATTTGGAACGGTTACAGCTCGTAGCCAGTTAACAACTCCTATTCTCAAAGTATGGCACCGAAGCAATCGCTAGCAGGAAAGCTTTCCGGTGGGAAGAACAAGAGGGTTCGTTTCGTTTCACCTTTGGTGCAATTGAGATTTCAAAACTAACGCTATCCACCCAGTCGCTCAATGTACCGATAGCCGCCTTCACAATGGCCGTTTTACTTACAGGATACTGCTACCGAAGTATCCGATCCGCGCGCGATAATGCTAAACGTACTTCTATATATACCTCTTCCGGCAGAGGCAACGGGCTATAGTGACGTGCAGTTTTCTAATGTCCAAAACGAGGTCAATTATATATATAAAAAAGAAAGGGACGGAAGGCTCTTTTGTATGAAGAGTGCGCAGGATATGGATACAGGCTTATCGGCTTTGTCCAATTCGTGCCAGAATCAATATGCAAGAGAACTGGGATGGTTGGAGTGACGATACTCTATCGATTCAGTCTATGGCCAACGAGATGCGACGCTGTCCCCACCACCTGCAACCGACGTTATATCAGTCCATACTTGAAAATGGGACTTTGAACCCGACATCGGTATTAAACCGGATATCGGCAATTTTCGGATAACTTTTAGCCCGCTGTCTGCCTTTTTTCTCTACTGGGATTGCCTCTACCACCAATGCGAGGCGAGCGTAATAGCGTTGGGTTTATCCGGGTAGACTCGAGGCACCGGAAAGAGTTGGCTCAGGAGCTACTGCATCAAGCAACACGGCTATTCTGGTTTACCAAAGATGACTTCTGTCTTGAGTGGCGATATAGCTTTATTCTCTTCTAAACAGGTACATGCGACAAACATGATAGTACTCAAACCTATCAAAGCACGTGCATAGCATTATTACACGCTGGAAGACCGACGTACAAGTTCTGTATGCTAATATTTGACTGAATCAAAAAGACAAATAGCCAACCCATAAAAACAGAGATAGACAGACAGCTCACATCATAACCTTTGTTTCTCCTATCACCACACAAACATAGGCTGAAATTAAAAACATGTACATAAAAACCATTCCTAGTAGGAAGACGCCTGACACGCCATATTCTTGCTTTGCTAGACACAAGTAAATTCATCCTTTGGAAATTAGATAGTGGTTAACGGGGAATAAAGACAGGAGAAAAGAAGAGGAGGTTATGGTAGGTGGGTGAGAGAACAGTTAGATATTTTTAATTGGGTATATTTATCGCGTCAGGGGAAAGAATCCCACTTCTGTAGCGAATCTGGTATCATAAAATAGAGAGGAAGAAAATGTTAAGCAAAGATTTTCTAGTGAATATGTGTCGTATATGTGCATATCAGGCACTATTCACAGAGTACCATGGACTTCTAGTGGCAATTATGGTTGAGGACAATGGCACATTAGCAGGAGTTGCCAAGCATTGAATCATAGATGGTGATTTTCCACTGATGAGGCTAGTATTAATTCTCCCTCATGCTGGCCCCAGTGTATTATGTTGCGTAGGTATTCGTACGTCAACATGGTGGTCATGGCAGAAGGGACAGCTCGGAAAAGGTTTGTACCTATTCCAGCATAAAACGCTCTCCACCCTTCTTCTTTCAGTATTGTCTGGAACGTTCGAATAACCCCACGATAGCGAGGACGATTAGGCATTCCATCTGAAGATGCAGCTCCAACACCAGTGGCGCTACGGTATGTTTCTTCCGAAACACGGAATGAAATCCCTTCTGGTGACGGGGCGGGACTAATTCTTTGTTGCGTCTGTAGTCTGGTGCGCAGTACTTCATGCGGATATGTAGCTGTGCTCGCGCAGATTTTGCTAAGGAAAGTGGCAGCACCAATGCCGACCCAGTGCGGATTACCTGCATCTGGGTGCTCGCCCATCATGAACCCTGTGAATGCGAGTTTGAAATACTCATAGAGAGGAAATTGAATGGCGACGTGGGTGAGGCCAAGAAGGGCAGGCGTGAGACCGGAGTAAAATGCCCGTATGCCTTCGCTTGCATACATCTTGCGCGCAGCGTCCAGGGTATTCTTATAATACCATGGAGCGTGGAATCCGTCATTGGACGGCCGTAGGCTCTGGGACATGAGTCGAGTTTTTATGACCCATATAGGGTTGGTTGCAATTGTTGAGCAAGCTCCAGCAGTTAATGATGCATATGTTCGAGCAAGCCACCAGTTTTCTACATATAGGGTACTATATTAGTAAATTGATCCTAAAAGGTGTTTAAGGAGAGAGATTAATACCTGTGCGGGAATAGAAGTAGTCTCTAGCCCTGTCGTATATGGTCAAGTAGACAGCCCATGTAGGAAGGTAGCCCAGAAGCATTGGTCCTAGGCCTTTGTACAACCCACGCAGACCCTCATCCCGCCAAATGGTTCTTCCAGTCCCTATCATGCCTTTATACAGGGCCTCTGTCTGCACCAGCTTCCCATTTCGTCGCAAGAAGCCTCCCTGCGCTTGTAATTTGGTTTTGATAACATCCAGCGGACAGGTTATTATTCCAGAAGCGACGCCCGCTCCAGCTCCACAAAATGGCGTCACATAGCTCTGGGGAATGCGGGTTGAATAGACTTGCAACCGTGCGAGTAAGGACGAGTTTGGGGGAGGCTGAGCTCCAGGGTGAAGTTGTGGTATAGTCGACGTCTGTGAGTCTGCGTATTGTTGATGATGATGCTGTTGCTGTTGCTTTTGCTGTGTTGATGAATGTGTGGTAAATGTCTCCGCCGGTTTGGTACGGTCCAGAGACATCCTTGCCGGCTTTGATGGAGCAGAGGTCTCACTTAGCAGGATAATCGATATCGCTGCATGAGTGCGGAGCGGAATGTAGAGACGGTGAGAGCAAAACGGGGAGCAGGGGAGGGCCTATGCAAAATGAGGGATATGTTGAACTATATGTATTTGGGTGTATCAGCTCGTCTGTCAGGCCTCGAGGGTTACTTCTCCGGCTTATATCGTCTTTTGGAGCGTTGGAAGCAGAGGGAAGTGGCCGGTGATAAAGCCTACACAGCTCCAAGCTGGAGCAGGTGGAGGCTAACAGGCAACTCCAGGCATGGGCGGGGGGATAGACAAAGCTGGCAGAGATTGACGGAAGATATCTCTAAATTTCGCCGATAGACAGGGAGGCTGTTCCAAGGTGTAGTGCGTAGATAACTATGGCAGGTGTCCGGCCGTAGTTATCAAGCAGGCCGTAATTAAGGTAAGAGGCAAGCTTATCCTGTAGATCAAGCAGCACTATCTCCTGTAGACGTCCTTTTGTGCGTAAAATTGTCCCGTGAAGTATGAATGGAAGAAAAGAGGTCGAATAGATGGTCGAGCAGCCCTGGTTCATGCCATCCGCGGCCCAGCATATGTAAGTTGAAGTTACTTTTTTGGTGGTTGAAATCACGAGATCCGACGACGCCGAACTGGTCCGAGCGTTACATTTTTGCACACTCGCCAGCAAACCTCAGCAACATCACCAACCCAGTGATTGGCCGACGAGGACGACCGCAACAACCGCCAGCCAGCCAGCCAGCCGTGAGAAATCGCCGCATAGCACACCGAGAACAGGGCGAAGAGCGTCTCGAGACAGTTTGAAGAGTCAAGGAGTCGCAGATATTATCCGAATCCGAACCGGCGCGATGGCTTTGACGTCGATGATTACCCGGGTCTTTGAGAAACCCTGGGTCACAAAGGCGATGACGCCGATTGCCAACTGGTACTGCAATGCCGCTGGATACAGGAAGTTGGGCCTAAGGTGCGTTATATTAGCCATTGACGTGGATGGGGGGTTAGATATGGGATAAAATGGGGGGAGACGGTTGCCATTGCTAGTGTTTTGAACTGGCGGAAGAAAAGGCTGTGATGGCAATGGCAGATATATAAAGAGAATATGAGGGGGGAGAGAGTGAGGAGGTAAAAATATATATAGAGAGAGAGATGCTAACTTGTGGCATTGACTGTGGACAGATATGATGATTTGATTCCAGAGGACAATGACACTGTTCAGTTGGCGTTGAAGAGACTTCCCCCCAAGGAAGCCTATGACCGCATGTACCGCATCCGCCGAGCCGTCCAGGTAAGTGCCTGCCCAGACACCACTACTTCTCTCCTATCTATATCTACTCTTTGTCTATATGAGGCCTGCAGACTAACAAGTGACTCTAGTGCTCTGTGGAACACCAGCTTCTGCCAGAGAAGGACCACACCAAGCCAGAAGATGTATGCTTATATATTTTGTCTCTTTCTTCTTTTTTTCTCCCCCTTCAGTCAAAAGAGACATGGACTGACTGTTTGTTGTAGGATGTCCGATACCTCTCCCCCATCATCGAGGCCATCAAGCGTGAGAATGCCGAGCGTGTCGAACTCGACTCCCTCATCATCAAGCGATGAATTCCCGTCTGACCAGCCAGATCATCCCACCAGCCCATCAATGCCAATAATGCCATGAACAGGAGGGATGGTACGAGACGAGATGAGACTTGGCTCACCAAAAAAGAAAGGGTCCCGGATCAGAGAACGCAAACTCATCAATATCAAATGTTTAAATATCACACTCCTATCGACTCTTTTGACCTTCATTTTCCTTGTGTTTCCATTTTTTTTTGATAAACATGTACAGATAGTTAGATACGAGGAAGTCAATTGCATTATACATCTCGTGCAGCCAGCAGTAACGCCAGAGGTATGTCAAGATTCTATGATATAAAACGGTTAAGATACAGTGAAAGTGTGGGGGTAGAATTGAGGCATCACGCCTGCATGACGGCAACATCTACGTTCTCCCACCTCCACATGTACCACATGAAGAGACTTCTATACGGCGAGAAGGGCGCTGCTATCTCTACCATATCCTTTTCAGACATGTACTTGAACTTACCTCCGCCCTTTGCTTTGAGCTTGCTTACATCTCGTCCTGCAAAGGCCGCCATACCACGTCTACCAATTAGTACCTCAACAAGCATTTAACACACTCTTAAGAAGAGAAATGGAAAGAAAGAAAGAAAGAAAGAAAGAAAGAAAAGACAAAAAAGAAAAAGCCACTCACTGGACACCGAGATCCCCCGTCGAAAAGACATCCATCCGCTTGAGGCCAAAGAGCAAGAACATCTCAACCGACCACTTCCCCAGTCCCCGCACGGCAATCAGCTTGTCCAACACCTCCTCGTCACTGGCCGTCAGCAGCATACGAGCAGACAGCTCGCCCGAGGCAAACTTGTCAGCCAGGCCATGAATGTACTCTGCCTTGCGCTGGGAGAGACCGGCGGTTCGGAGGGTAGGGATGTCCATGGAGACTACCTGCTGGGGAGAGGGGAACGGGACCGGCTTGTAACGTAGTCCTGCGTCACCAACTTCGTCTTCATCGTCTCCATCCGCTTCAACTTGGGTATCTGTGGTGGTGGTGGTGGTGGTGGTGGCACTGAATAAAGAGATGAATTTGCTCTTTATCGACTTTGCAGCTGCCCCGGAGACTTGCTGGCCTATGATGCCGCTGACGAGGGCCTGGAACGGGTCTATCTCGACTGCGAGGTCTGCTGGTCTGAAGGGGGCATCGGGAAACTTGTCGATGACTGGCTTGAGCCTGGGGTCGACTGAGAGCAGATGTGCAATTGCTTCTGTCAGGAGGTTCTCTACCGTGGTTGTAGGGGTGGTAGTAGTAGTAGTAGATGGGTATGCTGTGATGTGTGAGCCGCGCGGGGTGAGGAGGGGAGCTGCTGTGCGATGGGGGTCGACGGGCCGGGCGAGGCTGCTGCTGGCTGGAGTTGCTGGCGGAGGAGGCAGAGACGGCGGCGGCGGAGGTGTTGATGCCACCACCGAGACGACCGTTTTTCTCTTCGGCTCAGCCTTGGACTTGGTGATGCCTCTGGGCTTCTTCTCTGTCTTCACTGTCTTTTCTATCTTTGTCGTCTTCTTCTCTGTCTTTGTCGTCGTCGTCGTCCTCTTCTCTATCTTTGTCACGTCCTCCGTCTTCTTCAACGCTGCCGCAGCACTGACTCTGGCTGACCGTCGGGGAGCCATGGGGGCCAACAGACGCGGTATCCAGCACTTCACCAGCATCCAACGTCGCAACGACGCTCATCTATCTGTCACTCACCAACGTCTGTCTCTCCTGCAAGGTTAGTCACTCTGCTCGTCACCCCCCTTGAAGCAGGATTATTATTAATACGAAGGCCGGTCCTTACGAAGCTAAGTACTCCGTACTGAGGTACAGGTACGTACCAAAAGTACCTTTGGCTACTCTGGTTCATCCCGTTGCACTACTGCTTCTTCTCCAAGAAATGGACGCCGCTGACTCAACCAACCAAGCTTCGCCGCGTTTCTTTTTCCCCCGACTCGACCAAGCAGAGGGAAAAGCTTGCCATTATCATTATTGCATGTGCTTGCTTGCTTGCTTGCTTCAGGGGCAAAGGCAAGGTCACGGCCAAGGTCAGGATCCAAGGCAGCTCCCCCAAGTACGACTACTGTTGGAGGGGCATTAACTATTTGATAAAAAAGAAAAAGCAAAAAAGAGCCCTTCCTTGCCGCGGTGGCCAAAAAAACGACGGGGGGGGGTGTTCATCCTGACCCTCACCTATATAAAACGACGAAACGACGGCAACTTCTGCGACTACCTGTGTTGATTGATATTTTGCAGAATTTCGACGAAGAAGGGTCAAGCCACTCGCCGATTCACCCGCGATCGACAAGCCTCTTGCCCTTGGCCCGCCCTGACCTGACATCAACCCAGGCGCCCATCTCACGGCCAGAGTCCTCCCCCCTTGCAGGACCGCGCAGCCTCGGCGAGCTCATCATCTTCTTTTCTGTCCTTAAAGCGCTCTGCTTATGACGAGGAACCCCCAGAATCCACTTTAAACCTGGCCTGAGGGAGACTACCGTGGCAAATTGGCATCGGGTCTAACCTAAGGAGTAAGCTGCTGCTGGCCATGACCAGAACTGACTCCAATCCCACACTCGTAGCGAGAAGCAGTAGCAGTAGCAGTAACAGCGAGAGTTCTTCCTCTGTAATTGCAGTCATCAAGCATCATCGGGCAGTCCGTCCTACGGAGTAAGGTCGTCGTCTTCTCTTCCTTCCTGTCTTATGTCATCCTGGATCACCGCTTACCTAAGCCCTGTCTCAGGTTCGACCCCCTGGAAAGTCAAAAAAAAGTCAAAAAGTCTATTTTTTCTTTTTTCCCACTTTTTTTTTTTCCTTTTTTTCCTTTTCCTCCCCTTTTTTTATTATTTTTATTATTTGTTGCTTCCCGCTCGCTCGATTTCTGCTTGTCTCGCTTTCTCTCGCTTTCTCCCTCCCTCTCTCTTTTTTACCTGCTTCTTTCTCTTTCTCTTCCTCTTCTTCTGCTTTTTTCTTCTTCCTACTAGTTAATCTCACTTGTCAAGCCCGGTTCGTTAGGCCGCTCCCTGATTTGCTGGGTCCACCCTCGCTTTTGTTTCGTTGCTTTTCTTTTCTTCCTCGTCTTCGCGTCCCCTTGAAAAAGCTGGTTCAAATCTTACGCTTAACCCTCCCTTCGTCGTCTCTTCGTTCTTCCTTCGCTCGCTTTATCCTCCATCCTTCTCGTCCACCAGCAAGAAGCTCATCAGGTCTCAGCAAGCTCCAGGTAAGCCGTTGTCTCTCTTGTCAATTGCCATTGTTGTTGTCGTTGTCATCGTCGAGCAGAAGACGGAGGAGAGACAGGAACACAGTCCCTCCCTGCTGGCTGTGCGACGCCTGTGACACCCCTTTTTCTTAAAATTGAAACCCTTTCCTCTTCTCCCTTGAAACGCCCTCACTTCTTTCCCTTCGAAACAAAAATCCCACAACAAACAAACAAGGGACTTTTAAAAGAAGGTCTCAGGCGGGCCCTCTCTCTGCTCTGCATTTACCCTCTCTTCTGTCTGTCTGTTGTTGTTGTTGACTTCGCGTTCTGTTCTGCTGTCGACACTTTCTGCAACCCGTCTTATCAGGTCAAGATTTGCTGACTCGAGCGCGTCCAGCTCACGTCCTGACAAACCTCACGAGATGGCCATCACCAAGTACCTCGTCTCGGCCCTGGCCGTTGCCGGTTTGGCCTTTGCCAAAGGTGAGTGCATTACGACGCGTTGGCGTTGGCGCCCTGATACTCGAAAAGTGATGATGGTGATGATGGTGATGGAAGACGACGGGGTGGACAGATGGCTGACCCGATAACCGATTTAACAACAGACTGCGCCGGAGACCTCACCATTGAGAACCAGCAGGATGTCTCTACACTGAGCAGCTGCGAGAAGTGGGACGGAGACATCGTCATCAGCGAGGTTGTCAAATCCTCCATCTCCCTCACTGGTGTCAAGCAGATTACCGGCTCTCTCAAGGCCAAGAACTCCAGCATCACTGAGCTTTCTGCTCCCAATTTGAACAGCATTGGTGATGCCCTCAGCCTCAGCACCTGCACAGCCCTGAGATCCCTTGATTTGAGTTCTTTGACCAAGGTCAAGACCCTCTCGTTGGAAGCTCTGCCAAAGCTCCAGGCCCTTGGATTCACCCGCACCGTTTCCCAGGCTACCTCTATCCTCATCACCAACACCGATCTCACCTCCCTCCAGGGTCTCGATCTTGAGACTGTCGGCGACTTCATGGTCACCAACAACCCCCACTTGATGGAAATCAACGTCAACAAGATGACCAACATTACTGGCTACCTGAACTTCGCTGCCAACAACAAGCAGCTTTCCGTCAAATTCCCCAACCTTGAGGGTGCTCACAACATGACCTTCCGCAACGTCAGTGATGCCTCGTTGCCCTCCCTTCACAAGATGGATGGTCTCCTCGGTTTCTACTCCAACTTCTTCATGAACATCAGCGCTCCCAACCTCACTGCCACTGGTGACCTTGTCTTCACTAGCAACTCCGCGGTCATGAACATCTCCATGCCAAAGCTCGAGACCGTCAAGGGTGGCTTGCAGCTTGCCAACAACTCTTTACTCGAGGACATCGAAGGTTTCCCCGCCCTCAAGCTCATCACTGGTGCCCTCGACATAACCGGAAAGTTCAAGACGTATGTTTCTCTTTATTTTTTTTGTTGTTGTGTCTTCAACCTGACCATTGCTAACATATAATATAGTGTCAAGTTGCCTTCTCTCAAGGAAGTCCGTGGTGATGCCAACCTCCAGAGTACCGAGACTTTCGGCTGTGACCCATGGCAGAAACTCAAGGACAGCGATGTCATCCGCGGCAAGCTCACCTGTCGCGAGAGACAAGAGAAGCCCAAGACCGGTGACGACCACTCTGGTGGTGATGAAGAGGGCCACAAGGGTGCTGCTGCTGCTTTCGCCAAGGCTCCTGCTGCTGCTCTCCTCATCGCTTTCGTCGGTGCTCTCCAATTCTTCTTGTAAAATAAAGCATGTTCCACACAAACACTCATCCCCCCGCACACACCAAATACCAAAGTACATGATGGCGTTGTCCTCCTTTTGTCCCGCTCCCTCTTGTACCGTTCGCCTTCCTTTCTAACGATACAGTTTTTTACCCTCTTTTTTTACCTCTTGTGGCATTCAATTAAATTGTATCTCTTCCCCCCCTTATGTCCGCTTTAATGGTTTATTAGTCCAAGTCGAACGGTAGTAATTCAGCATTTCTTACTCCTCTTAATCTCTTGTTCCTTGATCCGCCGTAAAACAGTAAATAGTAGTCTTCATCTCAGCAGTCTCCAGCTTTACTATGTAGTTCTTCCCCCTTTTCGTCCGTCTCTCCGTCTCTGATACAAACACCCTGCTTATCTAACACGAGGCCACGTGACCCCTTACGCAAGTCGCTTTCCTTTCATCTCGCTCGCCCAGAAGAAAATGTCGCCCCTATGCAGTATCACCCTCGCCCTCGCTTCTCTCTTTCTCGTCTTCCTCCTCGTCCACGGCGTCCATTGTGCTTCCCTCCTCGTCCTCCTCCTCCTCTGCGTCCGTCCTCTGATACCTGATACCTGCCATCTGCTGTTGGGCGGCTCAAGGTTAGCCTTTTCGAGATACCAACCGTGCTGACACGTCTAGAACCCGGTAGATATCACTCTTCTTCCACGACCTGGAGGGAAAAAAAAAATAGGAAGATAAAATAATAAAACAACGGAAAAGATAAGGCGCACAAGAGGAATTCGCTATATCGGTCGACCTGGAGGCGCGCTGATATAGTCTCGGGGCCCATCGTCACTTCACTCGTTTGTTTTACTGCCCGGACGCATAGCCTGATTTGCTGCCTCCGTCTCCAGAAGGGAGCTCGAGTACGACCAACCGAAGTCCTACTCGAGTACACGCAGCTAGAACCAAGTCAAAAACCATAAACGAGACCGGTGAAGAAAAAGGCTCTTCTTGCAGACAGACGCCTCCAAGATGCTTCTCCCCAAGGGCGGCGTGACATGGAAATCGGCGAAGGCCAACCTGCCACCATGGAAGGCAGTCCTCATGCTCATTTCAAAACCCCGGTTCATCATCTCCATTGCCGCCGCGGGGCTGGTTGTACTGCTCTGGGGCGGTGTTAGTCGGTCCACGGCCGAGATGCAGAGGTTCGTCCTATCAACTACAAGATATATATATGAATATGTCCGTTCTAACAGCAGCACCGGTAGATATTACTGCTTCGGCCCATCAAAACCTCCAAATCACATGTCCGCCAACGAGATGGTAGACTGGCACTCCCATCTCCAAACCCCCGTCATCTTCAACCACCACGAACCATACGAAGTGAACAACACCTCCATCCAAAACATCAACCTGAACCTCGTCAAAGCTACCCCAAAGGCAGCTGCAATGGAAGAACGTGTCTTGATCCTCACGCCGTTACGCAATGCCGCCAGACACCTGGATAAATACTTTGACTTGCTCTCTATGCTCACCTATCCACACCATCTGATCGATATAGCCTTCTTGGTCAGTGATAGCAACGACGAGACGCTAGCTGATCTGGCTGCGAACCTGAACCGCGTGCAGTCGATGCCAGACAACATTCCATTCCGCAGTGCGATGGTTGTAGAGAAGGATTTCGGCGCCACGTTGGATATGGATGTCAATGCGAAGCATGGATACGAGGCCCAGGCTCCCAGACGGAAGATGATGGGTAAAGCGAGAAATTTCTTGCTGGCCACGGCATTGAAGCCCGAGCATTCTTGGGTCTACTGGAGAGATGTCGATATTGCCGATAGCCCACCCAAGATCATTGAGGACTTTGTCGCGCATAACAAGGATATCCTTGTTCCTAGTATGTTTTTACTCCTCACTATTTGGTTGTGGTGGATACCTGTTTATTAACCATGCTATAGATGTTTGGTTCCACCGATATGTCGATGGCCATGATATCGAAGGAAGATGTAAGTCTACCTGTACTCCTTAACGTTGGCCCTCTTCAATGCTAATTGCTCTTCACTAGTTGACTACAATTCTTGGGTAGAATCAGACAAGGCCCGAAAGCTAGCTGCGACCTTGGACAAAGATACCATCATCGTCGAGGGATACCGAGAATTCGACACCGGACGCCGCCACATGGCTAGAGAAGGTGACTGGAGGAAAAACAAGGACGAGGAACTCGAGTTGGATGGAATCGGTGGTGTCAACATCGTCGTCAAAGCCGATGTTCACCGAGCAGGTTCGTTCTCTACACCCATCCATCTAACCCATACGAAGGTACTTGTCTAACGCAACCATCGCAGGCATCAACTTCCCATCATACGCCTTTGAGAACCAAGCTGAAACCGAAGGATTCGCTAAGATGGCCAAGCGAGCTGGATACCAAGTCGTCGGTCTACCGAACTACGTCGTCTGGCATCACGATACCGAAGAAAAGCCCGGAAACGTCTAATCTAAAACAAAAACGCTCCTCCCTCTCATCCTCCGCCACGCTCTGCTTCCTCACAACACATTAATGACATCCCCGGTGCCACAACGTGGCTCCTACTCCCATGACAATTCTTCACTTGCATACTGCGACAAATACCAAAAAGCCACGTTTTAATCGCATACGTACACCCCCTTCTAAGCGGCCCAGCTCACGCAAATAACCGCTCTTCTTCCACTTCCCGCTCCTTATTTATAGACTAACACCTGCCTACTTACCCTGCCTTACCATACCTTCAGTCGATGATTTCGCTATGTCTCTTCTCATGTTTGGTTGCTTTGATTTCCTTTCTTTTCGCTCTGTATTATCTTCTATTTCGTCTCGTTTTCTCTTCCCGTTCAGGTCTCTTTTTTCCCGGACCGAAAGAAACATATACTGTCTAAGCTAAGCGTGCCAGATCCTCGGACCTACCAACGTCAATGTCAACACTGCGTCCGAGTCCTGCGGCCGTATTGCTTTGCCCGTACATATGTCTGAGGTTCAACCAACCATCTATATCCCGTTCCCGTGCAGGAAACCAAACCTCCCCTTTTTTTTCTTTCAATATTCGTTTCTCTACCAACCACTCTTAATCACCCGTCTGGTTTCCAGCATTCCTTTTTTCCATTGACTGATCAACCGTTTGACTGTTTCAGTTTCAGCTTCAATACTTAACTTTTTGGGCTAGGCGTTTTCTTTTCCTCTTCCTCTCCTCCGCCTTATATCTCTAATATCCACTTTGAAAACCGGGGAGTCCCGCACCTCTTCACTTCGGCCTTTTCTTTCCTGTCTGTTGACAGATTACTTCTCTTCTTCTCTTGTTTTTTTTTTGTTCCCTTTTCTCTCATCCTTTTTTGATGATGAATGTGTGTGTGTTGAAGTAGTGGCTAGTTGGTTGAAGTACGGGGTTATGTAGGGCGGGAGTTAGGTCGTGGTGTAAGATTTACCTACTTCAATGCATCCCAGGTGTTTTTTTTCTCTTCTTCCAGTCTTTATCGATGTAGATGATCAAGTCATAGGAGATAGATAGTGGAAGCAACCTCCGTCAATATATCAATATCAACATATACACCTACATAGACTCAGGAATGGATGATACATGAGGTGCCACGCCTGGCAAGGCCAATTACTAAATATCAACAGGACAGAAGAAAATGGAATAATATACAACGTCTATTCTCCAGCTTAATCGAGCAAAAAAGCAAGCATCTAAACGCCAGGTATATATGTGTGTGTGGTGCCGTATAAATAGCACCATCTATGACAAGTAAACCAAAGAGAAACGTGTCCTTGAGTGGAAAGAAAGAAAAGATATATCTCAGCCATTCGCAACTCGAATCAATCAGTGATTCGTTAAACCGAGTCGGTTACGTAACGAGAGCCAATGCTCGTAGATCTCCAGCTTTATCTCGACACGAAGATAACTAACCCATGCCTGCAGGAAGCGGAGGAAGTTTGGTGGCCAGAATATGCTTCCTTGCTGGGAGATGAGTTCCATTTCTTGCGAGAAGACAGCGCAAGTAGCATATTTGGCTAGAATGAGAAACGTTCGTACAGGCCCGTGGCGAGTATGTAGATTCTCGTCAAGATTGCGAGCTAGAAGGGTTGGTTACCCGTTAGTTCCATCAAAGACATGTATAGATAGTTCAAATTGAACTTACTAAGGTCGTTTGTTTTTAGGATCAGAAGCATGATTCGGGGAACTTTGCCTAGCAGACTGACTAATTCCTGTAACATGCCGTCTCCCAAAGCAGTGGTGATGGATTCTTTCTCCTCCGATGATCGAGAGGATGCAACTTGGTTCTGTGCAAGGACCGTATAATCTCTCCCGGTAATAGCGCTTGCAAACAGAGGGAACTCTTCGTCGGTTACACCGGCAACTTCATAAGCGTACTTTCGCATCTCCTTTTCATCTGCGTTGATCACAGCAAGCCAGAGTTTGGCGTAGTTGATACGCATTTCCTTGGGAATGGTTCGATATAGGCCATGGTCATATAGGACGATATCGAAATTAGGTCCGCGCTTCCTTGTGTTGTTTTTGCATATTGCAATGTTTCCTCCGTGAGGATCACAGTGCAAAGGCGCGCCATCACCAAAGATCATTTCGTTGAATATGTGAGCTAGTGAAGCTGATACCTCATCACGGTCAATGTTATTGGAGTCAAGAAACTCCAGATCATCAGGCCGATGGCCTGATATGAACTCCATTACCAGAAGGCGTTTCTTAGCCCAAATAACTACGATCAAAACTATGTCAGTGGGCACGACACTTTGGAATACAGTTCAGAAGGCCTCCTACCTTTCGGGATAATGAGTGGTGCATTGGTCCTTTTGCTGAAGTATTCACGGGCCACTCTTGCGTTCTCAGCCTCCATTTGGAAATCCAGTTCCTGGGGTAATGAGAAATCCATCTCCCTGGCCAGCCATTCAAGATCGTATTCTGGAAACACTCGCTTCAGTGACGAGAAAGTGAAGCGTGTAAGGCTCAGGTCCAAGGGAGCCCACTCCTGCAGGGTAGGATGCTGCACCTTGACAGCAACTTTCTGGCCTGTTTCTCGCAGAACAGCCACATGGACCTGCGCCAAAGATGCGGCTCCAATGGGCATAGGGTCGAAACTGGAGAAGATTTCGTCTATCGTGTGGCCTGTGTCTCTCAGGAACATCTCCTGAACTGACTCAAAGGATGAGACGGGGCATTTGTCTTGCAGGGGAATGAAGGTTGTGGTCCATTCCAGCGGTAGTAAGTAGCCTAAGCTGCTTAGATGCTGGCCCAGCTTGATAAATATCGAGCCGTTCTTTTCGAGGACCTTTAGCGTTCGATCGGCGCATCTCTGATGGCATGCATTTAGCAGTGCAGTCCTTTCTTCCTCCGTGCCCGTCTCTTTATTCAATGTTACCCGGTAGCTATTGGACGGTTAGCAACATATACCCCTTAATAAACTGTTGGTTTATGAACTCAACTCGTTGATGCAAACTAGCAAGGCTGCAACAACTCTTCCCGTCCGTTCTGCTGCTCGGTATGCATGCTTCACATCATCGTAGAAGAAGAGCAAAGTTCCTCCAAGCGTGCCAGTGGCAGCTGCCAGTAGAAACCCCTTTCTCGATCGCTTCCTCCCGCTCACCCTGGGAGCTCCCTCCTGCGCGCCACCGGTTGTCTGCCCATATTGCGGGCTCGTACCATGGTATAGTCGTTTATTATCCAGCAGCAGGCCTCCAACTCTTCTGCTATTATCCCACCGAACGCATTGCTGGCATGACCAGGCTTGTATGACCGATGACGGGAACCTTCCGAGGGTCGGCTTTGGAGTCAAGAATCGAGTCGCGATCCGCGCAGACATGGTAGGCCAGGTCACGGAGCCGGAGACTGTCTATCTGTGCACCAGATCCTCAATTGACCATCTCCCATTGCGGCCCAGCGCGGCGTCGAATTGGATGTCTGGAAGACGAGGCCTGATGCGACGAGGTCATCGTCTTTGGAGTTTTTCGGTCTCGGTAGCTTTTGACTTTTTTTTCCCTCTTATCGATAAGAGTTTTGCCTCCTCGCGCGGTTATTTGAAATTGTTAGCTAAAAGAAAAAAGGACCGCCGAAAATCATACGACGGCAGAGTCAAGGAACGTACGATGCGTCTCTTGCACCGGGAGAGGCGCCGTCAGACGAAGCCAGGGTAGACGGGCATGCGGGCTGCTGGACGGCGACAGCGTCTATCTGCCCTGCGGATGGGAGGTGGCCAGCGTCTTGTTCCTGGATGTGGCGGGATCCTGACCCCTGAGCCAGTCCTGCGCCGGCGGCCAGATAAAAGGTAGATTGACTGCCTTTAGCTTCGAGAAAGGGACGTAATAGTTAAAGTAGAAGAGAGTAAAATGCCATATAACGTACTGGCTTGTGCCGAAAGGAACAAAAAAAGGTGTCGTCTCGACCTTGTCTCCTGTAATATCAGCCCTGATCTGCCTGCTGCGTGCCTGAAAAAAACAGTGAGTGTCTTCTGCAGCGCCGTCGTCCGCCTCTCTTCTCATCTTACACCGTCGCTGCAGTTCTTCCATCATGGGCCAGAAAGACATCGTCTAATCGATATACCGACCACAGAAGCCCCCTACAGCCTAGAAGACACACCTTACAATGGCTGTTACCGAAACTGCTGCTGGGCGTGCGGCGTCGAGGGTGCAGCCTGGCGCTGCTCCTCCTCCTGACAGTTCAATCGAAGACCATTTCTTCTGGACATACACCGAAGAACCACATAGAACACGGCGACAGGCTATCATCAAGGCCCACCCAGAGGTATGTTTAGTCCCCTTTTGCTGGTTTCGGTATGCTGTTGTGTTGTGTGGACTGCGCGCTGACCGATGGACTTGGGCAAATGCAAACAGGTGCTGAAGCTCTGCGGCCACGAACCTCTCACCAAATATCTCGTCTTCGCCGTTGTCTCCCTCCAGATCGCATGTGCATACTTCCTACGCAATACCTCCATGCTGTCATGGCAGTTCTTTGTTACTGCGTACGTCGTGGGCGCTACTGCAAACCAGAATCTGTTCCTCGCCATACACGAAATCTCACACAACCTCGCCTTCAAATCGCCTCTGGCCAACCGGCTTCTGGCCATTGTTGCCAATCTGCCCATTGGAATACCATACTCTGCTTCGTTTCGAGTCAGTACACTCCTCTATGCCTCATATCTGTTTATCATCGGGAGCGCAATGCTAACAACTACCATAGCCATATCATCTCACCCACCACAAGTCCCTTGGTGTAGCCGGCCTGGATGCTGACCTTCCAACGGCCCTCGAAGCATTCTTTCTTGATTCCTTACTCGGCAAAACATTTTTCTGCACCTGCCAAATCCTGTTCTACGCCATCAGGCCCATGTTCATCTATACCCCCAAGTTCACATATATCCATCTCATCAACATCGTTGTGCAAATCTTATTTGATATTGCGCTATGTAAATTCACCAACTCCCTCCAACCGCTCTACTATCTTATCCTAAGCTCTTTCCTGGCTGGCTCACTGCACCCATGTGCCGGGCACTTCATTGCGGAACACTATTTCTTCTCTCGCATCAAGACTGGAGGCACTGAATCTCTGCTCACCCTCAGACAACAAAAGGAACAGCAGGTCAAGAGTATCACGCCTGTTGACCCTACTATCCCACCGCCCGAAACTTACTCCTATTATGGTGCCTTGAATATACTGACATATAACGTCGGTCTGCATAACGAGCACCATGACTTCCCAGCCGTTCCATGGTCACGGCTCCCCAAACTACACGAGATCGCAAAGGAGTATTATGAAACTCTTCCCTGTCATCGTAGCTGGGTCTGGGTGATCTGGATGTTTATCCTGGACAAGGACGTTGGCATGTGGTGTCGTGTTAAACGTGCAGAGGGGGGCAGGATTGTTGGTGGTGATAAGAAAACTTCCAAGGCTGACAGTGGATGGACTGAAAATGAGATTCAGAATTGATTTTGACCTTTGGTGCTTTGAAGCTATTGGATATTGGCTTTTCTTTCTTCACGCACTTAGATACTCGATCCGGTTAGATATGGTCATTTTTTTTGCTTTCCCAACTCATAATCACACTTTATACAAATATCGCACAATTAATGAAAGAGAAAGATCAGGCAAAGAATGCATCGCATCATAGATGTATTGGTACTATCTGTATGTAACTGTTTTTGTCTTCGGTCTTTTGTCTTCTTGTAGTAGATTTTTTTTAACTCTATTTTCGGCCGTCGAGTTGCAGGTAGACAACATATAAAGCTGTAAAGCTGTGTAGTATCTCTCCTGCAGTAGCTGTCATCATGCGTCAAGTGAAATGTGGACAAGTAAAAGTGATAAGAAACCTGGTGAGCCAAAGCGAGGCGAAAAGGGGGTCCAAAAACAGGGGATGGGGAGAAAGGGAGAGAACCCAAAGACACAACAGGAAAGAAGACGCCAAACCAGCCTGTCCTTTGCATCCCGTTAGTTCTTCTGTATCAGGCGCGGGAGACGCTGGTTAAGAGACCCGATTCTCGACTCAATGAAACAAGAAAATGCAGAAAAAGTGCACCAAAGATACCCCCCCGTTTTGTAAGTCAGAAAAAAAATGTCAGAGAATAAGAAAGCCGAATAGTCCGTAAGAAAAGTAACAATGAAGAGAGGAATAAAAAGCAGGAAGTGATAAGAAAGCAAATGTCACAATTGCATCTTTCATCGTTTCATTTCATTATTCTTCCTTGGATTGTTGGCTATTGTCACGATTCGCCGTCCCCGTCGTGGCCCATCATATCTGTTTCCATCTTGCCGTCAGGAGTTTCGCCTATGCTAGGCAGTCCAGGGTCTGCTATCGGCTCTTCCCTCATACACGCGTTCTCTAGGATATTGGTCCATTTCCCGCTCGAGCCAGCGTGAATGTGCTTCAAGTGCTGTCTAAGATGGTCGGCTCGCCAGAACTTCTTGGACTGATTGCATTCTCCAAATTTATGAACAGATGTTAGATGTTCGATTCGAACATCCCACTGCGGGGCTGGTAGGTTAGGAAATTCCATGCCGCAGAAGCCACATGTGTCATGAGTTGAAGTCGTAGAGCCAGAAGCCTGACCATTGGAAGATGAAGATGAAGGATGAAAGGCCGATTCATAGCCTGCGAGGGATCCACAGGACCAGGAATGGTGACGGATATGAAGAGAGGCGCGGTGACGCTCTGCTTCATTTTTATTCTTGAACCGCTTGTGACAGTAGTTGCAGTTATATTGCTTTTCCATCTCATGGGCTCTACAAGGGGAGATGCATAAGGTATTAGCCTTAAAATCTATATCCAAGGGGGGGAAAAAGCAAATATCTCCTCGGAACCTTGGAAAAAAAGAAAGAAAGAAAGTTCGTACCTGAGTTCCTCAAGACTGTCTAGCTTCTTTGGTTTTGTATGACAGCAGTCACATATATATGACCGGCCGACACGCTGGGGGTTTTTCGATGAGTTTGGACACGTGTGGGATCCTTTTCGGCCTGAGCCGGCCGAAACCGAGTTCTTCTTCATATCGGCAGCTGATGTAGGTGACGGTTCAGGGTACTGTGCTGGTCGAGGCATACTCAATATCGGAGCAGATGTAGACTGCTTTTGGGCAGGACTGCTCATAAGTCCTCCCCTATCATAGTGATCCACATCAGTAGGCGAAATTCCACCTGGAGACGGCCGATCGTAAGAAGACATGCTACTAGCCCCGACTGAAAGGCCAGTCGAGGAGGCGTATGATCCGGTCCGCATGCTTGCCGACGAAATGGACGATATCGAGCCATGGCTAGATTGGTATCGAGCTCCACCTGGCGATGTGCAGATTCCATTGTTAAAAGGAAACCCTGACATACGCCTATCAGCGCTGCTTGTGCTAAGTGCTGCATCCTCGTGTCGGGCCACCTGTGGCGGAGAAGAGGCCCTCCGCTTCATACCATGGTTCGATAGAGGGGATATACCTTCGGCATAAGATGGCATCCGTTCACCTAGACTTCGTTGACGAGTGGTTTTTGAATGCACGCTGCTCGAATGTGCTTCATCCATTGACATTTCTGTGTCTAGGTCAGGGAAGAAAGACCGGTCATGGCTCCTTCTTCCAGAATGTAAAGGCAGACTATGCGCGACCTCACCATATCTAACCGGGCCACTGCTGATTCCCCCGGCATATTTTTCTCGTGCCTGGCTGAACTGGTCCACCTCCATAGGCGAGAGGCCGCTGGTGCTCCCCTCGCGTTGATTTCTGAATGCAATGTAATCCGAAAATCCGCTACCTCCGGTGCCTGGGGATATGCCTGCTGAGGGAGGGCCGCTACCCCATCGTATATCCTGTGGACTAAGAGTCTCGTCTGTGAGAGTAAGAGCAGAAAAGCTCGTTTGCACTCTGGTAGGGTCTCTCGGTGTTGTGGTAAGGCCTAGGACTGCGTTCCTCGGCGGGGATGCTGGACCACCGATTTTTGACAAGAGATTCCGGTCGTAAGCGTTGATTGAATGCTCAACACTCTTCTCTGATAGCGGTTTTTGCCTATCCCTGAGCTGTTAGTTTATTTATGCATGACTTTGTTGTAAGAGTATATATATCATGAATTACCTTGTGCTAGGCAAAATCCTGGTATCAAGTGTGCGAGAGAGCGATCCAGTCTGGGAAAGAGACCTGCTTGGCCGTGTCAGAGGGCTCGTAGGGGAAAAGGCATTCCCATCACCATATGAACCTATCAAAGGTGCCGATCGTGGACCTAGAGCAGTCTCATGTTCTGACATAGAAGCTGATCCAGGGCGCCTGGCATCAACAGCCCTTTGTTCATCCGCATCCAGGCGAAAGGTTTCGTCCCGTCTGCGCAATGGTGGTCTAGCGT